GAGATTTGGGGGTGATAGAGATAATGGTATTGTCACTAAATTCAATACTGAAGAAGTCGTGGAAGATGGATAATTGATTTGGATTTAGTAGAGGAGCTAGCGGGTATGCTGGAAGAGACTTGTCACCGAAGCGGGATTATACAGGTTATGGCGATTAAAGTTGTTGAGAGCAAAGTTCACACTATCAGCACGATTTTCACTGATTTCTTTGCGTTTTTCTCTATATGTGTATTCGACATAACTACGAAGGTATAAGCTGGTTACAACCGTTCAAGCTGACGAGGTGAAAGACAGATATACTAGGAGGTTAGTGTATTGGGACATGTATAGAAATTACTTGCAAGAACTAAGGCTATGCTGTTAAAAGCTAGTTGAGATTGTTGCCGCGGTTTTTTGTTGAAGTTAGAGAACCTTCATCTCCAGACTCATGGCCTTCGAACCACTCTCTTCCCTATCAGATATAGGGAACTCTCACAGGTAAATTCTTTGAGTATAGTATAACGTATAACACAGATCTAAGTATTTTAGTAGAGCGATAGACCGTCACCGGAAGTGAAACAAGTAAGAGCATAAGCAAGGCATGGTGGCTACAAGGAAAGGGGGAAGCTATCACTTGTAGCTCCAAATCGCACATTGAAGAAGAAGCATCATATGACGGCCAAGTCAAGTCAAACATGGCTATCTTAAATTCACCAAAAATGGTCTTTGTAAAAGTTTTCGAAATGTGTCGTTTGGAGTTGGAAGGCATATAATCAACCAAAGATTCTACGACATTAACAAAAATGCAAGAACATTAAAGACGTCCAGTCAAGAGATTGCGAATATCTTCTCCTAAAATTTAACCCTCTTCACTTAGTTAATTATTAATAATATCACCTTACCCATCCTCTTCTATCTGTCTCGCAACATGTAGCCCATCTCGGCCTAGCGCTGATGAGTGTGGGGTATAAAGTTAGACTCGCTCCCGGGCTTTCCAGAGTTTTTGTGTACCTGAAATCATATCGCATTACAATCATACTCCTTGGGGTTGCAAGATGCGAATAATAATGAAATCAACGTGTGCAAAGACGTAAGCAGATCTCGGCACCAGCTTCTGAGGATATTCTCGTTCTTGGCGGTGATGATAATTCAAGATGACTGCAGCTACGCTGCGATGGTAAGGGCTATGCGTATATAAAATATTTCTTTCTATCCTTTTTCAAGTTATTATCATTAATCTTTTCGCGTATCTGCGTGTTTCTAACTCTTTGCTACTTCCTACAGAGCTACCAATTGATTAAAAAAAACATCATCATCAGCACGATGTGGCAGCCTCATTTTCATATCCACGTCGCAGTTGCAATAGTATTTCAGGCAATTCCCCTCACAGCTATATCTATAAACGCAAGCAGTGAAGATGTATCTTCGTCGCCGATTCCAGCGGAAAGCTATTTCAGGGAACATACTTCATCACATCTACTTTACGCCCACATCGTATTTATGTTTCTTGGCTGGATATGTGCTTTACCTATTTGTATGATTCCCTCCAAAGTCAGCTGTACTCCAGATTACTAATTTGAGCTAGCCGTAATGCTCAACATCGCGAAGTCGAATCTCAGATATCCGTCTCACCTCGCATTCCTCGGTCTTCACAGCATCGGCACGATTTTTGGTTTGGCATATAACTCCAGAACTCCGGATCTATACCCAGAAACCTCGCACAATGGTCTTGGTTGGATCTTAACTGCTCTCATTTTTGCACATTTCATTGTTGGAATTATCAAGAATTCCATTGGGAGGACATCGAATTCTGGGACCAACGATGAACACGCACCATTTATCACCGGAGCGCCTGGAAGGATAATTAGTGAAGAGGAGCACAATATGGAAACCCCGTATCAACCAAGCAGAAGTTCGTCATCCAGAAATGCCTCTTCTTACCCCAATTTATCGGCATCTTCTATTGATACTGACCCCGAGACGCTACTTGAAGCCCACTTACATTACAATTCAAAGCTCAAGCACGCATACGATGAACCTATAACATGGAGTCAAGGATGGGACAACGTTTCCGGATCGAATCTACTTGTACGGATTCTAGACTTGGGATTCGATATCGTCGACCGAGCACTAATCATTCTTGGCTTTGTCGCCATTTGTACCGGAATTGTCACAATGGCTGGGATATTTGTACGTATGATGATTGAGATACTCGGATAGCTTACTAACACCGACGAAACAGCACGAGAAACATGTTTTCAATGGATTAGCTCATTTCATCAAAGGGGGAGTTTTCGTTGGGTTTGGAATGATTACACTCGGTCGCTGGATAGGCTGTTTTGCTGAATTCGGATGGGCCTGGAATCTCAAACATTCTAAACTGTCAAAGGGGACTGTCTCAATGTCAATGGAGACGGTTGAATGTTTTGTCATATTTTTATACGGGATTACGAACGTATTCCTAGAGCATCTTTCCGCTTGGGGTGAAGCCTGGGTTCCGCAAGATTTCGAACATGTTGCTATCTCTCTTTTGTTCATCGGTGGTGGATTAGTAGGTGACGCTGATGAGCTGACAATTGGACAAATGCTAACTCATTCCTAGTGCGGGTTAATGGTTGAGTCAAAGGCACTTCGTCGTTTGGTTAAAGCATATCCTGAAGATCTACCCCATGATGGCGAATTTCCTAAATATATGCAATCGCAACCAGGGATCTCGATAAATCCGATTCCAGCGATGGTAATCTTCATCCTGGGAATGATCCTCGGCGGACATCACCAGATGAGTATGGAATCAACTATGATGCACAAACAAGTAACTACCCACTCCTCCCCCACTGTCCTTAAAGTCCTTGCTGATGTCCTTAGTTTGGAAACCTCCTCATATCCGCATCAGTAGCACGATGTTGCAGTTATCTCCTCATTCAAATATCTCCACCACACTCGATATACCCATCACGTCCGCCATCAGAGCTCGTCTGCTCGTTTTGCTGCATTTGCGGAGGATTCATGCTTATGGCTAGTGTAAGATCATCCACGCCTTTTGCAATATTTCGAGTCAAAAACTCTTCTGACTCAGCGATGTCACAGAACCGAGATACCGTGCAATCTATGATTGATAATGGTGTCAATGCGATGGTCGTTGCGACTGTTACTATGGGTATCTCGGCGATGCTAATGGCGTGGGTCATGTTCATTCTTGTTGTGAAGGGTTGTGCGGAGAAGAGGGAGGAGCGGTGGCGGGACAGAGTCGTCGTTCCGGTTCAATAAGTGGTTGTAATTTATCTTGACTGGTTTATTGTTGTCTACGTACCGAAGGAAATGCATGATTACGTTTGTTTTCATTTTCGGACTTAGAAGTGATACCAGATCTGTAGTAACTGAAACAACCAAGTTACGAGTACGTCATGCAGTACCTAGTGGTCATATTTTGGCTTCTCATCCAATCAGTATTGTGCTTAAAAGGTGTAGGGACGATCAACGCGTACGTATAATGAATGGGTTCTAGTAATCATCAAGGAGGTGCGCCTCGCTTAGCGAAAATGGAGTGGTGCTTGACATAGTACTCGATCTTTCTATTATATCATGTTTCTCCTGTATAATAAATCCACGTAGGTTCAAATTAGTATTAAATTATCTTATTTACGAAAAAAATCTTTAAGATATTAAGATTCAAAGCAAATTGCGGAAGATATGTTTCACCGAATTTACGACTCCGGCTCATCCGGGATGTCGTGCATCAAGACCTGGACGACGCTTAATAATTGTTGGAATATATTGTACATAAGCTGACGTTCGCATCATATCTCCTAACGAAGAGTAGCATAGACTTATGCCTAATCGTGTACATATCTGCATCGATCTCGACATCTTTCTTTTGTCATCATCCAGAAAGGCGATATTTTTCGACAGCTGTCATATCCTCTCACAATTATTCCGAGACTCGTAGCAATACTGACATGGCAGGCGTACCGGGGAAATCGAAAGGGTGCAACACGTGTCGAAGACGAAGAGTCAAGGTGTGTAGAAACCACTGATGCTTCGCCAAGAAAGCTATTAAATGGGAATCTGCGCGCAGTGTGATCAAAAAAGACCCTCTTGTGGCCAATGTCAGAAATCAAAACGGCAATGCACCGGATATCAACGAAACAGGCAGTTCAAGAACTTAACGTCATTGGATCACGATACTTTGATTGGGAGGAAACAACCATTAAATCCCATCACGGAACCATCTTTTATTGAATATGACCATAGCGAGCAGCAACTAAAGCAAAGGCGGAGAAATGTGAAAACCAAACCATCAATCCTAATTCAGTCTGAAAGAGTCTTGACCTCCGTACCTCAAATCTTCGAGCACTTCCTATCAGAATACATCCCCCGTGGCGGAAAGGCAGAGCAAGACCCCCCCGTATCTTGGCTCCAAACCGTTCAGAACACGGGTAATCTGGGCGATAAAACCTCCCTGTCCCTCGCCATAACAGCGTTAAGCCTCGTCCAACTAGGAAGGAAACATCGAGACGTGGAGCTGCAACACGAGGGCATGGCTGTGTATGGACAAGCGCTGGAGGCGATCCAAACCATACTGTCAAGCAAGGATCTCATTTATGAGGACAAGACACTTACGAGTTGTATGACGCTGTTGTTCTTTGAGGTGAGTCCAATCTTTTATATCGTCGGAGGTGTTCATGCTGATATGCAGACTAGGTACTCGAAATATCCGGCTCGAATATACGAGGTTGGATTAGCCATATTCAAGGAACTTCTCAACTCTTTCAGCTGCGTGGTCCTGGACTGCACATTTCTGGATCAAGCCATCAACTTTTCCTCGGTTTCAGGCCCACAGGAGTATATTTCCCTTCACCCATCTCTCAACTCGACTGATTGTTTGTAGATTATTTATGCCTTGTCGACACGAAAATCAAGCTACCTTGGAGATGAGCAATGGATGACTGTCCCATGGCAAAGGGCTCCAAAATCTGACTTTCACCATCTTCTGGATATTATGGCGAAAATGCCTGGTCTTGTTGAGCAAACAGAACTTGCTATCTCAAGGGACGCGGTATCAACCTCGCCGACAGACATGGAATCTTTACGGGAAAGATATTGGGCTATCGAACGTCAGCACCGTAAGTGGTATACCGACCTTGAGAACTCATCAACCACACCACTAAGTTCCGAGACAACGTCAAGGACAATTGCCTCTACGACGCCATCCGACTTACGGCCGTTGACCGAATCATCCCTGGGCTTTCCAACCTTCGAAATCGCACGTATGCATCTCTTCTACTGGGCAGCTCTTCTTTTGATATACCACAACGTCACTTCCTTACCGTCTCCCTCAACTTCTTTACATGAATTTGCCCAAGCCCATATTCAGTCAGAAATTCGCACCACAGCAACGCTAATTGCACGATCTATCCCCTACCTCCTGTCCCCGGAATCCCAAACTCTGGGTCCTCAGAATGTAAGCTTCCCTTTACGAACTGCCATGCATGCATTTTCGGAGCTTGGAGCAGAAAGAGAGGAGAGATGGTGTAGAGATGTGTTTGAGGAACTGGATAAGAGAGGATTTCCGTTCGGAAAGATTTTGGCAAATGTGAAATGGGATGACATTCCGAGATTTTTGTATGAGGTGAAGGATAGAGAAAATGATGTATAGAAGTTCCCGTTTCATTCTTTCACGAGACATCTCGATTTTCTAAAGGTAGTTGACAGGATATATATGCAAAAATCATGCTGCTAGTATGGTTGTTGGTCCCTTTCGCTGGGCGAAGGAACAATTAGCTTACTATGTAACACCTAAACTCCCCATCTAAGCAACGGCCCGTCTCTTTAAAAACACATCCCGGAGATTGTCCCACAACCCCAGGTCATATAGATTCTCCACGTCTTTCAGTCCCCACACTCGAACCCATTCGCCTTCCCCGATCTCAAAATCCATCTTCGGCGGCTTGCCATTCGACGTGCGGACGAGAACTTGCTGACTTTCTACTGGCCAAGTCGTGAAACTGCTTTCGTATTCCTCGTTTTTAATTCTAGAAGGAGAGATCGGACGTTTGAAAGCAAGCCCGTCATGCATTTCGACCGTCCAGTCGCTCCATTTCATGCTCTCGTTGGTGGTGGTGCCGGCCCAGATGAGGTATAGATGATAGCCGAGAAGACCCCAGACGAGCGGGGCGGTGAGGAGACAAAGGAGCGTGACGGCGCCGATGCGGGTGTATTCTTGCATGGCCCAGGCCCAGATGTTGATATACTCCCCCCAAGTGTAACCTTTTCCCGTTGGTGTCCAGGAGGATAGATTTCTTAGTATCTCGGCTGATAGGATGGAGAATCCGATGTATGAAGCGTAGGAGATGAGCGTTGCGGTGGTGAGGAGCAAGAGAATGAAGAAATGCTGGTTGTTGTAGCCTACACAGTTGTTGATGAAGATGCAGTGGTGGTCTAGTTTTGTGATGCACCGTTTGCATATTTGACAGTGTTTTGAGCGGGCGGGTTTGAGGAGGTGGCATGTTCGGCAGTTTTGGCCGGGGTGGAAGAGCGTGAAGTCGTAGGGGTAGAGGGTGAGTGCGTGGGTGTGGTTGGTGGAGGTTATATAGCCTGGGTCTGTGTAGACTGATTTGTAGAGGAAGATGTAGGGCAGTGAGAGGAGGGTGGTGGCGGTAATTTTTCTTTGGTTGCTCATGAATGTCCAGGCTGGTGGTAGGAATAGGACTTCTGAGACTAGGAGCAGGAGGATGAAGAATATCTGTGAAATGTTATTGGTATGAACTTGGAATATATACGAATTTTATGATAGCGATATATGATAAACAAAGACGAGCAATATAGAGATAATCCTTATAAATAAATGCTCCGTTCTTGAAGGCGTCTTCTACTTGGTTGCTCTAAGCGAGAGAGACCAAGCAAAGCAGGTATATCCCATAGCTCGTGAGGAAAGATCTTGAATCAAACTCACCATGATAAGAGGATGCTTGTCGTTCCATAAAGTATGAGCCCATCTGGTAGTCGTGATACTTATCCTCCCACCTGTCAGTTTTTGATCGAGTCTCCTCAGTCCGTTAGGTATATGGATCCACTATTGAACAGTGTCAGAAAAAGATCAAAACATCAGATGAGATTATGTATGATTATGATTCTCACTTACTAGTAGTCTATGTAAAGCTCCTATAGGAGTATTTCTATTTGTGATTAGGCTTTTGCTTCAATAAAGTTGTACACAGCTCTTACCTCAGCGCAGGCAGTCTCCCAAAGAAGGCAGCAAATGTGAAAAATGAGATGAGAAGAACCGCAAGGGCTACATTGCGTACGAGACCCATGCTGCTTCACATATAACCTACCTATAGTGTCTGTAAGAGACTCATTGAATTCATGGTAAAAATGAGAGACGTGTTGCCGGGCCTTGCCGCCGCCCCGAAACTATCAAAGGTGCCGAAGTTCGACCGGCACCTACTTAGGTGCATACCAGATCACGTGAGATCGCGATGCCGATCATCCACGGCGCGTCAACCTACCTAATCACTTCCACAACAAAGTGAACTTACCAACATATAGCCCCGCTCATGATTTTGTGAACGCTGCAGGTGCCTTCGACAAATGACTGATTGCCTCAGCTAGGCTATCCCGAACCTCACCTCTCTCCATCTTCTAGTGTTTCACCACTTGCACCCCACGAAAGGCCGTACCCACGAAGCATGGCTGCTGTAGTCTACGAAGGCGTGGGTGGGGGAGGGGAGTTGTTTGCAGGCAGCAAATATTATATCCTCCAACGAGTGCCAACGAGAAGTAGGTGGGTCGAACTAATAGAGGTAATGGAACTTAGCTATGCTTCAAATGATCAAGCGTCAACGAAGCTTTTACCTTGTTTTGACAACCAAGGAAACTAACATTTTACAGCAAAACGGAGGAGAAATAGTCGCACTTGACAAGTATGCCGACTATGTGATTGCCGATCACGCTAGGAAGGATAATCCTCCTGGTTCGATCTCATGGAAGTGGGTTGAACAATCCGTCAAAAAGGGCGAATTGCAGGATGTTGACGAATATCCTGCGGGGCCTGCCGAAGGAACTGTGCGAAGCGCAGGCTCAACAGTACCACCCAAAAGTACCAGAACACCATTTACCACAGCAGATGATAAATTTCTCTCGGATTGGGTGATGGCTGCGCAAAGAAAGGGTGCACCCATTAAAGGAAACGAAGTCTATATACAACTCGCATTGAAAAACCCGCGACACACATATCAATCATGGCGGGATCGGTGGGTCAAACATGTGTCTCATCAAGCTCATACGGCTTTACCGGATGAAGAAGAAGAGGCGGATGATGACGTGGGTTACGTGCCCCCTTCGAGAGCTAGGACTGCCTCTCGGATCGCCTCAAATTCCACAAAGAAAGTAGCTGCTGGTTCCAGCGCTACAACCGCGAAACCATCCATTAGAATCCGACCACCGCCGACCATAAAGAATGACACAGAACCTAAAGATATGGCAGAACCCGTAGTGGAAGCATTGAAACCTGTCAATCTCTCTACAGGAAACCGGTTTACGGATGAGGAAGACGAATTACTTCTGGAAGCGTCAAAGCCCATTTTGAACTTGGATTCTAGGCAAGAACTGGATGCATGGTGTAATTGGGCCCTGGAATATCCTACCCATTCTGCTCAGGAATGGCGCAATCGGTTTGAGGATCACATAAAACCGCAGTTAGCGACGGAAGATGCGGAGGAGGAAGACGATGAGGATCAAGAAATCGAAAGTATCAGAAAGCCACAGTCAACTCCCCAGCGACACGTTGAGGAGGTACCAACGAAGCGACAACTGTTCCATCAATTTTCTTCGAAGAATAGACCATCGAGTAGTCATGCGCACTCTAGGGCGCTAGAGACTCGAGACTCACAAGATTTATCGAAAAAGAAATTGGAGTTACAAGACACAGCAGAAGACTATGTGGATCCTACAACCGTTGATGAGATTCTATTCACTGAACAATTGAAAAAGATGGCAGATATTTTGGGTTTAGAGGTAGACTTCGAACCACTAATCGGTGGCCGGCATTTACCACTCTTTACGCTTTGGCAGGTCGTTAGATCTGAGAAATTTGGCGGTTACGATAATGTCCAAGGGCTAAAGCAATGGCCCCAGGTTGCGAAAGCGTTGAATTATAACCCGTTTTTGCATACCCGTGCTGCGCACGAACTGCAAGCATGTTATAGTGAAATACTGGCTGACTTTGAGACCTCGCGGGAGCAATTTCTTCAACCCCATGTGTATTCCCCTGAACCGGAAGATCAAGCCCAACACACTCCAATACGACCTGTCATTGACTTGGAGCAAAGTGAGGAGGACGATGAAGACTTATTCGTCACACCATTACAGTATTCATCCTCTACGAAGAGACGCGTTGACGTTGGTCGTACCCCTCTAGCCTCATCAATCAACAAGAAACCTCGTCTAGACAAGGGCAAAGGAAGGGCATTAGAAAGCCCAACGCCTGAAAAGTTCACTCCCAGAATCAAGAAAAAGCTTCTAACAAATCAAGGCAAAGGAATGGCATCCGAAAGTCCCTCGCCCGAAAAAGTTAAAGAAGTCCCCTCAACTCCAGACGAAGTAATCAACGGCACAGCCTACCCTACAAACTCCCATCGTCCATCCTCACCAGCCAACGATTCATCCTCCGAATCCGCATCCCTGTCCCAAAAATTCGCAGACATGGAAACATTCAAAGAACGTATGATGGCTCTCGGGTACGAAGAAGAAGACTTCGACACGGCCTTTTTAGCGACGTGCATGCGAGAGGGGAATATAGCCGTGATTCTGGAGTCGATGCGTGAAGGCCATGGGATCCCCCGGAACATTCGGGGTGTGTGGACGGAGAGTGATGATGAAAACTTGGAGGCCGATAGTCAGTCCAGGGAGTTTTCGAGGGTGTGTAGGAAGCATGGCAAACAGGGTGTTGAGGAAAGGAGGGACTTTTTGAGGAAAATGGATCTGGAATAATGGGGAAGCTCGAAAGGGTGGAATTTGTGGAGGTTGAGGATTTTAGGTTATTGATGATGTTTAAGTGAGCCTTGAGAATTGATGACTTGTTCGTATCTCTAAAACAATTTCATGAAATATTTATCATCCCATTACGCTTTCTCTCTGGTAAAATAAGAACATCGTACTCGTCGAGCAGGATAAAGAGAGCAAGAAGGCAAGCATGTGGAGGATGTAGCGGACTTTGGAAAGCGATCGAGAAGGGGCAGTCGTGGTGCAATATAGGTTCCATCTTCGTGGAATAATCTTCTTGAAAATTGATTTACCCACGAATCGAAGCTCATATGAACAAGAACGGCTGATGAAGTGAATGAGAGTTACTGTAAAGGTGGACGAAAGTGATAGATTTATAGTTGACAAACTTTGTTTGAGTATAGTTGTTGTAATATCCCTCCTCTCCTCACTACAATACTAAAACTGACCTTCGCACCTACACTCATCACTCCATTGCACCTCGAATCTTGAGAAGAGAACTGATTTCAAATATCGCTCGTATATGAGATGTAAACAGATGAAGTTTGTGCTGTTAGGACGTGTCGGCTCAAGAGGTAGGGCCTATCACGTGATTTGATCAACGGATGAAGCAGCGTAGCCACGTGATGCATCCCTGGTTAGTAAGCTTCAGACGACCTCTCCTGGCACTATCTACAAAATTCCGAAAAACCACTAAAGTCGACATGATGCGACAATATCGTTGAAGGCTCTTCCTCGCGTCCTCTCTGTACGTACATCACCGGCTTCTACCATTGTTTCGTGTTTTTTTCTGTCGGCGGTTTCCTATTGTGGCTATTTCTTTTCGGAGCATACCACATGCGGATAAATATGAGAGAGGCAGCTTCGAGGCACAATTTCTGAGTGGATAGAGGTAAGGAAGCCCTGTAAATCGCTGGCTCGACTCATCCGGATGGGGTGAGGAGCTTTTGTCTCTGCTCATGCAGGAGGGATGGGTTTTTGAGGTTCATGTCACATGTTTGCCTCTTGTTCAGTCATCAGTTTCGCTACGTGGTTGTAAAGTTCCAACGAAAAAGGAGTCCAGGACAGCGAAAATGTTACGACAAATAACTCTCACAGCGTTTCTGATCGGCGTTTGTGCTATTTTGTTCTCTTCGCTTAAGACCGAAAACTCTCCACCAATTAGCCAGGGCAAGAACAATACCATTCTTTTCATCACAAATGAACATCCAGGACTCTACAATGTACATCTTTCGACGCTGTATTCTCTTCTACAAAAGGACTCACAACTCAAGATTCATTATGCATCCTTCCCCAAGGTTGAGCAAAGGGTGAAACATATTTCAGACCTGGCAGCCAACGGGAAATCAAAGACCAAGGATGTCAACTTTCATCCTCTTCCCGGTTCTGGATATACCGACAGTTTACAGATGTTGATCGACCATAGTGATCACGCACACGCACCTGGACTGGGCGCAGGAGATCGATTCGGAAAGAATCTGGGAGTTTATATTGCACCCTGGTCAGCAAATGCTTATTTCACACTATTCGAGTCTTGTGATCGCCTGATTAGCGATATCGATCCTGCTGTTATCGTTTTCGATGCATTTCTTACACCAGGGATAAACGCTGCCCGCCAGAAAAATCGACTTCACGCCATTATCACTCCCAATGTTTTGTCCGATTTGTTACCCGCTGGGCAGCAGCCTCCCTGGACTTTGTTTTGGAAATATCCAGCTTTAGGTTCGGGATTCCCATATCCTGTACCATGGAAACTTGTCCCAGCAAATATGTACATCAACTTCAGAATCATGCGTGCAATCTTCTCTCTTCCGGAAATTACGTCAAAGAGAAAGCAGTTAGAGAAGATGGGTATCGAGAAACCAATTGATTTTATGGGTCTTTATAGGAAAAATGTCCCTTGGATAACTCAAACACTGCCAGGTGCTCATACACCAGTGGCGAGAATACCAGAAAATGTCACATTAGCAGGACCAATCAATCTAGCAGGATTAGAAAAGAAGTCCTCCGGTGCTTTGGAGTTGCTGGACTGGGCAAAGAAGCCAACAGTCTTGATTTCTTTGGGCAGCGGTTTCAAGTATCATGAGTGGCAAGCGAGAGCAATGATCGAAGCCATACATTATGTACTGAAACAGACAGAAGTACAAGTATTGTGGAAGATGTCTAGACGCGGCACATATGACCATCAGTTTCTAAAGACTGCTGCAAAAGAGTCAAAGGATCGTCTGAGGATCGAAAAATGGTTGGAAGTTGAACCACCGACGCTTTTGCAAGAAGGGAATATATTAACGTTTGTACACCATGGAGGCGCAGGATCCTATCATGACTCTTTAGGGTGAGCTCAATCCTACACTTCATCCCCCCCCCCCCCAAAAAGCTATATTGACGAACCTAGGGCCGGAATTCCTCAAGTCATTCTACCCCAATGGATAGACTTGTATGATTACGCATCACTTGTTGAGAGATTGAACATAGGCATTTGGGGTTGTCGCGAAACCAGTCCGAATTGGACAGCTGAATGTCTTCAAGAGGCTTTTTTGCTTTCTGTTGAAGATAGCTCGGCGAGATCATTGATGACGAAGAACGCAGCGTCGTTCGGAGAGCTCGCCAGAAAATCTCCGGGTCGAGACGTTGCCGCGCGAGTAGTCGAGCGGTTGGCTGCCTCTGGCTATGAATAATATCTTGGTTCACACCCGCAAAGGGGGGAAATATACCAAAACGAAGACCACCAACGCTATCATACCACAAGTGACTTTCGTTTCTCAAACTACTTGCTCTTCGTGTCCTGGACCTTCAATCTAGGAAGTGAAAGTGCGCTTTTCCACTCCAGTCTGATACCGTCCCCTCCAGTGACAAGAAAGAGTCGCAGATACTCAATCAGAACAATAAAGTAATACACCCCCAATCCACTACCAACATGCCACCACCCATGCATCTCCAAAACAAATCCCCAAGGAATCCCCACAACCTCCCTCATCGCTCTCAATTGCTCGCAATAATTCCGATCAACGCTGAACGCGATACTTCCCGCCACAAACAGTACTACACCATCAATTATCAGCTTTCATCCCGACGATCCGCACTCAAAGCTTACCACTACCAAACCACACCAACCCTCTCATTTCCCTCTTCACTTTCTCATCTGTGACGCGTGATAGTAGAATCATACACCGAGCAACGATGACAACGACGAAGATGAGGAACGCGTTGCCGAATACCTTTTGAGAGCAGTAAATTGAGTGGTAAGTAACTAAGACCGCGGATGCGAGGGTGAGGGTGGTGGCCAGGAGGAGACGCAGGAGAGGGGTGAGTGTGAAGCTAAATGAGGCGTAGATGATAGTGGTTGTGGGGAGGAGGATGGATGCTTGGTCTACTGTGAGGGGGAGGTGTGTATGTTAGTCGAGTCAGGTTTGTGTTGGTTAATTTTATTGCTGGATGCAAATATTGAAAGTGATCCTTACGTATTTGAGCGAAATACTTAACGTTAGAATGAAAGATAGTTGAACATGCTCCCACAACAAGTAATGACCCATAGCAAAGCCGAATATTGATGCTGTTAGTCACCGGGGACTTTTTGGTGTTGAGAATGCCACGGATTCCAAGATATACTGTTTTCACTATTAACACAACTCGTTCTCACTTATTTTTAGAATGAAAATGTGAAATAAATACCATAAGCGAGATTCGTAAATGTATTGACGAATCCGGCGATGTAGCTTGTGAAATAGTTATTCTATGAATCGTCAGAAAGCGAACTTGATAGGTGTGGGAAACGGACTATTTCACAAAACCTAAACAGATATCAGTTATTGGTCAGGGCTTTCTGTTGTGAGAGTCACCTGGTTGCCGAAGTCATCTCCCCCCATGCTGATATACCTTCGATGTAGGGCCAGCTCAAAAAAGGCATGACCGTGGAAAAGAGTGTGAAAATCGTGTTAATGAGGTTTCCTTGGGTGATTAGACTCGTGAACTTAAGAAGTCATACTTCGCATCGCAACTAATGTGGGAGCGTAGGTAAACAGAAGAAGAGCACACGGAGTCGACCAGATATGGCAGCCGCCGACGCGATGTGGACCAGTTAAATCCTGCCCCCTGAGATAAGCGAGTTCTCGATAAATATGGCAGAACTGTGTTCGTGCCTAATAAAGTGGGCGGTGAAGCCGGGACTTTTATAATTTCTGTGCAACGCGTCGACATCTTCCACCCTGGAACATCATCAATCTCGACACTATCAACACTATCATCATCAGCATCATGAACACCATCAACAATGTCTGAGTCCACCCAAAATTGATTTCTCAATTCTGAATATGAATCACCTCTTTTGGGTCTTCGTATGTATCAGCTCAGTCGCATGCTCGACACGCGCTTGTTACAGGTCAAAGCGAAGAGAGGTGTGAATCGTACTATCTCTTCCTTCACTTGAAAATCAATCGACCAAAAGGGTCAAGCATGGGTTCAACTCGAGCAGTAGTGACGCAGCAATTGGGGAGGCAAATTGAGAGAGTCAAATCAAGGGAGCAAGTCGAAAGTTACTTGAAGAGTCAATTGAATTTTGACCAGAGCCTCAGGACTAATTAATAGTCGTTCGACCTAGCACTCATCCAACTCACCAGCCGAAGGAATATCTTTGTTGTCACTTGCTACTGCTGGAAGTCGATGGTAACCCACTTTCATTTAGACAAGCCTCTTCATCTTCAAATGCAGCCCATTAGCAGGCCGAATGGTGACACTCCCCGATGGTACTACCTCCGAGATGGGCATATTCAATGTCCACTCAAAGTGGCTAAGCATCGCACACATCATGCATCTCAGCTCGGCCTTGGTGAAGCCTTCACCAATGCATCCTCTTGGCCCTCTTCCAAACGTCATGCTACCGATACTACCCCCTCCCATGTTGTTATGCCTCCCATCTTCATCTATCCAACGTTCTGGCCGGAACTCGTCCGCGTCAGGGCCCCAAAGCTCTGGGGCTCTATTCACGATCCAAGCGGGAATCAGGACTCTTGTTCCCTTCGCAAGTGGGTGCCCAAGTATGAAGGTATCGACATCAGCAACGCGCGATTGCATGGGTAACGGAGGATACAGACGTAGGACCTCAAGCATGACCGCATTTAAGAAAGGCAACCCTTCCAAGATGGACGGCAACTGCGATGGTTCAACACCTGCGATTGCGTTCAGGACTTCAGTGCGAAGTCTCTTCTGCGCGTCCTGGTGAATAGCTAGTCGATAGCACATCCACACAAAAGCCACTGATGTTGTCTCATGTCTGCAGGGAAAGCAAAAACCTGTCAGTTGATGTGGGTCGCAAACGAAGAACGGATTCTATCACTTACCCCGAAACCAGTAGGGTTAGCAAGTGATCAGTGAGTTGAGCCTCACTGAAGTCGTTTGAGCTGATAAGCAAAGACAAGATATCAAATTGCCCGTCGTCGCCGTCCTTGGCGGCTCCCATCTTTTCATAGATCATTTTGGTGGAAAGGTTGCGTACCGACGCTACTCTATCCTCCATGGTCTTTGTGATGCCAGGCAGGAGAAAGCGTGTCATGGTCGGGGAAAGCCTTGACATCAAAAGAAACCATAGAAGCTTCCCCCATGTCGTTTCGGTAAGCTCTTCATAGTCACCCGCGAGTTTGTCTTTCACGTCTGTTAGCGAGTGGAAGTCGTGCCCCAGACCAGCCAAGCCAATGATGTCGAGTGACACTCTGGTTGCCCAGCGAACTATTTCAACCTTCCCAGATTCATAGCCTGGCTCCAATGTCTTCCCTATTACGGCAACCATTTCCTGGGCTTTACCCCACATCATGGGATATAGATCATTGATTTGCGCCTTGTTGAACGCCGGTTGTGTGTGTTTACGTCCGAACCGGTGCTCCTCGCCTTCAAGAAAGACCAGCCCATCCCCTAGAATGGGACGAAGGAATTTTCGAAGTTGTGGAGGCTTGGTGTAACTCAAACGCTCATTCACAAGAACTGTGGTTATTGTTTCGGGTTGAGTGAGAACAATCATGGTCGAGCCAAAACTTCTGATGGCTATGATACCCTCATTTGGAGTAGTTCTGGCTATTTCGGTGTAAAATTGGGCGCCTATTTTCCTTTTGGTTACAACATGATTGTACCATACCTTGAGCGCCAAAACATTTCCGTACTAGGGGAATCAGTCAGCAGCACAAAACACTAATCAGGCGGGAGATGTACCCTTGGCCCAGGCACGTTTCGTAGAGGGTCGACGAAGACTGGATATATCGCTAGATTGTAAAAGAGGAGGAGACCATAGTTGATGCCAAAGACACTGGCTATCCAAGAAGCAGGATAAGAACGATCACTCTTTTGAAGGGCTTTTCCAAGAAGGAACAGCTCAACGGCCACAGCCAACGTTACGGCTTGGAACAAGCTGATACCCATGATTGAGCAATCACTATGTTTTCAGACGTGCTAAAGGACAATCCGAGGTGGCTCAAAGACCATCAAAGTACTGCACCACCGAACAGCAATGGTTATCTCAGTGATTTTTGGTGAACTGGCACGGCTAACCCCACCAGACAAGAATCGTGCTTCGGTTACGGGATGAACGTTTTAGGAAAGTTCCGAAAACTCACATTTCTTAGAATGGTCACTCACGTCAGACCCCTGCCAAACCCAGGCGAATTCCATATCGAGAATCTTTCTTCGCCCTGTCGCATCCGAGATACCGTCATCGAGACCCCTGAGAGGAAGTGCATAGATTAGCATGGTATTTGGGGAATGTGTGTATCAAAGCACACTGTACAGTTGAAACTTCAACGACGTCCAGTAAATATCTGGTAAGAACAACCAACAAGCACTCAATGGAATGCATTTATGCTGAATTTATTCATAGTCAAAGGGTATAGGCGCTGTCCTGACGATAAACATGTCTTCGAAGTTAATACACGTGCCTCTTGATCCGCTGGATCACTTGCCACGGCCGACCTACATACCAAATGCCTTTTATTTTAGCATCAAGCCTACAGTTAGCCCAGAGCAAGTATTCAAACATCTACAAGAAGGTTTATAGTACGTAATTCAATATCCTCATATGAAAATTCACTATACTAAGTCTCGAATGCTAAAGTCGAGCCTTCTTACAAGTCCCATGGATGAATGGAAGGGTACACCACCAGTCTTCGGACACTCCTGGCTGGCGTCCAGGACAGCTTGAGATTCGATATGACCCAGACGTCGAAAGTACGGACAACCAGAGATGCCCGCAATTCAAGTTCAACGAGCTCAAGTCAGATGCTCCTTACGATGACCTTAAAGCGCGAGGATTTCCACTTGATGTATTTACCGATGAGGAAGTGCTTTGGATCCCGCCATCTTATGTGAACAGCGGAGTTCCAGATAAGGGTGTTGAAGTGGTAGCTGCACAGGCCAACTTTATGCCAGGTTTGTCACGATTTTCACTTGAAGATTGGTCCTCTAACTCAGAAGTTACAATACACCGAGCGAGTACTAATCGTTATAACGTTTAGGAGCTTGTATCCTGGTCAGCTCGATGCATCACTCGGCATGTGATGCCACGGGAATGGCTCTATTTTTCAAGCTTTGGGGTGATAATTGCCGCGTCCTAAGCTTGCAATCCCAAGGAAAACCCATTCCTCTTCCATCAATGTCATCAGACAACTGGGATCGAACCGTTTTACGCCGTCTCTGGACCAAGGAAGCGAAAGAATATTCCGCCATGAAGACTGAGCCATCAATATTCCCTCTTATTGGCCTTGACCGCGGATCAGGTGACAAAGATCCCTTCCCACTTGGCCGTGATAGACTGCCTCTGCGCGACAACAAAATGAGCACTCGAGTCTTTTACATGTCGCCAATGTCGTTTAAAAAGCTTGTGAAACAAATCACGAACTCAGGCGCGGCAGAATTTTCCGGTTCGTACTTCGACCCCCTTTGACCATCTGCGTCTTTCTCATCACTCTCCTTCGATGATAATCTTGCTGACTCACACACTACGGACAGGAAACGATGTCCTCGTCGCATTGCTTTGGCAAAACCTTATGAAAGCCCGAATAGCTGCTAGAAAGAAGCAGGGATCAGACGTCGCGATGGATCTGGACTCTTTGGCTGAACTGCAAGTAGCCCAAGATGCTCGACCATACTTCTCGCAAGAACTGCCGCCGTTCTATGTAGGAAATTGTTGCGTCCACCATCGCCCTACCATTCCCCTCGGACAACTGGTCGGCCCTGACTCAAGCACCGCCGCAGTTGCTCAAGCTATTCGTGATAGCGCGCGCATTGTCGGCCACGAGACTACAATGGACGCGTATAATCTATTGCGCCAAATACCAGACTATGCTCGTTTGCAACCGTTGCGCTTTTTAACTGTGAAAGATACGTTTACGATATCGTCGTTACTGCTGCTTCCAGAGGTCACTCCAAGTTTCGGAGACAATGTATTCCTTAACGGAGGCTGCCCTGAGGGGTCGCGCCCACTGGTTAGTGAACGGATTATTTCATTATCTCTCATGTCTTACTGTTGATTTGTAGCGCCCTTAATCACTCCTGCTAACAATCTATTTTACAGATGAGTAATCGCAATAAATCACAAGTGCCAGTGAGCTACGTTATGCCCAGGAAAAAGGTACGAGCCCGACTTGCATCTGCCGCTCTCTTTCATCAGACATATAACACATGCTAACCCAGGATGCTTACAGAATGGAGGTATTGAGTTTACACTCAGCTTATTCGAAGACGAGTGGCCCTTCTTACTCGCAGACAAGGAGTTTGGGCGATATGCGCTGCTGATGGCGTGATGCGGTGCTCCGCGATTTGAAGACTACCCACTTATATTCTTATCTCTACCCGGTTGATCAACATTGACCCATAGTACAACACGACTTCGACGGTTTCTAGTCAGACTTTAGGGCTCAAAGTGGAGGCGTACGGGATTGAAAACAAGCTTTTTGAGGCTCTTAGTGCTCGGAATATAAAATTTAGGGGATTCAACAAGGAATCGTACTGTATTGAAACCCCGCAATGAATATCTCAAGCTTCCCTTTTCATCCGACCATCCGAGCTATAAGCCGACAATGATAAGGAAGAAGTAAGAATCGAATGTTCCAGCCATTACTTCCTGGGCGCTGTTCATTCCACGCGCTTTCCACTCCGGTCTCTACTGCATCAAAACTTTACTTGCCTAAAGCAACCGTCCTGCAGCGCTCTTCGCACAATCATCAATTTATCCCACTTCTCGCAGACCCTGCGGCTCTAATCGTATCGATATCCCTGAAAGTTACCCCCACGCGAGCTGGCAGCCGCATCATGCATGCCTGACAGCTTCGAAATCGTCAGAATTCGATGCGCCGTAACTGTGCGTCCGAACCACGAGAAGCTGGCCTTGTTCATGTCAACTACCGGGATATTTGTGTTTCTGAACCAAGTTAATCAAGCGGTCCATAGAAATTTAGGCAACTCATGTCAACTGCCTAGATGCTTATGCCTTTCAATCAAGGAAAGGTGAGCAGTGTGTGCTCCATGCGGCTAAAACGTCGTCGTCACGCCCGTTACGACCAACCCACGGTGGTCTTAAGGCAGGTAAGATAAGTTATGGTGAAGTTTAACCCAAAACTGATGTCTTTCCGTAGGAAGTGCTTTCGTTCCACAACTTCACAGGAGCTGGACTCGTTGATGTCAACTACCTGGATGCTTAGTGATGATTGGAACGGCAACTGCCTAAATGCTGATTGATCTTTGAACCAAGCACCGTAAGCTTTACCTGCTCATGCGGCTTAGAGGAGGCTCTACTTTGCTGTCGTCACGTCTGAAATCTGCTACATCGTTCACCTGAGGCAAGTAAACTGCAAAATTTAGCTGATCTATCATCAAAAGGCGTTCCACACATACATGACTCAAGGGGTTGGTAAGCGAAGGGGTGTAAGCGAGCTTCGAAGGATGCAACGGTATGGAGTTACTCCCCGCGGCTTGGCAGCCGGACCGACCCGGGGCCGATGGGTCGTGGTATTGTGCGGTGATCTTATTCGACGCCATGGTTTTCGGTACGGTGGTACGTACCTGCTTGACGACGGCGCAGCTCAAATGCAGGGACCTGATTCCTTCCCACCCCCCTTCGCACATCTTGGACTAACTAGGTATTTACTTGCTGTACATTTGCCACGGGAATCCAGAGCTTTTGATAACGGTGCTTTTACTCTCAAATACGAGTAACCCCGTTCTAATCCTCTGTAAACACGTTGTATGGCCTCTGTCTGCTGAAATCACAGGATGTGAAATCGACTGAGGGCAAATTGCCTAATTAGGTCTGGCTCAGGACGTGAGAGCAGTTTCAGCAGAGTGGGATCGAGATTAGGAACTTCAAAACTCAGGTAAAGCCTTTTGCTACAAATTGTGTCTTCAACTCTTGACGGCCAGTCTATATCAAGAATGGACAGGCGTTGAATTGGAAAAGAAAGCTCCAAAATACAATTGTTCACTTTATCTTAACCCCGTTTGATACGTCCAAAATTCCCAATATCTATATCTCGTTGATATATGGTTGTTGTAGCGGTGTAGTGGCTTTGTTCTGGTCTTTCAGCAACAGACGGATGTGATATAACTATTGGCTCTGTCAAGATTCGCTAAAGTACTACAGTTACATCTGGGTGGGCATGTACGATAGGCTAGCGGCTAGCGTTACGAGCTCCACGAGGCAGCCCATCCCAGCGATACGTGCAACGCCTTCCGGAATCCTGGTCAATAGAGCAATCAATGTTATTCGTGGAGATCAAATTGTGAGATCTAAGACCCTGGCGGAATAGACCCCTCGTAGGCCCGCAGAACTCAATAGTATCTACAGATAACATGTGATAACCGGGAAGTGGTGCTATCTAGCGTGTAAACTCACCTGTTTAGTACTTAACTCCACGACAAGGTGTCGAATAGACCTGTACAACTTGTGGCTGCTACAGTACACGCAGTGTCCCGGGCCATTATGGGGCATCTCATAGTAGTGTGGGTGCATGCATGCTGCATATTAGATTCAACATGCTGGACAGCCACGCCCTCCTCTAAGCTTACTCGTTTCCTCGTGGTGTTAGGGGTCCCTATCTTGTTTAGATTGCTATTGTAAGGACTCTATGTCGTCGATCTCACTGCATCTTATATACTTACCTAGGGAAAAACCCAGCAACTTTGACTTGAAGTCTGCAAGAAAGTGAGAAAAATGTTCGGCACTTTCAGATATAATAAGACGACGAAGGATCTCGAGCACATTCAGCTTTCTAGTGATGACATTGTTGATGCGCGTGGCCATACGCTTGTAGCATGTGACCAGTGTCGTGCTCAGAAAGTGAGTAGATTGATTTATTACTATTCAAACATTGTAAAGCTTATGCTAACGTAGACACTAGTTGAAATGTAATGGGGACAGAAACACTTGCGACAGGTGTCTCGCCAACTTATCAAAAACTTGCACTTACGTAGGAAGAAAGAGGCTAAGCCACCCGTTGGCACCTTCAAAGCGTCAAAAGCAAGAAAAAAACCAGAATTTGGCAGAGCCAAGACATTTAGAGCCATCTTCAACAGCCGACAATGTGGGGAAAATTTCCACTTTCTGGCCCAACGATACTGCAATGTTCTGCGCCTCTTCTCCAACAACACTAAGGTCCGACATCGAGCGGCAGCCGCTGTTCACAGGATCAGACTTGTCGTGGGATTCCATGAGTGAGCTTTTAGATACCAGCAATCTCAGCGAACACGAGACGGCGATGAGTCCTGGAATCGACCTCTTCGAAACCTCGCCTGCATCATATCAAGAAGCTACGAATATGCTAGATGGACAAAATTCTTTGTTACCAATGAACGAAAACAGTCTCTGTGCTCCATTATGGGTAACAGGTGCCGAATTAGAGCCCAGAGAGCAGCAAGCCCAAGGACGGCCGCGACTCGCATCATACTCCGAAGCACCCTCCTCACAATTTGGAGAAAGAGTAGTCCGACAAACGAATTGCAACTGTCTTCATACAATGACGCAGCTCTTCGAAGACACAGAGAGCACAGTCGAAAGCCAGGGATTTGACGAATTCATGATGTGCCTGGGACGCGGAACACAGATGTGCGAGAGCGTGCTCGCGTGTGTGCATTGCAATGCTTGCACGGACAACGCCATGTTATTCACAAGTAGCGCTCGGCAGCTTGTTTTGACGGCGCAGAAAATCTCGAGTAAGCTCCTCCTCACACATCAAGCCGGTCGTCGGCGGAGCGACTCTAGCAAGTGGTCGAGTCACGATATTGGGGACGATATTGTTACTTTTGGTAGGTATCGAATGGAGCAGCCTGAGATGCAGATTCGACTCGTTCACCAAATCGTTCTTTTACATATTGAAGATCTGCAGCAGCTGTTAGCGAAAATCAAGAAAGGCGTGGGACTGAAGAGGAAGGCGGAGGAGTTGCTGATTGACGCAGAATGTAGTGTTGCGAGGCTTAATCGGGTGATTCGCGAGCTGGCGAAGTGAAGGTTTCCCTGACCTCTGAGGACAAAAAATGTTTAGGAGAGGATGGTTGAGGCTTGGTTGTTGATGTGGCCCGAGTCGAACACTCCGTAAAAGATACTCTCTGCCGGAGTGGAGAGGGAAGTGAAAATAGAGAAGAGAAAGAAGATAAAGGAACCATATGATAAGAAAGCTAGAGCAAAGAAGAATGAGGAGAAAGAGAAGATGGACAGAGGGTAGAGGATGTAGACTAGAGAGAAAAGAAAGAGATGGTAGAAGAGCTGAGAAAGTAGATGAGTTTCCACTCAAACTAGAATAGACAAAGACCAAATTGTATAGACATTAGTTAGCATCTACAAGTAATTCTACTTTATACTATCTGGCAAGTCGGTATTAGTGATAGCAGTTCTAAGTGAGTGAGACACTACAGCTTGCTCGTAAACTTTGGCAAGCTGTGATATGGTGCAATTTAGAGGGACATCAACAAGATCAGTAATGCACTTCAATAAATGACTTTCCAACTTCGATTGTCATTGTCTGTCAAGACGCCGTGCCACGTAGGTTTCGTGTAGAACTACATGCAATAATGTGGCAGCTATACTCGAGAAGTGCAGACTTGAAAGGATTGACGAGAAAATTCATTTCTATGTGTATAACATACCATCGTCTAATTCATCCATTGACATCTAAAACGAAATCTGTCCCAACAAAAGCATCTATTTCGCGACCTCTTCTGTTGCCGCGCCTTCAGCGACCACCTCTTGCGCCGCAGCCGAAACATACTCACTCTTCACAGCCAACAGACCCGCAAACTCCGTCAACGAGGTACTTTGCAGGATCTCAAAGACAGTGACCTTTGCTCTGATAGCGCCACTTAACCAATTCCGCAACTCGACAGCCACAAGCGAGTCAACACCGTAGCGGGAAAGAGGCAGCGCGACATCAATCTCAGCAAGATCGAGACTGAAAATTTCCGCTAACTTAACCGCTAGTGCATCAACTAACAGAGCTGACGCTTTCGCAATATCAGTATCAGGAGCAGATAACGCGCGTACAAGAGCGGCTGTGGGGCTCGCTCCTGACGACGCTGAACCGGCTCCCGAATCTCGTCCACGTCGGTTGGCCATCTGCAGTGCATTGTATCGACGATCTGGGATCCCATTGTTGGCAGCTGCGATGCAGGTCGCTTCGGAGATACCCATCACTATCTGCGCGTCTTCTTGGGCGGATTGGCGTGGGTCACGGATGGCGGATTCGATGAGCTGCAGTACGACTGCAACATCGACGGCGCCGAATCCGAGTTTGAGGAAACGTGATACGATGGTGTCGTCACCGCCTGCAATTCTGTTCTCGACATAGCCGACTTTTCGGATGACGCAGAGATCGAGAGTCGTGGAGGCGAGACCCTGCTTGATGCGCTTTCGAGAGAGAGCGTCTTGATAAGCGTTACCGGCCGCGTAGTTTCCTTGAGAAGATCCACCGGCGACACCCTAGAAAGCAGGAGGTTAGTAACTTTAAGAAAAGCTGTTTTGTAGAATAGTATACTACTTACCAGACCTGAAGCCAGCATGATGAAGAAGGAGATATCCTTGGGTAGGTATTTATCCAAGTTCCGGCTAGTATCAATCTTTGATCTTATACCGTTAGTCCATTGCTCGTACTTCATGTGCTCGAAGACTGTATCATCCAGAACCATGGCGCAGTTGATAAGACCGCGGATTGGTGGCATTGAACTGGAGCACTCCTTAAGAAGCGCAACGAGACTGCTTTCACTCGTGAGATCGCAATCGCGAATGTGAATCTTGCAGCCATATTCAGCACCCTGTGCGTGGAGTTTGGCAGCATTTTCGTGCTTAGTCGCTTTTCGCGAGACGAGAAGCAAATGGTTAGCACCTTTGCTCATGAGGAACTCTGCGACGGCGTAACCAATTCCGGTAAGTCCACCAACAATAAGGTAAGTAGCGTTGGGATCGCTCAGAGATACTGGTCGTACACGCGAGATAACCTGAGATTTGGTCAGCACCTTGCCAAAGCGAGATTAAAAGAGACCATAAAAACGGGAACTCACTTTGACTTTATCTTCCTGGCTTGGAACGAAAAGAAGTTTGCCGGTATGTTTTCCTGATTGCATCAAACGCATTGCCTTTTCCATGTCTGACATCGAGTATTGCGTGATTGGGAGAATAGGTGCCTTGCCTCTATGACGGGTGTTAATGAGTGAACTAGGGCCGAAATCTGAGGAGGGAAATAGAATTCGAAAACACGTACCTCTCGTAGCTGATTCTGACACCTTCGACCAAAGCCTCGTGAGTCTTGGGACGATTATACTCACGCAATTGCATGAGATCAACACTCGCAAAAGTGGTGCAACGGCGGAAGGGGCTCATGTCGAGACGTCGAGCTGCCTCAAGATCTACCTTACCAACCTCAATGAATCTGCCAAATCGAGCAACACAATCCCAGGTCTCCTTCAGCATAGCACCCGACAACGAGTTCAGCACAATATCAACACCTTGTCCATTGGTCATGGCCATGATTGCAGGCGCAAAACTGGGCTCTCGGCTTGACAAGATATGGTCTAATGGGACGTTGTACTGTTGGTGGATAATATCGCGTTTGTATTCTGAGCTACACGTAGCGAACACCTCGGCGCCGGCGTACTGTGCTAGCACCACCTGTAATCAAAATGTGTCAGTCTTGAGGCAACGTATACGGCCGCTAGAATTCTCAGGTGAAAGGATAACTTACAGCTGCCTGACCAAAACCACCAGCGGCTGCGTGGATCAGTACCGTCTCGCCTTTCTGAATTCTGGCAACGTGGAATAATGCGTGGTAAGCAGTTCCGTAGGTAACAGGGACTGCTGCTGCATGTTCTATTTGAGACACAGGAATTAGCAAGAGCTTTCAAAAGTGGAGAGAAAAAAAGACTGAAAAGACATACCAAAAGACATGTCATCTGGAATCTTGACAACTGCCGTCCAGTGAGCTAAGGCTCTCGTTGCAAATCGACCAACTGGACAGGCTGAGACTCTGTCTCCCACACGGAGTCCGCTATGCTCGGTATCTGGACCAACTCGGGTAATGATACCACCAGACTCGTGCCCAATCAGTTCCTCGTCGAGTTGTCCCAACGCGACTAGAACATCTCGGAAATTGAGACCCATTGCTTTGGATTCGACCTCAATAAAACCACTGGGAACATCGCCGACGAGATCAAGTTTGTCTACAAAGTGAAGATCACTCAGCATTCCTGAGCCGGAAGTCTCCCAAACAAGTGGGCGGTCTGTTTGATAGTATGGTTGTAGTTCGGCCTCTGGGTCAATATCCCGTGTGCTGGCAATTTGATTTCTCTTCTTGTCCGGAATGAGTCGGCTGACGTGGAGCATTGAATCTTTAACGGAGTATTCAGTTTCCATTCTGGCTTTGTCGAGACTGAAGTTGAAATCTTGCTGCAGGACGTGAACAATGTGGCCAAATTTGTCTTTCGACCACGCCTCGTTAGCATCCGATGCGGTCTCGAAATCCAACTGAACATATCGCTTGCTACTATCTTCCAGTCTCAGAGTTCGCAAAAGACCTTGGGTGGCAGCAAATGATGGCACCGCAGAGTCAACCAGACCACCTGAGCTCAACCATAGAACACCTTTGCTGTTGACAAGAAGACCTCGGAGACTTTCAAATGAAGGTCCATCGATGCCGTCTAAGAATGGCTGTTGTAGTTCAGCTGTGACAATGCATATCTTGTCCTCAACCTCAACGACGTCCAAGCACTCGACAACAGGAGAGACTCCCGTCTCAGCCTCAATAGTCGCGCACAGGTGTTTGAACCATGGGTGGGAAGGATCTTGTGAAGCGTCGTGCACGATTGAAATTGGTCCTTGTAGCCCTTCGATCGGCATGGCAGTAGCCAAAATAGTGCTCGTAGATTGAAACTCGGGCTCCTCATAGTCGAAGATGTCAAAATCGACACCACCAAAACCAGTTTCTCGTAGAACCTCATCCCATTTCTCAACGGATGCGTTAGGGCTCATCTTACGATCTGCTTCTTCCGCGAGCCACCACCCAGGTAGGGGACCAAAGATGAGTTGCGTATCGAGACGATCTTTGGTAGACTCGAGCAGAATCAATTTTCCGCCCGGTTTCAACAGCTTTCGGACGTGTGTCAGAGTTCTATGAAGATTCTTTGTCGCGTGAAGCACCATTCCGGCAATGATCATGTCATACTGGCCTTCCTCGAAACCTTGGGTGGTTGGGTCCTCGTCAATGTCCAGTTGCTTAAAATCCATCATGCCTTCCCACGCACTGAATCTCTCGCGTGCTGCTGCAAAGAAACCCTGAGAAATATCGGTAAAGGTATAGTGACCAACCAAAGAACCCTCAAAGCCTTCTTGCCTGGCTCTTGCATCAAAGGCTTCAAGAACAACTTTAGCTCCTCCACCAGTGCCTCCTCCAATTTCCAAGATCTTAGCGCCTGGATCCTTCATGGCATGAATCTCCAAAAGAGTACGAGCATGGCCCAAGACACGCAGAGCAGAGGCGCTCTGATCACCATAGTGCTCATTCAAAAGGTTGCCCTCCATCATCAATTCCAGAGTGGTAATCTCGCCACGCAAAATTGCAGGAAGATTCTGGCCGATTCGGACAAGCATTTGATCAGTCGGACTTGACCCCTCAAGCTCATCATAGAGATATTGTCTCATACCCTGGGTCGTTTGAGTCCAGTTTTTGGAACCCTCGCGTAGCTCTCCTCGATCGGCGCTTGCAACGGTAGCCTTCATCCAGTCGTAAAAGAGCTTGTGGTGCCAGACCCAGTTGTCTATGTCCTCACTGCTCTCCTCCTCGAGCTCCTTAACAGCATCATGAATAAGATAAACTGCGGCTCTTATTCGTTTTTTCTCTTCATCGATCTCAACATCGTTTATCGAAGATTTCAGAGATTTCTCAATAGCTTCTGGAATAGCGTGAAGGATGTCAGGCACCCAGCAGTTCTTGGCGCACAAGCTGATTTCTTCTGCCATATCTTCGTCTGTATCTCGAGGAACTGCTTGGCAGAAGAAATCTTGCATTTGAAAGAAGGTCTGCTTGGGCTCGTGCACATCGGTGCTTATGACAGAAATGTTTGATGTCATACCCTGCCGATTGAGGCGGGCGAGCTCCGTGAAAGCTTGAAGCTTGTCACCACCTTGTCTCTTGAACTTTTGAGGTATGTACATAGCCCTGATTGAGCGAGGAAGAACCAAGTCGGAACGTGCTCTTTCTTCCGGTAAGCAGCAGAATGAAGCTTGGAATATACTAGGAGAATTTGGAATTAGCGACATAATTTTAAGGGAGGAAGAAACATGAGAATGAAAAGTGGCAAAAGAGCTTACGAATCTAATGTTGTTGGATGTAAAACATAATCGTGTGTGGTTGAGGCGACATCGGCAATGACAAAGTTCGTGAGACCTTTGCCCTCGGTTGCCTTGCTATCAGTCAAGTTCTGGAACACAGGACCATGCTGGATACCCATTTCTTGCAACCTAGAGAATAACGACTCGTTGGTAATTTCTCTCACTTTGCTAGCACTCTTTGTGGCAAAATAAGTATCTTCTGTGGGCGGCGCTTGCCATTGTGTGGTAGCTGCTTCGACAACGTTGCCAATATCTGCAGTGACAAAGCCTTTGCAGTTCTCAACCCAGAGGTCGCCAGGACCAAGTGAAGTGAGCTCGAACTGATACCAACCGACGTGGTCTAGCTCCTTGTCAGTGCATTGACGTAATGTGATTTGGGTTTCGACAGCTGCGGACTCAGGAATCACTAAGGCATTCATGATTTGAATGTCTCTAAGACGGTACCCACGGATCGTCTCTTCGGAAGGATCGGTGAGAAGACGAGTCGCTTCAATTGCCATGGCAATATAAGTGGCTCCAGGAGCAATCACTTTAGACTCGACTTGATGGTCTCTAAGCCATTCTACCTCGTTCAACCGAAGAAAATTTCGCCATGTTGGAGTTTTGGTGGTGCCGCCAACTGTCATTGTCCCAAGTAGCTCGTGGGGTGGGAATCTTTTGCCTCTCATCTCTTTGCTTATTCTTGGCTCAAACCAGTGGCTTGTGCTATGGTTCCAGGGGCTACAAAGGTTGAATTAGAATTTGACCAAGTAAGCGAAACAAATTCTAGAAACTTACTATGTGGGAAGGTCTGTGAGGAAAGTCTTTGCATCCGCATCCAAGCCCGAGGGAAAGTTGATCGAAGTCAAATCAATAGGATAGTCTCGACACAGAAGGTCGCAAGCAAGCTCCTGCATAGTTTCAACGGCATCAACCGATCGTTTGAGACACGAGACGTACGGTAACTCGGCGCCTCTGGCTTTTAGAAGTTGCCTGATCGGACCCGCGAGGGTGCTATGGGCTCCAATCTCAAGGATCATATCCACGTTGCTCGAGTCGTCTGAATTGAAGCACATACTCTCGAAGGCTTCGCTAAAGAGAACTGGACTTGTGAGGTTTCGAGCCCAGTGTGAAGGCGATAGAACATCTGCTGAGGTGACTATTTCACCAGTGACTGGCGAAGAAAACAGAATGCCGTCCCAACTCTTTGCCTTTTCTGGAAGAATGGCTGTGAGACATTTGGTATACTCGCCAGATATAAGAGCCATGTGGTGGGAATGATATGCCAATGGCACCTTGAGCTTTCGGACAAAGATCCCTTCTGCGTCAATTCGAGCTACCACCTCATCGAGGGCTTCTAGGTCTCCAGAGAGTGTTACGCTACTAGAACTGTTAATGCAAGCAACTGTGACCTGTCCATCAGATTTGAGACCAGTGGTATATTTTTCAACACCATCGGCACCCAATCCAACAGCAGCCATACCACCTTCTACAGAACTGTTCTTCTGGAGCTTCACAGCAAGCTGGCCTCGATAAAAGATAACGCCGAGCGCTTCCTTGAAAGTCAAGGCACCAACAGTGTATGCTGCTGCAATTTCACCACTATTCTCTTGTCAGTGCGAATTTCGATGGGGAGATAGTGGTAGGCAGAACATGGGAATGTGGTTCACGATCTGAGAATATTTACGAACCTCGAGTGACTGGTCACAGCCGCAGGAGTAATACCCCATGACTTGAGAAGGTCCACAAGACATAACTGGATGGCAACAGTTGATGGTTGACTGATATCGACTTCGTTGATGCGTGTAGATTTCTCGTCACGCATAAGCTCGTCTGGGAAATAAATAAGTAATTGCCAACGTGAGCGGAGTTAGTAAGAGACGCATACCAATGAGGGACCATTTTGCACCATATTCGCTCAAGATTTCGCTTGCTTCGCGTATCTGTGCGCCAAATGTTGGATAGGCTAGAATTAATTCTCTTCCCATGGCATACCTAGGTCGTATTAGTATCATCATTCGTTGTTATCGAGCTTTCTAACGCGAACATGATGAAGAAATCATGAGCGTTAGATTTGGCCACACTTTGAGAGGCGAATTATGAAAAGGTAATGCGTACCATTGAGCTCCCTGACCGTTGAAAACAAACCCAAGACGCTGCACAGGCTTTAAGGTTGTGTTGACAGCCTTAGTTGCTGGTGATTCCCATCGATCACACAGCTCTTCTAGATTTTTTGCTGAAACCGCCATCATCCATGGGAACAAAGACCTCCGCTCTGCCAAGGTATAGGCCAGACTTCCTGTGGATATTTCTTCCTCTTCTGAAATCAACCCACGGAAATGAGTCGCGAAGTCGTTTGCCATTGCTTTGGCTACTGTTGCATCTCTGGCGCTTAGCAGGTACACACGGCTTTCGTCGGTAGCGTGTCTGTTTGTTGTTCCGTTGGGGATTCCATTGGTGGTTCCATTGGTAGGTTTGGGTGCGGCTGGTGCACCTTCCAAAATGACACTATCTGAATTAGTAGAGTGCCCTCGTTCCTTTTCGAGGCGACCAAACAAAACAAAACAATACATAGGTCAAATCTACATTGTAGCAATATTACAGGAGCGGAGACATGGGGTTATAGCACTTACTGCGCATTTGTCCCACCATATCCAAAATTGTTGATGGATGCACGAAGCGACTTGTTGACGGGCCATTTCATCAACTCTGTTGGGACTTGCAGATGCCAATCTTTCTGTAAGAAGCGTTAGCAAGGCGGAGCTGAGTAGGTATAGTTTATGTGCAATAAGATCTGCTGTACGCGTTGATCTTGTTTACATACCAAGGGGATGTTTTTGTGGGGAACCTCGTAGTTCAAGTTGCGTGGAATCAGACCTTCCCGTAGTGCGAAACAGGTCTTGATTATTGCAGCAAGACCACTGACAGGCTCTGCATGGCCCACGTTGGTTTTGACTGAACCGACGTAAATTGGATCATCTGCAGCACGACTTTTTCCAAAAGTTTGAGCTAGAGCTTCCGCTTCAATTGGGTCTCCAGCAGCTGTACCTGTCATCTAAAGGGAAAGAAACCGTTAGCAAATTTTTTTTGACTTATCCCAAGGTGAAGACCTCAAGATCTCTTCTCCAGAAGTTAAGACATGACTTACATGCGCTTCAACGTAACCCGTATCCGCAATATCGAGACCAGCTCGCTTATATGTTTCATGGATCAGCTTGACCTGCGCTTCCATTGATGGGGAGGAAATAGTAGGCGTCTTTCCATCTTGGTTAAGTCCAATTCCTCGAATGACGCCGTGGACGCGATCACCGTCCCGCAATGCAGTTTCTAGAGGTTTGATGATCATTACTGCAACACCTTCACCACGACCAAAGCCGTTAGCTCGGGAATCCCAAGCGAAGCATCTCCCATCTTTACTGAGTGCACTATAAGAGATTTAGTCAAGAACTCAAGAGGAAGATATGCAGAGTTTACCCCAAGGTTGACATGGAAATGAATGAATCAGGATTGAGAAGTATATCAGCACCAGTGACGACCGAAGCATCTGAATGGCCTGACCATATACTCCAACAAGCCTGGTTTAAAGCAACCAAACTAGCAGAACAACCAGTATCAATCGTCATGCTAGCACCCTGCAAATCATAGAAATGAGATATCCGGTTACTCAACATGGCGGTTCCATTACCGGCGGTCGAGTTCGTGACCTGTTCAGGATCACGAGCTTGAGCCTCAAAGTAATCTTTGCTGAAGCATCCTGAGAATACTGATGTGTTTGAACCCGCTATCTTTTCCATAGGGATTCCGGCTGTCATTTACGATTAGAAAAATCAGCCTTTGTAATTGTGAGGAATGAAAGTTACCATCTTCGGTTGCTTCGTAGACGCCCTCTAGTAATAATCTAATTTGTGGATCTGTTTGAGTTTAGTAAACCGCATGTTCAAGCTGAGAGACCAGAATGGGGAGTCCGACCTATTGCCGCAGCATTGTCGCTGGAATACTTGAAAAACGCCGCATCAAACAAGGAAATATCTTCATCGAGAAAGTAGCCTCCCTTAACATTCGTCTGGAACACAAGGTGTTAGTAGAAGTCACCGGTTCCAGTGGCGTCAAGAGTACTTACTTTGCCTCTTTTCTGGGGATCTTCATGATGCCATGCGTTGATATCGAAGCGGCTTTCGGGTATGGGTGACCAGCCATCTTGACCTGCAACGCAGAGGTCCCATAGCTTGGAAGGACTCGTGACATTTCCAGCAAAACGACAGCTCATACCCACAATAGCGATGGGAAATTCTGCCGTTGCTGTGGATGGAACGCCATTGGAGACGCCATCTCCGTTCGTTGAGTCGTGTGGATAGCCGTTTTGTTTCGACTTCGCGTCGGAATTAATTACCATCTCGGCTATGTCACGAGATCACGTGATTTTACGGCTCTTGCTTCTGTGGTTACTAATACAGGGAGAAAGTTGATTTCAATGCAAGAGATACAGTAACAGAGTTGGTGTAGGTCAAAATTAGAGTTACTAAAGGTATGTATACCAATCCGAGTCCCTTTCTTAGACTTACCTGCTTCCAATTAGACGAAAAAGGCAATCTTCCGTCGCTGAAGCCAAAATTCAGGACCTATCCTGAAAAGCCTATAGCGACTACATCGTATACAATTTTCCGTAAGGCGTATTGAGGTTTCGGAGGTTCCCTCATTTGCGTTTGCTACCTGAACTACGAGAGTCTGATGGCGGCGCAAAAGCTCGGCGCTTTCCTAAACAGCTCAGATCTTTGGGCCCCTCTATTGTACTACGCCCCTCATGCGGGTTTTTCTGGTGTGCAGCGTAGCCACAACCGTATATGTCATATTTTGACCAAATCAGGTACTGTTTTATCATAATCATCCTCCAAATTTGCCGAATCACATCCTCTTCAGGAGAAGACCTAGTTCAACCGCCTCTGCACACAGAAGTGCACGTTCCTTGGGCCTTTTAGTACGTAGAACTACTGCAGAGGAGCGAGAAGCGAGCGAGCGAGCAAGCCCAAAATGCACCACTTTACCTCAGGCACCAGATGCAAATGTATCAAAGTACCTTTGGTTTCAGTTCATAGGCAACTAGGTACTGAACGATTCGTCACGCACATAATTGAGCCGCTCAAATTGAGACTCATCTCGAAAAAGACCCTTCTTTCCCTTCAACGACGTAACACAAAGGACTTCTGCGCCAAACTCAAACCAAAATCCTCAGCACTCTCGTTTGTCAAACACTAAAATTTCGTTTTCCAAGATGGATTATCAACGCTTTATTTGGCAGGAAACTGCTCCAGGAAAATATGAGCGAGAAGTCGACGAAGCGGAGCAATTCTACACGTCTGTAGCGAAGACATATGCGGAAATTGGACATACTGTATTCGCCATCACTGCTTGCATCAGTCTGAAAGTTGCGTTACCGGTGAACATGGCAATCGGTGGCCTAGATGAGAAGATTGATGATTCCTTTCGCAGGGCATGGAAGGAGATGTTGTTTGATCACCCCACTTTGGCCGCGCCTGTGGTCTACGACACCGAGACGAAGAAATGCAAGAAAGTGTATCAATCACCTGCCACTGAGTTGGATTTGGACAACTGGCTACGAGATACCTTTACCATTATCGACGACGGTCAGACTGGGGAGGAATTTGCCAATACCGATCCCCCTGTTGGGCCATTGGCAAAGCTCTACATCGTCAAACCTGCACAGAATAATCCTGACGGACTGAGTCGCGACATTGTTTTCCGCAGCTCACACGACATGATCGACGGCCTAGGCTCCTTTTACCTTCTGAACAACTTTCTCCTCTACGCCTCGTCAGCATTCTCATCATCGAACTCATTCAAAACACCCACCATAGGGGATAGAAATGAAGTAAAGAACCTCTCACCTCCTTTCCGCGTCGCAGCAAACGTACCCCCCACACCAAACGCCTCTCAAAGTTCAAAGCTCGCGGAAACACGCGCCCTAAACAATATCCTGGCTTCCACGCCCGACATCACAGTACTGTCTCTCCCATATTCTACCCACTCTCCAACTCCTGGAAATTCACAACGGACAGCAATTCTCCTCACAGAACCACAAACGAAAGCGATCGTTTCAGCATGCAAAGAAAGAGGAATAACACCCACACAAGCAGTTCACTCCAGCATCGCGCTCGCGCTCGCAGAACTACAGCCAGCCACCGAAGCCCCTCGATCGGGACGATATATATCATACTCTCTCATCAACTTGAGGAAACATTGTGTAGCGCCTTATGATACTGCAAAGCATGCTGCATCGGCATATCATTGTGCATCTGGACTGCGCCTGGGTATTGATGTTGCCATCTCAGCGAGCCCTCCCGGTGCGGGCACGACAGAGGCCGTTGAACGGAAAGAAGAACAGACAGAGAAAAATGAGGCATTTGAATCTGCATTGGAGCAGATGAAAAAATTCTCCCAAGACACACGTGTGGATGAAGATTTCATCTCGACCGTGCCTTCACTTTTTGCCTCCGTCACTCCTCCTTACCCTTCTTCCCCGATACCACTAGCATATCTCCCACTGAATAAAAGCCCCTCAATCTCGCTCTCAAGTCTTGGTATAATCAATCAGATTATACAGTCCCGCTACGACGCGTTTGAAGTTGTTTCTCCACCCTGGGTCGTCGGTGGAGAGTATAATACTGGCTACGGACTCTTTCTTGGGACGTGGAGTGGGAGATTGGTGTTGAATGCGGCCTACAACGAGAGTTTCCATGGGCGGGCGGAGGTACAGGCTTTTCTGAGACGGGTGACGGGAATCGTGTCGCGAGGTTTGGGTGTTAAGGAAGAATGATGAATGTGTTCTCTTCTTCTGTTCTAGCCTCGTCAGGTGACTTAACACATGATAGGAGTCTTGGCATTATTCTCTTATGTGAATGTAGATCTTCGTCCACTCGAATCGTGGATTAGTCGTTTCAAAAACAACATTTTCATCACCAGTTCATTCACCATCTATACATGTAACCGGCAACTGTCTTTACATCTTTGCATGTATGCACCTCTGCTCGGCGTTTATGGAATTTCAATTCTGCCCCATGTTCAATCTGGACAAAACAACCGTCGCCATCGTTGGGAAACGAAGCACCTCGAGGTTGCAACCATCTTCAACATAGCCGTCAATCAACATATTGGAATCATCTACATCATACTGGCAACACTTCTCGAACTACACAAGGGGCCAGACCTGCAGCCAACATCGATTTCAACATGTCCATTGGTCGATAATCGTTGTACTCGTTATCTTCGACGTTCGCGACCTTCGTTGGGACCTTCCTCATCGAACTCAACAGTCCAACAGCTTTGTCATAGTTGATTCTATGCTGTCAGCAACAACTGAAATCATGTCAAAGATGTCGTATTTGTATCTTTGGTGTGAATCGTGACTCGGTTTCTGGCATTGATTCGTCCATATCGCGAGATGCAGTGTTGCTGCAAGCTCACGTGATGGCTCTCATGATACTACCTGGGCAGTGCTTCATCGCATAAATCAAGCTACATAACGGCCCGTTTGATTGTAGATCCTCCATCTTCTCCTTCCATGGGATGTGGCACAGCGTGGATTTTCGCGACCGCGGCCAATCACCCGTAAATGACTTGAAATGGATAGACGAGGGGACAGCAAAACCGAAAGACGCATCTCGTTCAGACTTGAGAAGTCGGTCTCCTCAAAGGCATTATTGCGTGCGGTATATCAATCTAGTGTATCAGCCGATAGTAGTTTTTCCGATTTGAGGAGATGAGTGCCAGATTCAAGTCACGACTTGAGGTGCAGTTTGTGAAAATTCGATTTGAGGGGATAGTGGGCAGGGATTCGAGATTAACCATGCGAGACGAACTGCAAATGATCGTTTTCGGCCACGGTGCACTACCTTCCGTTGTCAAGTGGTGCAACAACTCGTGAAATATCCATCCATACTGCAGTTGGTATACGGGCTGGCATGAAACAAACTCCGGTCTACTCACTCACTTGGGCCGCCGCAACATGCTTTGAAGCCCAGATGAGCTAGACAAGTTGTGTTTTGCGCCTTATTCGTGGATCGTAAACAGGTGCCAAGAATCCTTGTCTAAGAATGCTCAAAGTATGGTTGGCACTGGGGAAACTACCCGAAAATCCGGGGATATGGAGGACAATTGTTCAGGTCGAAGCTTTATTGGCCATTTCGCCTTCGCTTGCTTCGCTTCATTTACATTGTTGTATTGCTGCAAGCAATAGCGAGATGCGCAGGGTCAAGGTATTATATACATAAGATAGCCGCCTGTCACTGTCTGTTCGCAGATCTTGGACCACCATCGTTGGTTTTTCGAGCATCGACCTCTTGCTTTGGTTGATTTGCTTGTCGAAATCTACGGTCATGGCTAGTAAAACATCCGCCGAAGGGCATGTTGAGCACAACATCTCTCCCCACAGGAGTCATGAGGAAGAAGTAAGCTATTCAAGAAAAAGTGCTTCTGTTATTGTTCTGACTCTTCGTGTTTCCAGAAACATGCCGAAGTCGAAATCAAGGTCATAAAGGGAAATGAAGCCTTCAATGAGGCCATGCTGAAGGACCCCCCTAGACCATTTACATGGGCAACTTCTCAACTTTACCTCGCATGCTTCGTAGGTTTCTTTTGCGCAACGATGAACGGCTATGATGGATCCTTGATCAACAACCTGCTCCAAAACCCTTGGTTTCTGGAATACTACCATGGGAAGAATGCCGGAATTTGGGCGGGCATCGTCACATCTATGTACCAAATTGGTGGTGTTGCTTCGTTGCCTTTTATAGGACCAGCTTGCGATACTTTCGGACGTAGGTTTGGAATGTGGCTCGGATGCCTTCTTATCATTATAGGCACCATCATACAAGGAGTAGCGACGCGTGCTGAGGGCACCAAACAATTTATGGGTGGTCGATTTCTACTGGGCTTCGGCGTCAATATTGCATCTGCAGCAGGACCAATGTACGTGGTCGAGGTCTCACATCCTGCCTACCGTGGCGTGGTAACGGCGGTTTTCAATTGCTTCTGGTTCACCGGATCCATTATTGCTAGTGGTGTGGCTCGTGGTGGTCTTAATATTGGCGGCAATACTTCTTGGAGATTGATCATATGGATTCAGCTGATGTTCTCTTCGATCATATTTCTCGCCGCCTACTTTCTTCCAGAGTCGCCAAGATGGCTGCATGTCAATGGAAAACAAGAAGCTGCCAAGAAGATGTTGACCAAGTACCATGGAAACGGAAATTCAGAAAGCGAGTGGGTCAAACTTCAGGTTACTGAGTATGAGGAATTACTGGAGATGGATGGAGCCGACAAGAGATGGTGGGATTATAGCGCCCTGTTCAAGACCAAGTCCAGATGTTATCGACTTTTCTGCAACATTTGCATTTCAATCTTCGGACAGTGGGCCGGTAATGCGGTTCTTTCGTACTTCCTCGGCAAAGTTCTGGATACTGTTGGCATACACAGCGCGTTCGCGCAGGCAAATGTTACGTTGATCAACAACTGCCAGCAGTTCTGTTTTGCCTTGCTGGGTGCCGCTCTTGTTGACCGTGTAGGTCGCCGACCACTCCTGCTGTTTTCTAACATTGGTTGTTGTGTGGTTTGGCTCGCAGTCACGGTCTCAACCTCTATCTATACGGCTTCTATACCTAGTCTGCCGCCTGGGGCTGACCCCGAAACAAAGCTTTACGGTACCAACAAAGCAGCCGGAACTGCTTCTTTGGCTTTCATTTTCATTTTTGGTGCTGTCTTCTCGGTCGGTTTCACCCCACTACAAGCTCTTTACCCAGTCGAAGTATTATCGTTTGAAATGCGAGCAAAGGGAATGGGGTTCTCCGGTTTCGCTGTTGCCGCATGTAAGTTGAACTGATGCCGTGTTCGGATGTGTTCCCACTAACTTATTGATTCAGCCGGCATGCTCAACCAATTTGCTTGGCCAGTATCGCTACAAAAAATTGGATGGCATACATACATTATCTTTACGATATGGTGTGGAATTCAAGCTGTCGTTGTTTTCTTCTTCATTCCTGAGACCAAGAACCGAACAGTAAGACACACTTCTCAAAGCTCACAGGAAAATGATGCTAACAACTTATCTAGCTCGAGGAACTAGATGAGATCTTCGAAGCTAAAAATCCAGTCAAAGCATCAATAGCGAAGAAGCGCTTAGGTTTTGACGCCTATGGAGAAGTGGTCAACATTCGACCGATCGAGTGAGTTTAATGAGACTCCGACGACGAGAGCCGGTTTCTGCGTCGGAATTTCCCTTTCAGGATCTAGTAGCTGGCATTGAAGTCGCGAAAACACCGACACTGCATCAACATTTGTTACCAACATACGGCTACATTACCGCAATCAGACAGGTTCTTATAATCTGGAGATGATATTTAGACCATCATCTCTGAATGCTCGCTTCGATGAGTGCCGAGGCATAATAAGTCGCATCTGCTATATATTACAATATAACGCTGAATTAACCTTTCTATGCATTCATATCTTTTATCTCATTATCTCGCAGCTCAGGTCTCCCACGTTGTGACTTATAGCCAATGCCTCTTTCTTCGTGGGTCACTTGTCATATGCGAACGGAGCACATGGTATTTGTTGACAGAACTCTCCTCTGCAACTTAGCAATTGCAGACTGCAGCCGTAGCCAATCACCAGGTTCCTGATGTCGGGGGGATGCCGCAGCCAATCTTATTCCGCGACCGCTCAGCCTCATTACCATCCAAGAACGTAAATATTAGGCGCTCTTTCATATCTACACTCCATTCTACGACCTCTAATGATTATCGATCGATATGGCGCCGCCCGAACATGCACTCTTTGAATATCCAAAGCTTGCGCCTGGCGAGGACTGCCTTCGACTTTTGAAAATAACCATCAAAGATAAAGACGACCCGACAGACGCTGTCGCATGTGAACTTCAGAGCTTCTTTTTGAGGGACGTCCCATCCTACAAAGCTCTGTCATACACCTGGCGGAATCCTTTCCGGGACAATTATGATTTCGAATCTTCGGCTATTCCGAGTAATCACGGTTATGAAGATCCAATGAAGGAAGATTGGGTGACAGAGTGCCACAAGATACTCTGTAACGGTATGGCGGTCTTCATCTCGCTCAATCTCTTCGAATTATTACGACAAATAGCCCGCAATGAAGAATCAGGGTTTCTGTGGATTGATCGGCTATGCATAAACCAACAAGATATCACGGAGAAATCTAGTCAAGTCGCCCTTATGTCGACTACTTACAGCTCAACGGAATCAGTCATTGTGTGGCTTGAAAGACACGACGTCCACGCTTCTGCAGCCCTACAAATACAAAATGACTTTAAATTTGCACTCGATCTTGACTATCAAACACGGTGCCGACATAATCCGAACGAAGCCATTTTCTGGCAAACTATTGCAATACAAGAACCTCACGATTTTATGTGGAATAGCTGGCTGAAGTTCTTTTCTAGATCATGGCACTCTCGCTTATGGACTCTGCAAGAAACTTCTCTCGCTGGTAGCGTTGAGCAAGTTCTTTGTGGCGAACTGCGCTTTGAATGGCGTTGTCTTAGAGACCTTTCTCTGTATTACTTCGCACTTCCAGAATGGATGCGGTATTTCCGAACTCGATCCCAGTACTTCCAAGGCCCTGTGATAGCTATGAAACCACGCGCTATCTACGAATATCGAGTTTCATTTTCTTCTGAATGGGAAGCGAAACTAGGGCTAAGATACGGAAGTTCTGACTTCGGCTCAATTATGATGGAAGAACTTCTGCACTCTCTCCCACTTCAATGTTCCAATCCACGAGACAGGATATTTGCCATATTTGGAATGCGTCAAGCTGGACGACGACCGGAAGAACTTTCTAAAATTGTCATAGACAACGGGGATGAGCCTTTGGAACTTTTCAGAAATGTTACTGAGATTTGTTTAATATTATCTCCCTCTCTTGCTATTTTATCACTCGTTGGACACGACACATGCCACTTGTCTTCCGGTATCCCGTCTTGGGTGCCTGACTTCGCAGATCGCCTGTCTTTCTCTGGGTTAGGTCACTGGCGCACCGCGGAGGGAGAGTCATTTTTCAACGCTACACAAGAAACGGTTGTTCCATGTCCCTACCGTCGCGTGAATCCTAGGGGGTTAAGTTTGAACGGCGCTCGAGTGGGAACTGTAGCTGAGGTAACTGCTACTTGTCAGCTTCAATTCTTTGAGCAGTTTGGAAATCTCGAGTTCCTGCAAGACATGCTCAAGTTACATTCGAATCTGCCCAAGACATTGAGGGCTGGTATGTCGCGAACTGAAGCGCTGTGGAGGACCACGTTTGCTGACTGTACGGACTTGCACCGAGCGCCGGCTCCATCCGAATTAGAGGTCTGTTTCCATAGTGTGATTCTGCATAGTATCTGGGTAGCTCGGCAATTGACTGAAAGCCTATCGGACGAACTATTAAGCCTGTGTCAAAGCCTTGAGTTGATGTTCAACGAGGGGCAGGAAACGCATTCTTTTCCGTCATTCGCCAAGGGATCTTTCTGGCATACTCAATTGGAAACAGGTAACTCGCCAACTGAAGGGGGTGATTAGGGCGGGTGGGAGGCTTTGGTTGATTCCCGTAACCTGGGTCGATTTCAATATGAAGTCAGCATTTACAGAAGAGTACTCTTTCGAACCTTGGAGGGTGATATTGGATTTGGCCCGTCAGTTTGCTTACCTGGCGACGAAGTATGGGTACTGCAGAATGCGAGAGTTCCTTTCATTCTGAGCCCACAGAAGATGAATCGGAGTTTCGTTTTGTTGAAGAATGTTATGTTCAGGGTATTATGTATGGAGAGTTATTTGAAGAAGGACCTGTTGAGTATCAGCATGTTACTTTGATCTGATCTCAGGACATACGAAGTTCGTCGAAACGCATCACCGAGCGCAACACCACGTGTGTGTGGCCCAATGGGTTTAATGCCACAACCAAAAGAACGAAAAAGAACGAAAAAGAAAAGACAAAATCTCCTTGGGAATCTTCGATAGACCGATTGATCCTTGTTCGAATTGCTGGATTAACCGGCTGGAAAATTCGACTACTTGACAGCCAACCACTTCTAGTACGCAGTGGTTTAGCAGTTCTGGAAACAGGCCTGGACCTGGCGGCCAAGCCTACAACTTACTTTGGCATTGTCATGATCAAGATACCAGGATTTTGGGTGAGAATCAAGACATTCTTGATGTCTCACCTTCGACGAAGTAGTCAAGACACACAGTTCTCTCATTTCATGACATTTACTATATAGCTCTGGTGATAATTCAACTATCTGACAACTTCGACGTCCACATCGCTACTTTCTCACAATGGTCTCGTTACTCCGTAATCTTTCTCAGCTGTACGATTATATAACACTTCTCTCAAGATTCCCAGTGAGCGCGCACACTTAGGTTCACACGTTATCGAACGCTACTTTGCAACTCCCAACATCCTATCAATACCTTACGATTAAGCAATCTACCTGGAACGTAGAGCTTTCATGTATATCAACCAGCCTCTAAACATAAACAACCGTAGTCGTGTAAATGACACTAACTGCAGGGTTGGTGCACGAGATGGTGGTGGTAGTAGGAGCGTAGCTGATGGTAGTTGGGATTAAAGAAGTGGATGTTGTGGTTGAGGTGGAGGATCCCTGTGATTGTTTAGCTTAACTCTTTCCTTCGTGTAGGATTGACTGAGGTAAGTAAATTACGTACTATGGCAGAGTATTCGCTTGTGGTGCTCGTGAGATAGGTAACCTGCGGGATTGTGTTAGCTGAAGTTATGTGTTTTGGGGAGGTGCGTGGAAGATGGCGCTGTGACGTACGGTGGTAGAGGTTGTGTATGTACTGGTGGAACTGGTTTCGTATGTTACCTTGGAAATTTGTTAGCCGAGCTGGTATGAAATAGGAGTAGACACTCCACATACCGTCGTCGACGTCAGATACGTGCTAGTAGATGAAGTCGTGATCGTAGTGACCGATGTAGACTGTAGACATCATCGGTAAGATTGTTTCAGAGGATAACTTGCCATTGCGTTCTCCACGTACAGTACTCGTGACAGGGAAATAATCAATCTCCAACTTGCAAACGCACTGCTCCGTAAAAGTCCAATACTTCGCACAATTTCCCTTGGTATCATAGCACGGCCCTTTTCCCTATGCAGTCTGCTGAACAGAACCCGGACCAGTAACGCTAGTATGGGTCACGATATAGAGCGTCTTACCACACACTCGCCATGCACTTTGCACCGGTATAGTACAAGTACTTGTCGTTTTGTCTGCAGAAATAACGCAAACTGGCGGAGAGCCTTTATCACTTGAGTATGGAAACTGGCCAGGGATATCTTGTGCTGCAGTTGGTATGGATGTGGTGATCAAAGCATGAACGACATCGATAGTCCAGCCTGGGTTTACGGTGTAGATGATTGTTAGGCTGTCACCGGAGACGCCGACGCAGACATTGCCCATTACTACGGCTGTTGCTCCGTAGACGAGGGGAGAGCAGGTTGTTGATGGGACATATAGGTCTCGAGCATCGAGACTGAATGAGCCGCGAGTGTCGAGACTGTGGAAGGGGGAGGCACGAACGGAGGTGGTGAGGATGGCGGCTGTAGCGAGCACGCGGGGGAGAAGCTGGAGAAGCATTTTCAACCTGAGTACTTTTGGTATTGAAGTTTCAGTATAGGAGGTATTTCCGGTAATGGAAGTAAAAGGAGATTAGACGATCTCGCTTCTTATACACTCAGAGGCTCAATAGGACCTTAGGACCGCACCACCACAACCCCTCTCTTCGTTTTCTGAAAGCCAGTACATTTCCTGATTTCAAACTCAATAATAGACTGATGTTTGAGAAAGCCAATCAAGTAAGATGAATGACAGTTTGAGGGTGGCATTTGAAAAAGCCAACCAACTAGGACGAGTGACATTTGAATGCGTGAAGTCTAAACATGTCACTCTCTATTGCAAATCCAATGGGATGAAGTAAATGAGGCTTGACAAGTGGAATCGCTTGGCTTGACTGACAGTACCAGAGTAATGGTAGCCATACGCTGTTGGCGTGATTGTCAGCATCATCGCAACAGCTCATGAGACACAACTTAAAACTTCTCTTTTTTGATTTTCTCCACAGGTTGTGGTCTGGTCAATTCTGCGCCAGTGCCTACTCGTCGCCCAGTCATATACAAACAAGACGATTAAGGCTTACCCTCGACTAATCGATTCTGTTTTGGCTTAAAGGAGCTGCAGGAAGTCAAAAAGGAAGTTGTGTAGCTGAACACGCTATCGATTTGGCGTTTTCGGCCTGAAACAAAACCCACGACCAATCAAAATAGAGCCTAGGCCTTTACGGAGGAAGAAACAAGGTTCTGACGATCTTCGGAGAGAACCAGAGAATCGGAAATGTAACCAGTCCATTGCTTGACTCCGCTCCTGATATCAAGTGTAGGAACTGACATATACGAAAGGCCCGTCTTGTCGACGCCGCTCAGTGGTATATCCCACTCACCATGGCCGAAAGCACCCTGGGACTCTTTTTTGTGAACGCAGGGCACTGCTAGTTCAAATACAAATGTAGCCTACAGACATATTCGCCTCAATGGTTCGTTGCCACATTGGACGTATAGAAGGATGACAACGTCTAAAGGAAATATCCGCGATGCCGGCACCTGAACGGTCCTGGGAATCATCTGATGGAAACGAATCTTTTCCAGCCCTACAAGGATATAACTCACCCTGTGGGAAGTGCCGGTGGCGTCTCCGAATTGGTTATTTCGAGCGTCGAGTAAAAGAAAATGGAGTTGAAGACCGGCATCGAGATCTTTCTAAGCACAAATAAGTGCCTGAGGCGCAAACCTCATCTAACCTGATCAGGACATCACGCCAACGCTAAGGTTCTAGTCGAACGTGACTGTACAAGTAGGGTTTCTCATGGAAGTTGGAAACTCTCAGTTGGCGGTACTAGTAGTTGGGTTTGGATCTCTATTAATGACTGAATGGGTGGGCATATCTTACCCAACAACTAATGCATAAATTAAACTAAAATGATACTGAAGAATAAAATCACGTGCACCACAAGTCAAGTGAGACCCGGCTGACGAAAAGCAGGCAGAATAACCCGCGGTCGTCAATTTTCCACATCACTAGTTACAGCACATTACACGTCTTGTTCATAGAAAGTCCGCACTCTTTTGCCAGATCCTTCTTATGCCAAGCTCTTTGTTATACCGATTACTGGCGAGGTGAAGAAATCTCACTTCGAGGACGACTGCCTAGCCTTTCTTGAAGCGCTGTGAGCTTGTGATGCGACCACCATTCCAGTTGGCGCCTACGCGAACATACAACACTTCGCCTGACATCTTCCTTGATTTGTATCTGTCTATTCTTCATGTCGCTTCTCGATGTCGCTAGAACGTGGGCAAGTATGTACGCATTGCGCTGCAATTTTACAAGGACATGTTCAAGGTCTGGATCCGCGCCCGCAAGCTAGCATCAAAACGTTGCGAAAATCCGGCGAGAGCTGTACTTTATGCAGGATTCTGCTTGCCTCCAATCTTAAGGCCTCTCGACATCTTTCTAGGAAGTTGCCCAGAAAAAATGAGGAACTCGAAACACTTCCAATTCGTATTGAAATGCACCGGGTGCACAACTCTCAATCAGGATTAATGTGGGCCACCATGACCACAGGGCTTTTTGACAAAGCCAGCGGGTTTGAATATCCAAATAGCTTCATAGTTCAAGTTTGCTCAGTCGACGGTAAGTTTATATTGTAATAAGAGTTTCTTACCGCTGAGACGATCGCCTAGCACCATGTGCAAAAGAACCCTTTTGGTCTTCATTTCCAATATCAAATGATTCAAGGTTTTTAAAAATGAAGGAATGGCTTCAAAAGTGTGATCATGAGCATCCCGGTTGTAAGCCGCAAGCGAACAAGCTACCGAAAAGATTAGTGAGTATCGGGTCTTCAATGATGCCCCGCCTCAACTTGGTGTCCACGCAAGGCCTCGACCCCGAAACGATACAGTACGCGACCCTGAGCTACTGCTGGGGAAGTGCTGGTATACCTGTGAAAACTACGAGATCCAATAAGGCAACCTATTTTGAAGCTATCCCTACCAAAGACTTTCCTAAAACATTCGAAGATGCGTTGCTGATATCAAGATCGCTCAATATCTCGTACCTCTGGATGGACGCACTATGCATAGTACAGGATGATGAGGATGATTGGCGAGCCGAAATTACGAAAATGTCAGATATATACTTTGGTAGTACACTGACAATTGCAGCTAGCGAGGCTAAAGACTGCACGGGGGGATTCTTTGCCCATCCACTTGCGGACAACTCAAATGAAGAGAGAACCAAGAACCGATACTTTTTCACAGTTGAGAGGAGGCCTAGCACTGACATCTTAGTTCAAGTTGAACCCCGAGAGGGTGGCACTAATGGCAGAATATCCAATCTCCATACGAGGGGATGGACTTTGCAAGAGGTGGCACTCTCACACCGCACTGTTCAGTTTACGCAATCAGAATTGCACTGGCGCTGCAGAAATGCATATTGGACCGAATCGGGAATGACTTACGATCCCTTGACAACCGTATATGGCAATGTCCCACTCTCAGGCAACGAACACGTAGTGGAACCTGTTATCACATGGTGGAAATGGATAGAAAGCTACTCAACACGAAAGTTTAGCGTGCCAAGCGACAGAATTCCAGCAATTTATGGCCTTATTAAATACCATCAAAGTTTGACAGGTGACACAAGTGCGTTTGGCCTTTGGAGACGATCTCTCCACCAAGACATGTTGTGGATCAGGATCGAAAGACTTACAGACATAAGCTTGACCTCTCCATATACAGGATCGATTCCGAGTTGGTCCTGGCTTTCATGTCCTGTTGGTGTAGCCTTTGACTTTTTCGGGAAATCTTCGAGACAGACAGAGACTTCGGATCATATTACGATTCAAGACTACGAGTTGTTATGGGTGGGGGAGCCATTGATTTCAGCCGTCAAATCGTGCAATCTTACCATTTCCGGGCCAGCTCAAGAGGTGTACCTCGAAATTGCCCCTGAAGGCAGGCATTGCAATCCGCCATACTATCTTGTCGAGGGTGAGGCCCCGGATTTCTCAAAGAGCGCGCTTCCTTGGGGATGCTCTGCGCAATTTGATCGAGAGCAAGAGAGAAGCCCGGATACATTTTTTTGCGTTCTGGTTCGTCGTCGGTTGGAAGTGAGCACAGGATATAGAACTGAGACATTTTTGATACTAGAGCCCGCTGATACCCTGTTTCCTCACGAGAAGTTTAGACGTATCGGGTTGGGGGTTTTCAGAGGGTCCCACGATAGATTTTCAAGTAACACCATGAAGACAATTAACCTTGTCTAAAGTTGGGGGGTCAGGGCCAAGAATACGACCACATCGGTAAAGAGGGCAACTTTTGCCACTGTATTGTCAATATCAGTAGCATCTATCATAAATTCTGTAGCGTACAAATCCATTTTGTCCGAGACCCATTGCCACCAAATAGAGCAGACTCCTTGTGGAAAAGTAAGCTACGCTACTTCAAGTTGGGTTAAAGACTTTGGCGATGGTATAACCACTCGGTTTACTGGGAAATACCATACTAAGAAAGAGTGATGGTTCCTAATCCCTTCGTCGCATACTCAAATAAGGCTTTGGGGTACCTCCCGCTTTACAGATAAGAGAACAATCGTCGAATAGATTTCAAATGATATTTGCTTGCATATCATTCGTGAATAAATACTGACCCGGCATTCTTGGTGATTGACTTGTGACCTCCAATTGGTACGATCGCATAAGTTATTGCATTTGCCAATGATTCAATTGCATTCTCACCGTATGAGTCAAAGGCAAAATACTGGTACATTCCTTGTTGGCGCGGAAACAAGGGGACTTCCCGAGTTGATAGGCTTGAATTGTGGTGTTGATCGTTGAATTCCGACGACGAGAACCGCACGGAGTTACAGTTAATGACACGGAGCTCACTCAATAGTTCGGAATTTATGTAAACATTGCTTAAATACCGGTTTTAACGCCTCTTTTGGACACAAAATCCAATTCAGGAGGTGCAGTTCCTGCGGCACCTGACACCGCGTCAGCTTGGCGTCGGCCAATTTCGATCCTGGACGCGTCGTTGCCTGATTAATAACCGGACATACAAACGGATCGAGAGGGGTATAAAGATTGCGCATATCCTCACTTGTAGAGAATCAGATCAATCAAAGCTTTAAAACACAAATAAAACAGCACCCTCAAAACATCCTTCTCTCCACCGAAATCAATTCCTCAAAACAACACGCAAATATGGGTCTCGATCACTTCGCCATCCCAGTCCCAGCACCCAAGTTCGAAGAAACAATTAAATTTCTAACCACCTCCCTCGCATTCTCCAACTTCAAAGAAATCACTCGTCCCATCCCAACCGTCGTCGGTCTCGGCGAAACCGCTCCGTACATCTGGCTCTCTGCCGTTGAAGGCGATGAAGCTGAATTCAAGAATGTCATGAAGGGCATGCATATTGCTTTTAATGCTACAAGTACGTCGGGATCATCGATTTTAATTATCTTCGTGGGAAGATTACTGATCATAAGTAGATGGCGAGCAAGTCCGTCAATTCCATGAAGCTGCGCTCAAAGCTGGTGGAACTTGCAATGGAAAGCCTGGAATTAGGTTTTATCATGAAAAGTACTATGCTGCGTTTGTGCTTGATCCTGTTTTGGGGATTAATTTTGAGGTTGTTTGTCATCAGGGTGATATTTGAACCCCTGATGGAGTTTCGAGTGTTCATGGCGCAGGGAATGAGATATGTTTAGGGAACAAAAAGATAGAGTGATTGGGGTTCAATTCTTGGTGACGGATTTGCTTGAAATGATTCATGAATTTGTATTATCATAGCTTGAGCGAGCAGAGATGTATTTAATGATTGTTCGCTTAAATGCGACTTGAATTCTCTGGCTTCAGTTTTTGCAGCCCACGCTCACGGCATATTCATTTCCTATTTTGATACGAAGCATAATATCCCGACATCAGGCTTCAAAATGGCACGATCATCCACGACTTAGGGTTGATCCCTCCTACTCAAATATCCCCTATCTAGCAGCCGTCAACTTCCTAATTTCTCCACACTCTATAGCGCGCCAAACTCTGTAGTCCAATCTGAGCAATATCAACCAATATCTCAAACTCTTCGCATGGCGCCATTCCACGAACTGGCTCTCGTGTCCGGCATTGTGAAGTAACCACTTCCACTTCGCGACTGCGAGATCCGAACCACTGACACCTTGTGTTTTGAGGGATGTTGTGTAACAATAGTATGCGGAGAGAAATTTTATCTTTGGTGTTGGTAAGGGTCTAGGAATACGTGTGACTCTGGGGGTTGGTAAGGTGGTGGAGGAGGCGTTTCTGAGGATTTCGGGATTATTTGTGTCGGGATTGCGAATGACATACTAGTATATGTTGTGCGATGACATAAATTTTTAGGGGTAAAGATGAGGACTAGGCTAGGTGTATGAGTTTTATAATATGTGGATCAATTTGGAGAACAATGGAGAGTTGTCCTCTTGAAAGTGGGTTGGAAAACAGTATGTGGAAACAAAGTGAATAGTCTGTTTTTCGTTGTGAATGTTTCACCTATTCTCAAACTTTCAGATGTCTTAATAATCTTGATAATTTGCTGAATCATAACAAGTTCAAATGATCTCGTTAAATGTACCAAAATATCCTAAATATCCATCTTCATATATTTCGCGACGAGATGATCAACTGCCATCGATCGGAAAGAATGAAGGAGGAAGGACATCTTAATTAAGATTTACAGAATAAATTATAAGGTTGACTAATAATGTGTTTTTCATCCCTGAAGAGGAAATTCAAATTATTGTGGTTTTCCTAAGATTATGGTTTATTTCATGACTTTATAACATACTGCTCTATATTATATTCACACGAAGCCATTTAAGTATACCAAACTAAATTTAGGATTATCTAGCTTCAGGATTATGAAAAAGCGATCAAAATTCTCAGAAGAAAAACTCAATTATTCAACAAGGACGAGTAAAACCTAAGTTACAATAGGTAATTGGTCCTATGCTTTACCTGAGAAAAATGCGTTATCTCACATCATATGTTGACACGCTGATGCTTATTTTGCGAGTAAAATAAATAATATTCCTCACATTTCTTTGTCACGTGCCTCCTTCAGGTGTCTCAAGTTTCCTTATCTAGTAAAATACATTTGAAAACAAGGTCATAAGTCCTGACCACAAGTTTATTAATCTACAATGCACACGCTGAACCCTTTTTCAATTTATCGTTTCGTTAGCGCAAAGCAGCGTAATAGACGGGTATCGCATCACGTGCAGCAGCTGTGTCGAGAGACAGCTCGGCTAGGCAGAAGCAATTCCACTCCAATCTCATCTAATCGATGACCACCGTCTACTCTCAACACAATCATGTTACACTGTAGCCCAACTACGGCTTGTGGGATCCTCTTGGTCTTGGAATAACAGGCTTATGCTGTTTTCCAAAGCTGCATTTGCTTTCGAAGAAGCTAATGGTTTCCGCGGCTTGGTCGCGTCGGAAAATCGCGCTGTGAACCCGAGATCAAAAAGATGAACGATTTGGTTGATGAATCAACAAACGAGATATCGAATATCGTCTAGATATCCAGGCCGAACCCAACCGACGATATTCATCTTCGCCAACACGTGACCGAGGACAACAGCCGCGATCCTCGCTTCATCAGATGAGCCAATGTTCTAGTTCTCAGCTTACAAACTTTATATCACGGGATTATAACGGTCTCTGAGAATCAACTCACCAGTCCTTCAACCAACAGACTTCATATGAATGGTCATAACATATGATCAACGATGACGGATGAAACCTTGAGGCCGTACCAGTACAAACCGTTGGAAGAGCCTCGTTGGATTCGAATACTCGAATTGGATCCCGGCAACTACGAAGACGAAATAACTTGTTCTCTCAAGCACATCTCGCTAGATAGCCACATCTCTTACGAGGCACTTTCCTATTGTTGGGCACTCGAAAATGGCGATGATTCTATGTGTTGTATAATAAACTGCGAAGGCACTTCCATTCTGGTTACCCAAAACTGCCAACGAGCTATTCGCCGACTCCGGTATCAGCCATTAGTACCGCCAGTTCTTGAAAATGCTGATAGTTCTCGCGATCAGCTGCTCAGTCATGATCACGGAAAAAGAATCCTGTGGATTGATGCAATTTGCATCGATCAAAGCAACATCCACGAGCGAACCCAACAAGTCCAGTTGATGAGATTGGTATATTCACTAGCGAAAAGGACTTTAATCTGGTTGGGTGAAGCGTCCAAAAGAGTCAGTCATGGGGATGAAGCTGGTCGTCCTCTCTCGGATCTGGGAATAGAATATCTCTCAAAAATGACCTGTCAAATGCGGGGTTTGAATGACAAGGGTATTGACGCTTCTAAATCCCCATTTTATGAAGCTTTTAAAGAACAAGCTAGGAAACACAGCACATCCGACGACGGGGATTTAGATGAATGGTTTATAGGACTAGACATTGTTCTAAACCGCCGCTGGTGGCAACGGGTATGGGTCTTACAAGAGGCGGCTCTGTCAAGCTCGGCAGTCTTGATTTGTGGTAAAGCTACCGCGGATTTTGCGGATGTCTACAGTGTTGTAGAAGCCTACATCTATGATAAAGATGAGACAGCTCATCAGATGGGTGAATCACTGCCTAGAGCCGCTTCGCACTGGCTAGCTCGAGCTGAAGTCAACAGGCAGAGAAGGACTGTCTCAGACACCCCAGAACCGCATAATATTGAGAACTTACTCGGCCTCAACATTTACCAGGATTCCACAGATGCTCGTGATAAGGTTTTTGGCTTGCTTGGCATGTACAACAATGATGAGAGATTACTTCCAATGGCAGATTATCGGAAGAGTGCTGTCGAAATTTACATAGATCTGGCTGTCAGGCTAATTTCCGATGAGAAAAGGCTATCAATTTTGAAGTATTGTACAAGGGACGGAGTTCTGGATAGGGCCACTATGACGCCGCCGAGCCCGGAATCTCTCCATGGAAAGGAGAATACTCTTGGGAAAATAGACCATGCAATATTACCTTCATGGGTGCCTGACTGGACAAACCAATTCCTCCGGCAATATTTCAGCCTACTTCGCGAAAGTACCAAGGGAACTGATGCGTTGTACAAGCTCTCAGATGACAAACGGGCTTTGACAGCCAGAGGTATACTGTTTGATACTGTTGGGGATATACCCATAATTCCAGCTACAGTTGTGGAGGGCAACAGCAAACTTTTCGCGGAAAGAACGATCATCAGCCTGAAGGTTTGGCATGACTTTGCTAGAGCTCAGAAAATATACCCTACTGGTGACCCTGCAGAAAGGACTCTATTAAAGGTGTTGTTCCAAGAAAGAAGTCGGGACCTCGAAGGACTTACCAAGGACTGGTACGAGACTTTAGATTCAGTCTCAGTCTCGCCGAAGGACCTTCTAGACAGAGTAAGTAGATCTGCAGACGCGCTTGCTTATTACGAGAAGGCCGTAAGGACAACGGGCGCTCAAAATATGTGTCGAACGAGAAAAGGGTATCTTGGATTAATTCCACTGACAGCAAAGACTGGGGATCAGATTGTACTACTTGCTGGTGCCCCATATCCTTTCGTTCTACGACCGATTGATGACTGGTTCCAGCTAATTGGGATTTGTTTTGTTGACGGTATCATGAATGGTGAAGCATTTCCTGATGATTTATCAGAATTGCAAGCATTTACTTTACGTTAGCTCAAACTAAAAGTCATTTAATATTGGAAGACATGGGCTGACATCGTCGGATCGCGTTGTTAGCTATTACTCAATCAATTATTTAAAACACCGCTTGAAAGCACCAATCCATTAATCATCACAACGTAGACCATAACTCATCCAACAACAATTTACAAACAATATTCAACATCTATAAAACCGAAAACCTTTCTCATACTTCCCAAGATCAACAGAAACTTGCCCAATAAGTTCCTCCATGTATTAACCGATAACTCATGCCCATACCCCACTCAAAATCCGCCCTCGCAACCAAGCCATCTAAAGGACCCATCATCCATAAGTTCCAGTCCCATCAACTTATACCTCGCAACCACATTTTCCCTCAAAGACGCCCGGAATTCTTCGCAAGACAACCTCGTCTCCAACGCGTCCATAACTTTCCGCCTCGATAAGTCCATCGTTTCGGTGTTTGGAAGAGCTCGGGATGCGTTGTTGGATTAACCCTGATTTCGCGTTTGAGTACGACATCGGAGAGAGACACAGTTGTCCATTGATAGGCTGGCTCATCGGGACTAGGAGTCTCTGCTGCGCTGGAAACGGGATTGGATATTGGTAATGGCTGTGGTAGATCATTGGGCGGAGGAGTTTCCACCGCCTGTGAGTCGGGACTAGAGTCGGTCGATAGTCGTCGGATATCGTTGAATATTGGTGGTGCCATAGAGAATTTTCGTTCGCGCATGTGTTGGATGATATCGTCGACTTCTTGATCCAATCTTGTTCCCAAGGTCTTGAGAATTTGTGCCTCAGACCCTCTTGGAGCATCGCCTTGCTGCCGATTTGGAGCTACTCGCTGATTTTCCATCCCACCACTACTACCCTCACCCGCACCATTAGTCAAGTCACGATATGGATTCAGCCCCGTATTCCTCCCATGATACAACCCGAGCGACACCCCACCACCCTCCAAATCACAGCTCGACTCGCTGCCCGCGTCTTCGATCTGGGCGGATTTCTTTTTGTGCCTTTGACGTTGCCTGCGCTTTTTTCGCGGAGTTTCTGAATCGGGCACTGGTGGAGATGGATTAGTGCTCGAGGAATCTTGCTCTTTGAAGGGCGACGACATGTTGGATGAGTGGATGGAGTGGAAGATCGGATCGTGCTCGATTCGGGATGGAGAAGCGGAGAACGATAAATAGGATATTAGGGCGATTATGATGAGTTTGGATAGCATTGGCATACGCGGTTGAGGTCATAGGCTCTTGCTTAGGGAATGGCAATTATGTTGCGGTGAATTGTTTTGCGTTATGTAGATGAAAAATCAAGAAGGTGAATAGTTTATCTTATCTGATCCCATGCATAGAATGGAAAATGAAATAACTTCCTACTATCGATAAAGATATTCTAGATATTGTTCTTCGTTTTCACATCAATGTTCCTTCCCGGAGGTCGAAATCGATGAGTGCTTCCTGCCGTAGTTGATGATCTCTTCTTTTGAGCTGGTAAGAGATTTCTTGGATTGTTTCTCCTTAACACAATCAGAGCGATTGAATCGTACAACAAGAAGAAGTAGTAGCACGGACATCACGGCGGATTTGCAGAATAACTCGTCCAGTTGTAAAATTGCACAAGCTGTCCCAAAGCTCCAAGTTCTTGTCAGTCATAAAGTCTCAGAGTTTAAGAGAATAAACTGAAAGACCTCCAAATAGAAGTGTCGAAATCGCATTTTGAACTGGACTTCCCCTCTCCTCCCCAATTTACAGCCATCCAGGGGCCTGGTCGCAACAACTACACTGCCGAGGACATATTCTGCGGACGTCTTCGACTTATCGGCACCGAATGCTAGGAAAATTACCAGGAGTATGTAGACTTTGAAGTGCCAATGGTGCAGCCACGTATGTTAGAGTACGAGGAGGTATTTTGCATCGGTTGGCCGGGTGGGATAGAAGTCAGGATTATGATACAACAACACAAAGATCATATATGGGAAGGGATACACGGATGTTAGAGGTACGACATCCACGACCTCTCGGGATTTACCTTGTGTAGTAATGGGTGAAGAGTCGTTGGAATATGAAAACAACTGATTGAAGACAGAGAACAAACAACTGAGGTTGATATTAAGTTTGAACCCGGTTCAAAGGGGGTTGAGACTAGTGGAGACCATCGATGAGGTGATCCCGTCAGTCCAATAAGGAATTAGGCGAGGCGTACCTGCATCTGAAGATCCCAGACTTCGGATTCATGAAACATCGATCCATATTTAAATTTACCAGTCTTCCTATTTCTACAGCGAGACTCAGACGTGAGTATTTTTCTTTGCGAGTTTCTTTGCCATATGCGTGTGGACCCAATATCTTCAGGCTTCGTGGAATGGCTGAAGGGACGAGCTGGGCGGTGGGAGACGATGCAAACAGTCCTTGATGAAGATAAAATCCCCATGGTTTAAATGAATCACAATATGATTGGGACATTTCGTATCCAAGCTGGTGAAGTCCTAAACAGGAATCCCTATCGAAATCCATGAACGCAATGGAAGAGAAAAACAGCACTCGCGCACAGACCCCAACAGCCACCCGCCGCCAAGCCTCCCGACCACCCAAAATCGCGACCCCTGTCTCGTACCCAACCACCTTTCACTCCCCGCCATCGCAATTGTTGCGTGGAATGGAGTACATAACCACAAGAATTGTTCTTGGGAGTCTTCTTTCTTTATTATTCATATCATAACATCTTCCTCTGCACTTGCCAAGAAAACCACAAAGGGAAGAAGTTTGGGATTGCTTGGTTGGATTTGGGTATCTGCATTGCCAACGAATACGAAAGCCTTATCAACAGCCTCAATTGCAACTGCAATCTACGACTACAACGCCGCCCTCACTACCTCAAGACCTTGTCAGACTCTCAAATACACCAAAACCATCATCTCAACTACATAACATAACCACAATACCCACTACCCACAACCCTCACCCAGACCACAACACCCACAGCCACCAAACCCCCTCAACTTCAACCCTCCCTCCCTCACACCCCTCACACCCCCCTCAATCCACAAAAATGGTCCAACAAAACGACGTAATCGCGATAATAATAATCGTGTTGTTCGTGGTCCTCGCGCTGATAGGCTTCGGTATCTACCGCTTAGTATCTATAGCGCGCGGAGGAGGAGCCACCACGAGTAGTAGCAGCGGAAGCAGGAGTTTAGTTGATGATTAGACAACTCGACGGATCATCAGGAAGGGGATGGGTCTGTGGAGAGATGGGGAGGAGGAGGAGAGGGAATGGAGTAATGGGGGAAAGAAGCGGAGATGAGAATGGGAAAAAGGAGGGGTGAGCATGGAAAATGACGATTGAAATGAATTGACTGGCATCGGAGTTTTGGAGGGTTGAACATAATGTATATATGCATATCAGCATTTGGCATAGCTGGGCGTTTTGGAATACGGGTTTGCGAACCCCTTTGGATATCAATCATATTTAGACCCAACATACAGAATAAACATCATATAAAACAATACCAACTATCTCATCTTGTATCGTGAATCAAGGATCAAAATATTCTCATTCAAGGCTATCGCACACAAAGCAGGTCAGGGGCGCCAAAATGCAAATACCCAGCTTTCGCTCCATCCTTTACAATACAGAGAAGCCAGCAAAGTAGGCAAAATTAGGAAAGCGGAGAGCGGTCTAGCAAAAGATGTAAGGTTCAACCAAATATTAGACGCCAGAGCCGATCCCAGGTTCTCAACCTCCCTCCACCTTCCAGATTTCCATACGGTCGCGAATATGCCAGGCCGGGATATAACAAAAGAAAAGAAAAACGATGCTTGTGTCGATATGGATGGAAGAAACAGCTGAGGTGTAGATGTCATTTATTATCTCTTGTTTCCTTTTGTGTGTTATTGGTATTGGCTGCATGTTATTCGATGCTGGTTTTGTATCCAAGCTCGTTGCTGGTAGGGAATGCAAAAGCTATCGTTATCGTTCATTCGTTTCATCCAAGAGATTGAGCGTTTCAGTGATAACCATTCCTGTAGGTGGGACCAAGCCCTCGCCCAGAGTATGCAGAACTACCATCCTCGAAGTACGGATGCTGGCAGGATGCCTTGGCCGATATACGTCCTGCCGGATCATATATCAACATCATTTCCAACAGGTCGAGTCCCGCGTCATCAAGACCTGAGCATAATTTGACATCCATGTTGCGATTCCATTTTGGAAATGAAGGCTTGAAATCGGGAAAACAGGTCTTGTCGGATACACCAGGCCACTCGTTTTCTGTTGGGGTACCTAGAAGTCTGGGAAGAGTCAGCATTGGCCAATTGAAGGGCCTGAAAGTACTCACTTGAATATCTTGAAGATCTCATCGATCTCTGAATCTCCAGGGAAAAGGGGCTTTTTTGTGCACATCTCCGCAAAGATACAACCCACCGACCACATATCGACACCAGTAGAGTACTGCCGACCTCCGAGAAGAATTTCGGGCGCTCGATACCATAATGTGACAACCTCATGGGTATACGTTCGAAGGGGTACTCCAAAAGCTCGCGCCAGACCAAAGTCTGCCAGCTTCAGGTTGCCTTCCCTATCGATCAACAGGTTTTGTGGCTTCAAGTCGCGGTGTAGGATTCGGTGACTGTGGCAGTAGCGTACACCCTCGCAAAGTTGGCTCATGAACTTTTTCACCATGGCCTCGCCCATTCCCAACCGACCCATATCTAGTCCAGATCCCTCAGGTAAGGGCTTGCCTCGACCTCCATCACTGACTGGCAGTGACTCCATGTATTTCTTCAAATCAAGATCAACGAACTCCATCACCAGATACAACTTGTGGCCATCCGCATGTACGATGTTGAAGAGACGGACGATATTTGGGTCGTTCATCTCCTTGAGCAACGAGATTTCGCGAATGGCGGTACTAGGAACTCCTTCATCTTCGGCTTCGAGTCTGATCTTCTTCAACGCCACGATCCGGCCGGGCACGGTAAGGTCGCGAGCCTTGTAAACAACTCCATATGTTCCTATACAAGTAGATATTAGTATACATGTCTCGCGTTAGGAGATGCTGCACATCTGCAGCACATAGCGCGCCTTGCGCGTTTCGTACGCACCTTCTCCGAGTTTCTCCAATTTCTGGTAGTTCTCCATGATCGAGTATGTCTGGCTTCAGTCGCAAAGGAGTGTGATGGGTTAATTGAGGCAGTAATTCTGCTTGTCGAAAAGTTGGTGGGGCGGTGAACGAGGGGCAGTCCTTGTTGATCAAAACATCTGGCTGTGATGACGGCGTTGAACTGTGGTTTTACAGAAAATAAAGTTTGGGTCTCTCGAATTGGATTGTCTGTACTCGAGGGATCGCGGCGATTTGATCTGGTCCTGGATCCTGCGTCGGGTCGTTTGTTGTTGTCGTTGTCGAGGATGAGGGTTGTCGTGGCGTTGGGTGTTTATTCCCGGCGCGAAAGTCAACAACGCGAAATGCGCTTCTGGTTCGTAAAGCGGCTGACGTGTTGAGGGTGAATATTTTTGCACGATGGGAAGTGTCGATCAACCTATCAACAAAACCATCAACAACACCGTCAACAACACCAGGTCCTGCCTCGAATGATTCTTAGAGCTGTCTTCTATGGTCCCATGTCATTCGGATACCCATCTCTCTTCAATTATCGTTTCTTCTCCTAATTCTCATCGCAAAGTTGCAACATGAATGATCTGAAAACCTCCAAGTTACCAGTCCAAGATATCCCCAGCGATGACTTGGATCCGTACCAAGCTGCACCCCAAGAGCTGAGAGATGTATGGAAATCATGGACCAAGACCAAAGCACCCTTTCCCGAAGTCAAGCAAAAGCTCCAACCTGCACAAACGACCATCCCAGAAGGCCTTTTGGTAGAGGAGTTCGTGACTTTTGTTCTTGAACATCTGTTTACGCTGTTTCGCAACGACCCTCGAGGCCTGGAAAGCTTCATAGACAAGTGCGATCCTCATGAAGATGGACAGGCATTGTCTATGGAGAATGCAGTACCTTCCGGTATTCCTGATCAAAAATCTTTCTCGAAGGAGGCATTCATGCATTACGCAAGATCGACGTTCGTCCAACCTATTCAAGCATGCTGTAATGTCAGGAGTTCGCTTAGCCGTGCATCTACGGTTACACGCATCTCAGGTAGGAAATATTTCATGTTACTGATTGCCGTACCTTGTGTTCGCATACTGTCCTATTCCCTGGACTTGGACGATCAAAATTCATTCTGTTTGTCGTCAATTTTCTCATCTGACTATCCCCCAGGTCTTATTTTCCTACCTGATCTTCTGCCACCTATCGTGCAACAGTGCCTTCTAGACATGTTGTTACATCGAGAGTTTTCCAAGCCAGAAAACCAGACCAACTTCCATCTCAATTACTATGTCTCATATCCCGACAACCAGGCGTCTTTCTTCTCTACACTTCCACATCTGTCATCGCTTACCCCCAAAGATCCTGCCCAGAATAAACCGTTGTCGAACCGTACTGCATTGGACAAAAGCCTCCATTGGATTACGCTTGGAGGACAGTATGACTGGACAAACAAGGTCTATCCAGCAGAAGCTCCTCCCAAATTTGCAGAGGATATTGCGAGCCTAGTAGGGAACATCTTCACAGATATGATTCCTGAAGCAGCCATCATCAATGTCTATTCCGCGAAAGACAAGTTGAGCATGCATCGAGACGTGAGTGAGGAAGCAGATCGTGGGTTGGTGAGCATAAGTCTGGGTTGTTCATGCATTTTCATCATCGGTATGCAAGACAAAACTACTGGAGAGATTCTATACGAAACTTTAAGATTAAACTCTGGCGATGCTGTCTACATGGCGGGGGAGTCTCGCTACGCTTGGCACGGCGTACCAAAAATCGTTCCAGACACTTGCCCAGAATATTTGCAATATTGGCCTGGAAATCTATATCCCCAATGGAGTGAATGGATGAGCAAGAAAAGAATTAATCTTAATATTCGACAAATGTTTGAATCTGGTGTGGTGGGCCATGATTCATGAGGGTTGTCCCTAGCTCCCACTCTAGGCACAGACGCCAGCGGATTTTGGCGGGCCCCCTTAAAGATAAGGGACCGGCTCATTTCAGATAACCTATCAGCAGACTATTTCTGCTATAAATTTGCCCCTAACCTCCTAACTTCTTTTCCAAACAACAGACCGTACATCATACTCATCAAGACGCGTCGACCACCAGACAGAATGGACTGGAAAGCGTATGCAGCGCAGAAACGAAACTCTATTCTTCAGCTAATTCCACCAGCATGGAAGCTATCCGTCGCCGTGCCTTCACCTTCCGAACAAAAAGATGTCACGGGCAAATACATCCAACAGTTTCTAACTACTAAAGAAATCACAATTACAGAGACCGACGCCGTTGGGATTGTTCAGAAAACGACGTTGGGACAATGGAGCGCCCAGGAAGTCACAGAAGCTTTTTGTCACCGCGCGGCATTGGCACACCAATTGGTACGTGAAATGAGCTTCTGATATGATGTTTTACTGAAAATATCAGGTGAATTGTCTTCATGAAATCTTCTTCGCCGCCGCTATCGCCGATGCCAAGAAACTTGATCAATACTTTGCCTCACACGGAAAACCAAAAGGGCCCCTTCATGGGCTTCCCGTCAGTTTGAAGGATCAATTCCATGTAAAAGATGTAGAGACCACGATGGGATATGTAGGGGTAGGTTCATCTTATGTTTTTTCTCTTGTTATCGTGTTGTGATATCTTGCACTCATTCACTCCAAAAATTCTACTGTAAACCATCGTATTCAACGCACTATGCTAATTTTAACAGTGGATCGGCACCTTTGAAGGCAAGAAGGGTACCGGCAAAGAAAAAGTTTTTGAAAGTGAAATGGTCACAGAGCTTCGGGACTTAGGAGCAGTTTTATTCTGCAAAACGAGTGTGCCACATACACTCATGGCGGGCGAAACCATGAACAATATCATTGAATACACCTGGAACCCGAAGAATCGCTTTCTGGCGTGCGGCGGAAGCTCAGGTGGTGAAGGCGCTCTCCTTGGTCTCAAAGGAAGCCCCATTGGAATGGGAACCGATATTGGGGGGTTAGTCGCCCATTTCCCCCTTTGCATTGTCCAGATTTAGAAGGGTCAGGCGTAAATTTGCGACGCGACGATCTATGAGAATCCAATCTAGACGTGTGGTAAAATCTCTACAAGTGATAATAACGGATTGCTAACCTTATAATCAATAGTTCTATCCGCATCCCGGCTGCATTCAACGGCCTCTATGGAATCAGACCATCTCACGGCAGATTGCCATATGAGGGTGTGGCAAACAGCATGGATGGGCAAAACTCAATCCTATCTGTCGTTGGACCTCTCGCAACTTCAGCTGGCGCTCTAAGACTATTAATCAGAGGCATATTGAGCAGAGACCCGTGGCTTCATGATCCTCTGGTTGCTGAGATTCCGTGGCGTCACGAACACGAACAATTTATCCTTGACATCGCACGTGCTGGAAGCAAAAAGCAGATGTGTTTTGCTGTCATGAAGGACGATGGTATTATCCATCCTCATCCTCCAATTCGTCGAGCAATTGAGATGGTTATTTCCGTCATTGAGAAACTAGGACACAGAACTATCACGTGGGCCCCTCCATCTCACCAGGAAGGCATCGACATTGCAGGAAAGACTTTCATGTTTGACGGTGGAACCGATGGTCAGTCTCAACAACCTCTATCGTTGCTTGAAGCTAACAAACACACAGTACGAGCCGCCTTTGCACTCTCGGGCGAGCCCATGGCCCCTGCAATAGCTCAAAATTATGCCAAACAGTCCCCTGAGTACACCGCATCCCAAATTGCCGCAACCAATGTCCAGAAACGCCAGTTCCAAAAGAAATATATGGAATACTGGAACTCTACTTCTACAATCACAGGTACCGGTCGTCCAGTCGATGCGGTAATTTCTCCTCTGGCGCCTTTTGCAGCTGCGAAGAGAGATACGTACGACTACTATGGCATGTATGGCGGCGCATGTAATGAAACCACTCTATTTTGAGTACTATAGATACTGATGAGTTATAGGGTACACGACCTGGGTTAATCTACTTGATTACACTGCTGCAGTCTTGCCGGTCACGACTGTTGACAAAGAAGTGGATGTTGTCGATGAGGGCTACGAACCCAAGAGTGAACAAGACGAGATGATTCATAAGACTTGTAGGTCCCTTTACGATCTACACTTTGAGCAATTACTGACCAGAGTAGATGATCCAGAGTTATTCGACGGCGCACATGTCGGTGTTCAAATCGTCGGGCGACGCTTCCAAGAGGAGAAAATCCTTACCATCACGGAGATTCTTGGACACGCATTGGGTAGACTTGTGGTGTAATTGAGGAAAGTTGCGGGTTGTAATGATTTTGATCACGACGGGCTCATGAATGAGGGCGTTATTCAATTCTTAGGATGTTTTGATTTGCTTTCAAGGGTATGGAGTTCTCAGACTGGTTTTGCATCATGGCAGTACATTACAAGGAATTAAAGATACCTCAATAGATTAATTAGATAATATTTGTTCGGTGTTGATGTTTCAGAGCATTCATCTGGGTGAGAGTATTGTGACGTAAGAAGTTGCTTTAGCGTGGCAAAACTGTGCTGGTAAGTCGTCGTTCCGAAGTTAGGGTCGAAAAGTCGTCTCTGCTCCACAACTCGGGTTATGAGCTCAGAATTCGAAAAACTTTCACGGAGTCGACCAGAATTATCGGACGCTGCTAAAATCGACAGCATTGAACGGCTTTTAGTTTTGATGTAATTATGTCGGTAAAGGCCCGAGGGTTCGGAACCGATGACTAGGAGGAAGAATTAGTCTCTTGGAAAGCGTGATATTGACGAAATATGTTAGATTAGTAGGTGAGGCAGTTTTTGATGCTGCCAATGGTCATGCGTTCATACAAGTTGGAAATTGCCTGTACTGCTTCGTCTGATAGTAAACATAGAACCTGATGTCAAAGTCGATGCTCTACTTTGGCTTGCCAGAAGTTCTCAATCTACCATTTTACCGCACTGCAGTATACCGAAGAAGTTCAGTAGTCATGGAAGAGGATTTATATAGTGAGTTTGTAGACATGAAATTCGTGTTTTGCGACTTTATTTCGTGGATTTTATGTGGGAATGACCGTATTGAATTATTTTCTATCTTTTGCTTATGTGGATTTTTCCCGATCCTGTGAGTTTCGGAAAAAGCATTTCCGAAATTTCGGTTCTAGAAGCAAGAGAAAATTTGTGGTGGATTTGAACAGATACCTTGACACCATGATAGGAAAGTTGTTCGCTGTTTGGTGTTTGATATAACTTGTGGTATGTGAGAACACAAAAACAAACTGCTTGGTCTGGACATAAATCGATCTTCACCAGTCTAGTATCTATGTCGATGTAAAAGAACAAGACATTGCAGTCTCTCTTGGAGGTGAAAAGGGAAGAAATCTAGCATAATGTGACGAAATCAAAAGAAAATTTAGCAACAGGAAACTAGATATTTCCGGTGATTTTGGACCGGAACACCCACTTTGTCAATAACAAGTCATCAGAACAAAGTAGTAAAGAATCTGCTTCACAGTCGCCGCAAATCAAACTTGGTATGGAAGTTAAATGTTTACTGACATCCCAGGAAGATTGGTAACGGTTGGGTTTAAGAATGAGGTTTATTTAAACTACTGTTTTATAATCTAAGGTAGCACTGTAGCGGTATTGAAGTTATTTTAAATTAATAGCTGGGTATATTAATTCCTTTCTACAACACTTTGTTAATTGCTATTTAGGAATCGGGATTGCCTATCACGCAACCCTAGTAGCTATCTTTATGGGGATGAAGCTTGAATCTTTTCTTGTGTTTATCTCGTCAGATGTAGTACTCTCATGCGTGTTTCATTTTTGCATTTTTCTTTTTTATTATAAGGGAAAAAGAGGAATACTAAATGCATAGGTTCTTGTATCATCCACACCGCCTCTGAGTCAAAACGGGTTTCCAGCATTGAATTCTCGGCTACAGAGAAGAGACAACATCACCGAGGTCTTGTATCAATGAGAACTCATCAATGGAGATATCAGCCCGTCAACTGGTTACAAGAGGAGTCTAAACATTTGTCTAATTCGTCATAGTCCATGGGGCAATATCCCTCTCTTCCAACCAAAATTTGAAGCGAATGAAAGTCGCAACAATCGGATTTTTACAAGCGCCTGTCTTGACCTAGAGTATTCGCTTAACTACTTCAAAGCTCCCCATTTCTCCTTCCCGGCACATATCCGAAGCCATCTAACAGTGGTCTTATATATTCACAATCTCGTGGATTTTCAAAGAACGTTGCTCCCGACATGTGCAAAGTTTTGCATCGTTCGTCCATTGTAAATGCGTTTTGCATCCTCCACATCTCTTCCCACCTATCCCTTTTATCTTTCTGCCTCAATACCCAGACACCTTTCTTGTCCTCAGGCCACCCTATATGAAGCACTTCATCCTCTTCTGGCGTCGTTGGTCTTCTGGCGGCTCTTTGAGCTCCAACGTAATCGAAATAGTCCGCGAACCATTTCCCACCAGTCAGCCGAAGACGTCGACAAAATGCATCTTCAAGGGTAATGTTTTCGCTGTCCACCTCCGGACGCAGGACTTCGTGGAATCTCGGAAGAGAGAGAAATTCTAGTTCAACCGGCGTAAGATTGTCGTTGATTATAATACCCCCAACGCTAGGCCAGCAAAACACCGCGTTTCTCGCGCCAATATCATTTAGTGCAAGGCGGTATATAGGGTCGTCTTCATAGTAACTATCCACGGGACCCCCTTTCCAATTTGGATCCGTGAAAATGGGCTGCTGGAATGTCATGATGTCCCAGATGAGCCATAGAATTGAGATGATGAGTACCGCGATAATTATGAGCGTTCGGCGAGACAATCGGAGGAATTTTGGAATCAAGCGTACCATCTTAACAGTTTAATTAAAGATAATTGCAGATGAAATTGATATTGTTCGAACAGAATTTTACATCAAAATGATTGTTATGTAGTCAGAACATGCCACATCTCCATATTGGCGTGAAGAAGTATGCCTGGAGTCAGGCGATGGGAGGTGCCTCGAAATAAGCGAGGTCGTGAAACACCAACCCAACAACACACCTAAGGATTTACCCTTCCAAGGTTGAATATAAGCGTATGTTGCAGTTGAAGAGATCCTTCCATGTTTGCAGCTCAGCCTCTTTATCTCTAGCCGTACAAACCAACACATCTCGTACCTGAGATCCCGCACATATCAATCCCCTCGTATTTCATTGTTGGTATTAGCGCTTTCGACATATTTCGGGAACTTGCTACTTCACGGTCATATTACTCCCCGTTCCTATAGCCTAATTTCTATTGTCAAGTGGCTGATCAGGTCTTCAGCCTCCAAAGACATCATTAATTATGATACAGAGCCAAAAGAATATTTGCTGGCGCCGAGAATAGCTCTTTGTTTACGTATTGAATAGATCATGCTTCATTTTTCTGGCATTCATTTATTTTTCATGAGCAATCGTGGTTGTTCCTTGCTCCCTTCATTTTCACGATCACTTCTTGACGTCCACCGGATTTCATGTCTACTGCATTAAGTCTTCTTCTCATACTTGCAGTTTATATGACAGAGACTGTGATTGTCGAAAAACTCTAAACGTTGTTTCTTTTTGTCAATTGTCGTTGTAATTATTTCTATCAACATACGTGTCACAAGACAGAACTCATTCCACGCCGAAGACGATACGATGAAGTTTAGCAGTATCCTCTTATGTTCTATCTCCACTAGTATTTTCAATCTTGTGTTAGCAGATCCCTCGGATACCTCAAGCTCATCCAACAAAATCGTGGTTCAGTCAGAAAAGCTAGTGGGCTGGGAAGGTTGTTCGGCTGCACAACAAAAGGTGGTGTATGAAGCGTGGTACTCTATGTTGGATATTGCATATCAGGCAACGGGTAGGATTTACTGGATCGAGCAACCCTCAAATGAGTATTTGGGAGGACCTATAAGTTACAACAACCACCCGGATATAAAGGGTACGCTTCCAACACGAGTTCGCAACTTTATCGCAACTAACATAACATAACAAGCCGTTTTGAACAATGCGTATACTTTCAAGCTCGCATATAGTTGGAACTGGAGGGCTTGGAAGATTAATATTCGTTGCGATGATGTAAGAACACCACTTTCTCTCCTGGATTGTGAAGACCGGATCGTTCAATATACCTGGGCTCTCTGTTTTGCGAAAGGCATATCACTCGTTTAATACATGAAAACTGACTTTTCTACTTTAGTATACCGGTACATGCAAAAAACGACCGACAGCTGGTGCATGGACTTTGAATCCAGGAGCGAAAATGGCCCCCGGCGAAGGTCCAAGCCCGACAATGGACACAATTAATTTTTGCAACAACACTTTCTTCGATAATACCAACACTTGTGCTGAATCGTGGAAACTCTACGGGAATGATGATGAGAAAAAGAATGATCTGAGATACTATCAATGCAGAGGTAAGTTTGATGTTTGATTCCCGGGTATCGGTAAAGTAGTTCAAGCTAGAAGCGACCTTGAACAGTATCATAGTTCGGCTTCGATGTCTCTTGTTAGCTGAGTCGCACATGCATTTTGAATGTGCTACTTAACATAATTGCAATTACTAATTGCAATGACAGGCTGGGTCGTAATACATGAGCTATTCCACTTGGATAGTTTGTCTAAAGCAGGGGACCAAGGACACATAAGCGACTTGAAAATGGCATGGTGGCCCGAGGGATTAGGCAAGATGGTATACGCGGACGTCTATGGTCCACTCAAAACTAAAGTTATGGCTGCATGGGATGATACCAGTACGTTCAAAGTTGCCTTTGCTATCTGCCAGACCAGCTTCTGAGCATATAAGTACGCCCAAGATGCTAACTTTGATGATTTGGTCCACAGAGGTCGGAAAGTACGTAGTTACCAATGGTAAGTAAACATCAAACGCTAAATTTATATGGTTTGCTACTGACAAGAATTATTCATAGCTGACAATCTGGCTCAATATTCACTTTCACTTTGGGTGAAATCTAAAGGAAAATATCCACCACTACCCGAGGTTGGAAAAAATAGAATTGAAAAGAATTTCGAGCCATCTTTCATCGACGACAACACAAAACCTGAGTCAGCACCGAGCGAAACGCCTCCAGAGGCTCCTCTAGAATTGAAGAAACCAGAGCCTTTCACCATGCCGACTGATCCATACCTTGACTGTTACGCGGGTGCAGGAATGGACAAAGCCACCCAACCTTTCGTTGACCAACCGTTTGCGCAAGACGCCATTGGAAAATTCTGTGCAAGTGCAACTGCCACACTCTCTGCTGATGATAGTATTTATGAAGCCCAGTTTGCAGTTAATGACAATACTACTCTCTGGATCGGAGCTGGTTGGCAGATCGGTGATGCATCTTGTCAGACTCCTCGAGCTATTACGGCCAGGGAATGCGCCGAACAATTGGGTATGGTGCTTAATAATTGCGATACCGACTCCAGGAAACAAAAGTATGGAGGATCTAGAGTGAACAATTGTATTGCATGGATGATGGGAATTGATGGGAAGATGCTTCGAGTTGGAGCACTAGCTGAGGAGTAGTTGTGGTTATTGGAGTTTTGTTAGATGTGTACTAGATTAGAAGAGCGAATTCATAGATTATGTCATACACACTGGAACGGTTCAAACGAGATATTGGCTTTTCATTAGATCTGACCATTCGATCACGAAATATAGATGAGCTCTAACGGTACATTAGCTCCTTGTTGTATACTGCGATGAAAGAGATACAGAGTCTGCCTAAGGTGCAGCTATTATATCGTTGCTGTGACAGAGTTATGCTACTGTTCCGTGGCATGCCGGTAGCTATGTTGGATCGATCTTGCGGGTCGAACAATCCACAAAAGCTATGTTTTCAGATTTCAACTTCAGCGTTCCAAAATAAAGTCTTTGCAGTAGAAGTGATGACGATTATAGCAACATGGTCGCTGAATCGCAAGTCTCAACATAAATTTACCAGCATTGCACCAGCTATTATTAGTGCGTGATCTTCAAAAGTCAACGTCATGCTCATACATAGGAGTAGATACAGGGTCTACGGCTTGTCATAGGACAGGGCGTTGCATCATACATATATTTTCGCGGAAATCAGAACATCCTTACTCGCCAAACGACTGAGAAGTAGTAAAGTAAATGATTTGAGTTTAAAAAGCGACTAATCTCCAAGTTGAGTACCTTTCCCAATACTTTTCTTAGCAAATACCCAAAAATTGACAAGCAGTTAAAGCCACCTTCACATCTTCGGGCATCGGCTTGTGGGCTCTTATTGGCGTAATATGATACACATTTGTCCCAATAGTAAGCGAACCGCCAGCTTTATAATTCTTAGGATTCTGCGGGTCGTTCCCGTCGCAATTATCGACGAGCGAAAGAAGATGAGTTTTACAATCTTCCTCACTTGGCATTGGACTTCCTGGTGGTATATCTAAATAGATAGTAAGCTGTTCCACAGTGTCTGTATTAAACTCGCGGCCGATCGATCCTGAGTTCGGATCTGGACCGCCTTGCTTGATTGCCATGGAGCAGAATTCTAGAACGTTCTTCGCTACGGTGTCGCGGGTTACATACTTTTTGCTCGCTACTCCGTTGCATTGTTGTACTGGTGGGGGCGGTGGCGGAGGTGGTGAAGGTGGTGGTGCTGCCTCCGCTGGATTGTTATTTTCTTGTACTCCGTTCCAAATCATCGAGACACCTGGTACTCTGGCCCAACTAGACGCTGGTGACTGCAGGTAACTCCAGAGATTTGCAACCAAGTCTCCGTCACTAGTATCGAACGGGACGGTGTCGTACGACAGAAGGTTGGCAGCCTGAGCCGCCACAACTGGTGCAGCAAAGGAAGTGCCCTTCCGGTCTGAAACCGGTGTACTATCGTCGTTGGGTAAGCAGGTCACTCCATTCCCAACGGCATGTACAGTAAGATGCGGGCCAGCCTGAGAGAATGGCGATCGGGAGCCGTCGTAGTCCGCAGACCCGACCACGACTAACGGGAAATTGAAGTTCGAGAATAGGGCAGGATAACTATCAACATGTTGGCGGTTTGGATCGCCAGCTTCATTTCCAGCTGGCACAATTACTGGGACATCTAGTTTGAAGAGGTCTCTGATGACTTCTGACAGCTTGTCTCCCCAAAATGGGTTTCGCTCTGTAAGACCCATTGACATGGTCACTACAGATTTCTTTCGCCTCTCTGGCCTTGCTCGAATATCCTGAGCAACTTCAGCAAGTGCTTCGATTATCTCATCTGATTCTTGCAGAAACATTTTGACAACAACCAACTTGGCATGTTTTGATGCACCGTAGTTAGTGCCAACCGCCTTGTTTGCCGTACACGTGCTGTGCATATCCAAAGAATGGTCAACCCAAGGAGGCAAACCCCAATCTTTTATTCTTGAGATTTGTAGGTGTTGATCGTCAGGAACCAAATTAGAGAACTCCTATCATGACGGTTAGCATTTAGGCACGTAAACAAAAACTCCTTTCGCGACCCCAACTTACATTAGCGTGTTTCTTGTAGTTGACTCCTGCTCCGATATGATAAATAAAGCTGTTCTTCCCGCTGTCAGAATCGTGGACGTAGTGCTTAAGCTTTTTGATATCCGGAATCGTACTGTAAGATCATTAGTGAACTTATCAATTACTTGTTGTGGAGTAAACATTTACCTAGGCTGGCTAACGGCTATCAACTCGGCAACAGCATCATTCTGGCTTAAGAGGCTTGCATCTCTTTTCAATTTCGATGCCGGATATTTGTCCAGTATGGGGGCCGTTCTGGCCGTATGAGGAGGGATGCTGTGCATTGGTGCCGACTTCGCAATCCTTTCGATAGAACGTACGCCTTCATATTTGCCAGCCTCGTCAACCTGCTCAGAAGTCACTTTCAAAATCAATAACAATAAATACACGGGAGTCTGAGTTTAGCTTACTATTGCATGCCCACCATTGAACAGCTTCTTTCCAAACGAAAGCCTTGTTGACATTTTCACTTCCTACGAGTTTCTGGAGGAGTTGCTCGGTCTGAGTTGTCCCTGAAGAGTCTTTACCGTCTCTAGGCACCACAGCATAGCGTTGGACTTCAGCTGGTGTTTCTTGTCTTTTCGCTAATGCCTGTCTTGCAGCTTCATCGTACTGAGACGGAGTTACTTGATAGGCAAAGTTAGCAAGTCCCCTGGATGCTTCATATGAAGTTGAATGGATTGGAAAAGAGATTTACGACTGGATTCCCACGAAGCGACCCCGGACTCTGGTTTTAGCTGTGGGAGACTATTCTCCTCGCCGATGTTTTCATTCGGGGCAGCGTCACGAGTACTCAGAGGAATTTTGACGGCAATTATGGAGCTGACGAGGTAGAGTCCTGGCACAAGCGATCTCAAGATATGCATGCTGCTAGAGACTGAGAACCTATTGCGTCTTGGTTTCTGATTTTCAGGGAAATCTGGTACGAAAGAGGTAGAAAGAAAAGAGAGTTTAACATAAAAGCTGGAGATGTAGCGGCCCATGTAAAAGCATGGATTGGAATTCTGAAGTTCTGGAAACCAATGCAAGTATTATATTGGACTCCTACTGTGTTTGATGAAGGTGTTTTCAACGGCTTTGTTGGAGGTTGAATCCCCGGTAAGGAAGGTCAGGTCACCCCCATTCCTATTTTGCGCAGGCGAAGCGGACACAGAACCCAGAAGAAATGAGAAATTTCCATAATAGTGACAGGTTGAGGGATCGTTAAGCTTCACTGCCGTTCGTTGAGATCTGAAGGAGTCGCTGAAGATGGTTGTGCTGTGGCTGAAGACCAACATGAGGAACATATACGAGGAGAACTTCCCAACGTGATACGAAACCCAGAGAAACGTAAAAAATAAAGCGCCAACCTCCGAAAAAAAGTTGTGGAAAGGGCTTTTATACCTACGTATGCCTGGTTCCATCAAAAAATAATTGTACAGGATTTGAGAAGAATAGTCGAAGCGAACCGCGCGGTAGGACGGTGGCTTGTAAGTTTTGTGAAATGTGAGGATTCTGATGTTAGGTTTGTCAATATCTGAGAGTCGGCGTACATCCAACAACACTTGTTGGTGACCTGTTGGTGGCTGGCATCTTCCTCGAAACGTGACGTTCCCCGAAAGTCAGTTGAGGTATCGTGCGAGTTGAGGTGCGTACTTATTGTTTATCAGATGATGCCTTCAAGCTTGAAATGATCAACTCCTACTGGCCGTCGGCATAGAAAACATATTAATTAGATCACTTCTATACCTTTGCTCGTAAAAAGACAAGCTTATCAAGGTGATTATAAAAATGAGATGAGCCACACGAGAAGTAAATCTTTGAAGGTGGTACCATTGGTGTCTGTCCTGGCGATTTTGATATCCTGGAGACGACCTATTGATTGATGCTTCATCTCAAGGAATTGATAATGGCTTCAATGCCAAAGAAGATCGTAATAGATACATTTGGTTACCGTACGTGTTGCATTGAGTCGTGAAATCAATCGAAGATGACCTGAGAATTGTCTCCACTTTTCAGATCATATGATCGCGCGTCTCTTCTCTAGTCTAGGCGCGTCCATTGACATGGGCCACGCACACTTTCATCAACAAGAACAATACGGTGCCGTGGATTGAACGAGGGCTACTTGGAGGAGAATCTATCTGAATGGTCCTTCATTTCCTTTCTACTTGTATTATGAGGAGGCTAACGCCTCCTAGATTTTTTAACTGACCCGCTTCGATCCGATTAGAACAATGGAGGACGACGCGGAAAGCCAGTACGAAGCTTTTAGCTCCGAAGGCGAACCACAGACAGAGTCTACGAACATCAGATACGATGGGAAACCATCGAGATACAGGCCTATAGCCAGAGCTAAGAAAGCTATGAGAAGTGGGAATCTGCCGGCTGTAGAAGACATTGCTAAAATCAAGTACAATTGGAGAAACGAATATCCGGTAACGTTCCAAGACGAAATCATAAACTGGAAACAGGAACGTACAGAAGCGATCATGATGCCATATGCCGAAAGCAACCAGGATGGAGAAGTCGGTTTACGCGCATTGAGGGATCGTGCCAGAATGGATGCGCGTCGCGAATGGAGGAAGTTGGAGCAAGAAGCAGATAAATTTACGACTCAAAAGAGGTTAAATCGAGCGGCGATGCTCTTTGTGGCTGGTCGAGAAAGTCCGAGCCAACAACTGGAGCTTAATGTTGTGACTGATCATCCACCGGAAAGACCCAGGAGAAGAATAAGCAGCAAGCCGGTGGCAACCGTACCCTTCGACGACGATTTCGAGGACGAACTGGCAAACATGGAGCCCACTGAGCGCAAGAATACAAACAGAACAAGCATGGGAGTCGCGCAGCCATTCTACTCCCCACCAGTCCCAGAGCACAACGAAACCAGTCCCGAAAAGATGAGAGCTACGGAACCACTGTCTTTTCGAGAAGATTCAAAGCCAGAAGAACGGATTCACAACAGGCACTCAATCCGAGACAACCGTGCGGAAGATGGATTCCGACAACCTCTATTTCCAGACACAGAGATGGCCATGAATATTCTTGTGCGAGCCCTTGCCAGCACTCAAGATCCAAATACCAAAATGCTTCTGCTGCAGCAAATTGAAGAATGTGTGAAATCGAAAGAAGCCAGTAGTGGAATCTCTGGCCACTCTGGTCGGGCTAGAGGTAGGAACTCGTCGACTACCATTGCCTCTCGTAGTGTCTCCCCTACTGGTGATCAGCGACGAGTGTATCGAAATCGATCACCTGAAATTCGGCACCCGTCTAAATCTCGGGGTCGTTCCTCTGCAGGTTAAACTTAGTACATGCATGATAGGGGCATGGCGGGTTGATGAGAGATTGTGTTGGTCTTGGATAAAACCAAATTCAGACAGAGAACAACCACCTTATTGAGTAGACACATGATCGTTTGCCACTTGCGATACCAGTATTAATATCTGCAGGTTTACGAATATATGTTAACGGACTTGTAATGTGAGCGACGATATGGAACGGAGGAAGGAAGGCATCGATTTCATCTTGATGGTCTATGGTGAATCTGCTACAGTAGTCCACAAGGCGAGAGATTCTTCACATGCGGATATGATCGACATTTCTGGTGTCCCCATCTGGGAATATAGATAATCAGGAGCAGAGGTGCACTTCAGGTGGGCCGACACATAGGATATAGGTGAGTATAGGATTCCAAATTGCCAACAGCGGCAAGATGTAGATACCCAACGATAATTATTTATTCAGAAGTTTTGAAACAAGAATGTATGCCGTGTCAGCTTTGTAGACTAAACAACAAACCGTAACCAAAGGAACCTAATCCTACAGTATCCTGTCATTTTCAACTAAGACATACGTTGAACCACCTTGGGCCAGCTACAATCACACATCGAGCCTTTGCAATTCGCGGAACACCTGAAACCAAGACTGTTCGACCGTGGAGCTCGACTTGTTATGACAATCTCGCGTGTTGAGGAACTGCCCACCGACATCTGGCGCTTCCTTTCTTCTTTCTTCGCCGGGGTGCGCCTCTCTACCGTCTGCCCAGCCTTGACTGCTGTTCCTGGCTTTGTTATACGCTGCTCGCTAGCTCTTCTCTTCTTGGAAGCCTCTGGTGATGTTTGTGTTCGTCGCTTTGCCTAGATTTTCGTGGGTCAGCATTTTTCGACAGAAATACTTGAAGATATTTGACTTACAGCACCGTCGTCGACGAACGCATGGGATGGCATATGGTGTTGCTGTATGTGCTCTGCCCTGCGGATCTTGGTTGGACTAGCGCTACTGTGCTCTCTTCTGGATCTTTTCTTGACTTTTGGCTTTGTGGTCTGACGATATTCGTCATCAGTTGTTCCCGGCTATTGAGTATCAGCAAACGTTTAGATAGAAGTATATACTACTAACTGTCACTGTTTCAGGAGAAGGCTGTCCTGCGACGGAGCTTCCTGTCTCTATATTGTCACCTTGCTCGACCACAGCTTCCTCCTCGACCACAGTTTCCTCCTCGATTATGCGTCCCTCCGATAGGTCGGGAACAAACAAGCTTTCTTCCTCTGGCTCGGTCAGCTCAGGCGATTGACTTCTGATGAGGCGTGGATCTGTCGGCTCAGTTGAATGTTGATATTGAGATGCTGTTAGTACGTCGACCTTTGCCACGATCTCCTCTAGCATCTTTTTGATATCCCGTAAAGCGGCGTTTGCATCAACATTGTTGCTTTTTGGTGGATGAGAAGAAAGACTTCCTGCATAACTTGATGGCGAATTCATATTTACAGCTACCTAGTAAGTACCTGTAACCAAGAAGACAATGGTGCTTGAAGCAGAATAATGTTGATGAAATAATGTAATGTTGATTGTTGACAAAACATGAGATTTTCCACAACAAAGTACGCGAGCCGACAACCAGTCGCACTTTCCAGAAACGAAGCATTCACTCACCAATGGAAAAAATGAATGGCAGTCGAAACACGGTATTTCTTCGATTATGTTGACGAAATATGGTCATTTAGTGTATTAATTTGGAGCAATAAGAGATATTTCGTGCATTATTTTGAGTAAATAAGACTTTTTATGCTCTATTCAAAGTTGACTTATTTGGTCCAAAATTGCTAGGCAGGTGACTGACACTTATTTTGTCCTCTGCGAGCCTCGAGGCCAGATGCCCATGTCACTGTCAAGCTTTAGAATTCCCGAAAACTTGATCAGTCGAGTTTTTTAAGACATAAAACTCCTCTATAATTTCAGTATCCACGGTACAAAATTAGAAGTATACCAAACCAACCTAAGAAATAAATCGTCGCTTACGTTTCTTAATATATAAAAATTACACTTTTAGTCAGATTTGCGGTCTTCTTATCTCATGTACGGCATTGTCCCTTCGAACAGACACCTATCAACCACCAACGTCAAATACCTGCCTATAGCTAGACAGAGATAAAAAGCACCCAACAACTATAACTTCTTTCCTGCAACATTCTCTTCATACACTGAACCCTTGTACATTCATCGGAATGACCTTTATCGCTTCCAATATTTCTTACACAAGCTACAAATCGGCCAACACAAGTCGACGGAGCGTGATCATTCGATTGGGTGTAGCCAAGAAGGCGATCAGAACTGCTTGTGTATCTGAGCGTTTATCAGTAATTGACTTTTATCCTTAGGTATAAAAACATACGCGTAAATAGCAGCAAATGCCCCCTCTCACTTCGCGGTCGTCAGGATCTCAACATTGCCCGCGAACACTGTGGTGAAAACTCCAACCACGGTCAATTTCAAGCCCATCTGATCGGCAGGTATGGAATACATCACCGAGATCGATCCAACTGGCAGAGAAGCTTAAAAATTCAGATAGCAATCCCACTACCGACACTACACGCTCCCTCGAGGGCGGGGTTGAACCCTCTCCAGAATTCAGATTTGTCTTCTATTGGTTTTCTGAAGTAACGATCCAAACCAAGCTGGATGAACATAGATACTCGGATCTCGATCTGCATCAGGCTTTTTGTTGAGACAGACGAGATGCCCCCCGTTGTCTAAAAGATGTCAAGTACTTTCGAGAAGTGGTTTTCGAGAACCAAGCCAGTCAACAAAATTGTTGAGGCCCTCTCTGGGCCTTTCAAGCGCTGGCGTTTGACTTCTTCACACTGCCGCCTCTTCTACGTAGAATTTTAGCATTTTTGCGTTTTCTCATGTGGTTTCCAAGCTTACCATAAAGCTTCATGACTTCACAAATTCGCAATGTTACGTCTTTCTTTGGTTTCTGACGTTCATCGACCTATTCTACAAGACCAGAGAACGACTTCCACGATCGCGCAGCCGCCTTTACCATATGTATCTCGTCGAAAGCTCAAACTTGATGGATTAATTCTCTACCTTCCTCGTCAAGATCGGAAAGTTGTTGCTCCAAATGATTCACCTTTACCTGAAGATAGATGAGGTCTCGCGCACCGAGAACTGCAAGTTTTCTGTATATTGAGAATTTTTCATCGCTGCCGACAAATTGCGAGAACTCGGCGAAGCCTTCTGGATGCTCTACTAGATGGAATCTGATGGATATCCGCCTTAGGAATTGCTTCCGTCGTCTACATACGGGCATTGTGGGTATAAGGCTCTCTGCTGCCTCGACTTAAAAGCTTTCAGAAGTTCGGCTGTTGGTTGAAATAGGGCGCAATGGAAATGCATTAAGACTCATCCATCTAAAAAGAAAGTCGGCCCCAAGCCTTCAAAAAGTCTTCTAGTCACAAAGGCATGTCAAATTGGTTTGCCTTGTCTAGCAAACTCAGTGGAAATAGTAAGATTTCAAGAGCTTGTCTACCCGATCAGAGATCCTTGCTTTGTTACGATAATGCAGATGTTCGTGTTGTCTTGCAGTACGGAGCTCAGCACGTGAGATCTGCATAACCGCGACAACGGAATGTCAATTAGACAATGTCAAACGGATTCTCGCCTTCCTGATTTCTTCTTCGTAGTTTTAATAATATTAAACACTTATCAGAGCGTCAAAATTTCCAGGACACACTAGTTTGGTCGCTGTGGACTTCCACTTCAAGAACGACAAACCAAGTGGATCTCATGACAAGAGTGGGATCGCCGCCACCGAGTCATCGTTGCCAGAGCCCATTTGGATCCAACATTGCCGCTACATTCAGACAAATTTCCTCGTTATAGGTTTCCAATTTGATCTTCCCTGCAAGTATGTTTATATCGTATATAATATGTGTTTTATTTCGGGAACTCGAAAAACATTTTCGAATGTTCGACTCTGCATCATTCCCGACAATAAGGCCATAAATTCATAACCCTTTTTTGAACTTACAAGGTCTTGAGGGGCGTATATTTTGAGAATGTCAAAGTCACAACCCAGCTCCGAGAAAGGGCATGATTATGTCTCATTTGTTGTGACCAAAGCGCACGCAGCCTACTATTTCAAAAATCCTATCTCAGCAAAAGCTCATGAGAATGCGGCCGCCTGCATGCCTGGAGGAAACACTCGCACAAGTCTGCATGCTGAGCCATTTCCGTTGTCGATCATATCAGGCACTGGGAAAGAATTGACTTCCGCCGATGGACATACCTACATCGATTTCTTGGGCGAATACAGCGCCGGCTTACTTGGGCACTCAAACCCCCGCATTGAAGAAGCTCTCAGCAAAACCATGAAAAGCGGCTGGAATTTTGGTGGAGCGACTCTTTATGAGAAAAAGCTGGCGCGGAAGGTTACAGCGCGGTTCTCGAAAGGAGGTATGGACTTGGTGCGGTTTACGAACTCTGGAACGGAGGCTAATATGATGGCAATTGGCGCCGCTATTGCTTGGACTGGACGAAAGAAGATTCTCGTTTTCAGCAGCGGATATCATGGTGGCACATTTATCTTCACGATGGCAATGTGCAAGTGGTACCACTCGAAAACTTCAAGCACGCCTCCTTTGAATATCAACCTCCCACATGAGTTCGTTGCGGCACCCTTCAACAATCTCAAAGAGACAAAGATAATCATCGAAAGCTTGCCAAAAGACAGCTTGGCAGCAATATTGATCGAACCTGTCCAAGGATCATCTGGATGCCGTCCTGCACTCCCCGAGTTTCTCACATACCTGCGAGAAACGTGTGAAAAGTTGGGTGCTTTGTTCATCGTTGACGAAGTCATGACTTCTCGTCTTGGGCCTTCGGGATATTTGGAGACGCTGGGTCTGAGAGCAGATCTTATAACGCTGGGCAAATGGATTGGTGGTGGAATGAGCTTTGGAGCTTTTGGTGGGAGAGGAGATATTATGGAGATGTTTGATCCCGCACGAAGCACGAAAGGCTTGATGCACGCTGGGACATTCAATAATAATGTGTTCTCCATGTCAGCGGGTATCGTGGCGTTGGACATTTATAACGAGCAGAAACTGAAGGAATTCAACGCCAGGGGTGACCGCATGAAAGCTGGAATTACGAAAGTGCTTTTCGATACCGGAATATACTCTCAAGAGCATGCTGAGTATCTCAAAGACGTCCGAGAGATAGACAGTTTTGAAGACGATGTACGTTTGTACACTGGGAATGATGAGATCGTCAATCTCCCCAAAGTCCTCATATCCAGTCGTGGCACAATGTTGAACTTGCGTTTCACTAGCCCTCAAGCAGGCGCATGGCACAATCTTTATTATCATTACATGCTAGCGAATGGGATGTATTTGGCAAGTCGAGGATACACTCCGATGAACTTGGAAATAAGTGATGAGGATGTTGATAGATTTGTCAGCTTGGTCAAGGAGTTTTTGATTATACATCTCGATGAGATTAAGAATCAAGATTGATCGTAGTATATAATTTTATTGCAGTTTATAGCTGCACTCTCCTGGATGAATGAGACGAGTCATAACTCCAATACTTTGGCACACTTCGAGAGAATCACACTCAACAAATCACAGTCGCATATATAAATCAGGAAACCGCTTACAAAAAGCTGCTACAAATCTCAATGTTCACAGAGTCAGATGATAGCTCCAATGTATCGCATACAGGTATATGATTTTCGTATAATTTCATGATATGTGCGTATAATGGAGCTCTTTGATTGGCTGCGAACCCTCGGCTAAGATGATGAGCAGAAACCTGATTTAAGCCTAGTTGGGGGCTAGTAGAATTACCCCAGTACCCCATAATCCCGAACCTTCGTCAAACGAATCTGGGTCGACGTCTTCATCGACAATCCAAGATGGCCCCTACTAATCGACGAAATATACCTCGGGGCCCGACATTATTTAATAACCAACCCGTCTCATCTATTATAGAGAAGGTTCATCTTCGTCTCAGTTTTTAACTTTAAATTTTCACTGATGAAGGATCCGATCAATTGGCTGTAGAGATGAGGCTTCTTCCTTTCTGAACGTACGATATGTAATGTCATTCTACATAACCTTCTTCCAATGTCTACTCCTTCAGCAATGAAAAAATCACGAAAACCGAAAACGAACTGCCAGAGAACATTTACCGCTTGTTGGACATGTCGTCGAAGAAATGTTCGATGCGACAATGCGGTACCACATTGCTCGCAGTGTGAGCGAATGCGAGTTCCTTGCGAAGGCTACGAGATTCGTCTTGTCTGGGTCGATACTGCAACCGGAGCTTACGTTCCCCAGCAAAGGCGGGCTTATCCGTGCGAGTTGACGTGGAAAGGCTATCCGGATTGGACGCTGAAACAAGTTGGGCATCTGATTGATGATTGTGAGCTGAGAGAGTGTCGTTGCAAGATACAACACAAACTCAACCCGTTTTACACCTTCCTGCAAAATGAAGGCGCCGAGGTGGACTCTGATAATGGGACGAGACTATCGGAGCTTCCTTCGGGGGATCAGCTATACGAGGAATCTGCCCGTGATTCCTGTGGTTCTCCAACAAGCGAAGTCAATTGCCTTATCAGCGAACGAGACGCTGCCGTCAGCGTTGTTCACAGTGTTGCAACTTCACCTATTGATCGGAATTCTCTGCTCAGTGGAAAATACGAGACGACTCTCGACAACGGGGACATAGAACGGAATCCTTGCTCGAGGGAAACAGCATTGTCAGTGTCAATCTCCCGAAATCCATCGCAGTCTTTCACGCCGCATGGATTTGAAGAGGAAAATTTTCTGTTTTCGCACTATGTTTCTCAACTTCCCGGAAAGATGATGCCGATTGACGATGGCCGTAATCCATGGAGGTCAACCTATCCTTCTATTGCGGTGCTTGGTGCACAAACAAGTAGCACTGAGGCGTTGTACTATGCTATTTTGGCCCAATCTGCGTACAGCATATCAAACCTAAAAGGCCCCAAACGAGGAAAGAATGAGAAAGCAATTGCTATGCGATTTTCTGGAAAAGCCATTCAGGAACTCAGGCGGAGCCTGGAATCCCCAGAGAAAGAGTACTCTAGCGTTCTTGCGGCTTTACTTTCTATCATGCTAGCTGAGCATGTGTTCAATCACAATTCTCACGGCTGGCGGAGGCACATTCGAGGCGCTGTCGGGTTTGTGAGTCAGTATGTAACTCAGAAACCGTGGATGTTGTCGCATGATGCATGGATTATCACTCAGAACTTTGTGCTGGCTATTGTCTTGTCGCAAACGGTCTGCAGTGGTACTATAAACTCACCAGACTACATTAAGGACATAGATGGCATGGTTGACGATGTCATATCACAACCTAGTTTTGGTTATACTATGGGTGGGAATACGCGTCTGCTTGGGATGATTTATCAGGCTCGCCAAATCGATGTACAGTTAGCCAACATGGGATATAAGCCGGGAATTCAAGGGATGAAGGAGGATATTCTCGTGCAAGTCGAGGAAATGTTCAGTCAACTTGAAAAGCCGCTTGATGACGATGTGGAACTGTACATGGAACAGCAAGCATCTAATTCAGCCCGGACTCGGCAGCTAGTCGAGGTTCATTTGAATCTCTTTCATGGCGGTGTCATGATATACTTCCTGTGCACAGTTTTGCAAAACCCTCCTTCTACAGTTGCTAGGCAGGTCTCAGAAGTCCTTAACAATACCATGACTTTTGTCGACACCCACAGTAAATACGTATCTGTGTGGCCGGTTTTTATGGCAATGGTCGAGGCTTACACGCTCGAATCACTTGAACTGGCGAATCGATACCTTGCATCCAGCAATGAAGTTTCAGGGAATCGAAAGGACATCGACCGTGTAGTCCGTCAAGTTTGGGCGGATCGCGAAGAATTAGCGAGCGCACGACAGTGCAATTTGGGGGAGATCTTTGTTGACTGGCGGGACGTTATGAAGAAACTGAACCTGGACATTCTGCTCTTGTGAAAGATAATCAAGAGTCATAAAATCTCTATGACATATATCTTTTCGACATTTTTGATCTCTGAACGTTATTATCGTACCACATATTGTTAGGCCACTACAATGAGCTCTTGGACATGAGAGAAATAAGACCAAAATTAACTTTGGAATTTGCGATACTGTATGGAAAAATCATTGACTGAGCCTGCTTTCTAGGGCCTATCAAGGAAAGCGTCAGCAGGAGTTGGAATGGGAAGTTCACAGCGACGAAGGATGGGGGTGGATTGCTGCTTATGTCACGCGAGCTTTGATTCGAAGCCAAAGTGGGTCGGCTTACTCTAGTATGTCACTCCCAGGAAGGCAGCCCACGACGAAGTAGGTTCTATTGGTGCGTTCCTGCAGAACCAAGGTTAACGTCAAACGATCTTGGCCAAGGTCCGTATGTCATGCTCCATGTTTTCGCAAATAACTTTGCTGTCTCCCGATTAAAAGAGGCAGCTCACACCGAGAGGGCTGATTTCTCAAGGCATCAGTATCCCATTATAATGAGATAGAGTGACGTCTCCTTCATAAAAGTTCTTGACGCGCAAGTGAACACCGTCACATTCGCTTAATTCCAATGCCACCAAGAAATACAAAATGAACAGTATATAATAGCGGGATTGATATTCTCCAGTCTTCCAACCTTTGATTCATGATTCAACATATCAACAAGTTTCAGCGAGATAGAACAGCCTTGCGATCACCAAAAGCACGACCTCATATTCGAAAAACCAAACATGGCATCTTCCAGCTTAACAACCCCGTGGAAATTACCACCTCACAACACCTACATTCTTGAAAATGCAAACATAATTAACCCCATCGATGGATCCGTCCTAAAAGGGGCCACAATAAGGCTATCAGATGGAATTGTTCAATCCGTGACAACTACAACTACGGGAGCGACCAAATCGGAAAAGCCACACCAAGATTCTGGTATCACTATCGACCTCAAGGGAAAATACGTATGCCCCGGTCTCATTGATGCGCATGTTCATGTTGCAGCAGTGCCAGGAGAAAAGAATCTTGGAGATACTCTTGGACTCACAGATCAAGTTTCAATGATGCGACAGCCCTATGTTTGTCTCCAAATGATACGGAGAGGTTTTACCACCGCTCGAGACTGTGGGGGCGCAACACTTGCGCTGAAGGAAGCAATAGAAGAGGGCGTCTTTACCGGACCTCGACTTTTCATAGCAGGCAGACTGCTGACACAAACCGGCGGTAGCGCTGATCCTCGCGGTCCCCACGATGATGGCGAGTGTTGTAGTGGTGCGAAGGCTTTGGGCAGAGTCTGCGATGGTGTTCCCGCTTGTATCAAAGCTGCGAGAGAATCGATTAGGACCGGAAGTGACTTTATCAAGATCTTCTCTGGTGGCAGCATAACTGGTCCCGCTGAGAAGATTACCAGCGTGCATTTCAGTAATGAGGAAATTCAAGCCATCAACACTGTTGCGAAGAACAGCGGGACCTATGTCACTGCTCATGCATATACTCCTGCTGCAATCCGACATGCTCTCGACAATGGTGTCATGGGAATCGAACATGGAAATATGATAGATGAAGACACGGCAAAGTACATGGCTGAGAAGGGCGCGTTTTTGACACCAACACTTACCGCGTATGCCGTCGCCGCATCTCCAGAGTTGAAAGACTTCATTTCAGATCCCAGAATGGCAGCAAAACTCCAGCAAGTTCTGAGCGCAGGACAACGATCGTTGAAAATCGCATCCGATGCTGGGGTTCAGATCTGTTACGGCACTGATCTCATGGGACCTATGCATTTTGCGCAGACAAAAGAGTTTGCTCTACGAGCAAAGGTTCTTTCGCCTGTTGCTGTTTTGCAGAGTGCGACCGTGACGGCGGCTCGGCTGCTCGGGCAGGCTGATTTTCTTGGGCAAATAAAAGATGGCTTTGCAGCGGATCTGCTAATTTTGAACAAGAATCCGTTAGAGGACATTGAGGTTTTTGACAGACCTGATGAACATCTCCTGGCAGTGTTCAAGGATGGTCGTGTTCAGACTAGTCGATGGTCGAAATTGAAGGAAGATGTTGTAACTGCAGTTCCAATGATTGAGTAGGGATCAGGCAATTATAGTGTTGGAAAATGGGAGTTGGTTGTCTTTGGATTGGAAGCAACTTGGTAATGAATGATACATTGGACGATAACGACTTATCCTCAACTTACACTCTCTACGATCCACGACTCAACGAAAAACAGGCGGTGGATCTCGTTTTCTTTGATTACTAGACATTTAAGGCAGGATAGGCAGGACAAACAAAAGAAAAGAGCATGAGTTGTCAAAAGTGTTGTCCAGTTGTCATTTTCGGTCGGGCCAAAACTGTCTGCAACATGATTCTCCGTGGTCTCTGGATTTGGTCGTTTGTGTGGGTTGCGCTGGGGAGAAAGCTAGGATATATTCAACTATAGGAAAAGCACTTTCCTATCATCCAATCTATCTGTCCCGTATCAAATGCTTTGAGTTACTTGCTGTTTCTTGCTCGTGTCGCTGTATTCCAGCATTTGAAAATCGTATAGCGTCAGGAACCTGAGTATCATAATGGCATGCTTTTCTCGACCGTACCTCCAATCTCTCACAGAGCACTTATAGCGCCTCACAGAGATAAAGCAGCCACATGCACAATCAGGCAGCTGATATTATCTATGTTCTCCAGATGACTTCTACAACTGAACCTGGAACCTTGGGTGAGTCCTCAAGAAACGCCCATAACGAACCAACAGAAACGGAACAGGAAGAAAAGCCATAGCTATGAAAGCGAAGATACTGTTTCCCCAACCGTATCCAACGCTATGATATAGAGGCTCAGCTGCCAACGGAAGCACCGCAGAGACGATAGACCGTATCATCAAATTACCTGCGGTAGCACTAGCAGCAAACACAGAATACGCATCTACAAGGTACATTGAGACCGGGAGAAAGCAAAACATGGCGCCTATGCTAATGAGAGAGCTGCCAATGATGGGAACTATCCAGTGAGTATGATACTCTGTAGACCAGCCGTACCAGAAAAACCCGGCTGGGATGAGAACAGAGCCAATGATGAGAGGCGGGAGACGATCTTCTGGTGTTACATCCATTTGACGCGACTTTTGATATTTGAGCCATCGGTCAGAGAAAGCTCCAACCACAATCTGGCCAATGATGAATCCTACTCCAATGCCAAAGAGAGTGAAACCGGACTGCCATATGGTAAAATCATATTGCGATTGGAATGTGATAGCGAAGGTGGAGAGTACCAGATTGAGGTAACTTAGAGCGATGGAGCTCTGCAAAGCCAAGATCAGAGTTACCGGAGAATGAATCAAAAGCTTCAGCGGCCGAATAAATGCTTTCGAAACGGCTGACCACGGCTTTCGGGTCTGCACTTCTCCCCGTGCGTGCTCTTCTCGAACCTTCCTCCGAGCCTGCAGCACTGGTGCGTATGTTTCCCTGAGCAGCAGAGCACTAACAATAGTGAGAACCCCTGCAATAATACTGATAAACCAGAATATCCATCTCCAACCAAGCTTCTGAGCGATGATCCCACCAACTACAGGACTCAACGACGGACCAAGTGTTGGGCCAACTGCAAAGATAGTCATAGCAAAGCCTCTCTTTTCAAGAGGTATCAAGTCGGCAATCAGGCCAGGACCGAGAGTTCCTGCACCACATGTAGAAAAGGCTTGACCAAGTCTGAAGATGAGGAACATGGGGATGTTGATGCTCAAAGCGCAAGCAATAGTAGAAATCAGAAACAGTAAGTTCGAGGCGTGAATAACTGGTACTCTACCATAAAGCTCACTTAGTGGTGCGCAGATCAATGGCCCGAGAATATAACCTGCTGCATACTCTGATATGGTAAAGGTCGCCAAAGTATCACCAGAAGAATGGAATTCCTTCAAAAACTCTGGTAAGGCTGGGCCGAATACTGACGACGACGACGAGCTAATGTAATTATTAGCACTTGAGCTTTCCATGTAACTGATAGCCAGCATACCAGACAAACGTAATTGACGAAATAAGCAAAATGATGCTCCATTTCCTCCCAGAGCTCCAGTTGAAGGGATTCTTAGGGTCTTTCAGTTCTTTCAATTGTTCCTTGCTTGTTTTATCAAGGGACTTATTATCAAGGTGAGTTGTCGGAGCTAGTGGCTCTACTGGTATATTCCCTGCGCTCACTAGCTTTTCAGAGGGTTTCGACACTTGTGAAGCCATTTACGTATTTCCAGCTGATTCCCAAAGTAATAGGGTGTGTATCAGAGTGGGAATAGAGTCGACCATGAGTTCGAGCGGGCTATTAGTTGCATCATTGACAAGCATAGAATGAGACAAGTATCACCTTTGTCTAACACCATGTCGCTGATCTGGAGTAAACTTACCTGTGCTGTGAAATGCAAATAACTTGAAGCAAGCGAACCTTGCCCGTTAATTGATGCAAGCAGGAACAAAAGGGTAGTATCACCGAGCGAAGATCTCTATTGTACCATGGGGCCAATGTTTCGTAGATATGAAGTACTTTGTTGTGCGCATGGCCGTAACATTCTGTTAGTCGTCGCCTGCCTAAATGAAAGCGTCGCACACATGTCGGGTATTGCTTGAATCTAGGATCGGACATGCTCAAAGTGCAAAATCCTACAATTGACTGTGTCATGCATTCAGCCTAAAAGAGGTATATGTGGACTACATATCTTGTTAATCTGATGCGCTCCAAATGCGGAATTCACCTTCGCATGGAGAGTTACATCAGGACCAACTCACATCCTTGCGTACGAAGAAGCATGTTGGTGGCAAAGCTTATATGGGTCACCCTGCTCACATCTTTTCCACGAAAAAAGACCGGATTGTCCTTATCAGACGCTGTAAAAGGAAGTTAAATAAGCGGATAAGGCACAGAAGTGCTACTCAAGCTTTGAGGTATCGGCAACTAGATCCAACTGCCGTTAGTTTGCACCAACCTATCATGGCGCAAGGATTGCTCTAATCTTGACTTCGCGTCACTTCCACTTGGTGAAGAAAACCCCATTCACAAGGTTACCGTCACTTGATTTTATAATTAATATTTCAAGGTCGATTTTCGCTACGTTATGCCTATCATGCTCGCAGTCAAACTTCAAATCCTCACTCAACCTCAACATTCCTACCTAGGGTGCATGAGACCCCTTAACCTCGCTGTCCGTGAGGCAGACAGAGGCTCTTATTGATAGTCGTAAACAGAATCCTCTACATCGACAATCATGTTACGTGCAAATCTGCGTGTCATGGAAAAGTCGTAAATGGCTTGAAAATCCACGCATTGGCGAGTAGATTCAGGTCTCAGAGTCATGCCTAACTTTTCTTCCGTTTGCCAGTGTATCGCATGCAATGTCAGGTCGGGATTGCAGAGTACAGATCGTCGTAGGACTTCCAGACAATGATCTTTTGATATTAGATCATGTAAACAATGGCCAATGGGGCTACTTACAAGAATGATGGAGACCCCCATGGGAAGGATCACCGCCAGATCGAACATAGGTCTCGGGGTGAAGACCTTGGTATAAATAGCGCTTGGGAATCAAATTATCAGCAGATTTCATCAGCGATTGTGGAAGTTTTCACAAATCACGCACAAGACAGTGTAAGTTGTGAAAGTATCCCACAACAACGGCTTGGTCCCCGTTCTTCAAGCGAATATCACTTGTAAGATTGACCTTAGCACTTTCTTCGGGAGAGACGCTGATTCCTTCCACTGAGTATGAACGGTCAGAAACTTATAATGTCTAAACGTGGGGATGTCTCCTACCCGCTTGAAGTTTGTCCCATGCCAGATCAAGTTCTTCGGAAGGCTCTCCCAGGAAGATACTATTATCCCAGGCGTCTTTCTCCCAATTTTCAATCTTTTTACTGATCACATTTTCGAACGGACCTTCATTGTTAGAAAATGTGGGAGATTGTGGTGGAGTAGCGGCTTACTATAGAATTTTGATGCTTGCGACCTTTCGAAAGATGTATTGGAGTGCTGTTGCCACGAAGATTTCCACAACACCAGGAGGCCAATGTGAATCAATATCGAAAGTAAAGAAATCTTTGTCAGCACCCATGGAGTCTTCAGAGAACGGCGATATGTTGCTCCTTGAAAATTTCCACTATCTTCTTTTCCCAAGAAAGGCTCTTGGTCTTCCTCTTCGATAGTAGAGATGGCCATTCTGATGTAGATTTGTAGTAGATTTGTAGCCTCTGGAACTCGAATGTGTTGCTGAGAAGCTGTGGAAGAGCTAAACGAAGGAATAGAATACTGAAAAGGGAACTCTGTCGGGCTTACTGAAGATACCGAACTTCAGAACCCATCAATCAAATCATGGACGGTTAAAGAAACATGTTGGAAGTGTTTGTACTGGGCCATCTTAGACACTTGCTGTGTCGATCCAGAGAAAGTGATCAGCGATCACAAACATTGTGACTACCTTGCATTCCGGAACAAGGAAGTTTTCATGCACGAAAATCAGTAATGCTTGATGCGGCAAGACCTTACTCTGGAAGAAAGCAAATAAAAAAGCTGAAGCAGTCTTCCTGTGAGGTGCATGTTGGTTCCGGAGGGAATACATAATAACCTAGTTGGGCTGAGTTTCTGGTAAGCTACATAGCAGTGAGTTGATCCAGAATTATTCACAAGAAATCAACGACGTCGAGCAACTTCAAAGCCCCTCAGCTAGCACCCTCACTCAGCAACACCATTCAATATGCAGCTCAGCTCTCTAATATTCCTCGCCGTCCTCTGTGGCCTTGTACATGCTCTAGCAATACCCGTGACAACCAGTAAGCTCATGACCCTACTCTTGCTGATTTGCACATTCAACTGATTCGCCAAAGATGAAGTCCAAACAGACACAGAATCCGCCCAAGCGAAGGCTTATAACCCGGGGACTTCAACGGTGGAAGCCATTCTCAGGGCATATTCCTCTATCTAAAACCGGTCGTCTTGTTTTCCCGATGGGGTGATGTGTCAGCATCTACTCGGATGAACGATTTGCATCGTGGTGGCGTGTATGTGAAGTTGCCTATGATATTGCAGAATGGCATAGAGTAGCAGCTTTAGTTCAAACTTCATGGTGCTCCGTATGCAACGAGGTAGCGAGGTGTTATCAGTCATAATGTAGCATGCTCGTGAAAGATTCAAATTGAAAATGTTGTGCGCATCAAACCATGTTACACAGGATCTGCCTTGAGAGCTCTCCGCGCAGTGATTGAAATTTCTATAGCCACATCTTCGGGGGATGTAAAGCTGTGCCGAACTGTGAGTCTACAAGCCCTGAACATATGCGCCGTATTCTGCAAGGTTAGTCTACGAAGTGCCCGTACTGTACCGTAGAACCAATGGTGTTAGCCCTACCCGCCCGGGCCGCAGCGGGGAGCTTCCTGTTGCAGTACATGGGTGTTTAACTTATGCAATTGCCAGTCGCATCCTCGGCCAGTCCTGCAAATCTTCCACAAACGTGCGAGTCGTGCCACAGCTTGATTTCAACAGTGAGTAGGCAGTAGGCCAACAACAAGATAATTACTTCATCTTGTTTTCAACCATGCAAGTTCCAACAATCCCTCTGCACGATCTGTACTGAAGTGGAAAAAAGGCGACTGCTGTACCACCCCCACACATATCCAACCCGGCCTGATTTGTAGCTAAGTGGTAAGTGGCTGGCAATATGAATCTCCAACATGCAAATAATTTACCCACGTCCAAATAATTGCGCCGTGCAGGGTCATTCGGATGGCTGTTTCCTTCTCTTACGGGGGAGGTTTTCTATAGGAAATGGTACGAAGTCCCGATGTATTCAGGTTCTGCTTGAATTTCTAAAAGGGGAGGTGTCACACCGTGTTGATCATAACACTGTTGGGCCAACCCTGGTTGTTGCTGATTATTGGATGATGCGTTCTTACATACTTCTCTTCTCATATCATCACAAAGTACCACGAAACTTTTTGCATCTCTACACACATCTCCATGTGACTGATTGTTTTGGAAACATTCATTGCCAACGCCTTTGGCTTACCTTAGTCGTGTCAAATAACTGATACTTTTTCACGATGGGGCTTTACGCGAAGTTCACTCCTGGCGAGGTCGCTGCTGCAGGCGTCGTATTTCCCTTCATCGGTACAATATTAGTTGCGTTGCGTACAAGAGCTAGACTCAGGAAGCTCAAGAAGCTGGCTGTCGAGGACTACTTAGTCTACGTTGCACTGGTACGTGTAGGACTCTTTTACAAGGAGAATTAGCATACACTAACGGGTAATCGTGGTTAGGGGCTCTTGATAGGGATGGGTATTGCGACCGTCGTCGGTAATGATGAACCACCCACGTTTCTCCTGTACGAAGCTTCTAGACTCACAATTTGAGGTAGGTGTTGCGACAAAGTCCGAAGGGTACTCTACTCCAAAGGAAAAGGAACTGAAACAGGCCACTGAAACCAGTGTCGAAAAGGTACTGACTTTTTACTCGTTCATGTTTCGTATAACAAGTTAACGCAGGTCAGGTCTTCTGGATCACTGAGTTATTTCAGCCTTTAGCCCTAGGGTGTATCAAATTGAGTTTCATATTCTTCTACCGCAAAATATTCAATGTCGGACCAAAGACTTCGATTTTCAACGTCGTATCGATTGTTTCAATAGTCATAATGGCTGTCTGGATGTTTGGTTTCTTCCTCGCGGTCTTGCTGATTTGTCCTGGCAAAATCGACAGATACTGGGGACCAGTTGCCGGGCGAGCACAGTACTGCTGGTCTACCACCAAATTTCTTTATGCCCTATGCTGGTCAGATGTTGGAACCGACTTGATAATTCTTGTGATGCCTATCCCATCAGTGAGTAACGAGCTCATTGTTCGAGACTTTGTGATCAATCTCATATCTGTGACAGGTTCTTCATTTGCACATTACTACTCGGAAGAAGATAGGAATTGCCTGCATATTTGGCATGGGTATCTTGTAAGTTCTATGTGCTACGTTATTCTTCAAAGACTAATTGAGCTTCATAGAACCGTGGTTGCATCGATCATTAGAGCTGTTTTCTACGTTAATTTGTTGAATGGTATGCATAGCTTTGTTTCACTTATCGCGTACTGAAACTAACACTTTCGTAGCGGAAAAAACGGAACTTGCGACCTTCGACCCGAATATGCTCAACACTAACGGCATATACTGGATGCTTGTAGAAACCGGTCTTGCTCTCATTGCGGTCAATCTCCCTCTTCTGTACGGCACGGTAAGACATGAGGGCATTGAGTCTGTAATTCGCTCAGTACGAAGCTTCGCCTCAATAGGTTCACATACCCATTCGCAACATCACGACATCTCCTCGGCAGCCGCATCAATTACAAAGAACAGCGGAGAAGGTTTATCCGAGAACAGTATAGAATTGGTTCCTCAGGGCACGCATAGCAAATCTACTTCCAAAGCGTTGCATAACGATGTTGATGTTGAGGCGGGCAATATCAACGTTGTGAAGACTTACAGCGTGCACGAGCTAGATCCTCACGCCCGGTGATACCCCCTAGGGCATCTTGTATTCTCCGATGAATTGATTGTAATTAGCTGGCGGCTGTTCCGTTACCACTTTGGGTAATTATATAGAGTTCGATAAGGTGAAAAAGGATAAGACGTCAATAGCATGCTGTATTTTCGATCTTCATCAACTCGCTATATGCTGATAACCTTTTCTAGAGTAGCAGTAAATACTCTTTGAACTTTTAAATTAATGGATCTTTAGTAATCAAACATTTATTGAAAGTGACGATTGTGCCTACGATTTCCGATGCGTATGTACATTTGTTTGCGAGTGTCTCCTCGCATTGATAGACTTTGATAGTCTCCGGCCGTAGAAAGAAAATCCAGGATGACTAAGTAGTGGTTAAGCGCCCGTAGAATGCCTTGTCCCGCTAAAGCCTGCAATAATTTGTCAGATCTTTATCAGTGGCTTTCATCCCAACTTCTTCCCTGTTTTATCGCTCAATCTAACACATCCAACATTTCCATCACCACAAAATTTATAAGTCACAACGAAAGCGACACTTCGTGTATCACCACGCAGGCACTAGAAGAAATCACTTTTCTGTCATCACTTCCCATCTCGACGTAGTCATGAGTTCAAATATCTCTGAAAGTGGAACTGCTATTGGGGCATCAAGCAAATGGTCCGACCCTAACAAATGGGACGACGCCGCAGCGGAATATAACGAAGCTGTAGGGAGATCTTCTCGTCTTGGTGCTGCACATCTTATTACCTTAGCCGACGCTCTCCATCCCATATCATCTGTCTCAAACGCGCGAGCCATTGACCTAGGGGCAGGAACCGGATCACTTACCCATCTACTCTCGGCTGCCTTTCCATCGCTACCTATCTTGGCAACAGACATCTCCCCAGGCATGTTAGAAGAACTGATGACGATAGCCGACTTGACTAGAAACCAAAGCATTACGACTCAAGTCGCCGATATGGCCTCCCCAGTTGGTGGTGCGGTAACGGAAGGATCTTTCTCTCACGTGTTCAGCACTATGGCCATTCAAGTGCTGCCAGAGCCCGCTGGGGAAGGTACACTAAAGAAATGGTCAAGCTTGCTAGCTCCTAGGGGCATCGTGGCAATCGGAATGTGGGATTTTGACGAGAACTGTGGACCGCATACACTATGGGCGGAAGCTGCAACTGCGGTAGATCCTTCGTATAGAAACCCATCATTGCTACCACCTAGACATTGGTACGGGCGCGCTCAACTAGAGAAAGGATTGAAAGAAGCGGGATTTCGAGATATAAAAAGTGAGGTCTTAGATATCGGGTTCCACGTTGGTAAAGAGGGTTTTATGCGATTTTTCTGGGAGAGTGGAAATCCTATGGCGAAGGACAGACAGGCGAGTTTTAAGGGGGATTTAGCTAAGGTGAAAGTTGAGATGGAGAGGCTTTTGGATGGAGTTTATGAGGGAGGAAGGAAAATTCCATTATCGGCTGCGTTGGCGGTTGCTAGAAGACCTGAGTAAGCGTTCAAGCAGCTAGTTCTTGCGTGCGCATCACATTGACTATTTCATTTTCACACTGAAGCGATATTGGATAAAACCAAAGCTCTTTCAGAGTACAGCATGAAGTTTCACAATGCATTAAGCTGCTATGATCTACTCTAAGCGTCTTATAACATATATCGCTAACTATGCTAAAATTATAATTTTATGTTACAGTAATAAGTGCCCAAGCTCGTATCCTCTAGTTTGGCCGACGAAAATGGTATATTTGTCGACTATTTTGGGTTTTGGTCTTCTTCTTCAGATCGAGTCAACCTCCCGTTGAAGATGCACTTCGCAGCAGTGATTTAGCTAACGATGCCAACTTATATACTGTTGATAAGCCTCTGTTATTAGGCAAAGAACATCCAGGGCAAGTAAGCTACTCGTGTCTCAAAGAGAATATATCCTTATAGCCAGGTCTAAGTCTAAAATGCTGTCACGCGCGCTCACTTAGCCTTCTTGATGTTTTCCGAAGATTTGGCCTATGATTTGACATTTCGGGGTAAGTAATTCTCTCCCTGGGCCGAGAATGTGGAAGAGCTTCGGCTTCCCGCTGATGTCTAGCACTACCACAATCCTGAACTCTACCCAGAGGCCTGGTCTGCTCAATTGCTGAGCTCAACTTTTGCTCCTCAATATGCTGGCCTTATTGGTTGACTGATGTAGGAGGACTCGAGATGTATGCACCTTCTTCTATCCAGCAGATTGATTCATCCGCGGTGGTGGTATTGCTTGGTGTTGATAAGCCACCATGTGGAGAAATCCTCTCAGTTTCATGGTCTAAGTGGCCGGTCCCACCTGGAAGTGTGGAAAGAATTTTCATGAGGATCGTCATGGACTTTGGTGTTATTTCTGCGATGGCTGCTCTAACCGTGTATCAAATCCGTCGGCCTCGAATTTTTCCTATGATTAAGCAGCCTTTGTTGCTCAAGCTGCGGTGAGGTTCAAGAAAGTGCTTGTTGATCGTGGATTTCGATACTGTCTGAAGTAAACGGGGACACTTGTGGGCATCATTATTGTTACAAGCACAAGGCTTACAGATCCTGGAGCCGATATAAACTCTAATTCCAGAGTGATCAAGTGTTCCGTCCGCATGCGCATCCTCAAACCAGGCGTGTAGTTCACTTTTCGGCGTAGCTAGAAAAGCCTTGGGGCCCTGCCAAAGTCGGAAGAACTACAAGATCCCCAGTGTTGTTTGCATAATATAATTGATCCATTCACCGTTTCTTTCTTCAGTGCAATAAATCTATTTCAGAGTGTTCGAGCATTTTCCAACGATAATTGCGGATCGGGGGAACACGAGACGGAGCGACTAAATGGCCTTGTAGGTGGATGTAACGATCCACAACTTAGAAATGTCAGAGTAGCCAGCGTGGTCTTTATTATTTGATCACCTTGCCTTCTCAAGCTTCACTTCAACAACCCTGCCACCATGTTTCTTTGGTATTGGTTTACATCCATGAAAGGGGTATTTCTTCAATATTTTGATTCAGATGTTCAGCCAGTATCATCTGCACATGTGCCTTCTGCTTATCATTATTTTCTTCGCATTAGTGCAAATAATGCGTAATAAGTTGGTCCGATTGCAACTTAAGCAAATAGAAAATTGAGGGAGCATATGGGCTAAACACTTTTCAACCATTGCTTCTCCTCAGCCAATCGCACAGATTCCAGGTGATCCTCGAGTGCGTCTGTCATCTAGAACCTGACATCATCCTGCTTAACTCATACCCATCATCTCAACGCTCTTGTGATAATCGCTCGTTCCATTGGATGGATCACGATCCTTGGCTTTACAGGTGCTGTACTGCTTTCCATTTCCATGCGCACCATCAATACGCATAAAAGTCTGTCCCTTGGCCTTGAGCATGTTAAGAGCGGCATCTTCGTACCAGCCATTAATGAAATCACCGTGCAAGCAATAACCATCGCCAATCTAAGCAAGTTAAAGGAATCAGTACTTTCTTCGCCAACGAGCAATACAATATGGGAGACCGATAGCAAAACAAACAAGAAGGGCTACATACCGCACCACAAGCCAACTTGAATGGCGGAATACCGGTCCAGCCTCCTGGTATGGCCTTCTTGGTATCATATCTAATACTGAATCGCAAGCTCGGCATCCTCTTCATCCCACTCGGACACTTTCCACCATTAGCAGCCGCATACGCATACTTCTTCACATCACTTGGATTCACGCAATCTGGGAATCTCAGGATCGCTTGCATATGTGCTGTGCAAGTCACTCGTGGAAATGCGGCACGAGGCCGGGTGGTTCGATCTTCAGGTCCAGCATCGCACCACCAGGTAATGGCACTGATATTCTCGTTTATATCAGATTGTGACTTTGCGGAGGCATTACCAGCCACCATGCTGAGATTGGGAGGGAAAGGAATCTCGGCTCGGTCGATATTCTCGTAATAAGTTTTGAAGGTTGCTGGGTATATTTCTGTGTATGTATCTCCTTTTACGTAGTAAAGTGTTGGTGCCCCTGTCCTGATATTAGTTTAGATTTATGACGTCCATGGATTTGAAGACTCACAATAAATGGATAGATCATTTGGGTTCTCGCCAGAGGGACATCCTTTCTGCAGTTCTGCCGTGGTTGGCAGGTCTTTGGTGATGATATCGGAACCATAAAATGAGTGCATGTGAGAAACATATCGTCCTGGAGAGACAATTGGATCGATATTTTTCCGCATGAATGGCTTATGCTCGATGTCCGTGAGGGCAACGGCAGTGCCTGCTAAGACAGCAAATCTCGCGACGAACATTTTAACAAGATTGAGGCGACTATGATGTCCTTGTGCTGCTTGTGTCTAGAAAAACTTCGAACTAACACATACGAAGGCATAAGGGTCATATCATATATAAGCGAGAACCCGAAGGTTGGGATCTGTTGAGTTGTGGGGAAGAACTGCCGGATTTTAATATCAGCTTAATGTAGACGGCAGAATGGTTTATCTGGTAACCCAAAGAAAGACACATACATTACCATTCTGCATCTGCTGTAGAGGTTTCTCATTGGTGGCAAAATAATATCTCGACAATGATGTGGGAAGTTCTCAGCCGATTTTCGAACGAAAATGTCGTCTGACACCCGTTATAATCCTACCATTTCAGAAAACGAGGCCAGTGGACACTGAATATGGCAAACCATGGTGCTCAATATCTCAATTCTCCGCAGACCTTTGGTGGTACAACTGAATGTGGGGCAGCCAGATACATCGTTCCCCATCCGTCCATTCGATTAGGTTTATAGAATAAAGTAGGCCAGCGGGATGTTAGAGGAGGCTAATTACATGATGCCCTGACTTCTCTTAATGATAGAAGGCTGTTATACAACAGCGAATATACGAGTGTCCATATTCAGCTGCGGAGGTCTAACGCATCTCCACAACCCCACACCACCAAACTCATGCGTTAGTAGATAATGAGAAAACTACACGTGACACAATCCATTGGCGGCCGAGAAGACGAAAAATAGATTTACACCTGACGTCGGATTCCAATTATTGGAGCAATAGCACTCAGCTGATAGCAAGGCAATGCTTGGTATAGAAGTAAAAATCATAGAATCTTCAAGCAGACAGGACTGAAGTTGTTGACGAGGTTGAACTGGGGATCGCGTCTTGCGTCGAGTGCATCCCAGCAAAATGGTCACATGACGCTGGACGCAAGCAATAAAACCCCTTTTCGAAACCACTGGAATAATAGGAGGGTGTTCTGAAACTCTAATTTATGCGCGTGAAATTTCAATTAATGAATGACTTTGCTACATAGCTATATTTGAAGAACACAATCTTTTCTTCTTTTGATATCAATTTTATATATTAAAGTCAACCATTTTTCATCCAATCAAATGTCAGGCTCAATGGTCTAGTGGTATGATTCTCGCTTTGGGATTGATCAGTTCATCTGGTCAAGAAGATGTGAGAGGTCTCCGGTTCAATCCCGGATTGAGCCCCTGGGATTTCTTTTTGCATTGTTTTTGTTCTCGATATTCATCAATGTTACCCTCACTTTTTTTGTTTACTAATTCTAAATTATTTTTGTGTCCAACCGTCGTTCTACTCTTAGCACCATAATTATCTAACCACACACAAGGTTTTGTGTTTTACTGCAGTCGTAGATGGGGCATCACCAGGATTTAAAAAACGTGTCAGGACTGCTTTCGTCACACTAGTCTCAACCGTGGCACTTGTCTAAGTTTGAAAGTCTCCAACAGTTGATCGATCGCTAATACCCACGAAAAGTTCGGTTTTAGACAAGTTCTTATCAAGATCCTGACAACATCAGCGATCTGAGGAACTGTCCGTGCCGCTCTTGATGGGCAGATTCGAGCGCCTCCACATGTTACCTCTGCAGCAATAGATGCGGCGCTGGCGTGTTCAGTGGAATGTATCAAGCCAACCTAGCCACTGGCTACGTTGCACCTAAGGGTCAATAAGGGAAATCTGCAGATTTATTTGCATTCCATATTTTCATTTTCCCCGCTCTTGCTGGGCAGTTAACATGATCAGAATAACTGAAGGGTCGAATACCAAGGGTGTTTTCTTTTCTAGTAGTATCAGTTAGCATTACGTATCATGGTTGTGCTTATCATCTGCTTTAAACTCAAGGGTTCACGCCGCCTTAGTGGAGAGGAGATCCAACGGGTTTCCTTTCTTCAGCTTTTTGTGTCTTCAGAGGTTCCTAACCAGCAACACACCATACATGTCTGGAAATGAATACGTGCTACACTGGGGGCAAAGCTGTTCAAAACGCCTCAAAAGTTACGTCGGGTACGCTTACTGGCTACTGTGGAGGTGACATGTCTCACTTATTAGCTGAAGGGTTCTTCTTCTTGCTATCGGAAGTTCATCACGATGACAGGTGCTCCGACATTCGACTCAAGCAAAGCTGCTCGAGGTCAATGGGAGGGTTCAAGTATCTATGGGGTGACTCATGGATTGTCTCTCTATGCACACCCATATATAAGATTGTGCCTGTGCTCCGCCGGCACAATGAATCAAATCGAAAATCGGACTGCTTTATCTACGCTACTTCTATTACGATACACATTCGATCAACATCCTTATAAGCTTGGCTACTTTCAAGGAACAACTTGATTCAATACCATAGCATCTGCAATGGAGACACTCCAGACCAAGGGGGTCGAAGCGATTGCCAGTGTAAGCTCGCTTTTACGCGATGCTATGGCCGCCTCGCTCCCCGTCGCCCCTGAGCAGTACCTTACTATCGCCATACCTGGTACGGTCATAGATCTGGCCGATTTTGAAGAAGGCGGATCATTCGTTTACGATGTTGCGAAGCACGCCATGCCTCCTACTACTGTTCGCCAGAGCGAGGGTCATTTGGTCGATGGAATGATACCACTCTCAACGATTATGGTAGGTAAAGACGGTGGTTTCGTCATTTTTACTAAGTGTATATCGATTGGGAACACTGGAAAGAGTGTAGCTCGCAGCTATTCACGATCCCTTGATGGTCTGGTTCCAGCGAAAGCAGATATCGGTAGTAGCACTGGTACCGCAGTTCCGGTAGCCAAAGTTACAAGGATGCCATGACATTTCTTCGTGGGACAGCTGCCGGGAAAACAGAAACAGTGGTCGACGTTCACTGCAAAAAGCAAAAGGTATGGGGGGAGGCTCGGTCTGCTTGGGACAAAAGCAGGTCTGATGCTGAACGTAAGTTTTCCGTACCTGTGTTAGTATCGGCTAAACCGACCTCCTTTCTCATGACACCACTAAACTTATTTCAGATGAAGCAGAGAAAAAGTTCCCCCCAGGATCTAGCCCTGATTTTATCGGGAGGCAAAAGCAATTCATCAACGACTGGAACCTACAAGCGACTTAAGCTCGAGCAAGACACTCTCGACGAAGCAAATGGCTGGATTATGTCGAAGGAGACTACTATCAGCGATGAATTGAAGAAGCTCACTGAACTTAGCAAAATCAAACTAGCCTCTAGCCCGACTAATGTGCCTGTTATCACAGGAGCAACTGCTCCTAGAAATGAGGCAGACAAGAACACTCCTCACGGACTACTTCTTGCGACTGAAGGAGCTGAAAAGGCAAGTCCGATATTCGCAACTCCACCAGCCGCTTCTTTCCCCGCCACTATTTCTGTCCCCAGCAATCCATCGCTCACTAATGCTGAGGAAGCTGATCCCTGGACTACGATCTCGTTTTCATACTCAGCATCCGATGTAAAGCAAAGTGCCGAGCAACATAGCTGGGGCAAGGGTGTCGGCGGTGCCGTGGGCTTTGGTCTTTGGTCTGTCGGTGGCTCATATTCCCACGATGAGACGCACGAGTCGATGCAGAGCGATATGGCAGCTTGTGATGTCAGTGTATCTTTTTCCGCTCTTGTCGTCAACATCAATCGTCCATGGCTATATGGCGAATTGTTTTCCGACATTGGTTTGGAGCTTGCCGATGGAGTCAAATCAAGCCCAGGTCCGCTTGCTTTACAAAAGATGATCGACGGGCAGGCTACCGGCGATCTTGCAATGTACAGTCAGTTTCCAGCCTATCCAACGAGCTTCATTGTCGCTGCAGACACGACAATTGAGTTTACTGGCTCGACAAAGCACATCGAGCAGCAATTCGATTCGCACAGTAATTCTGGCGGCGTCTCCGTACGTACCTCTATATGTTTGCTACATATCTGCTAACCTTTTTCGTAGGTCGGATATGGTCCATGGTCTGTCTCGAGCAGCTTCCACGAAGCCGCATCTTCGCAGAGGATGCAGGTGCACTCTACTGCCACAGGCTGCAAGCTGTGCTTTGGTGCTCCCCAAGTTGTTGGCTGGGTTAGCCAGATTCTGCCAAGTCTACCACGTCCTAGCGGCTACAATCCTATGACTCAAGGTGTTGGATTACCTCTACCAGCCTAGTACAGATAGACTCAAAGGTTGTCTGCTATTCATCTTGCCATAAATTCAGAGACTCTTACAATTCGCAACGTCTTCCAACCTCTCCCAATCTAGCTTTCTACTTTCAAAATGAGATTGCTATGTTTGAACGCCGTGCTCTCCTGTAAGATGACTGTTTCTAATATCAAATGAATAAATTTCATATGTTTCATGTTCTCAATTACACTCATTAACATGAGCGATCTCCCCAAAGATATCATAAGAGTTAGAACCCATTCAGGTTACTTTAGGCGTGGATTTTGAACTGTGTGGCCGAGCAGATGCGGGGCTGACTAGTAACTCGCCAACACTCCGACTATAATTTATCTGGTCCAGGCTCGCTAGACAGTCAAATCTTTCGGCGCGACGTACTGATGTAATTTTATGTTTTCGACTTCGACAGCATTTTCGTCACAGAATAGCGGCTAGGGAAGAACAGCAGTCTTGAGGAGAACCGTAGAAGCAATGTGGTTGAGTGAAATGGTTGCCGAATTTACAAAAAGTCTTTTCTGTGCAGTTCTCCTATGATTATGACATCAATCTTATACAGAATCTTTTTCTTTAGCAAGAGAGAATCAAGCATCACTTAGCCTTTGAAGGAAGTCTTCTTTGACAGTGGGAGCTAAAAGGATGACTTAGTGTGAACTCGGTAAAGTTTGTGTGATGTGTCGACCCAGTTCCCGTAGGGTTAAACGATAGGAAAAAAGACACTTCATGGTTTGAAATTAAGGCAACTAGTGTGACGGTCTGACGGTAACTTTCTAGCTATTATCACGTCACCCGCACGTGACTATTCTGCAGACCATTTACCACTTCTATTGGGAAGTTTCCTGCCTTCTTTTTTCCGATACTTCAGGTTCATCAAAAACGGTTTCCAGCTTTCCTTCCTCTTACAATTTACTGGCCTTCCCTCAGTACATGCAAATACATAACCGACAACTGACACAACTGAAAATCGACAAAAATGGACAAAATGCGGAAAGTCTTGCATGAGGATAGCCGTCCCAAATTGGCTTTGGAATCTCTCCCTGCCGAATTGAAGGTCATAATATTCTTTGCGCTACCGGATCTCATCTCCCTGAAGCACATTGCATCAACAAGTCGCTCACTCTACAATGCTGTCAAATCCGCGGAAAGACATGTCGTTCACCCGTTCCTCTCAAGCGAATTAGAGTTCGACGTGTTGCCCGAAGCCGCGGCTGTGATAGCCTCCTCACGAATAAAGTCACGAACAAAATCCCAGATGCTCACTTTCGCCGAGAATCATCTCCGCTGCCCGTGGCATTGGGATCCAAAGTTTTATTTCACCCTTGCGGATGCTCTCTACATAAGCAAACTCCACAAACAGATTCAATCTTTTACAAACCAATTTTTTGTTGTGGCATTCATGGATGATCATGAAATTCTGGATCCTGCACCACTATCTCGGAATGAAACAGCTCGAATCATGCGAGCGTTCTATCGGTTCGAGATATACTGTAATCTATTTCGATATAAGCAAGAACAACAAAATTATACGGCTAAAGAACAGCAAGAGTTATTCTTCTCCTGGTTTTCTCCCTGGGACAACGAACAGTTAGCATGCGTTGAAATGTTTTTCTCTTTGACTCACGGCAACTGTAAGTTATCCCAAACATAAAAAAATGCTCCTACTAAACATATTACTAAACATATCAGTCTTGGCAGATATTGTTGCAAGCGAAAACATGGCGCCTCAGAGCAAAGTCAATAGCTACCTTGGCCCCAACGGTGAACGTTTTCAGCACTTCTTGTCCTTGGGTTTAGATTACCTCCATCAATTCGACACAGCAGGCTCTTTAGAAGAGCAAAAAGCTCTTATGTATCCGCACTTGAATTTGGAGAATGGCGACTTTCTTCATTCGGGGTTAGAAGCGGTAAATAAGCCACATGACGGGGTTCTTCTGAAGAATTACATTTTCTCACCGTCAGGCGAACTCGAAGGGCCGGGCTGGCCCGTACATTTTCGTGACGATGACTATGGTCCGCATGTGGCATGGATTGGATCACACTTGAATTTTAGTTGCGATCGGCTTATCTGGGGCTGCGACTTACATCAGCTATATGATCAGGGATATGTAATGCGGGATTTCATACGACTTCAATCTCTAAACATAGACTACGATTGTGGGCAGGAAATAATAGACGCCCGAGAGATTCATATGGCTCGGATGTCGGGTTCGGAGCAAGGATGAATGTAATCTAGTATTATTGGTTGTAGTCTCCGGGCTGGAAATTGGGTCTCAAACTGACATATATTTGAAGTGAGAAGATGCGTGCGCCGAGCAAAATACGTGAATGCCTTGTTCACTGGGCGAACCCGAATAAACGCATGTTTTGCCGGAGCATTGGCCCATAGAAAAACCGTATTTCCCTCATTAATTCGCACTCCTCAAATCCATCACGAGATCGAAATCAGAATTCAGCTCATATCAGCTTTAGCTGGATCAAATCGCTTAGCGGGCAGGTTTACATGGGCGAAGCCCAATCTGTTAGTATCATACAACCATAACCTTACGGGTCCATCAATCAAAACAGTATCTTTAAAGTCTGGAATTCAGTGTACTGTCTCAAATACTATTGGACGAATGGCTTCCGACTACTGCTCCATCTTTCTCACTCGAAATCCCAACCAAGGAACCCGACTCCTCAACAACAAACTGCTACAAACAACACTGATACTACTCGCTGCCATTGCCAAACTGGCCCACACAGGGTCAAGTCTAACATGCTTTCCCTGACTCACGATCGGATACAACACACCTGCCGCCACTGGGAGCGCAATCATGTTGTACACCAGCGCCCATGCAAAATTGAATTTGATGCGTCGGAAAACAACTTTACTGAGATCGAGAAGCGTGATTAACGATTTAAGACTCGAGGACACGAGCACAAATTCTGCAGAGGATATCGCGATGTCTGAGCCGGAGCCGATAGCTATGCCTACATCTGCGGTGGTGAGAGCGGGAGAATCATTAATTCCATCACCCACCATGGCGACGAGTGCTCTTTTTTGGGCATGCTCTCCACCCGCAAATGTTTTCGCCTTCAACGACTTTTGCAAGTATTGGATCTTTTCCGCCTTTTGACTGGGCAGGACACCGGCGATGATATTGGATGTTGGGATTCCGACTTGGGCACCAATGGCGTTAGCGGTAATTTGATTGTCGCCGGATAGCATCCAGACTTCCGTGCCGCGCTTTTGGAGGCTTGTGATGATTGCTGGGGCTTCTGGGCGGATGGGGTCAGAGATTGCGAAAATGGCCGCGAGCTGGTATTGATTTGAGCTGATTTCGGTTTCAGTTGTCTTTTGAATGGCCGCGAGAGCGACGGAACGTCCTTGAGATTTCCATGACTCAAGAGTAGATCGGGTGGATTCTGAGATAGAAACTCTGTTTTCTAACATCAGAAGCTCGTTTCCGACTAGCATATGTACTGTACTGGACGTTCTGCCAAAATTGAAAGAGCCTGCGAGGCCTTTGCCGGCAATCTCAGCAACTTCAAGTAATTTACCACCTTCAATGTTCTTTTCGGCGCAAAATTCCTTGAGTGCTTTGGCAATTGTGTGGCTACTGTTGTTTTCGAGGCCGTTGACCATGCTCAATATCGTTTTGCCACTGTTCGCAACCGCTTCAGTTGAGTTGCAATCGACTGGGAAAATCTTAAAATCAGTGACAACTGGCTCGCCACCATGTGTAAGAGTTCCGGTCTTGTCGAATACAATACAATCTAGTTTGCTTGCTTTCTCGAATGCCTCACCACCTCCTTTGACAAGGATGCCATGCTGAGCTGCAAGTCCGCCGCCCACGAACAAGGCGGTTGGCGCCGCGAGGGCCAATCCGCAAGGACACGCGACAATGAGGGTTGCAATCTATTCAAAAAGTTAGTTCTGTGTGAATATTAACAGCCATTATAGGAGGAACATACTGCGAATTGAAGTGACCAAGCTACCCAGCCACCTGCATCTGGGCCTTGCCAATGTCGCGGTAGAACACCAGAAATACCTAATGACAACCAGACAATCCATGTTAGAATTGATATCAAGATTACTCCTGGCACAAAGTAACTTGTCAGTGCGTCCGCGATGGCCTCCATGGGAGCTCGCTTAGTTTGACCATCACGAACAGCGGCTACGATTTGATCCAGCATTGACGATCCCGCAACGCCAGTTATCCTTATGGAAACAGGCGAGTCCTTATTGACAGTACCAGAGAACACTTGATCACCGGCTGTCTTTTTTACCAACTTAGATTCTCCTGTCAAGCTTGATTCATCGAACTTAGTTTCGCCTTGTACAATGACACCGTCACATGGCGGCGATCCTCCTTGTAAAACCTTAACAACATCCCCAAAATCCAACAAGTCAACGCTGACCGTCTTATGTGTCTGTGGCCTGTCGTCTTTCAGAAATGCTTCGCCAGTAGATGTGCCATTGATAGACTCTGGGTAGCTAGAGCCCGTGATAATCAAAATCGCTTCAGTCGGTCGTAATTTTCCTAGCAGTGTAACTGCGTCGCCAGTCTTTGATTTGCTGTAACTTTCAATGAGTCGACCAACCAGAAGAAACAAGGTGAGGAAGACAACCGAATCGAAATAGAATGTGCTATCATCAGGCTTTGCAGCAGGATGGACACCCGCAGAAATAAGTTGTGCAGTGGAGGATATGTATGCAACCGAGGTTCCTAGCGACATAAGCATATTCATGCTACCAAATCGAAGAAACCGTTGATGTATTGGCGTTCTGCTTCCCCACCTCCACAACGATCTGATCTCCTTGATGGCACGAACGTGGAAGACATCTGCACACAAGAAGTAGACAGGTGTTGCCATAATGAAAAGTGCCCATTGCGCTCTGCTGATTCCAGCGCGTAGAGGATGCATGAGAAACATCCTTCCGGGGTCGTGCTCTTTAACGAGACTCATATAAACGATGCCGATGATGAGTGTAGGGATGGCGATGACGAACGTGAGGATGACTCGAATAAGTATTCGAAATTGTTCGCGTCTTTGCATTTTTCGGGACCGTTCTTCGAGGGTTGGTTCGTGGTTTATCGACGCTGAAAAGGCGACCTCGGTGTCTGAAATTGTTTCGAGGATATTTCTGACAGTAAAATCTGGCGCGTCCGGGGTGTAAGATACTCTCATGACAGGTTTCTCTACACTTAGTAACCTGTCTATTTTGACACGATCACCCAAGGTTGCGAGAGATTCGGATATCCTGGCTGGGCAATGTTCACAAAACATACCGTCAACCTTGATATCCACTGTTCGAACCATGTCTTGAGTGGAATTTTCGTCGTCAAGACGGATAATGCTATCGATAGTTGCCTCATATCCCATCGCTTCGATGCTCTCCACCAAATCATCCTTGTGCTCTTCTCCCACAAAGTCGATGCTGGCACTGTTTGCGATCAGGTTGACGACGGTTTTCCTGATCCACTCCACAGTTTCAAGGCCTTTGACTATATTGTTAGCACATGACGCACAAGTCATGCCACCAACAGCCAGCGAGGCTCTGAAAAGGTTTTGGCTCCCATGCTGAGGCTTTTTCAGACTGGTAACGCTGTCGAGTGCCGCTTCAAATCCAATGCTCTCGATAATCTCAATCAAGTCATCTTTGTGGTCCTCCTCGACAAAGTCGACCACAGCACTGCCTGAAATAAGATTGACAACGACTTTCTCGACCCATTGCTTCTTATTGAGTTCTTCGGTGATGCTGCCAGCGCATGACGCGCATGTCATTCCACCGATAGCCAATGTAGCTCTGAAGTACTCGCTCGGTATCGAGTCAACGACGACAACAGGTTGAAGGGCCTTTTCCATATTTTCCTTCCCTTTGGTGACATGTTTTGAAACACCAGGTTCAAGTCCTTTGTATCCAAGAATATCGCCATGTTGTTCCGTGAGGTTGAGCCGGCAGGCTTCACAATTTAATATGTGCCGGGAAGGGTATTTTGATTTTGCCGGGATCTTCGCATCAGACGAGGAACTTGGTATGAATCGATCCAGATAACCAATATCTTTATCGCTCGTGACCTGATTGTTCGTTTCCGGCTGTTTAGAATCTGTGGTCATGTCACAGACCTCAAAGCCTACCTGCTCGAGTGCGCTGCGTAAGGTGGAAATAGATAGTGATTCGTCGTGGTAAACAGTGACCCAGGACGTGACGAGGTTGGGTGATACGGATGTCGGTGCCGGATCATATTGGGAAAGTACATCTTTAATATAGGAAACGCATGAAGGACAGTGAAGATTAGATAGAAGAAAGGAAGTGGTCGTATGAGTTTGCGACATGATTTCTGTTGTTGTTTGGGAGTTCTTCTCTGACACGTTTTGCGTTGTGGGTATTTGCTATGAAGAATGAAAGGCAGAGATGGAGGAGCAAACGGTCAGAGGAAATAAAATTGCGACCTACGTATAAACAGATGCCTGTTAGCGCATGACCAGAGAACTATTGCCAAAATCTTATTAAAAATACAACGAAACGCAAAATCTACGCATGTTGGATGAATCATTCGAAATTCGCTGTGGCGGTTTCGCGCAAAAACATCGCAATCTTAAAATACGCACAAAAAACGCAGATGACTAATCATAGCCCAACCAATCACCAACAGCAAATTCATTCCAGTAAACAAGCATTTTGCAATCAGGCATAATTGGTCAAAAGATCTGAGACCATTTTTGTGAAGAAGTCCTGTCTGACATAGATACAGTAGATCAAATATAGGATTTAACATCGAATGGAGGCCCAACGATTAATAACCAGGAACAAGAACATCAGAACTACATCTCCGTTGCAAATTGGGGTATTGAAAGCTAAATTTTAGCAAATGTCAAAATATCAAAGACATTTTAAAGAAGACCAAGAGAGATGGAAATGGATTTTACCCCAGAAAGATAGGACTGTTTATTATCCCACTATTGAAATATGTATCAAGTCTTCCAGGTGGGATACCTACGTAAAAAACCAGAGTGACTCATCATCCTCCCCATATATATATTCTGTGATTCTCAGAGACAACAAGACCTGTATTTACTTCCCTCGTACTCTTGAGTGAGCTTTTCCCAGATTCCGCGTGGTCTTACGACCTGAGTTACTGAAAGAAACCAACACTTTTTGTCGCAAGATGTCTTCTCCAAATCCCACTCTTCAAACTGAAAATCTTATTCTCCGTCCTGCAATCCCTTCTGATGCAGCGGCCCTCGCAGCCATATTCGCCAACCCTCTCAACAGCCAATTTGAGCCGCATGCGCCAAGCAACCCAACGGTAGAAGAATACCAAGGCCGAATCGCCAAATGGGTGGACTTACGCAATAGCGGGAAAGCCTTCTTTCTCGTCATAACGCGACGCTCAACAACACAATCTGAGAATGGCGTTATCGGCTTCGGCGGTATCAATGGCGTCTCTACTGACGCTCAGGGAAAGCGAATTGCTGACCTGGGTGTGCTGATCGATAGTTCCGAGTGGAGGAAGGGATACGGACGAGAAGCGTTGCATGCTACGTTGGAGTTTGCATTTCGTAACGTGGAGGAGGAGGGTGTCGGATGCGAAGAAGCGTTTTTTGAGACTTTGGCGGTTAATGCGCCATTCCAAGCACTGGCTGATAGGATGGGTTTGGCGAAGTGGAAGCGGGTGGTCAGCGAGGGAAAAGAGGTTGAATACAGGTTTAGCAAAGACGATTGGGAGGGAGTGAAGAATGGAAGTGCGTGATTGGATTGAATTTACTCGGACGGCAGCCTTGATAAAAGTTGGAATAGATAAAAATAACTCTTGATTGACATCACATATAAGCCCGTAAAGAAAATGCTTCTTCCAGTAATTTATACTTTCAAGAATTGCCTTGATTAAACGATGTCTCCTGAAAGGAAGGCTCGCAACTGCTATATCCCCCAGATGGTGTCTATTAGCATACCTATAAGCTCAAATTGAAGATGTAACACCAAGTGCAAATGAAAGTTTGAACCCAAAATCATGACACAGAAATTAATAAAGGTGATGTGAAAATCTTTTGATTTGCGGGGCGCTTTACGTACCGACTTTTCGTCCCTTTACCAACACCAATTCGCCCGATTACGCGCTATATCTCCACGATCTTCATCTACCTAAAAATCTCTTGTGATTCTGGGTTGACAAAGCCGCTTTGGAGGACTATGCCTTGACTGGAAATGGTCATGTAGATTGAAGAAAATGGTGGTATGACTGGCCATTTCTATGTTTATCTTTATATTATACCTAGTGAGTAGTTTTGAGAAGTGTATCTAGACTAGCGAAATTACAGTAGTAGGAACGAAAGTTTGTTATACATTCACTTATAAGTGGTACGTGGAGATATAAGTAAAGATGTGTCACACTGGGTTTACCTCTGGAACTCAGAACTATGGTATATCGTATATTACTCCAGAACCCAATACCTGGCCACCGTGAGTGTGTTTCGAGCGCAAGCCAATATGGCCAACGGCAAACATACAACCTCTTTCCGGCGATCCTTGGTGTGTGCTCTCAAACATATGTTGAAGGCAAAGACGTTCTGTACAGACAGCAATGTTTCTATCATGCGTCTCTGCGTAATAAAGATTGTTACCAAGATTGCAAGCAATACATAATCTGTCCTCTCAATCGATACGCTTGCGACCGGCCCATGCTACCCTTCAAAATGGGTGGTTGGTGCGAGGCTGATTATCATGCAATAACAAATCCAATAGCACCTTCCATGATCTCGGTCAGATCCTGGAAAGTAGTATTGTGTCTTGCAGCCCAAGACGACGAAGACAGAGAGACCTGCGTACCATTTGGCTTCGGAGACCTATGTGAGCAGGTTCTGTCAAAAGCTTCGTTGCATTCCTTAGATATTGCAATCATGCCTAAGAACTACGAGTTTAGGTATACAAGAGGAGATTATTACACGCCATCCCAAGTTCTGCGACCATTAGACTATATTCGGAACGTCACTAATGTGACGTTGCGCGATGCTGAATATCTCGAAATACCAGACTATTATGGGTACCCAACTAGTTCGTACAGTGACAAAGAGGGAATGATCAAAATCTCTGAACTCCTCAGCCAATTTCACGACTGCCCCGAACTCAAGGTTGATCTTACAATTCCAGTAAAAGGATCGAGCCCAGTTGAGTTTGCGTCTCAGATGTACGTGCGACTACTGAGATACGCTCAAGCATTTGAGAGATACGAGTACTTTAGATTGGAAATGGCATTGCCGTTGGGAAAAATAGTTTCTCTTAGAGACGTAAAAGACGATTTGCAACTTTCTAACGAGCGAAGCCGGTACAACGACATGGGGGGAGCTCGTAATCCTTTTCGTGGTGATCTTGTTCACCCAGTAGAGTTGACTCTCACACTCGCAGATTCTGCCCAGAGAAACCACGACGCAGACTTGTTCAAGATATTTTGAAGAAAGGTGATCGAAGCCTTCGAAGATCAATATCAGCGCATGTCAAAAGCCGCAGGAAACATTGCCGAGTATATCAAGGACCATAAAATGAAGGGGGGAATGTTCGACTCTCGTCATGATGCTGATTATGTTGATTATCGGTTCAATTGGGATGGAGAAATTGGCGTCACTGGCATACAGAGATTGAAAGAATATGCAGACTCTTTTCAGCGTGACGTCCCCGACGAGCTATTGCCGCAATTCGAAGTACAAGAGCGCCGTTTGAAAGCTCTGTATTCTCAAGTTGAACCTTTAAGATCAGTAGATCAGGTTCTTCTTGCGCATGATATGAAAGACCCTAGTAATATCCTTCAACTATATCGGGCGGCTGTAGATGAGCTGGATAAGAAGTATTTGGCTATCAGAGCAGCAAGAGAAGAGCTTTGGTCCTTCGATACTAAAGGCTGTCCTGGAGTTATTCTGGATGAGCTTGACATGCATTTGGTTGAGCCTGTGAATTGGAAAGTCCATGAAAATAGGAATTCTCCATATGACGACTTTCCTCGACTGCCAGACGGATTTTACGACCACGAGATCGATTACGCATGGGGTGAGCATACAATAAATGTGCCTTATTACTGATTTGGTCACTGACTGTGTTATAGAACATCAAAGACCTTGGTATCCTGAAGAAAATCTCAGAAAACTCTACGAAAACCTGCCCAACCCTCCAAGTTGAGCGTGTCAAAGGGGATCGGATGCAAAACCTAGGGTTAGTTTTTCAAATCGATATGGATATCAGCCCAGACAATATCGGAGGTTGTTGAGAAGGGAGAAAGACGTAACACTGATCAAACTCAATGAAGAATATACGTGGACGAGTGTGTATTGATGTCTTTCAGAAACCCGTTTGTGGGTATGTTTTCGACGTCGACATAGTTGAGCTAGGACTGAATGAATTCACTAGGAGATTTCAAAACTTTTCGATCCTTTCACTATTTGCTGTTCTAGTGGTTGTAAGTGTTTGATTCACGGCTGCCTCTTACTAAAAAGGGGTTCTAGGCGAAGACTTTCTCTTCTGGTTGTAAAAAGAAAAATGGACTAAATTAAATTATCTGGCTTCAATCTCGGTGTTTTCCAAGTCATTTCTTACGCTTATTAGACCATGCCAGTTCGTCACGTCCAAGGCAAATAAAAGTTCAAAATTCGACGAGTCAGAATTGAACCTGAAAAAAGTCACGAAAAAAGACTTGTTTTCCACTGGTGCATTCATACTCGTTATTGGAGTGTAATGTTATATATTGCTTCGACCAGCTCGTAGATGAACAAAACAGATTGATTGAATCGGCCACAGTACAAAATATTCAAATCTTCAAGTACAACAATTAAAATCTCATGTCCACTGATTCCGCGCACTTGGCCAAAATACATTTTCAACGAGCAGAATAATACTGAATAACTACAGTTCCAGAAAGTGCTAAAAGACCCTCTTGTCGAGGTCAGCATCCCCCAAGATCAATACTATCAAAATCCAGTTAGTTAAAAGCTTCAAGAAGGCTAGCCCCATATGGACTTTGAAAGATATGAGAGAAATTCAAGATACCTCTGCAAGCGAAGAGATGGTTCATATTTGGTCACAAAATTCAACTTTCTGCTTATACTCAATCATATTGCATCAGCCACTTTGTTTCCACGACATGGTCACATCCGCCAGCTCCAAAAAGCACAAGCGGTGCGATTTCCCCTCCACACTGCTTACACTGCAAACTAAATGCTAGTAACACGTCAAAAAAATCCTCTCAGCATCCTTTTCCGAACTTTGAGGTTATAACGTTTATTGATAGCAAATCTACTCAGAGCCTGAACAGACCACCACATATCAACACACCGGATCCGAAGAAGCTACCCAATTGCAGCCTAAGCTTATAGATTGCCTCGAGAAAATTAATCTGCCAAATAAACAACACTATCATCGCACACCTCCGAAATCAAGAAAAGCAATGGCAACCGCCAACATCAACAACTTTCCCGAGACAGCTCAAATGCAGCCCATCGCTCAGCGAACTAGCAGGGGAACAGAACGTGGGAGGCGCTTTATCTAGCGTGATCCATCACCTCGAACCTGTGATCTCCGTTGCACATGGACGCCCGAACTCCTCTTCATGATGCAGACTAAAACTGTGGTAGGTAGTAGGTGACGGTTTCACAAGTGCCGCGATTCCATACGTGTACGGAGTCAAGAGGATTCGAAGGATGGCATGGCACTGAGATGAGATAGAATAGGCCGTATTTGTGTTGATTTGCTGTGACAAGCTTCTTTCGCTTCTATGATGAGGCCACAATCCGACAGACAGATGTACATACGACTGAGAACCATAGGTGTAGGTACCTGCAGAGTCCGCGAACGGCGCGCACTAACCACGTATACAAAAAACCCTGACCTCTTTCGCAAGACCAAAAAGCTAAAATCAAAACAGTGAGTGACGTGTGGCCTACTCGGTCAGTCTTATCAATATTATCCAGACCGTATAACCTAGAATTCAACAATCACCTCCGACACCCCAAAATACGACATGTAATCCTCTGACCTTGCTATTCCCTACGAAATCATTCCAAGTCCCGTGTTAATTTTTTGAGATATGGTAGCCAAACATCAAATCTTGCATGTAGACCTAAGTATTTATACCTGTGTAACTCACGGGGAGATGGAGTGGAAACCTGATAGTAATTTACAACGTCTGGCATTTAATTATTCCAGATTGATCCATGCCACTCCATCTTATAAGGATAGAAGCATGTGGTAGATTGCCCGAGGGTAGCCATGATGGCCGAGTCACCTCGACTTCATGTTTGGTACAATCCTGCCACGAAACCGTGCGCGTATGTGCTACCTGGGAACCTACCTATTACGGCATCCCATTCGAGACTTCGAAATCAGTGTTTTAATCCTCTTGCAAACCACAAAACATCTAACCGTAACGGAATACCTCTGTCCGAACGGCTCTTCCCACAGCTTCGAGCCCAAATCAGTGCGATATAGCAGATGAACATGTGGTTTCTCAAAAGGCTCAGGCCCCTGAGCCTGACCCCGATGCAGTTTGGGTAGCATTCTAGCATATGCAGCCACTTCTCGTCTTCCCCCATCTGCTACGTCCAAAGGTTTCAACAGATAAATTCCCTGTACCAACGCAGTAAACCGTGTTCCCCAAATTAGTCCTATCTTCAAACATTCGACATTATCAAATAAATGTATCATTTCGGGCGTGGTCAACTCTGCGAGATATCAACCCGCGAGACGTGTCGACGGCAGTAGATCGACCTCGTTTGCATGCTTCATACATGCATCGGCTGCCAGTGGCCTCCTTACCCGTGCGATTTCAAGCCGCTCTGGTCTTGGGTGACTGTCCTACTGTGTGAAGCTGTGCGGGTGACTCGTCTAAGAGTAAAGGAAGCTTCAATCACGCCACTTCATGTTTAACTACCTAGGTAGGTACCTAGGTAGTCTTGAGTGAGCAAACGTCTTTGCCAACCACCGTTGCACACGACGTAGAGTAAAGATGAGACCTTGCATCCAGCCATCGCCGCAAAGCGGAAAGCGTAACTGTAAGTCGCTGTAAATCAGTGAAATCGAGTAAAACGAGTTTAGATCAAATGGGTAGGAATGTTTTCCTTCTTCGGAAAAGCTTATTTGAATTTATTGGAACCGCTCAGGAGGGCGTCTCAGCCGAGAGCTTCGACGGAGGCCCCGAGAATCAGGAGTGGGGCCCAAACTGGGTTTGCTAGTCCGTTTCCCCTTCTTCACTCGAGCACCATTATCCAGGACCGCTCTAGGTTTCACAGAGTCCATGATTTTGTTTGACGGCTTGGACGGTCTTGGGGCACGCGAGCCTCGCACATAAGAAAGCTCCAGACTTGTGTTGCTAGGTTTGGATCTCGTCTTACGAGTTTGCCTTGTTTGCCTTGACTGTGGGAATATGTTTGTCTCTTGGATAGGGGACGCCATTGTTTTTCCATCTGGAGGCGTGTTAGTCTCACTGTCTCGTCTCGTCCGTTTTGAAGAAGGTTTTTCGTTGTCATCGTCAGCACGATCTCGTTTAAGCTTTCGCTGGTTTCCAGGATTATCTACAGCCGAGTCTGTGCTGGCCACCTCAGTTAGGTTCGACTCGCGTTCAATCAAGGGGACCTGCTGCAGCATCCACCGCAGGAGCAAACTTTGTCGAGCTACCTCTTCCTTCGCAATTACGAACGTCTTCGTCTGACGATGGAAATCAACTATGATATTACGTCGTTTAGTAATATGTTCGAGGGAGTCTGTTGCGGCGTTCAATTTGGTTTTGGCGGCCGACAGCTTTTTTTTTCGCTGGGAAAGGTTTTGTTTGGGTAGACGACCGGATTCCGCATTGTGCAGTTGCTTTTCTGCTGCCCGCACAGTCAATTTCGCCAATTCCACAGTCTCTTCAGCCTCGACTTCTTCGCCCTTCATCTGCGCCCCCATTCCGAAAATCCATATTGACTCCTCTGTCTCCATAGGCCTCAGGACCTTCAAATCAACAACATTCTTCCAGGCTTTATCATACCGCGACTGCCGACGACGGATGAGACTCGTCGAGTGATCGTACTTCGTGTATTCGAAGTTTAAGTATTCGAACCAGGTCGCGAGATTATTTTGCTGATCCAGGTCCTCAATCAGCTGAATTGAGCGATCAAACCCATGGGATTTGAGGCGGTCGCGTAGTCGTGCACAATGTGCAGGAAAGCGACCTTGCTCTCTGTGCAGTCGTTGATACTCGCGAAAGGATTTCCAGGACCCCAACTGACATGAAAACACCCCCTTCCATGCATCAGGACCATCTGGATTCCTCTGCCAGAACGACAAGATCTCGTGGTATTCTGGCAGACTCTTCGCAACATCGTACTCCAGCCCGATCGGGTGTGAGGGCCGGCCGCCGAGGCTTAACAATTCTTCGTAGTACTCAGTCTCCCTTGCTTGGATCACACGCTCGTATTCCTCGTCATCTAGATCTGCAGTCGACTCAGCAGAGGGTGCTCGAGGCGATGATTCCCTGCCGGTAGCAAGTTCCTCCAGGCGTGCAGAGACATGATTTAGATCAATCGTAGCGCTCCCATCAATTCGTGTACTGTATGGTTATTGAGACGATAGAACATGCAAAGAGACAGGATGGTTACCTCAATCGCTGAATGAAGTGGTCCGGTAGATTCTCAGGGTCTTCGACTTGAATACATCTGCAGATGAACCTTAGCATTTATTGTCGAAGCTCCAGGACAACCGAACCTTCCATTGGTTTCTAGATACTGGTCAAGCTCGAGGTCGCTGTACTGCGCGATATCGGTAGCAAAAAGCTTTGGCGGTTGCGGCTGAGGCACCGCCATTATTTATGTTGTTCGTGGTAGTTCGTGGTAGTTAATGAGCACTGGAGGGGACGTGGTGTTGTTCGCTCAGGAAAGGAAGGGTCCCGGGAAAATGATCTTCCCGTGCAGCGCTTAAAGTCCTAAATTAGACGTACCTACCAGGTAAATTGGGTATCCTTGCTACAGTAGTGCACCCGCCAACACACGACCTCTGGTGGCACAATTTTGTTTGTTTGTCAACTAATCACGAGACTCAACCCCGTCTTGCGGAGGACAAAATAAGTGTCAGTTACCTGCCTAGTAATTTCAGGATCCAAAAGTCGACTTCGAACAGAGCTTAAGAAGTCTTATTTACTTAAAATAATTGACGAAATAAGTCACATTGTTCCAAGTTAATCCACTAAATGCCGCTATTTCGTCAACTGAATCGAAGAAACATCATGCTTCGACTGCCACTTATTTTGTCCACCGCGAGCCCGTCTTCATTTCCCAGATGGCCGCAGGTGAGAGTAAGAGCAGGGTCTCCGCGGCTATCGCTACCTTGAGGGTGTCACAGGAGGCGCTTTGCTACATCGATTGGATACCGCGTCTCATGTTACAACAATTCGGCGTGTTTGCTACCTAACCTAAGCTTAGGTAGAATCTCTCGCTGAAACGGAGGGATACATAAAGCATGAAAGCATCAATGTGCTCTTGTTTATTGCCCTCTTTCCTCTTCACATCTTTCTATAAGACAGCATCATGGCGGACCCGAACCTGATTGCTTGTTTATATCCTGTGGATGGCGACAATGACGCATGGAACGCGATTCATCTGAACAGGGATAGTGTGCGGTACCTCCCCCAGCAAACCGAGCCAGCCCCAGCGCTGGGAAGGCGGGGCAGCCAGGAGTCCATTGCTTCGACGGCGGCTTCGGTATCGGCTTCGGCATCGGACTCGGCTGCAGAGGAGAATGTTACAGCTCACCATGGACTCCAATTGACATTCGACCACAAGCCCAAAACCGGGCAAGGCTTTTTACTCGGACGAGATGCAAACTCTTGCGATATTGTTTTGCCCAGCTCCCGTGGCTCAAAGATTGGGCGCCGTCATTGCTGCCTCACATTCGATGCACAGCGACGATTAATCTTACGGGATCTCTCGCACCATGGCACCATCGTCACATACGACAAGAAGGGAGGCGAGAAACGCCAACATATCGTCACTCACGACGACGACCGACGCGAGAGGTTTCACTACTTTACGTGGATTCTAAGTGGCGATGCAGCGCTGGACGCGAAGAACATCGTCATCAAGCTCGAGCAGATGCAATTCCGCATCGTCGTCGCTAAGCATGATTCGCATCTAGACCTGTACTACAGCAATGTCGACCGCTTTCTCCAGGAGGCAAATGCAAACGACGGACTGCATCTCGGTGGACTGGGCATTCAAAGTGCGGCTTCAACCGCGCTACCAAGTGGGACTCACACTCCTACTTCCCAAAGCCCAATATACATCAAACAATCTAGGCTGGGCAGTGGTAGTTTTTCGGTTGTGAGTCGTGTGTGGGATGTGAGCACTGGTTCTGTATATGCTTCCAAGAAGTTTGTGAACATGACGCAGGCTCGCTGGAGGAGAGAAGTAGATATCACAAAACAACTCTCACAACTGTCAAACGTCCGACTCCCCCCCCTCCTTCTATAAAATCTCACTGCTAATTTCTATGTAGGAGCATATTGTGCGGTTTATCGGTGTTGTTGAAACGCCGGTACCTCAGCTTATTCTCGAGTATCTTCCGCTGGGGAGTCTAGGAGATCAGCACAGACGAGACTCGATCACCGACCGGGAGAACTGTACAATTCTGCTTCAAAGCCTCGATGCCTTGACTTCCATGCATGAGGCTAATATCGTCCACAGAGATATAAAGCCAGAAAACATTCTTGTTCAATCTCGGAAGCCGCTCCACATAAAGCTATCAGACTTTGGCCTTGGGAAGTCCACTTCTGACCTGCAAACTATGTGCGGGACACATTGCTACACTGCACCGGAAATCTATACAAAGCGCCGTAATGAACCGTACACCAAAGCTTGTGACATCTGGTCGCTTGCTGTCGTTTTCTTCGAGTACTCCTTTAACCACTTTCCTAATTCCAAGAAAACGGATTTTGGATCGGAGTGGTGCAAAGCAATTATCAAGCTTGCCAAGAGATATGAGTCTAATTTTGTACTCGATTTCGTGTTAACTTCAATGTTGGTCATAGATCCAGCAAAGCGACTACCAGCTAGGGAGTGTTGGGACTTCTTTTTGCAATTACCGTTATCTTATAGCCAATGCTCGACTCCGACGCAAGGGTCTTTCCTCGAAAATGATTCTAAGGAAACAGCAAGCATTCGCAGAACGTCGTCAAATGCGACTCCCTCCGAAGCGATTAAAGTTACGGCGCTGAACACCCCCGAGCACGAAACCTGCCGTGCGCCTGAGAACAGAACGCGGCGGCGCTGGGCGACTCCCTCAGAGGTACTTATATTTTCGCCACTACCTATTTCTAAACACGGAAGCTCCAGTTTTTACGAAGACGGAAGCTATAGTGCGCTCGAGAACAACTCGCGGACAGCGAAGGGCACCGTGGATCACTATTTGGTTGACCCCAATACTGCGAAACAAGAGTTCGAAGAACTTAAAACTCCAATAGTCCGCCGATCAAAGCGATTACGACAGCAAGAGGGTGACCTTGAGATACTAAATCCTTCAACTGCCTCACAATCAAAAAGGGTCCGACAGCGTGACCGAGAGATAGAACATAAAAGCATTGAAGCCACTCAAATCTTCGGAGCAAACTGGTTGCGGGATCCTAATTGTGTCGGATCTTCTGTTGCTGCCATGGGAGAAGATCTGGATCAATCGAGTGGATTCAGCAGTATGACAACCAACCATTCGAAAAGTCGCGTTTCGGAAACCGCCAAGAGTCCAGACTGAAGGGACCTCCCTAAAGCGAGAACAACGATAATCTGGCCCAAGTTTATATTTCTCTAATCCTTTTGAGTGAATATACTATATGGCCTCTATTGCAAAGAATAAATACAACTGCTTAGGGAAGGTATGGAATGAAGTCGAATTCTGGCATCCATACCCTAGAAGGGTGTCCCGTCAGATTTGCAACACACTGGTGGTGGTTGTATAGATGTTGCATGTCGGCTCGACTTCCCAACTCGATCACTGGGGCGATTCCACCATGCAGAAATGATACATGGGAGGACTCACCGTCATTCATATCAAGGAAGCAAAGAAACTCTACCACGTTTGTTTCTCTCCAAGCGTTAAATTCCCTCATCGATGGAAATCAAGTCAAAAAAGATGAGCAGGATTTATGGAAAGCGATAATCACGGACTTGCTCCCGCCGGTCGAGGCTGATCCTGCTGCTTGCGATGCCTAGAGTCAGGGTGTAGAGTTCGGTAACATGAGCATCGCAATCAGCAAGACCAGCCTCGACTAGTGGCGGCCAGGAACCCGCGAGGGATATCTGTGCCATCTCGCGGAGGACAAAATTCGTTTCAGTCACCTACCCGCTAACCTGAGACTAAATAATCAGTCGACTTTGAATCGAGTTGAAAATTCATATTCACTGAAAACAATTGACGGAATAGTGTTAATATTTCAAGTTGATCCACTAAATATACGATATCTCGTCAAATTAATCAAGAAAATATTGGTTTACGACTCCCACTTATTTTGTCCTCCGCGAAGCCAACTAATATGATACATGTACTTGATAATGAATGTATGTGGGATTGAAGTTTTTTGTAACGGCAGATGTCTGGTTTTGAGGATGAGATGATGTATTTCGTGAGTACTGAAGGATGTGTAGTTCATAGATGTATTCATATTGTAATTATCTTCTGACCGTAATATTTACTCTCGATTACCTGTTTCCTAGATATATGAAACATAATGACAAACCGTGAAGAAGGTCGACAGCGACGTGCGCATGGAATTGAGTCCTTAACACGGAGGAAGGATCTGAGCCACAAACCTCCCACTTCAAAGACGAACGATCGACATACTACTCATCACTGCGTCATGTTCATACTAAATATCTGGTCATTACGCCATGATTATCCAAGTTCTCAGTAATATCATACAAATTCACTAATCCTTGATGCTCTCATCCGATACAACTCCAACGTCCAACCACCATTGCTCCCCCCAGACTTTCGGATTCTTACCGGGTAGCATCGCCACCGCTGGCTCACTATCTTTAATCCCCAAGTATGGATATGATCTAGAAATCAGTCCTAGGAAAGCGCTTATTCTTCCTCGTGTGGTCAATTTTGGTAACTTGCACTTGCTTGGAATAAGCTTCGTGCGTTGTTTTCCTGCCCAGAAGTAGGCTTTTCTGATCCTGAGGTTTGGTTAAAGGTATGTCGTATTTGCTTTCTGGACCTGAGACTTGGATTAACATGTGGTGCATTTTTATGCATATTTGTCTGTCGGGTTGGGAAGAATATCGTTAGATTAGGAGGAACAAATTTTCGTTTGGTGTTCCTTCACCCTAGGTCAAGAAGTGACCATGTTGATTTACAAGATTTTTTACCGTGCGGAATGATATAGAATTTTTGAGGGGGAGACTATTTCGATATATCATTGTGTATAATAACACGTTGTGAAGAAAGGGTATGGAAAGCTTGCCTGGATGTTAAGTGGCGATAAAGGAATTAGGACAAAAGTGAAAGCTTTTTCATAAATTGAGGTGTTCGAAGTTTACATGGTTATCTTTAAGTACGAGACACAACCAGTGGAAAATATTCTAGGTATGTATTTGAATGCAACTTCTTTTGCTACCTAAAGGATCTTTGGATGTTATAGTAATCTCTGCTACAATTCAGAACCACAAGATTGATTGGAGTAACTCAAACAACCAGACATCCGAATGTGATACTGAGAGACAACCACAGAACGACGTGAGCGTGGAAATTATTTTCTATAGCGAGGATCTAAATCAGAAATCTTTATTTCTAGTCATTATTGCCAAGTTCATGGCAATATCTGATTATCGCGCGATAGTTGTCGCGGTAGTTGGCTGTGTTCTGGCATGCGGCGAAAACCAACAAAAGGCCAACAAAAAGCCACGCGCACGTCATAGCCTTCCTTTCGTCCAGTCTCTCGGGTTTAGTCTCCCATAAAATGATTACAACAACGTCCTCATCCTCCTTCTGGGTCAGCTCACAACGTTCGGATCCCCAACGCTCGCCATATATAGGAACGCAAACCCACAAGTATGGAGCGGACACAAGGAATGGACTCGAGGTAAGCGCCTGGTCTCCTCTGTTCTGTCTGATTGAGTATCGAATGAACCAACCAACACTTCGCGTTTGATATGGTGTTCCTTCCGGTCGGCAACAACAAACAGGATGGGATTGTCTCTCCTAAGCCTGGCAACCTGATCGATATCTTTGCGCTTTCCCATGTTGTTTGTTTGTTACACGGTCGGTAGGAATAACCTTCGCGTATGCGAGGAAAGTGTTCCTTCCGACCCGGGACTCGATGAAATGATGGCTTATTTGTATGCTCATGTGTCCGTATGTTGGTTGTATGGTCTACAGGATGAAGCGGCCATTGTCCTTGGGTGTTAGAGCCACGATGGAAATAGCATCGACAAATATTGTTCAGTCATTTTCGGATTTTTTGAGCTATAAAGTTAGGGACTTGCTCTTCTTATTTTCTCTGAATCAATTCACAAGAGAGACAGGTCTTTCTTACTTCTTTTCTTCTTTGCATCCTTGGAGCGTCACAAATCTACCAGCGCTGCTTTCCGTTATTTCTTCACAATACCTCGCCATAACATCTTGTCAAACCTCGTCCAAAATGCGGGCCTTGAGTCTTCTACTCTGTTTCTTCTCCATTTTAGGTTGTCTCCTCGCCGCTAACGTCACTTCCGTCAGTCAACCTGCAGCCGGGAAAGCCTATTACAAAGTCTTCCCCAAAGACGACATCGATATCACTAAGACAAGCGATTTTATCAAGGGAGTCGTCGGAGCAGAAGATCTATTGCCTTGGACGGATGTCAAGGATAAATTGATGCATTGGACTGTGGAGGCCTCGATGGAGGAAGTCGAGGTGTTGAAAGGTGATGAGGGTGTTGCGAGGGTTGAGGTGTTTGTGCCTCCGACAGCGCCAGTGAGCGCACGAAGTGCTGAAGACAGCTCACCCGAAGATGATGAAGCTGCGAAAAGCTACCTTATTACCCCTACTGACGGGAGATTTCCTCGGGCGGTCGAAGAGACTCGGCAGTCTCTGGAGAACTTGGTGGGAAAAGATAAGGTGCATCAATACGGTGGTCAGAGTGGATCTGCCATATGGTGGTACTGCAACTGTAAGATATCTCTATTGCTTTGGTCCCCAATCGATGTGCAATCGATATGGTCAAAAATTTGCGAACTGTCGCTAATCCATTCTACCATAGTGACTATTTCTCAGAAGAATGATGCTGTTAAGATTTCCGGAGTTAAGAATATTTATGAAGAGACCGGCGATGAAGCACAACAACTTCCAGGCAGTCATAGAACACGCGATATCGCGCTATCTCTCAAAAGAGACGAGTCACTAGAAATTTATTTGGTTTTTCCGGGGAAAAAAGGCAGCACTGAGGAAGAGACAGTCGAAGCCGTCAAATTCCTTCAAGAACTTGTCGGTGAAGAGAATGTCAGCCGACCCCTTCTCAGTGGCAATGCAGTTGTTTTTTGGCAATGTAATTGTAAGTATGCACGGAAAGTTTCGGAAGTTGAGACTGTTCCGTCGCAATTTGTTGGCGGATTACCAAACATTTATGAGCTGTGCTGATTTATTCTCCATTAGTGACACCCACACAAGGCGACGAAGCATCCAAACATCCTGGCATTCGCGCAGTAGAGAGAAGTCCGAAGATGGAAAAGTTTCTCCGTATTCCTGCTCGTGATACCTCTTCTCTCCCCTCAGTGGTAGCGAAAGCTCGGCCGTCACAAGTGAAGAGAGCTCTCAGCTACTCGACGCAAGTGAGGGCAGTCAACGAGCTGATAGCTATTAGTCAACCGAGGTAACTTGAGAAGATAATGCAAGGCGATGTGATACTAGCTAACATTTCTCCTAGTACTATCCCAGACGTAACACACTTAAGTAACTACGTATATGATAGCAAATGCGGAAGCGACAGCTTTGTATATCACCTGGAGTCAGGAGTTGCATATAAGGATCAAGCTAGCGTAGGTTCTCTTTATAATTTTGAGTTAAATCCTAAGCGATCAGTATACTAATGAACTTGTGTTGTAGGAATTTCCAAACGTAGTACCTGACAACGAGCACATACAGACATCTTCAGCGAAAGCTATACCGAATTTGCATCCTTGGATCGACACGGATCAGCTGAGTCACTCGACTTGCACTGCTGGTAAAGCTGTGGGTAAAAACTTTGGGGCATCTAAAAACGCTAAGCTTGTTGTCGTGCAGTTAGGTTCAGAGGTGTTTTCCGACTTTTTTGAAGCTCTAGGGTTGATTATTGAAGACATTAAATCTAAACCAGAAAGAAAGAAAAAGAGCGTTGTCTCTGTGTCGTTTGGATTTCGCCATGTCTTAGCTGACCATGGGCAACAAGCGGTGGACGCACTCCAGGAGCGTCTTCAGAAACTTTTTGATGTCGATGTCCCGCTATTTGCCGCGTCTGGCAATGACGCTATCAAACGAAACAAGATCGACATTGACTCGCATCCGGCATTGTTGGCCACACCCGAATTCCCTCTGATTACAGTTGGTTCTGCCGAGTTTGACGGCTTACCCTCAGGGCTTACACAGAGAGGACCACATCTGACACTCTACGCAGTGGGATCAGACGCAACTTGTATGGGTAAGACGGGCAATAGTCCCCTTACTGGGAAGGCCGGCACATCTCTTGCTGCACCACTCATTGCAGGCATTGTAGCAAATTTTCTATCTTACGATACTGTTCCGTTTGACACTAGTGACGGCAATCTTGTCAAGAATCTGAGAGATTATCTTCAATCAGATCAAGGAAGCTGGGCAAGACTTGATGGAACAGATGTTGTCTGGTCAGTAAATCTTCACAATTTTCAGTCTTGCTACTATCGCTATTCAAGACATATACTAATATGTTTCGCAGGAATGGGGTGACAGAAGCAGACAACCCGGAATTTGGTTTACCACCTCCTGTACCACCCCCGCCAGGACCAGCACCAACTGCTCCGCTTCCCCCTCCGCCAGGTCCACCACCAACAACAGGACTTCCACCGCCGCCAGGTGCAACTTCAGCACCAGTGAAAACATGTAATGGAGTAGCAACAAACAAGTATGTTTCTCGAGATAGCCTTCTAAAGAATGTCCAGTCCGACTTCTGTCCCGAAGTCGTAAAACAAGGTGGTAATGACCCAGGATCCGGATCAATTGGCCGCGTTTACAACCCCGATACCATCGAGCAAGTCTCCATCTACCTAGACCTCCCCCCAGGAACTCCAGTCCCAACAAAAGAAGAATGCGAAGCGCACTTCATGGACCTGATCGACAACTGCGACGGAAACGACGCCAACAACCCTATGAACTACAAAGCAGGAGGCCTCGTCACCGTCGGAACCAACAAGTATCACATTACGCCTGAAAAGCCACGTCAACCTGCTTCTGCTGGCGTGAAAGGCGATTGCGATAGTACCTACAAAGTCTACTTTAATGATTATGTGGTTTGGGGACACGGATGGGATAGTGCGGATAATGGCGAGACTCTTAAGCAACAGGTCAAAGGTTGCGCTTTATTGCCTGATACTTGGAGTTTTGCCTATGGGTTGGGTGATGATGGGAGAGAGTGGACGGCTAAGTTTCGTACGGGAGTCTTTCAGAAGAAGTGTGTTGGGCACGCGGGGAAAACTGCTAGTGGGATGGAGGATTTTGGGTGTAGTGGCTCGGGTTAGATGATGATGCAGCAAGAATATCTTCGTGGGGTTTTTTGTTTGTTTTTACTGATTTGCTACTTTGCTTATTTTGCGTATGGCCGTTTCAGGAGTTTTGATATTTAAAGGGGTTGGTGTTTGGTCTTGTTCTGGAGTGTTTGGACCTTTTTTTGGGGGTGTTTTGATTTTGATTCCTACTCTATGAAAATATATATTTGTTTGCAAATCAAGGGGATTCATGAATTCGAAATCTATGCAAGATAGGATACAACAGCTCGAAATAGGTATGCAAGGATATGGAACGGATGTCCGTGTTCAATGTTATTTATGACGATGAGGAAATGAGGCTAATGCAATTCGCGATTGTTATAATGTTTAAATAACCACTTATTTGTGGAACATCAAAGAAAAGGAACCTCCTTCATCGATTTTGTTAAGTTAGGCGCAACATAGTGGTAACTTAGTTGATTGACAAAACTTAGGGATGAGATCTTATAGGGAAATGGCGGCCATCGGATTACTAAATTGGATAGTATAAAATGAGGTTTCTTAGACTGTAAAGCCAACCCAACTTTACTGGTCAGTATGTCAAAGCGAAGATTCCGCTTATTCGATAAGAATATTTGTTTAAACGCCTTCTTCTCTGTAGAGAAGCAACCCCTTTTAGATAAGCGAGTGCACGTGATGTTGCTTCGCTACCATATGTTTCCACATGCAACTGTCCCTGAATGATTAGGATACATTATTGATTTAGACTGCAATGACAGATAGAAGTCTCAGTTTACTAAAAAAAAACCGCTCCAGCAAGTTTTGATCTTGATGGTGACCGCACGATTGGTTTGGTCATGGTAGGATGTGACTGTAATCTCGACATTTGACGAGTGACCGAAAAAAAAATCATTATCCGTACATAATTTAGTTGTGGTCGGAGAGTTGCAACTACACGAATTCTTTCGTATGTATTAAAAGAAGACCGGGTCGTGTTGAGATGTAATGGAAGTTGGTCTCCAAGGTCCTGAGGCACAATGGCTACAGTCTATCGCTGTCATATCCATTAACTTGATCAAATTCAACAAAATAGACCAAAGATCAATCGGTGTCTCCTTGGAGGATGTCTAGCTCATGCGTTGCTTTTTGATGAAACGAGAAGTTTCCGTTCACATTAAAATGACAATCCAAATATTTTGGGGCTCCATCTGAGAACACATGGATAGCATCATGGACCTGACTTTGAAACAATATAACAGTGTTATATTTGCTAATACAAAAGGCATCTTCTACATACATAAAGCAGTCAATGGTCCAATCCGGTGTGCTTAATCCAGAAATCCCAAACCAAAAAACGCCAACAGATCCCAAAAACAATTTCTCAACCTTCTAATACTATACCTGAAATAAACGACCAACGAAACGAATTCAAAAACTCCTACAAACATAAGCAGTGCCCTAGAACTAGTCTCTCGTACAAAGCTCAAAGTAACCCAAGCTCCAAAGCCATCTTGAGACCTTCCACAGCTGCCTCCGGCATACCCTCTACCAAATCTGCAATAACACAAAAGACTGGAATATTGAATAGTAAACTATGTATGGCGCCTTGGTTGAAATGTGTGCCGAGCTCCACGCATGCACCCCCAGTGCTTCCAAGGAGCTCTTTATTGTTCTCCCCTGGGTTGCATGCTGCGTTCGAAAATGCAGTGACGTGCTGACGTGGCGATGTCGCAATGTAGACTGAAGCTGTTGTCGGGTCCATACTGATATATTAGCAGACTGGTTTTTGAGGGTAGGTCGGCTTGTTGCTACCTAGGTGATCTAAGATAAGATGATGTTGGTACCTGATTTAGTAGATTTACACGATGTCATTGTTAAGGAATTGGTCCGGCGTTACTGACCAATGGGGGTTTGGGTATTCGTTGGCTTTACCGTTGGCCCTTTCCAAAAACACCGAAGCCTGACAAATCCCCATCATAGCAAAGAACGAGCGGATAGCTACCTGGTATTTCATGATGAAAGCAAGGTTTTCAATGAAGAATGCGTGTTCCAGTGAAAGGTTTCAGGCTGAGGATTAATTTGTGAGAGAAAAGATTGACGAGTGATCATTTTCGATAGTGAGGTAAGAGTGATGATGTGGAAGGCGAATGAGCTTGATATTCAGCACACCTGGGGTGAACGTTGTCCCATTTATACACCATGAACACTTGGGTACCTCGATATTTCGAACAGTTCAAGCTGCCGAATTTGAAGCCTCCTGACCATACTCGAAAAGGCTCCAAAGACATAGGCATCCCGAAACCGTTCCTTGTACTGCCTGATTCGTTGTGATTCATGATGTGTATCTTAGTTTGTAGCGCTCCTCTGATTGAAAAGACTCCGAATTCATTGAAGGAAGACGGATAGAAAACTAGGCGGGGTCTTTGGTGGTTATCACCACAGGAAGCACCCCGTCACGGTTTTGCTGGTTTTTATTCCCACCTTCATAGTCCAGTGAGGCACGCTTCTGTTGCTAATCCACTTTTGGCAATATTATGTCAGGTAATTGCTCGCTAAACTCGCCTGGGTTCATCTCCGATGTTTGGAAAAATCAAAATACTTCACCAAACACCAAGCGAAGTTACTGTATTTCGCCCAATGCGTTGAGAATGCTCGCTAAAATGATCTGCCCAGCCAACAACAGGTAAATCCATTTCGTCCATTCTTGTAGCGGGGCTCTTGGAACACTAACAACGTCTGCAGTGAACATGACATGTCTTAGCGTTAAGGAATTGTTGGTGTCATGTTCGACCCAAATAGTGGCTTCGAGGGGAGGATGTCATCCTGAATTCCTATCAGCCCATAAATTCGTTCCTATGTCACTTTTGTCTCAAAGCTTTTGCACGTAAGCTTCCTCCGACAGGTTTCTTAACATCCTTATATTGTTACCTCGTTGGCGGTAGACAATTGCGACGGCAACACATCTTGACACAGACTTCCGTCATCAACACAGGCTTATCTGACAATATTAATTTTACCTTATTGGAAATTGATATCTTGTTTATTTACCCAATTGATCTATCATCATCACTTTAAGGCTGCTAAATTATGTTTTGTTTACCAAGATCAACGTAACAAACCATCTACTACTAACCGGAGCTCGCTAACACTTCCACAGAATACATGTTCTCGTAGCTTCTACGGCTCTAGTCAGTACCAAGTACATTATAAATGACCAGGGCTATCGTAAGTTACCCTTAAGCACACTCGAAGCCTTTTGCTAACATATGATTTCCAGATTATCGTGCGTATCCCATCGAAATACATTCCCTCGATACGCATTACAGTTGGCATGATCTAACATCATTCAGCATTACATTTATTCACCCTACAAGCCTCATTAGTTGTCTCCATCTTGACCCTCCAAAGGCTACTGAACACCAGTGCCTCCTATTCGCGGTTACGATGGGTTTTCTCGCCAGATGATCTTGGCGTGGAGCCGGCGGCCTTTCAAAAATCTAAGACGCTCCTTATTGGGTTAATATCATTGGCTGCAGCTTTGCCATTGTTTGCACAAGCCATCATGCACTCTTTCAATCTTTCAACCTTGGTGATGCTGCTGGTAAGTCACTGTCATGAGCTTTGTCCAAGTCATCCGTTGACCGTTGCTGGTGCTAATCCAACATGTAGACGCTCGTGATTCTCATCTCGTTTATGATGGCTCATGCTGGATTGCAACCAATTCGAAAAGCGGGCATGACGACCATCCTACTTGGATTCATTATGTTAATTCTATACGACGAATATCGACTCTCGGTCAATGGGTTGCTGTTCGCCGTGCCAGCGTCTGCTTTATTGGCTTTGGCCAAGCTTTCCCTATCACATTCATCGAAACCCGTACACGACATAGAGATGGACAGTCGACGGACTCTATCATGGCAAGCTGTGATGCTCATCACGATCTCTGCGAGTCTTGGCATTACATCGATTTGGGCCTTCACAATTGAAGACACCCTGCTAGCATTCGCTTATATACGCCAACTCAACATAGGTATTAGTGGCTCTAAACATAGTCTCAGTTGCCATGTTTTTGACATCTGGTCCGTCCGTTTTCACAACTTGCAATTTCCTCGGATCCAATCAGTATGTTGAAGTATCCGTATGTGCAAATATGCTTCTTTTCGGAGGTGTTATTTCACTTGCAAGCAGCCAACTTCTCGAACCCAGCGTTTCAACAATAGTACAACCCACAGCATTTGTTGCTATCATGATCTTCTCAGCCGTGGTATTTCGATGTGAGCAACTAAGTCCACGGCCATATGAAAAGACATCCCAGGAAGGGTATCAGATAGTCACTCATCAGTCGACAAGTGGTCTGGAGAACACCAATTCGATGGACTTTGTTAAAACGCAACCGGGGAACATGAGGCATAACAGTTCCGTTACTCTTGCTTTCGCAGCGGGAATCGTATTGTGGATTCTGTTCGCTGCCCACAACAGCCTACTCTTCCGAAACCCAGTCGAGACAAGGTCGGAAGCAATTCTAGATCACACATACAGACCAACAATCGATATCGATATCGTCGTCAGCATGTACAAAGAAGACGTTTCTTCAGTCGCCGAGATGCTATCCCATCTACGATCACTCTCCGCACTCGCAGGATGATCAACTAGAGTAATCGTTTACTGCAAAAACGATACGGCAGGTCTCGAAACTCTTAGCCAAAATTTAGGAGCCATTGAAGTCATCCCGCGTCCGAATATCGGTCGAGAAGGCGAAACATATTTAAACCACATAATCAGCAATTTCGACAATCTCGCCACCCACACTCTTTTCATCCAAGCACATGTCCATAACAAGTGGGAGTTTTATCGAAGAATTGAACAGTATTTCACCGCATCAACTGGCATGTTGAGCTTAGGCTTTTCTGGAAATAGCTGTGATTGGAACAACTGCTCTGATCGATGGGGATGGGAAGATGATCATCATATTGTCACCGATATCTATCAACAGGTGTACAAGCGTAATTCTTCGACAGTGTTACTATCGTATAAAGGACAATTCATCGCATCCGCTCGACGAATTCGAGGACTTGACCGGTCGATTTACGAGAACTTACATAAGACCATGATTGATCCTAGTAGTTGGGCACATACAGAGCCCTTCTTACGCGGTCGACCAGACTCTTTGAGCGCTCCATTGTATGGCTTCTCTCTGGAACGTGCGTGGTCTACACTGATGCAGTGTTCGGAACCAGATATTGCGTACAAATGTCCTACTTTGCTGAGTGGAAGGCGAAGAGGTGGGAGTTTAGATGACCGTCAGTGTCTTGCTGATGATAGTCTGTATATTTAGCTTGGTTGATCTGATTCACATACACGAAAATTTTGAAACTCAACAATGAGGACGATTAGATAGCAAGGTTTATACTTCCTCGGAATCATCATTTTCCTATTCAAAAATACAAGCAACAAATTTAGATTCGCACCAAACCTCTCAATCCTCATTCACTTCCCTCTCCTTTCTCAAAGCCTCCCTCAACAACTCCACAATCTTAACATTCCCCGCAAGCTGAACGATCTCCACCACTGATCTCCCTTCCTGATCTTTCACATGAACATTCGCAGCACCACCTATCAACAACTTAACAACATCATCATACCTTTCCCTCCTTACCGCCATCAAAAGCGCAGTTTCTCGATAACGATCATTGAGTCTTATTGTCAAATCATCAGGACTACATCCCCTCTCCAACAAAAACTCCACAGCCTCTTTCCTCTTCCCCAACACAGCCCTTCTCATCGCACCTGAGCCCTCCATTACCGCTCCATAATCAACAAGCAACCTCAACACCTCAACCTCACCTCCCGCAGCAGCCTCTCTTAGCGGCGTCATCCCACCGTATAACCCATCATTCGGATCAGCACCTCGCTCAAGCAAGAACCGTATAAAAGCCAAATCTTTGGGTTCAGGAACACTAACCGCGCTCCTCAATGGACACCCATAAATCCCAAACGACTTCGTAATGAACCCTGGATCATGGTCCGCAAGCTCTAAGACTACATCAACTGATCTGGTAGCAATCGCATTCATTCGCAAATGGCGGTCAAACTCCTTTGGATACAACGGTCTTAGAAATCTCAGGACTTCAAGTTGTGACGCTTTGACTGCATCTCGGATGAGATCGCGGATCTTAATGTCTAACTTTACCACGGATGAGAGTGAGAGTCCTGTTTCTTCATCTTCCAGAATATCTTTGAGTGTTTGGATGTCACCGGTGCGACATGCTGTGGATAGAGATGCATGAACATCTTGATGTTGTGAGAGGCTTGTGTTTATTTCTGTCAGTGATTACAAGCAGGTGAGAGATTCTAACAAGGTTCACTGACTGTAAAAGTAGAGTTACCATGTTGAAATATGGGAGATGTATTACTTGTGGTTTGACGAGCATACGATGAGACTTTTCGCAAAGTCCTGCAGAAACGGGCTGACCAATGACTGTCTCTTCATCGTGTTGGTTTTGTGTTGGTACACACTAGGCTAGGCTTCTAATCGCACGGTTCACCAAAGCCTTTCTTCTCCGAATATTTTCTCCACAGTCTCACAATGGAATCTTATTATCGAGAAATCTCACATCGGAGTTACGATCTCTCACTTTCAACTAGCCAATTTTCATGACCAATTTTCACGATACCCTTTTTTCTTCGAATTTCCACCTTATTTGAGACTGATTTGTAGAGAACGGCTCAAAGTGAAACTTTTATTACCAGCATAATTTATGTAGTTGTATAGGCTTTTAAAGACCAGGTGTGTCCGCAATACGGAACACATACTTCGAAGCGCTATTCTTACCATCCTTCAAATCTTGCAAAGCTTGCTGAACGGCTTCCAGTCCTCCGGGTCGCACCTCATATGGATGTGCGGTGAAGGTTCCTTTCTCCAATGCCTCCGTAAACCATCGACAAGTCACCAAGCCCAGGTTATGATTGTCGCCAGACCCGCTATTGTCCACAGTATGAACTGAGCCGACAGTTGTCTTGGTCTTTGCTATTTTTCCCGTGTCCCAGTCACTCGGCAAGACAAGATTGATCGCTCCATCAGACACAACGATCTCTGTGAGAACCTGCTTACTCGGCTCTCCGATTCCTGGATCAAGGCCGTGTCTTACCTCGCCGTATTTTCCAGATTTGAGGTGAGCGCGAATACCTTTTATAGTCTCCTCAGTACCTTTGCGATAGTCGAATACTGCGTCACCTTTGCTGCGATCAAGCAGGGATTCAACGTGGGGTGTGCCCTTGCCCGCAACCGCAATGATAGGATGGATATTGCTGTTTCGTGCGAGCTTAATGGCATAGGATCCTACAGATGAGCTGGCACCATATACGATGAATGGTGTAGACTCTGTTGCGGGTAGCCAGGGGGTGGGAAGCTTTAAGTTCTTGAATACAGCGACAGCTGCTGTTAATGCTGCCAGAGGAATCGTTGCAGCTTCTAAAAAATGAAGTTAGTCCAAGCCATCTCATTACTGATCATGACGAGAAAAATTACCTTCGAAGGATGTCGAGGCAGGAAGGTGGAACGTGGTGTGTTCCCATGCCAATCCGTATTCAGCGTATGAGCCGCCAGGAGCTTGCATCTCATGAAAGGCTCCCACACGATCTCCTTTCTGTTCAGTCTTAGAATTCATTTATTTGCCATGTTGGAATACTTTTCCATACCTTGAATGCAATCACATCTTTTCCAACCTTCTCCACCACACCTGCAATATCATCGCCATGGTTCATGCCACTTTTCGCCTTAGTTTGCCAGGAGTCATTATCAGGTCCATTGTACTCAGCAGCCCAAGTTGGTACTTTCCAATCTTTTGGGTTAGATCCAGAAACAACAACCTTAATCAGGACTTGTTTGTCTTTTGGCTCAGGAATGGGTGCGGACTCGATCTCGCACTTGACTTCCGCACTGGGGAAACCTAGCACTTGTTTCATTGTAGCCATGATAATTGAAATTGTATAAAAACTGTATACGTGAGATTGAAAGTAGGATTTAGAAACTTGGGCTTGGTGTTTATATAGCACTTGGGAGCGCAATCGTACAGTAGTTACTTGACCGCCACGTGCCCGCGACGGTCGCACCAAGGTTGTTCGTCCGCCGACAAAGGAGGTAAAAACAAGGTAGAAAAAAATAAAGGAAGAGCCTTAAAAGAAACCGTTTTCATAGCGGCATACTCGAGTATTGGTCATCAAGAGCTCTGAGAAGTGGGGTAACAGACCCCCCCTATGCATCGCTAATGCAAGTGCGGAGACACCTACCTCACCCTGACGTCGGCCGATTTTCTGTGCGACTATCTCTTGATTCCCACCTTCTGTTATCAAAGTTCGCCCATCTGTCTCGACTTTTAACAATTCGAATACAGCACCAAAAAATCATTACCTCTTAAACTTTACTCCTCACCACGATTCTATACAGGCATACAAGAACACTTAATTATCATTCATATAATAATATTCAAATCCTGTTTCAAATTTCTACGCCTTCTAGACATCCTTTTCTAGGACCTTCACACCTCAATTCTCATTGACAAATGAGAATTTCGCTAGTACCACTTCGATAAGATAATCATCAGGATCTCTCACAAACGACACGCCCACGCAAGCATCCCACTACGACTTATCCTTCCCACTCCAGGCAATTCACAACCCAGGAAAGAAGCAGCAACTTCCTGATTCTCAGCCGTGCCAGCATCCTTGACGATATTAACATTGATACTCTTGAAATGCTTCATGGTCGCATCGATATCAGGAACGGTGAAGCAGAGCTTGACGAAGCGATCCATGGGACAATCCTTGTGAATCTTGCTCAAATTCTGTTCTTGAGAGCAGCAGAGGATGCTGCAAAGGCAAATGTAGTACCTCTGGATGAAGGAGTTCTAATTTCCCTTCTCTTGAGAGAAACGGGTTATTCGGGTCGACTGAATCGCCGTAGCCAAGATAGCTGACGGTAAATGTATCTGTGCTAGTTCCTTGATCCCAAATGCCTTGATGCAAACTCGACTGACTTCTCGAGGTGTGCGACGCGGATGCCGGTGTGGTTGAAGCGGAAGCCTTTTGTGACACTCTCGGACGCCATTGCTACACAAGTTTCTAGATTTCCGAAGATTTTGGATTGATAATATCAGAATGCGGGAAATTATTCTGCCAGCAAAAATAGATATTAAATGTAGATTCAAGCAATTCGGCGGAGCTCGGCGGTCCATTCAATATGTTTTTGCAGATCTCCCGTTCTAGAAAACCTTAGTTCGAAGACGTTTGAGCTGGTACCTAGGTTGCCGAATTGCTCTATTAACTAGTGTGGTCCAAAACCGGTTGCTTATCAATCATACACTGTGGAAAGATTTCGCAAACTCATAGAAGCCGCCAGTTAGTGCATCGAAACCGATTATTCAGTTCACAGTTGTGAGCTGTGTCGCCACACCTAGAATGTTGTCGGAATAGCTTAATCAAGTATAATCTACACTACATTCGTGCAACAGGTAGTTTTGGTTTATTTAGTATTTGAAGCAACTTTTGTTAGTGGTGGCTTATTTAAGGATAGTAGATTGCTTCTCCTCCTCGTTATCAAAGGATATTTCTGGCTAGCTTTGTATGCGAAATTCTGTCGAGTCAATTTGTTAGTTGAAATCGTTCACAGACTGTCGATCGTTTGAGACAACGACGAAGGCGCTATTTAATCTTAAATCGTCTAAGAAGTCTCGTGATAGCTCGCACCCTGATCTATCCAGAAAAACGCAATCTAGGACATTGTAGCTTATATATTTCTCCACCGACTTTTGCAAAGCACGCTCATTACCTAACCTCCAATTTTAACTAAAAGTCTCCCAAGAACACTTTTATATAAAGGACATAATACTCTATTTAAGATCAAAATGCTCTTTCATATTAGGAGAGCAATGAAGCTAAGATACAAGTCTCCAAACTCCGGATTTAGTCTTAATATCTAGAGATACTTTAATTTCACTTTAACCCGCTATCTCTATTTATCCAATCCTATCTGCGTATCATTGTACCCAAAACACGACGATTAAATCCCAGCATCCCTCAACCCCCGACAGAACAAAACAAAATCTTCGTTTCAAAGTCAAAATGTAGAGTAGCAATGAAACCTGTTACATTAGAACCCCGCTCTGAAATGTGGATTAAGAAAGAGGAAAATCCAATTTCGCCGCTTAATGTTCTAAGTATTTCTATAGACATAATTGTAAGAGTAATCCCCGGGTAATAGTTTGTCTTTGGGATGTGAATGCGTGTAGGAATAGACGGAGACTTCCGCTAATAAACTATAATTTACATTTCAAGTACTTAAAACTATTACAAAACAATAATTTACTAGGTGGTCTTAGCTTATCTAAGGACATGAATACTTTCGATATTTAATTTCTTCAAATTCCGACTTCCTAAACAAATAATTCCCACATTACTCACCGTCTTGACATAAATCCTAGCCAAAATACAAGCCTTACAACCTCCTTGGGACTGGTGGTTGGATATTACTTGGAAAGAATGATTAGTCATGGCTGTATAGTGTGTATTTACTTTGTGTATACGAGAGAAAACAATTTAACAACGAATGAAATCCAAGTATATTTGCTCTTGAAAACGAAGTGGGCGTTTTCTTTTTCGAAGTGATATAGTAGAAATTGAAAGGGTAAGCGCGAGAGTTGTGTAACGAAGAGGGTTTCGTGGTTGGATGGTTGGGATGGTTGATGATTGAGAGAAATACTCGCTTAATTCATGTTTATAGGATGTGAGACCGTGTGTAAGAATAAATTGTTGGGCTTATGCCTAGATGAAAAATACCCTAGAAAGAAAACATGTAGCATTTTAACCCAAATCACCTCCCATAAGACCAAAACCTCAATCTTCATCCAATCCCCCCTCCTCTCTCCCCCTTTCACCCCTCCACCCCATCAAACCCCCTCCAAAGCCCCTCAACAACCTCATGTCTCTTCACAGCCCACTCCCAATCAGGAACCCACTCCCCCCTCGCAAACGCCTCATAAATCCTCCCAATATTCCTCGCCGGCTGCGGCAGTCCCCCGAACTCCCCCTCATCTCTCGCGTCCCAAACCTCACTTCCCCCTTTCCCATCATAAAACACAACTTTCGTATCCTCTCTCCCTACACTGAGTGCCCAACTCGGACTCTCGAGACGAAGCTCTCCGAGGGAGCCTTGGATCCGCCATTCTATCCCGGGTGTGCCCGGTAATGGCGGACCGCCGCGGAGATGGATTGATATCGGTGCTTTATCAGGTCCAGCGATACCTTGGATGAGAATCTGATCTGGGACTTCATTCTTGACATCCCTCTCCACGATTTCATCACCATCCAGAATATCCTTTTTCTCGTGTCTTATAGCCATGACTGATTTATAACTCTCAAACCCCCCCAGCACTACCACATTTCTCAATATGCATAATAATATAATCAAGAATAGGTAACTTACCAGCACCAACAACCTCCAACGTATGCCCCCCATGAATAGACACCACATTCCCACCAACGCCCCTCTCCAAAAAATACCTCACCGTTGTCTTCTCGCTCACCCCTCCATTGCCGAGACTCGCAACAATGGAACTACTAACCACCCTCCCCAGTTTCCCAGTCTGCACAAACTCCCTCATCTTCCGAATCGTAGGATCGAAAGAACCTTGCAAACCTATTATGGTTTTCGCGTTGTGCGCTTTTGCTAAAGCGGCCATTTCTTTGGCGATGGCGAGATTGCGTTCGAGTGGCCACTCCACGAAGACAGTCTTGCCGGCGATGATACTAGGACGCACGGTTTGGAGGTGCCGGTCGACTCTCACGGAGCAGACGACTAGATCGACGTCTTTATCATTCGCGAGATCTATTCATTTCATCAGCACACCCCTCACACCCCTCCCCAAAGATCTCACTCACCTTCCGGATCGCCATACGTCCTCACCCCCTCCCCAAGCCCAAACTTCACCCTCGCGCTCTCCGCATTCTGCTTACTCGAATTAAGCAACGCCACGATTTCATAATGGGATGAGGAGAGGAGATACGGCAGATGTGCGGATGTAGCCCACGAGGTACCGGTTGGGGAGGCGGAGAGACCGATGAGTGCTGTGCGGATGGGAGACATTGTGAGATACTATGAAGTGTTATTGGGAGGATGAATGTGAGAAGGGGAGGGGTGAGGTTTTGGAGGGGGTTGTAAAGTACATATATATAACGTGACAACTCCTCTTATTCAGACCTTTCGGATATCAGAGGTAGACTGCATCTGCCTAGTACATATTAGATTTCGGATATAACCACATCACGTAGTATGCTTACAAACCTATATATACTATATAACAGAGTTTTTAACTACACCTCATGTAGGTAACGAACTTCTCACAACTAAACTGTGCATGTTGATTTCAAATCACCCCTCCCCCTCGCTTAACTAACTCAACCCTCCCCCCTCCGTCCCTCCCCCCCTTCCCCACACACGCCTATCACCCCACAACAAACAAGTGCCCGAAAAGTATGCGAGCGTTCACGACATTTGTCAGTAAATCAAGAATGACGAAAGCTACAGTATCTATTGCCTCATGAAAGACGATAGTCTGGACATCCTGGCGTAGAAACATGCGGTTTGGTTTTTCGTCCGATGATGTATGTTGTCAATCAACAACCCACACAACGACATCACGCCTCACCAAAAGACTAACAAACGGTAAAATTCAGTTCATTAATAACCTAGAAACGGCATCCGCTTCCAGACACGTAAGAAAACCCATCGAATCAATAACGCGTAACCGACATCATAAACCCAGCCGAAATCCTTGCAATCTACTAGTACAGCGCAGCCTCTCCGTCTCAAGCATTCCTTTCCCTCTCCATCACTCCAACATAATCCCCTAAACAACTTGCGACCTCGTAGCTTCACTCTCGCTAGGGGCATAACTATCAAGTGGCTGTCCCGTCGTAACAGATCCACCACTGCTGATTCTACTTCCATCGACGCCAATATCAGAAGATCCTTGGGCGTGTTGGTGATGGAGGACGCTCTCGTCGCCAATTTCAGATTGTGGAATGTTATGTTGCTCTCTTGGCATCAAGTTGGGTTCGAGGTGAGCGCTTGAAGGGACATCCTCGAGCTCGTGTTGCCAGTCTTTCAAATCATCCTCTGCGTCGTTCAGGATTTGACGAGCTTGGTTGCTATGCTCGTAGGCTGGACGGACGTCACCGGGGACGACTGGGGTGTCGTCGAGGAGGTTCAAGATACGACGACCGTGTCTTGCGAGGATGATTTGCTTCTCAGCGCGTTCGATTGTTGCGGCAAATTCAGCGGCATATGCTTCCTTCAACTTTTGACGTGTCTGATAAAGTTAGCAATGAAGACTTTTATAGATCATAAAACTTACAATATTAGTCAATTGAGCCTCCGCAACCAAATTCTCCGCCTCAGCACGCACAAGCTCCTGCTCCAAAGTAACCAATCTCGCACTTTGCGGCTCCTTTGCCTTCAACTTGGCAATCTCATCCGCAATCTTCGCCTTATGATCTCGACTAGGCTGAACACTCTTCTCCGTATTTCGGATAGCCTTCAAAACAGCTCTGCTATCATCGATATTATGTGCATAAACATCCTCCTGCTCGCCCAATTCCGAAAGCAAAACACCAATCTTGTCCGAGACGTCACTGATCGCATCATCATTTGTGGCCTCACCCCAGTCGGAAAGCTGTGTTGCGACTGAGAGACGTTCCTTTCCTGCATTCTCGTAACATTGGATCAAGTGGTTCTCGGATTTGATGAGCTTGTATAGCTTTTTGCTGAGTTCGGGTTGGACGGTGCCGCGGAGGGAGTTGAGACTGAATCCATGGCGACCTCCTCCCGAGGAAGAATCTTTGTTCTTGTTGGAACGAATTGAAAGTGCTCGATTCCTGGGCGCAAGTAATTAGCAAAGCTTCAAACAAAAGTATAGAGACTGGCTTGCAAATGATGAAGAGGATGTTTGTCCGACTTCTTTTTGGTTCTCGAATTACTTCGAGACAACATGTTGGGATTTGCACGGTATAAATGAGGTGGTAGGAATGAAGCATAACTTACATGATGAACGTCGGCGCAGTCGGTAGGGGTCTTTCAAAAGGTTATTTGCTCTATCATTATGGTCAGCTCTTTCCTATTATTCCGAGATATTTTTGTGACGACAAAGCTATCGCAGCTGCCGTTGCGACCCCGCGATAGCTTCATTCCATAATCGTCATAGGCAGGGATAAAACATACCTGGAAAGTTTTGTGATTTCGCAGCTGGTAGAATACTACCAAGAAATAAAGTATCAAGTAAATTAATTTAGGAATCAAGATATGTGAAGTTTTAGGAATCCCGGGATGTTGTTTGTTATGTATTTGGGTCTTGCTTGTGTCGAGGGCTGAATTATTGGATCACAACCGATGACGTAGGTCGCACCCAAACTGGTCGAGCCACGAGACGAACTCACAAAGGGGGGACTAGCTTTGACGATCAGGGTCCAACGACTTGATTTTGGGCGTCCATTTCGAGTCTAATATTTTGATATCCCGAAACAGCCGCATGATGAGTATTCTTCGAATACAAATCATGAACAAAATACTCTAATGTGATATACTCGGTCTTAGTCATTGACTTGTTGCCGGGGACCAAAGAGAAACCAGGCTTTATTCAAACATATCAAATCAACATGTACTACCCAAACCCAACCTACGCCATGCCATCCTCCATCCCATCGTAAAACTCGTCGTATCTTGTACATCCTAGCCATCCGTGCATGCCGCACACCTATCCAGACTCTTCTCACGACTTTGAAGATGCTCTTAACTCCAAGCTCCCAACTCCAGTAGCGGGTTTGTCCCATCCACCATATAAACCGGTGCAAATCGTCTATCGTATATCGTATCCAACCATCCATTTCCACCTCCTCTAAAAGTCACATTCCTCCCCTCATCCCCACCTCCCCTTCAGCCCGTCCAACTCCCTCCCCATCACCTATAATACCCACTCCCCCTCCCCTCAACAACCACCACCGGTCCACTCCTCCTATAACTACTCTGGCTCACGCGCGGCGAACTCGTATAATACGTCGCGCTCCCCGGCCTCGTCGTCCTCGTAACAGACGTATACGACGTCCTCCCATGATGATGCGAGTGTCTCGACACCGGTCTCGGCGCCACGATGACTTCTTCGACGTAGTGCCCGCGTCGACGGGGTGGAGGGGAGGAGAAGAGACACATGTTTGCTTCTTTTTAGATGTTTCTTGAGGAGAGAGATTTTGTTTTTGGATTTGGTAGAGGGGAAGGGGAAGAGGAAGAGGGGATGGGAAAGCAAGATTTATACACATCCCACACCCATACATCTTGGCGCAACAACCTTGGGATTCTTCACCTCACCTACTTGTATGTCAAGGACCAGGTCGGTCACGACCAGGCCATCACACACCAACTCGACTCAGCCTCGACTACTCGGTATATGTATGAGTAAGAACCTTTTTTTAGGCAGACGATTTTTATAGTAGGCTGAAATGAGAGGGGGGTAAGCTTATGAGAGGGATGGTTTTGGGTACCGAGTATTAATTTTTCCTTTTGGGGATGTGGAAAATGGGAAAAGTACATGAGGACTTTTGGGTAAGGTTAGGTGAGATGCTGAGGGTATTGGATGTTGGGGGCCAAGGTTCAGGATTTGGGTATGCATGTCACATGGCAATCCTTGTTCGGAATTGACAACACTATGATCAATCCCACGATTCCTCTGCATGGCTTTGCATAATTTGTGTGATATAAGAGTTCTAGATTGCTGTACATATGTGATGACGAGGTCAATAGAACAAGAGCGTTACTGCGCTAATATGAAAACACGATAAATTACTCTTTTACACGAAACTATAATTCCACGAAATCTACAAACCAGCAGCACCTGAAAAGATTACCCTTACATTTTTAAACACCAACGATAATTTCACAAAAAGCTTTCGTAGACCTCACCTTACTTATCTAGCGACCATTCTTCAACGGAAACAAGAGATTTGCCCTCCAACAGTCTACTCGAGAATTTCAAGCAAGTGTAGATCAGTGATGACCTTATTATCTCGTTACCACTGTCTATAATACAGTGAAGGATTGTATTTTTTGTTGCACATCGCACTCTCAGTGTCGACTTTCTAAAACCCCTCGATTTGAACGGCGTCCATCAACTACACTTTTGTCGCACATCGCATTCTCAGTGTCGACTTTCCAAAACCCCTCCATATACCAGTATAGTGTCTTACACATTTATTATACAACGCACATTAGACGGGGTCCATCAACACCCTTCCCGCATTTATCACACATCACACATCGCACTCTCAATGTCGACTCTAAACAACATCGCATTTCCCAACAATCCAACCCAAGAACCATCTCATAACGTCGAGGGAAACCGTGGTTGATACTCTAATCACGCGAGTGAAAGCCTAATGACCCCAAGATCGGTATATGAGAACAGGTTATTTGGTAAGTCTTACATGTATGGAACAAGTTTGTCAAGGAATAGGTGGAAGTGAGGAGGGCTAGCGAGAAAATAAGAAGAAGAAGACCGCACCATCTGGACCAAACCTTCATGTCAACCCACCTTTTCATGGCTGAAAGATAAATCAAACCTTACATCTCACACACACATATCATACCAAACTCAAATCCAAAGTCGAAAACAAATAAAACTCAATTCAAACCCTCCACCCACCTCCCTACACTACTTATTGTACAGGATCCCACCCCCTCGCCTCCCTCCCCCTCCCACCAGGTGAAAGAGCTTCTGGAACCCCCCTTCCATATCCACCACCACCTCCAACACCTTCACCACCCCTCCCTCCACCGTTTACCCCTCCATACCCCCCTCCATTTCCACCCCCAGACCCCCCTCCACTCCCACTCCCACCCCCCAACCTCCCACCCACAGGCACCCTCCCCACCCCCGGCGGCGGCGTATAAGGTTTATACCCCGGATACGCGACCGGGGCCTCAGGACTACCACTTCGATAACTAGGCGGTGCCGTCTCGCCATCATAGTTCATGTAGTCGTCTGCGCTGGGTCTTGTTCTGGGGACGGGTCGACGGTTTACTTGTTGTGGTGGAGGAGGTTGTGAATATTGTTGCTGAGGTGGATATGACTGCTGGGGTGGATACGCCTGCTGTCCAAAATCAAACCCTCCACTATCAGCCTGTCCCGGACTCCTCTCCTCATACGAACGATCTGAATATCCCCTCCCCGGATTCAGCGGTCTACTCGAGTCACTCGAATAATTAGTCTGCGGTTGTGGCCTGAAATTCCCCCGTTGATTCTGGCGTTGTCTACCATATCCATCACCAATCACCGCACCCATGTACTCATCATTTCCGTATTGATCTTGATGTTGCGGCGCGCCGTAGTTGCCTCCATATCCTTTATTCATATCTTGACCTCGCTGTCCATATCCTGGCATAGGCGCCGCATTGTTTCTTGGTGGTCCTCCTCGCCCTGGGCCTGGAGATGGACCACCTCTGTATCCTCCTGCTGCGTTAAAGCCGCCTTGTTGGTTTACAGGCGATCGAGATTGTGGTGGGACATTCATGTATCCGCTTCCACTCGCTAGCCCGTATGGATTCGTAGGAAGATTCGCCGCAGGACTCGGAGGTTGATTTGTCGCTGGACTGACGGCTCCGGTCATGAGAGGCACATTCTGGCTGGTGGTAGGTTCTAGATTCGATAATTCCACCGCATCTTTCTCCTCATTCGCAACCTGTTTCCTTGTCGCAGTCTCCCAGCTAGGCATTGGCGGTAAAGCATCATCGCTAACCGGCTTTGGCTCGACATATAACCCATTCTTTCCAACCTCGAATTGCGCATATTGCGGTATACCAGGCGGATCTCTCGATGTGATAAGCCCAGTCGTCTGAGCAGGTCCCGAGTTCAATCCTCCTCCCATCATCGGCGGCGGAGCCTGATATCCTTTATCTCCCCCAAACCCACCACCATTCCGCGGATCATGAGGATCATCCAGATGTTTATGCGGTTTATTCTTCTTCCCATCGCAAGACCCGCCACAGCAATCACAACATTTCAAAAACGAGAAACAAGTGCAACAGCAGGACATGCCACAGCACGCGCATCGTATACAACACCATAATACCGAAAACACAATCAATCCCCCAACAATAATCACCGCTATCACAGGCCACCTACACAATTAGCATCTCCCCCAGGACCAAGGACGAGGGGAACATACTTGCAATACACAGCATCCATACAACTATCCCAGCTCGAAAACGAATTCTTAACATCCGACACACTATCCGTGATTGATCTCTCCCGTAGCAGCCTCGAGTCCCGCCCTAGCAAACTATCAAAGAGTATATCGCTAACACCCCTCCGCCGACTCGATTGCATCGCGCGATTAATATGCATCTCCCTTATTCGCATTCGCAGTCGACCGGATTAAAATCTCCTTTCCGGTGTGTTCTCAATCCATACCCTCCAGCGGTATTCCAACAATCCCCCTTTCAATCGATGCTTCGCCCTATTCGAATCCCCTATCCGTCTGCCGCGCGCTCGTTGCGATCGTTCGTCCCAACTTCCAAAAAGCAAATAAACCCCCTCGTAACGATCGTGCTGTGTCTTCTTTCCCCGTATCGCAACCCAAAAGATGCCACAATCTTCGCAATCCTCTTACTCGCGATACCTCTGAACCGAATGTGAAACAGCCCGTTGGCTAGGCAAAGCTAGGCTCTCACTTCCCCAATAACCCTTCCCAATATCGCTTTCTCTCTCAAAATCAATCAACCTGTATCCTCAAAGGCAACTTTGAACTCTCCAATTTCATTCAACGCAAAAACAAATTTCAAACGAGTGTCAAGAAAGATCCTAGGTCTTTAGGTGTCGTGATATTTACCCCGTACTTGTTTCCAATGTTGCCCGAAATAAGTCAAGTACGGAGGGCGACCCACCCACTCACAAGTGGCTACACTAACCACCTGCATCACGTGTGCCCGAAAGTATTGTGGCGCAGCGGGGAAGGCAAAGAATGATGACCTATGAATCCTTTGACAGATACGAAGAGTGAGGTGGGGACGCGCGGTCTGGAAAAACGAGTGGATTTTGTTGAATACAGAAGTTATGAAAAAAGCCTAGGTGGCTGAGATGTTTAGGATAGAGTAATAGAAGCTGTGTAACTGAATGAAGGCTTTCATCTGATAAAAACCAAGAATCCAGCTGAGAATCGGGTTGGAACATACGTTTTGTCATACTACATAATAGAAACCAGGCGCAGCGAAATCGACCGATCAAACGACCTATTGACTAAACATTCTGGTATCCCTCCCGCTGAAAGAGAAATGACCTTTCGAGGTCCAAGTCCAACCATTCCTAACCCTTTTCGCAAAGATACGATAGCGACGGTATCGAAATTCCCAGAAACGCCATAATAATCACAATCCCATTTCCCTCCCTCGCATTACCACCCAAACATTCCCTTTCCCCTCGTTCACGAACCCATCACTTTCGGTACACTCTCTTCCCTCCCCCACTATCTTATCTTATGATCGCACCCCCCTTCGTAGGCGGCGGACCCAACGGCGCCTCATAAACCGGCTCCCCTCCCCTCTGGGGCTGATACGCATTCTGCGGCGGTTGCATCTCAAACCCATTCCCATTTCCATTCCCATTTGCCCCATACGCATTATTATTCGCACCATAATACCCATCCCCACTCTGGAACGTCGTGCCCGTCTGCTGATTCGGCATCGGCGCAGGCGTATACGGCGGCGCAGGCGCACCGTAGTATCCTCCGTACTGCTGATTGCCTTGCGGAGGGTTTTTGTTGCCGGGCATCCAGCCGGTGCCGTACATAGGGGCGAGACCGCGGCGACGACGACGGCGGGTGTTGATGCAGCTGAATACGTAGGTTAGTAGGTGGAAAGAGGAGGGGGGATGGAGGACATACGATACTAAAAACGCAAAAACCAGCACCGCGACAACGATCACAGCGAGTGCTACCCAGCGACCCCAATCGTTCCATGCGGAGTATGTGCAGTCATCGCCGTAGTAACTGTATGAGGAACAACTGTAGGCTGTTAGCATTGATCCTCCATCAAGCCCGTCATATACTGTTCGCAGCGATGAGTCGAGGGCAGAAGGAGGGGAGCTTACTAGTATCTCTTCGCAATCATCTGCATCACCGCTGGAGCCATCTCGAAAGCCCTTTTCAATGATAATTTTCTTCAATCGAAAAAACGCTCTTCCTTTAATAAAATGTCGTTGCGATCGAAAGATGTGATGCGACGATGAAGTCAGATAAAGAAACAATCCTCGGCTGGTGGTTAGCAGGGTAATAAGCAGAATCGGGCCTCGGAGAGTCATCGAACCTAGCTGTGTGGCTGAGCCGTCAACACCAAGAAGCTGGGCAAATATCACGCACGACGCAAGCTCTTGGAAGACTAATATTTTAAGGATTACGTACGTTTCGACACGACACGAACGGATGGAATTAAATACACGAGGGTTTATCAAATAGCTCACCCGCACTCGTCAGGTCGTCGTGTACGGAGTTTAGTTTATCAAGAGCGTAAGAGGAGAGTTATTCGGGCGTAATTATTTGATTTGCCACTACCTCACAACTGTAGAAGCAGGAAATCGGGGATTCACGATCGCACATCTCCACCTACACCTATACTCACTTTCACAAGCCTCAACTACTCCAATCTTTTCCTTTCGATTTTCAGAACATGTTTTAATGTATTACATATTCTATTATAACCCCCCTCTAGATATCTATATCTTTATGAATCTCTTGGACTCCTCGGGCTAGGTACAAAACCAAATCAAATACTCATTACCATTACGCCCTCAAAATCATCTCAAATCCTCACGACAAACAAATCTTCAGCCACCATAATTCCCAATATACATCTAACCTACAGTTCAGTTCAGTTCAATTACACGAGCGGTATCTCTCCATCCATCCATCCATCCAATATCCCCACCCTCCTCTTCCCCTTCCCCATCTCCCATCCCTATCCTCCCCAAAATCATCACCCTCAACACCTCAACCTCCCTCATCCCATCTCCCCTCGTCCCATCATCATAAACCCATAACCCCCCCTCCCAACAACCACCCGGGCACTCATCACCCCTCCATAGTTCCCAGCCAATAGCAAGACGCGAACGCTGCAGACAAGGATTCCATGCTCCCCCATCATACTGCCAGCGCATCAAGTGGTTTGTGCGTAAGTCCACTGCGCTGGCACTCCTCTCTTCCTACCGTGGAAAAAGAGATAAACAGAATGAATAGAAATATAAACCCCAGACTTGCCCTCGTCTCATCCATTCGTTCTCTTGTCGCACTTTCCACACTTCAATTTCATATGTGAATCCCATGTTCGTCAATTCGACTCTCATCCCTCGGGATTCCGCGCACCGCACCGGGCACCACAGTGACACACCACACGCAATATCAATATCACCGGGCGAAAAATCACCGTCTCGCCAGGCTTTCCGTCTTCAAAAAGTATGATCATTAACTTAAGGGGGTTTCATAATATGAGTATGCTAGTTACATTCGCGATTCAAGAAAAAAAGACACCAGACGATGCCCTCGAATCGAATCCCCCACCAGGCGTCCATCATCATCCACCTATCGCCTCGTCAAGACAAAGAAAACCAATTCTAGCAACTCGGGCGTGCAAGTCGCTATTACAAAAGAAATGCTAGTCGTCAAATCGTCTCGTCGTTCCAAAAAGCCGTGGTGGTCATGAAGAGAAACCCCGCATGGGGAAGGGAAAGAAATTTATCTTCCCAAAAGATTCGAACGCCGGATGCGTCCGATATGGTCATGAGAGAGATCATGTTCCAAGTTAGGTGGGAAAATGCGGTGAGCTGAAGAGATATGTGACCTTTGCAGGCCCGCGAGGGAATATTTCGTTTTTGTCTTTCCGTCACTTCGTATCATTCTTCGTTATCATTATGGACTTTCCGGGTCCAAGTGGCCGGAGTTCTAGATGGGGATTTCATTTGAGGATGATCCCCTCTATTTGCTGGCACGAGCAACGAGCCATTGTAAGACAGCATCAAGGTTGGTTTCTTCTTTTGCGCTTATCCCGTAACAACTTACCTCACGATGAGAGATACTCTTCAGGTCCAAAGCTTCGATCAACTCATCTACGGAAAGCTTCTCTTCGAGGTCGGATTTATTTCCCAAGACGAGCAAAGGAATTCCTTCAAGCACAGGTTTTTCAAGCAAGAGATGAAGTTCGTCTTTTGCAACTGGCAAAGCAGCGGTATCCGCCGAATCGACGATAAACACAATGGCGTTCACACCTCGGCAATATCGCTCCCACATCGACCGAAAGCGTGGTTGTCCTCCGAGATCCCAACACTTGAGCGTCACATGGCCTTTTTGTACGCGCTTCATATTAAATCCCACGGTCGGGATGGAGCTATAAGGGGGGAGGGGTGGTCAGCCGGTTTTGTCTTCGGGACGAGAGAGGGTGATAGGAGCTGGCCTCGGATTGAAGGAGATTATTCAAGGATTGGAAGTAGGACATACTCGAGAGTGAATTCACCGCCCTGCGCTGGAAGTCAGTCTATGCGGATGAGGTTATTGATGGTTGGGGACTCACCGCCAGGACTCGCAACAACGAAGTCTTTCCCGCATTCTGCAACCCGATCATGGTGATATCCATCTCCGTCGCCCTGTTGTCGCAGAGGTCAGCACTCTGTTGACAGCGGTAGAGAAAGATTTGCTCTGCAGGCGCATTTCCTTCTATTCCAACAGAACCTGCAGTGTTGCTTCCGAATGAAGGCTCCCAGGAAGACTTACCAAAACAGCCTCAACAGCCAATCGTACACCCGTTTGAAAATTCCGGCCATGATGGATCGAGTCACCGACTAGAGAAAACTAGGAGCAGACTCTTGAGGAAATTTGGATATGCGGGTGCCTTCTTTCGCGCAAGGCTGTATGTAGCTGTTGGTAGATGAGGCAGCGGGGCAAGCTCTTTAGTGGATGAAGGATGAAGGCGATGATGACGATGATCGGGGACGCGCAAGCAGAAATAGATAGATATTAGCAGAACAAATAAACGTATGCGGGTGTAATTTGCAACGACGGTTTGGTGTTTCGCGCAATTGTAGTATGTGAGTTGCAACTTTTTCGTGACGGTGTAGCCGTCGGGAGCAGCGCTTGTGACGAGATTCGCAGCAAAAGCAGAGCAGAAAGCGTCTCCAGATGCGCAGCGCAGTGCAGTGCAGTGCAGAGGTGTCCAACGTCCAAGCTCACAAGCTTCTGCGGTGGGCGGATGCTAGTCTGTTCTGGTTCTGGCTGGTCTCGTCTCGGTAAGGGCCAGGGCGACACAGACTTTTGACAGGACAGGCACCAGACGCTCCGTCACTTGCTTCCCGCGAACCGGGAATGGCAAATTCGATATTCTGAGTTATTTTGCTTTTCGTGTGAGATGGGGTGATGGAGATCAGTGCCGGTTGCAGGTAGAGATGGTGATAGAGAGAGATGTGGTGGATAGTGAGGGGTGAGGCGGCGAGAACGAAAGGCAGACGCAAAAGGGCAGAATGAGGGGAGAGAGGGGAGAATCAGACAAGGGTGTCGACCTCGTTCGTCTGGTCCCTCGTCGTCTGAACTTCTTGCGGAAGCTGGTCGACTCGAAAATGCTCACACGATGAGATTGCGATCTGGGATAGCGACAAGTGACGCGGCGATAGATGGACAAATACGATCATCCCACAATCAATGCAGCACCGCTCTGTTCCGGATTCGAGGTACAAAGGGCGATGCACGGCGGGAGATGTGTAGGTGATGCACGCTGGAGGACGCAACAGATGCAGCTGCAGCCTGCAATCAAGCTGTGCAGCTCGAGAAAACCGTCGGGATGACTTGCGGCCTGCTGGATGCTTTTGCGGTGATGGTGGGATGTGGAAGTGGACGGGGAGGAGGATGTGGCCGCATTGATTGGGGTGGGAGGAGTGCAGCAAACAGCCAGTCGTGAAGTCATTCGCAGATGGTGTGGGGGGAGAGAGAAGAGAAGAGATGAAGAGAGGAGGACAAGGAAAAGTACTCAATCTTATACGGACCAGAAAACTGAATGGACAATAAAACACCACCACTAATGACAGAACAGAATCAGCTTCTAACATGCCACCAACCTTTATCAAGCTGGTTGAAGTTGTCGTTGACGGGATTCCGCCGTCTCAGTTGGTGGGATGGCTTTGGAGATGTCTTGCTCTCCACCTATTCCACACCATATCGGGTCCGGCTTGGATGCCCGATTGAGGCCCGATCCAGTCGGTGGGTAATCCCATATCATCTGCTCGAGTCAGGGAGAGATGGAATCAAGAGATTTGATGAGCAGAAGAGCGTGGAATGCGGACTTCTATATATTAAAAATCACATCGTGTTGTTTGTTGCTGTCAAACTCGGAATCCATGAAGCTCCAGCCCAGCTTGGTGATGAAAATATGCCCCACTTTTCCGATAACGATAGATGACTAAGCCTCAAGAAATTTCAAAAAGTTCTGCCAGAGCTCCATCGTCAAGTTCCGAGAGTAACAGAAATGTTCCCGGCGTGAGGAAGCTTTCTACGGCATTTGATCAGCACTTGGGGTGACTTGTCTTCTAATGTAAGTTTCTAGACGAATCCGTGGATTTAATGTTTCCTTCGCGGTCAGCGACTCTTTGATGTATAGAACGTTTCTAACACCGTACAGTCTCCAAGATGCCATCCAAGATGCCGTCTTCAAAGTCTTCCCAATCCGCGCAACTCTCAGGAACTGACACCAAATGGTCGCATGAGTTTGATACGGTCCGTCGCGAAAACCTCTTTCGAAACCCACCAAAAGACCATACCGCATACCCAGCCTTACAAGCCGCAATCGCCCCTCATATTGAATCTTTCGATGCATTGTTTGGCGAAGATGGCCTCATCGCGCGGGGTTTGAAGGATATAGGAACGAAACATTTCCTCGATGGAACCCAGAATACACCCATAGAAAGAAGAAATAAACTCTCTATCAGATTCAAGGAGGTGATTGTCAACAAACCGCAGCTACCAGATTCCAATAAGTTTTCAAAAGTACGAGGTATCTTGCCTGCAGAATGCAGAGAACGTCATGTCACGTATCGTGGAAAATTGAGCGCCCGTTTGGAGTACCGTGTAAATAATGGGGATCCTAAGGAGGTCGTTAAAGAACTTGGGCAGTTGCCCATCATGTTAATGGTAGGTCCATCTATGTCCTTCATCACAAGATGATGGAACTAACACTGATTCAGTCCAAAATGTGCCATCTTCAAAACAACTCGCCCGACTTATTAGTACGCAGGAAAGAGGAGGCAGAAGAGTTGGGAGGATATTTCGTGGTCAATGGTATTGAAAAACTTATTCGACTCCTGATCGTAAATCGAAGAAACTTCCCAATGGCAATCGAACGCCCTTCATTTACAGGCAGAGGTCCGGGATATACAAAATATGGTATCATCATGCGTTCTGTTCGACCTGACGAAACATCCCAAACCAATGTACTGCATTACCTCGATGACGGAAATGTCATTTTTCGATTTTCGTGGAAAAAGGCGGAGTACCTCGTCCCGGTCATGATGGTCATGAAAGCACTGGTGGAAACGAACGATCGGGAAATATTTGACGGTATTGTTGGCAACAACCAAAGCGGCGAGTCGAAAAAGGAGTTCTTCTTCGACCGAGCGGAATTATTGTTGCGAACATATAAGAGTTACGGTCTCTACACGAAAAGTCAGACGCGTGCGTTTCTTGGAGAAAAGTTCAGAGTGGTATTAGGCGTACCAGCGACCATGTCAAATTACGATTGCGGTACAGAATTCTTACGAAAGATTGTTCTTGTTCACTTGGGAAATGCCAATGTTACCGAAACTCAGGATACCGACAAGTTTAAAATGCTCCTATTCATGATCCGAAAATTGTATGCATTGGTTTCTGGAGAGTGCGCCGTTGACAACCCCGATGCCGTTCAAAATCAGGAGATATTGCTCGGAGGATTTTTATATGGGATGATCCTCAAAGAAAACCTCGAAGACTTCGTATCTTCTCAGATTCAGGCTGTACTTCGCGATCATATAAGGAAGAGTCCTGAAGAAACCTTTTCTACGCCCGAATTTTTGAAAAAGTTCCCTGTTCAGATCCTGTCAAGAGCTGGAAATAATATTGGAGGCAAACTTGAATACTTTATGTCCACTGGAAATCTCGTCAGTCCTACCGGTTTGGATTTGCAGCAGGTATCAGGTTTCACTGTGGTGGCAGAAAAGATCAACTTCTTGCGATTCATAAGTCATTTCCGCATGGTCCACAGAGGAAGTTTCTTCGCTCAATTAAAAACCACGACCGTTCGAAAGCTACTCCCAGAGAGCTGGGGGTTCTTGTGCCCTGTTCATACCCCTGATGGAAGTCCCTGTGGGTTGCTGAACCATCTTGCTCACAAGTGTAAGATTCAGATTCAATCGATCGACGTTTCCAGTATACCACAGCTGGTTGTGGATCTTGGAGCGGTTAGCTCAAACTCTTCGTCCACCAAAGAAAGTGTCGTAATTCAATTGGACGGACGGATTTTGGGCTGGTGTACTCCTAAGCAGGCCTTACTTATTGGTGACACTCTAAGATACTGGAAGGTCGAAGGAACGCACAATGTACCAAAAGAGCTGGAAATTGGTTACGTACCTAATTCTCGAGGAGGTGCATATCCCGGTATTTATATGTCTTCTGGGCCCTCGAGATTCATACGACCGGTTAAATACCTACCACTCGATAAAGAGGATTTTGTTGGCCCACAAGAGCAGCCGTTCATGTCAATTGCGGTCACGGAGCCTGAGATTATTTCTGGAGAATCTACGCATGTTGAATTTGACCCTACAAACATTCTCTCTATTCTGGCAAACATGACACCGTTTTCAGATCACAATCAATCTCCCCGTAACATGTACCAATGTCAGATGGGAAAACAATCAATGGGTACTCCTGGAACTGCGATTCGCTATAGAACAGACAACAAGAGTTATCGGTTACAAACCGGGCAAACACCAATCGTTCGGGCGCCTCTTCACAACGAGTATGGTTTCGACAACTTTCCTAACGGTATGAATGCAGTTGTGGCTGTCATCTCATATACTGGTTACGATATGGACGATGCTATGATAATCAACAAGTCGGCGCACGAAAGAGGATTTGGTCACGGTACAATTTACAAAGTGAAGAAGCTCGATCTGGAAGAGGGCGATAAGTCGCGGTCTTCGAAAAAAGTCAAGAAACTATTTGGATTTGCACCAGGCGCCGAGATCAAAGCCGAGGTAAAGGCGGATTTGGACGACGATGGACTGCCTCACATTGGACGGTTACTGAACGATAATAGTATCATCGCTGCATGGCATACTGTCACACAAGATGCCACAGGCGACTTTGTCAATAAGGATGGTATAACACACTACGAAAGATACAAGGAGAAAGAACTGGCCTTTATCGAGGAGGTTCGACTGATCGGAAATGAAAATGGTACTGATCCGCTGCGAACGATGTCCATTAAGCTACGAGTTCCCCGATCCCCTGTCGTTGGTGATAAGTTTTCCTCCAGGCACGGGCAAAAGGGTGTTTGTTCTCAAAAGTGGCCTACATATGACATGCCATTCACCGAGTCAGGAATGCAGCCAGATACTATCATCAACCCTCACGCCTTCCCTTCCCGTATGACAATCGGCATGTTTGTTGAGTCGCTTGCTGGCAAAGCTGGGGCTCTTCACGGTCTTGCCCAAGACAGTACACCATTCAAATTTGACGAAGAACATACCGCGGGTGACTACTTCGGGCATCAACTCATGAAAGCGGGATACAACTATCATGGCAATGAGCCTATGTATTCTGGCATCACTGGTGAGGAACTCCATGCTGACATCTATATTGGAGTCGTGTACTACCAGCGTCTGAGACATATGGTGAACGATAAATTCCAAGTTCGAACCACAGGACCAGTAACGCAACTCACCGGTCAACCCATCAAGGGTAGAAAGAAGGGTGGTGGTATTCGTGTCGGTGAGATGGAACGTGATTCTCTACTTGCCCACGGAACTGCTTTCTTGCTCCAAGATCGCCTTCTCAACTGCTCGGATTTCCAGCGTTCGTGGATCTGTAAAGCGTGTGGTACCTTCTTATCCGTGCAACCCACTGTATCGGCACTCTCCACGCGACAATCGGGAACCGGAATCGTGCGATGTCGCAAATGTGCCCACACGGTTGATGAGTGGTCACGAGGCTCGGAGGTTTGGGAGGATGGAAGTGGCCAGAAATACGCTGGCGGCGATGATACTACGATTGTTACCGTGCCAGGCGTGCTGAAGTATCTGGATGTCGAGTTGGCTGCTATGGGGATCAAGCTCAAGTACAATGTCGGACCGTGATTATTGGTGTACAGTGTAGAGCGAGAGAGACGGAAGGCATTGTATCGGCGTTATGGGTGGTTGGGATGCTATCTGGCGCAATGTTGTCGAAAAATAACGGAGCGGAAAATGTTAGAATTGCTGGTGCAGAGCGTGTTGTTGGTTCTCAGAAGATTTAGAGTATGAAAATTAAATACCTCACGAGTTTTCTTGCTGCACCAAGTATCCTTCCAATCCAACAAGGTGCGTCCTGCGCCGTCAGGATGACTCTTCTGCAGCTTGAAGACATAATACGAACTCCTCTGAATCGATGGAATTCTTTTCTTGGTTTCCATATATTTCAAGTTGAAGACAAGCTATTGAACTCTTGTTCTGAAGGCGGATCCGAAGAACCCCAAACCCATCGAGCGATGCAGTATCACGAAAAGGAGATTCATGCTTGACGGTACCACTCCATCCTACCTAAATCTCCCCGTCTTCTGGTAAGCTTGCGTCCATCAACCCTTCTCGCTCTTGGGAACTATTGATTCCCCATTTCCTACATTTTCGTTCTCAATCTTTCGCTTCTATCGTTGTTGGTTTTCTAGAACATACGCTCGTTGTGGTGTGTGGACGTCGCTCCTTCCTTTTTGAAATTTCACTTGTTGTTTTAGTTTGACGGAAGGGGAATGGGAGTGGGATAGAATTTTGTGCTTCTTTCTCCTGTGCTCACGGTCTTCTAAACTGTCGCTTTCGCTTTTTGGGGACTTTTGTTGCACTCTCATTGCACTCTCATTACATCTCGTCAGAGTCAATCTTGCATCAGCAGTGGAATAGAAGAACGGTCGTTACAAAAATAGATTGACACTCATTCAAAGACTACGCACTGGATCTTGAATCTTCGCATTACTCGATATTCCACTCGTTTTGGATATACGGTTGTTGCAGTCTCTCGGCGCGGGTTGTGGTCACGTCTTCGGTGTCTGGACTTGGATACAAAATTGTTTTTACAGAAATTACATCGACACTCGTTCAACACAATACGCACTACACACTGAATCTCGAATCTTCGAGATATTCGCTCTTGAAACTCCGTTTGCACGCCCCTCGTCCGCTCGTTCGGGCACCGCAAGGATGCGCTTCCACTCAACGGCTCGATTACTACAGTTCATTCTCACAGCAACTTGCATGGCAGATTACGCATATTCAATACCGTCAACACCTCCTTCGACGCCCGGCTCACTACATAAGCGCTACGAGTATGGTGTCAGCAAGGAAAGGTTTATCAAGAGGTCTACTGAACATGTTGTCACAACCGGTATACACGTCGGAAAGGGCCCTGATGGTTCACTGCCACAACGGCTGGAAATCAGAGAATTGGAGAAAGATAAATTGATGTGGACATTGTATATTCTTGGTTTGGACATGTTGCAGTGGACGCCACAGACTGATAAGTTCTCTTGGTACCAGATCATGGGTTGGTGTTGTATACCTGGGAAGTGGCTTTTGACTAACTTTTCGAAGGAATCCATGGTCGTCCATTTCAACCTTATGATGGCGCTGTTGCTGGACCTGGTGGGGAGACTCATGGGTATTGTTCTCATGTTTCGAGTCTGCTTCCCACTTGGCATAGACCGTATCTTGTTTTCTATGAGGTTAGTAGAGCTGATCATCAAAAAATATGATCGGAGCTGATAAGTGATAGCAAGTACTTCATGGGTTGGTTCAAGAGATTGCAGCTATGTTCCCAGAGGGAGAAGTACGAGACAACTATACAACTGCGGCAGAAAAATTTCGAATTCCTTATTGGGATTGGGCTGCCCCTCCGCCACCGGGCGAAGATGTCTTTCCGGAGAGTGTTGGTGCGTTGCCATATGTTGATGCTGATGGTCCAGCTGGAGTACAAAGAATTGCAAATCCTCTGTTTAGTTATCAGTTTCAACCTTTGGATACGAAACAGCTCCCAAATCTACCCGTAAGTGTCGTACCTTTGGATGGTCTATGGTTCTGACCCTGTTAGTTTACTCTGTACCCACAGACAATGAGATATCCAGATGCAGTAGTAGGTGACGCTACCTCTCAGAACCATCAGGTCACCACGAACATGGACAAAAACTCTGGAGTCTTCCGCAGCAGACTATACAACCTCTTCACAAACTACCGCGACTACTCGACCTTCAGCAACGAAGCTTGGATTCCAGAAAGCAACATGGGTGAGTTCGACTCCCTAGAATCTATCCATGACCAAGTCCACGGTTTTACCGGGGGTGGAGGTCATATGAGTTACATTGACTACTCAGCTTTTGATCCCCTCTTCATGCTTCATCACACTATGGTCGATCGTTGTTTTGCAATCTGGCAAGTCATCAACCCTGACAGTTACGTCGAGCCCATGCCCGCTCAATTCGCCAGCTACACCGTTCCTGTCGGATCGATCGTTGATATGCATACCCCACTCCAACCATTCTACAATTCCTCAGGCGGATTCTGGGATTCATCTTCCATTCGCTCCACTGAAACGTTCGGCTACGTATACCCTGAAACCGCCAGTAATGGAACAGGTATCGATAAAGCTCTTGTCATCAACGCCATCAACAGACTCTACGGCCCAGACACAACCGATTCAGAACTTCCCATCCGCGCAGATGCCCAAATCAGAGATACAGCACATACATACGAATACCAAGAATGGATCGCCAACATCCTCGTTCGTAAACATGCTCTTTCGGGTCCTTTCTTTATTCACCTCTTCCTCGGTCCCATCGATCCGGATCCCAAAAATTGGTCGACCTCGAAGAGTTTGATCGGTTCGCATTGTATCTTTGATAGGATTGATGCTGATGAGAGGGGGTTGGGGTGTAATTGTACGGGGGATCTGGTTACGGGGACGATCCCGCTTACGGGGGCGTTGAGGGAGGTTGTGAGAAGGGGTTTGGAGGGGGCTGTGGAGGGGGAGGGGAATGATGGTTTGAATGGGGGTGGATTGGAGGGGTTGAAGAGTTTGGAGAGGGAAGATGTTGAGCCGTTTCTAAAGAGGAACTTGAGGTTTAAATTGAGTTTTCTTAATTATACGGGGGTGGAGGCGGAGAGGGTGGATAGTTTGAGGATTAAAGTTGTTACTGCGAGGGTGGTGAGGGGTGGGGAGGGGAGGTTGCCTGTTTGGGGAGGGTTTGTGGAGGTTGGGGGGGTGGGTGAGGGGTGATTTGGAGGGAGAAGGTTGAGGGAGGGGAAGAGGGGAGTGGGGGAATGGAGTGGGAGATAGGTGATAGTGATGGGATAATGATGTTGTCCGGGTGCTTTTGGATTGAGCAAAAATAATAGGCTGCTTTTGGATTCGACTGCTGAGTTGGAAATTATGGACTGAGAGGTTGGATTGGGCACTGGGTTTTTGGATTGTGTACTGGGAATTGCGTATTCGTGGTTTTGGTTTTGAATCGGGGTTTTGGATGCTAGACGCCTTGGATAGGATTTCTTTTCCCGTAGAAAGGGGACGGTTGATTTGGGTTCTTTTGGGATGGATGGATGGGTGAGTGGGTGGATGGGGGAAGGGGCCCAGAGGTGTTTTGGTTTTGGGGGGGAGGGAGATAGGGTGGAAGTTGAGGGTAGTTGAGGGGTGGGAGATGGGTTAGAAATGGGAGATGGGGTTTGTGAAGTGTAGTATTAGTGTATTATAATCAGGGAAATATCACTTTGTTGGTAAATTAGTGGCAATACTCTCATGGGATGAGTTTGGATGAGGGGAATGGGGGTGGTGTTTTGAGGATGTGAGGGAGTTGGTGGGTTTGAGAGAGGAAGTTACTGGGGTTAAGTGAGGGATTGCTGATTTTGAGAGAGGAGGTTATTGGGTTTTGAGAGCGTAGGTTGAGAAAAGGGGTTTCTTGTGAAAGCGAAAGGAGGATGGAGGTTGGGGGTGGGGAATGGAGAATGGGAATGGTGACGAGGTAAAGGGGGTGGAGGTGATGGATGAAGCTGATTTTAAACTTACGTAGAGGTTTGTTATTCTACAATAGATACCTAGGTACTAACTACTTACGATTACCGTGATCTTGTCCTGTTTTATTAAGAACGAGATAATTAGCGTCTTGTATTACTTACGTCTTTTGCGCCTGACTCTTATATTCCGAAGATACGTTAGATGTGAGCAGGGGTGTGGTGTTTTTGAGCGGATGGGGATGGGGATGGAGATGTGGGTCGTTGTTTTGATGGATGGCCTTTTGAAGATAGGATCGAGGGGTGGATTGAAGGTGGGGGATTGAAGAGGGGATAGAATAGGGGGGTATAGGAATTGGGGAGGGAATTGGAGAGGGGATGGGAAGGTTGTTAAGTAGAGATTAGGGGTAGGTGAAGGGTTGGCGAAAAACGGGGTGAGGATAGAGTTGGAGTTTATAGATTCCAACCTCCTGACTTCATCACCTAGATCCTTCCACTTCCTCACCCACAACCCAGTATCCCACACCATCATCTACGCATCCGTCACCCCCAAAATGGAAACTTAATCCTAAAACTAAATCTCGTGCTCCACTGCTTTTACTGTTCCACATCTGTGGTTAAAGATCAATGTTGTGAGCTGATGTAAAGATGAAACTTTGGGTGTGGGAGAGTAAGGTTAGTTAGTAGATGGATTTGATAAATAAAAGGACTATTTCGTCAATGTTTCTCTCCGTGAGAACCATTGATCAAAGACTCCGCACATGACTAATCACCGATCATGGCGACTTTTTTATTGTATTCTTAGTAAAACAGATTGCTAACCCTGATGAGGTTACTTGGCGGTACTCAGTCGTTCCCTGTCTAAATGGTAAGAAAATTACCAGACCAAATATTAGGTAGGTTCGAGGAGGTAGCTATGCATAGAATTGGTGAAATCACGGGACTCCTAGTTAAGTTTAGATTATGTCAGGTATAAACGTAGATTTCTTTCACTTGACTTCCACTGTTAGATGTTAGAGTAGTAAGAAGCCACGAGATAATAACCATTTTACTACCCGAGACAGATTCCAATAGCATAATAAGCTAATTAATCACATACTGATAGCTGGAAATTCGTAGAAGGAAAATCATTTGCTCAAAAAACTATATTTATGAGAGTTGAGTCATCATTTCATATACCACCAAAATTAAAGTATCCATTACTCCCACCCTCTTTCACCCCCCCTACACCACTTCCTCGCTTCCTCGCTTCCTCGCTTCCTCTCTTTCTAATCCCCTCCTACCCCCCCACCTAGCTCTTTCATTTCCTCTACCTCCCCCTTTCCCTCGCATACTCCACCCTACGTATAACTCCACGCCCCAAACTCCCCCTCAACCTGCATCGCCGGCTTCAGCCCCAACAAATCCACACAATCCGTCCTCGTAAACCCGGGGGTCTTCGCGTTAATCAGATACACGCCCTCGCTGGGCGTCGGACACGCGGTGATGCCGCCCTGGCCCGGCGCCGGCCACGGAAACCACCCAGCGAGCTTGATGGGCTGCGGCTCGAGATCGAAGACGGTGACGTTGAGCCAGCCGCCTTGGTAGGCGCCCGGCGGGACGAAGGTGGAGTGTGCGGCGGCGTAGCGGATTTCGCCCGTGGGGAGGATGTAGGTGGACTGGCCGCCGGGGACTTCGACCTGGGTGGGTTAGTTTGGGGGGTTGGAATGGGATTGGGGATGGGTAGTGGGGGAGTTGGTGAGGGCTTACCCAGAGGGTATCTGGGGTGTTGGCGAAGACTGTGGCGAAGCCGGTTGGACAGTTGGGTTTGTTTTCGGGTGGACAGTATGTTGATGGGAGGGGGAGGCCGATGTAGAAGGAGCCGCCTGCTGCGTTTATGGGTTTGCCATTGAGGGGGTTCCCGGGTTGGGAGGCTAGGAGGGTGAAGAGGGTTGCGGTGGTTGGGGTGAGGAGGGTTAGGGCTGAGAGGAGGATGGTGGTTGGATGCATTTTGAGTGTGCTAGAAGAGATCTGAGCTGGTGATGCTGGATGCAGATTGTGTGACAAGCGAGTTGATGGTACTTATATACTTCAAGCAGATGATGTTCTGTCAAGGAAGTATCGCACGTTGTGCCCTATGGAGCCATCTTAGTACTGTCCATCATATCATGAAGTTGTCAACGGCTAAATCCAGGCCGGTAAGTGGTGTGAGATTGAATGTAGTAGACAACTGGTTCTTGGTATTAATTCGTATTCCCATTATGAACATGATTCTCGAAGTCGGTGTCCTCGTATTTATTAGGCAGACGTCCTAAATGTATGTTCAGCAATGGATGCGGAGTTTAGATCTGTGAAAAGGTAAGCTACCAGGAGTTGTAACTCGACTCGCTTAACCATCTCAAACGACAAAAGTCTTGGAAGGCGGGAGAGATGGTACAGAACTGACTGGCTGTCAATAATACATCATGCGGGGTTAGCCTATGGGGGTTGGAATGCAAGAAATACGAGAAGACATAGAAAGACTTGGCGTGGGTACCCAGGTACATTTTGTCCATTCTGGCCATCATCATCTTGCTCCAAAGCGCGAATCGCACAAAACGCATCGCACATGCATTTTAAACACGAGAGAATTGGTTGCTATCGAGCTCGAATTTCTCGAATTTCAATTCGACTTGACGCCACTATCTTCTGCCATGAGATGATCTTTCAATCCCTTCTTCGTGACATTCATTGCTCTTGCAATCTCTGCCTCTTCTTCTCGTAATCGCCCTTTGCCGAATTGGAGATCTCGCTGTTGCCTCCTCTTCTCTTCTGCGACATGCCTTTCCCTATCCTCCAATGCCTTTCGTCTTCTCTCCTTGTCTTTTCGCTCTTTTACCGCCTCTTCAGTTTCTTCTACTGGAACTGATTCTGGTGGCGGGGGGAGGGTTGTGATGAACGTCTCAATAAGTGTATCTCTTATGGATGGCTCCATGGATATGTAGCGAATGTCAGAAAGTATACTTGGCGGTAAATGCGATGATAACGTTGCGTTATTGAATACTGAAGTCGGTTGTGCCTTGAGCAAAGACAGTAGATCAGTTTTCAGAGTAGATTGTGGAAGCTTTAACCGATTGATGTGTTCTCTGTAGAACTTCTCCCGTTCCTTGTCCGTTAAAGAGGCATCTCTCATTTCTGGTTCTTTCTTGTATTTCCGTTTGAATTCTGGCCAATACAATTTAGGATTGGCATTCTTTTGAAGAAAAGCCAAATATGGAATTCGAGGGTCCTTCTTTTCTTCCTTGGCACGACTTTCACGCAGCACCTTGATTTTTTCTCGTGACCACTCTTCCCATGTTTCTCGTCTCGCTTTCATAGTTGTGAGTGCCGTATATCGAATGTCGTCGAACACCTTACCCTCTTCAATAAGCTTCTCCCATGGGCTGTAAGGATTGATGCCATAGTCATTCAGTAAATCCTTGAATAAAGCAGCCGAGTCTTCATCTGAGATCATTTCACCCTCGGCGCCTTCCTCCCATTCCATATTGCCGTCATCGTATTCCCCAGGGTCTAAGCCGTACTCTTGTCCCATTGCTGCAAGCTGGAAAGCAATATCATCCTCGTTAAATTCAACAGGTTCGTCAGGTAAATTTTCCTCGGTGCGTTGTCGCTTTGACGCGTGAGACTCTTCTCCTTCCACATCCTCGCCCTCATCATCCGTCACCTCAACCTCTTCATATTCAGAACTGTCGTCTGCACCTGTATTCTCCTCTACTGCCGGTTTGGGTGCCAAACCTGGTCTCGCGGCTGCACCGGGAGCTATGTCTGATGCGATTTCATCTGCTTTAATCAAAGCTTCTGCCTTTTCTTTAATTCTCAATTGGTCCAGCGCCAGAATCCCGTCCTTTAGTTTCTCAGGTATCCGCCAAAAACTCTGGTTCTTTTCCTTATTGAAAACAAATCGTCGTCCGTATTTCGTGTGAACCAGCACCCAATCTTCGTGTCCTGGAATGGTATGTCTCGACTTGGGTTTATCATTGGGCTGTGGTTTCGGCCGGTCGTTTCCTCCTGGTCTACCTCCTCTCTGATTCTGACCTGAGAACCCACCTCGTCCTCCTTGAAAATCTCCTTGCCCAGGGAAATTGAAGTTCGGTCCAGCACTTGGGTTCGAACTTCCAACAGCCTGGTACTGTAGGAAACTTTGCGATGGATCAAGAGGTGCTATAGGCGCTGGCGCAACAGGTGGAGCTATAGGTCGAGTGTATGTAGATTGTTTTGTTGCCGCATTATAATAGTATGTGTGGCCAGTTGGCGCTTTGTGCTCCGTCCATCCTTCAGGAAGAGGAATAGGTGCGGTTACCTTATGCGTCGATTTCAACATGTTGAATACATTACGCCGAGTAGTAATATAAAGTAGTTGATTTCAAGAATAAATTATTTTGGTAAAGTAAACATTGTTTCAGCCTTGACGCCTCGCATGTGAGGCTGCCACGCTAAGAGAGCTGCGACGCGGTTTCTGTGCCTGGAGCTCACGTAGCTGGGGACCTCGACCGTCAATTGTTCATTCAAGCAATTAAACAATCCCTCATCCACCGACGGTTGCATATCCAAACGACTTTACGATCGTATTTCAATAAACAGCGACGCAGAGGTCTGGCTGTATACAAAAGCTTTCAAAATGTCAAGAAGATATGATTCCAGAGTAAGCTCATAGCTGTTTGGTATTGCTTGACCTTCACTGATGATTCTCTAGACGACTATCTTCTCCCCAGAAGGTCGTCTGTATCAAGTCGAATATGCGCTCGAGGCCATCTCCCACGCCGGTACAGCATTGGGTATATTAGCCAAGGATGGAATTGTGTTAGCAGCTGAGAGAAAGGTGACAAGCAAGCTGCTCGAGCAGGACACATCCGCAGAGAAGCTTTATATCCTGAACGAGTCAGTATTACCAGCTTCATTGATCTTGTGGCTGCAGCTAATCGGGCTTTAGCAACATGATATGTGCAGTAGCAGGAATGACCGCCGATGCCAACATCCTCATCAATTACGCCCGACAAGCCGCACAAAAGTACCTCCTTACCTACAACGAAGATATTCCATGCGAGCAGCTAGTACGTCGATTATGCGATCTCAAACAAGGTTACACACAGCACGGTGGTCTGCGACCTTTCGGTGTTTCCTTTATCTATGCCGGTTACGATCCCCAGAGACAATTCCAGCTCTACCAGAGCAATCCCAGTGGCAATTACGGTGGATGGAAGGCTACAAGTGTTGGCGCAAACAATGCCAGCGCTCAGAGTTTATTGAAGCAGGATTACAAGGAGGATTGTGATTTGAAGGAGGCATGTGGCATGGCAGTCAAGGTGTTGAGCAAGACTATGGATTCTACCAAGTTGAGCAGCGAGAAGAGTAAGTCAAATTTCACACTCATAATAGTTTAATTATTAACGAAAATGCAGTTGAGTTTGCTACAGTGGGCAAGACGAAAGATGGTAGAATCTATCACCACCTGTGGGGCGCTGATGAGATTACAACATTATTGAAGGAGCATGATCTCGCGAGAGATGAGACTGGTGCGGATGGAGATAGAGTAACCAGCTAGGTGTTGTTTGAGGAAGACCAGCGACGACTTTGTAACATTAAATAATTCATCTAGGTCAGGCTTCGGATTCTTGCTTTCCTTATTTGGAATACTCATGACCTGTGATGGATCTATTACGGAAGCATAGTACGACCGCCGAAGCACACATGCAGAAGTCAAATCCGGAAACAAGATGTCCTCATTCTTCTAGCTATAGCGGCAAAATAAATTTCATGATTCAAACTCTTCGCTCGAGTCGATGAATGGGGTTTCCGACTCAAGGGAGGACAAAGTTGAACATCATCAGTACCTGCAGCCTGCTAGTCGATTGTGCCGAGTGGCATCTACACTACACATGTGCTGACATGTGCTAATCGACTCAGCCTTCGTAACATCTCTTTTCCCCTGCTGCTTAGCTCAGTTCATATTACATTTGCAAACAACCTTTGTGCGCTCCTTCTTTTGCATATATTACATTTCGCTACCCCCCTTTCAACCATTCTATATTTCTCGGCTCTTCATCTGTTTACCATTCATCATTCACGCCACGTCCTCGCCCATTCACCATCCTCATACCCATACACCTACCCTTATTACATCTCCTCATCAGACTCAGCAGAACCAACGGACCTCGTACCATTTCCTGTCCGAATCTGGGGTATTGACGAGGTATACCCATTCTTTGGTGGCTTTAGGAAAGGTGTCCGAGTAGCTTGAGTGGCTGGTTGTACTGTGGTCGAGGGATTTTCTGGGTGAAGTGTTGGGTATGTTACTGTTGATGATGGTGGGTTTTGAGTTGGTTTTGGGGAAGTGATGGTAGGAGTGTTTTCTAGTCCCAGGTCCCTACTCGGTGGCGCGTCGAAATCAGACGGTAGAGAAGTCGTCTTGTTGAAGCATCTGGCAGTTTTCTTCCGTCTCCGATACTTCGACAACCTGACACTGCCAGTCGCCTTTCCACCTCCTTTCCCTTTCCTCACGCAACCCCCCTCTCGTCCCTTCCTCTCTACCAAACCTCTCAGCCGTCTAACTTCCTCCATTGCCCCATCCCGCTCCCTCCCTACATTCTCAACTTCGTTCCGTAACTCAATCACCACCTCCCTCCCCTTCGGCGCATTAACCCGCTTACCAGCCACAGCTTCAAGCGCTCGGATTAACTCCACGGACTCGAATATATATCGCTCAACCAAATCCTCCATCTCCAGTTCCGGCATATAATGCAACACCCTTTTAATAGCTTCACGAGTCTGGTCTTCCAGACTTTTTAGGCGGTGTTGAGATTTGGACGAGGCGTGGAGCAGGTTTATGATATCCTGACAACTCATCTTCTCACCCCTGTTGCGCTTTTTAGGATATCCACCCCTCTGCTTCTGAATCACACTCATAGCAGCATGCTGAACCTCACTCCTCCATCTCTTATCCTCATCCCCCATCTCAAGCAGCTCCACAAGCAGTTTCTCTTTGTCATTTAGCTGGTTGTAACAACCCTGAGTATCTCTCAACAACATCTCTCGTTCCTCCTGCCACCCCATGCGTTCAATGTTAAAGGCTGCCACTTGCCGAGCGAGCGTGGTCTCGAATACCTTCTTCACTTGTGTGAGATGTCCTTCAAAACCACTCATAATCAGCTCATGATGAGGGTGGCTCTTGGGGATTCCTAGGGTCTCGAGGAAATCTGGCTGGAGGACGTCTTCGACGTCAAGATCATCGTCTGGACTGATTGTCCCTGATGGCTTTGGGTCTGTGGAGATTTCTGAGACCCAAGCTTGGGGAGGTGCTCGTTTTGAGAGTTTGTTGTTTCTAAGCCACAAAATCACCGCTGCCGCAGTTGGAAGAGCCAAAGTCCAGAAAAAGGATGTTGTCACCCCTACCCCCTCATCTTCCTGTATCCTTGGGCGTTCTTCTTTGCACGAGGCCACGGAGATAAAAGCCAAAAGTAGGGTAGCGGGTAACAACGCTCGTTGCTAAGCTGGAGCTGCGCGTGGTGTTGTCGGAGAATACTCAGTCTCAGGGTCGAATACGTCGCTGTATGGACTTTCTTGGGCTGCCGGTTCTTCTTTAATCGGTGGGAATGGTGATTGAAGTGGTTCTGGAGTGGTGGTATTTAACTTGGTGTCTATGGTGATGTTCTCGGCGGTGTCCTTGGTGTTGGAGCTGGTGAGCCATGAGCTGACGGTAACAACTAGACTGTTTGCTAGTTGGACTATCCACCCCCAGTCGCTATAGAGAATTGGGACGACATCTTCCCAGATGCTTGCAATTACTTTTGCGACCCAAAAATTGGTTAGTTGATCTTCTTCGCCGACAGGAGGCACATCCGTAGACGAGTCTGGTTGACTATCCGTCGTCTCTCCCCTCGCAGTCTTCGGCCGCTCAGGAATTTTCGACGTTCCTTCATTTCCGGTTTCCCCTGTTTGGCCAGTAATCTCGTCCTCAGAAGCTTTTCCATACGTAACAAACGCCCAAACAGCATCCCAAAAAGCCATCAAGAATGACTTCACCAACGCCTGAGCTGATTCCAAATTCATGACCACAACATCTCCCATCCTCTCAACCTCCCTCACCACCCCCTTAATCCCCTCAGCAAGCCCGTTATAAAAACCTCTCTCTTCATCAAACCACCCTCTCCCACCACTTCCCTCTAGAACCCACGTCCAAATCCTATCAGCAAAATTGGCAATTCTCTCGAATACACCCTCGATCCAAGTCCGGACCTTAGAACCCCACTCCCGGAGCTTTGAATCAACAATTTTGACTCTTCGAACTCCCTCATCCCGTCGATCAATAGCCCAGCTCATAGCCAGATTGCTAAGTGCGATTCCCACGGGACATAACGCGAGTTCAAGTATTGATAGCCCACGTAACAATCTTTGAACAGTCAAAGCGGAGTCGACGCTCATAAATCGGCTCGTTAGGATTGAAAAGATAGACGGATCGAGCTTTAACGCCACAAGCGTCCCGGAGATGAAGAGGCTTGGGGATATGTGTTTGAGGGTTTGAGTTTGTGATTTTGGGTGATTTGTTGGGGAGAGACGGATGAGAATGTTGTGGAGGAGCGAGCCGAATAATAGGATGAGCAGTTTGTCGGGGAGAATTGGTGAGTCGAGCATGAGGAAGAGGGTTATGATGGGTGTGAGGTAGGCGAGGATGGGTGAGAGGGTTGTCCAGATGGGGGTGAGGTAGGGTTTGATGAGGGTGAAGAGGCGTTGGGAGGTCGAGGTTACGAGCTAAGGTGGTTAGAATTGGTTTGGGTGGATGGGTGGAATACTTACGGATATCAACTGGTTGACAGCACTGCTCAACTTATCCACAGACGGGTTCAACACCTCACTAATCTTCCTCTTCCATTCCACCAACGAATCCCTCACCTTACCAACCCACGCTCTCACAACCCCCCTCTTCATCTCAACCCACTCGGGATGTGTAACCTACACATATAATTAGCCACAACCTCTCTACCACCCACAACTTTAAACACTTACACAAAACCACAAACCCAAACCAACACCAATCCACGCCACAAACACGAAGTCGATACCAGAAATGAGCTCCTCCTCAAAAGCCATAACAGCTTTCCAAAAGTACGACGGTGCACTTACAACCTCCCCGTCAAACACACGCTCCCCGAAACCTCGTCCAAAAACAGAGTCATCAAGTCCATCCGCATACAATTTCTTGTGCCCCGAAGTTCCAGTAAGCCAATCGAAAACCTCACTAACCCTCCATGACTGTCCCACAATACCTCGCCAGAATGTTGTGAAAGGCAAGAGAATTGCATTTACACCTCCTCCAAGAACATCCACCACACCACCAAATCCTTCCCCTATAGCGTAAATCAACCCCTCAATCCCCCTCCCAACTTCCAAAACCCCTCCAAACCCCCCCTCCTCAACCCTTTCCCTAACCCAGCTCCCGTCTCTCGTCCCTAGACAACCCATCCACATCCACCAATCCCTGTCTTCACTGGCGCGATGCCACATATTCTGTTCTTTCAATATACCTCTACACATCTTACTCATTCCCTCGGACCCCATTCCCATTCCCTCGAAATCTTGACTCTGAGCTGAGAAGGTGGTAGAGATGAGGTGAGTGGAGTAGGCGTGCCAGCCCCAGATACGACGGTAGAAGAGGAAGAGCGTTAGGTAGAGGGTGAGGAGGGTGTAGAAGATCTTTGTGAGGAAGCGGGAGAGGAGGTGGGAGCGGTGGGGGGTTGTGACTTGAGGGGGCATGTTCGGATGGTGGTGTGGTTGGTGTTAAAAGTCTGTTGAGATGATGTTTTTGAAAATGATTCCAAGAATCAAGTCTGCGCTTGAAACTTTGAGTGCTAGTTAAGCAGGATGGGCTTTTTGCTGGAGAGACGTAATGTGGTTTTAGAGTAGACTGGACGTCTCAAGGTAAGACTTGAGAAGGAAATCTGGGGGAGCTGGGAGACAAAGGAAATGGGACTAGAACGGAAACGGGCATTAAGAAGATGGCTTTTGAGGTAGGAATAAAGAGAATGGGAGGGAGGATGCCGCAAACGAACAAGATGAGAAACGCTTGACACTGGATAGTCGAAGGTTGGGAAGCTTTGTGATCGATTTTAGAAAAAAGTTGAAATTCAGCATTGGGTGACTAGAAATGACAGACCTCCACCATTAATAACAATACAAACACAAAAATAGAACACAAACCAAACCCTTAAATCAAAGTCACAACCATAACCACCCCTAAACCATCTCCTCATCCCCCTCCCCCTCCCAACTCCCAACAACCTTCCCCCCCGTCCACCCTCCCTCCCCTCCAAACCCCTTCCCCGGCACCATCCCACCCCCCTCATGCGGCCACCCGGGCACAACCAACCCATTAGCATGCATAAAAACCTCCAAATCGACACACTCCCTCCACAACCACCCCTTCTTCGCCTGCATCAGCCCCATGCTCACATCATTCGTCCTCCACAGCGGGGGGCCGTGATCCCTTCTCACCTCACTCGCGTCGATAAACGTCCGGAGTTGCGCGACGCACGCGTAGTGTTTGTCGTAGTACCTCCGCTCGGTGGCGTAATCTGCCATGACGGAGGATGGCGCTTCGTCGTCGGTGGGGGAGGGGAGAGACCATTTCACGCTTGGTACGTTATCTTCGAGGATAGCAGTTTTGTGAAGACCTTCTGCGCCAGCGTCAACAACCGTTACCGGTCTTAGGGCCCCGCCTGAGAGTTTCCAGGGGAAGGGGTTGGGAACTGTGACTAGCACGTCTCCCTTCTCGCGGCGGAGAGCGTGCAATAAGGGGGGGTGATCGAGCGGGAGTTTTATCTTGGAGGGCGCGCTGGGGTAGCATTCTGTGTACCAGTGGTCGCGGCAGAGGAGGGCGTAGAGTTTGGCTGTGTAGAGGGCGTCCCAGTTTGCTTGATACGATGGGGAGCCTGCGAGACGCGGTTGGCCGTTTGTGGTGCCCGGGAGACGTTCGGATTCCATGAAGGTGACGAGTTGGAGCATGCGGTCTTCGAGGGAGTTGATTTCGAATTTGACGAGGCGCGCGACGAGGTCTTCGAAGGTTTTGGTGGGGTCGAAGCTGGGTGGTGGGCGGTCGCGCTCTTCTCGCCAGGCTGGGGGGAAGGCGTTGAAGGACTCGATAGCTTTGATTAGACATTCGATTGCTTCTTGCATTGCTCGCCAGATTTTGTAGCGACGAGCTGCTCGGGCTGCGAGCATGGAGTCTTCGATGTTGGTGTAGCGTTTTTCTAGAACTCGAATATCATCCAGATAGAGCACGGCAGTGCGAGAGAGGCTCCCAACCACGGCAAGTGGATTTAGGACTCGATCTCGATAGAGTGCTGTGTTCTCGGCTGGATATCTGGTAATGACTCTCTTGAGATCTATCACACGGTTAAACAGACGTGATATCTCCGCACGAACCAGACTCTGCACCAGAATCTCATATTGATCGAATTTGGGGTTCAATGCGAGGATTGGTCGATGGTCGAGGAGATCTATACACTCGATAAAACGTCGATTGCTGGCATCTGTCCGTGGAGGATCATGATTCCATTCTATCAATGGCGTACCTGAAGAGATAAAGATATCGGTGAGTGTCTTAGCCCCAACACACAAGTCGCTGTATACTTTGAAAGCTCCCGAGGAAAACGCATCGTAAGTGAGATCATGAAATGGTTTAGGTCGTTTCGGATCAAGACCAAGTCTCATTATCTGAACGTTGCCGCCAAGACGATGTACCTCGTCTTCCAACCGATTCTTGTATGCTTCGAGTTCCCGGATACGGGTTTTATCCATGTTGTTGAGAATACCTTTGAAGGCGGGTTGATTCTTGACTTTGCCAAGCCCACCAGCTGCGATCTGTTGAACCATAGCTTGAGTGATCTCTTGCAAATACGTTCGAAGAGTGTAACGCTTGGCTTCTGCTTCAGATTTCCCAAACTCAAGAGCTGCTTGCTGTACCATAATATCGTTTGCGGCGTGTTGCTCAAACAACAGTTGTCTTTCCCCTTCGAGCTTCTGAATCAACAACTGACACCGTGCCTCGTTCCTGCAAGAAAGCGAAGTTCCCTCTCTCTCAAACTCTAGTTGTTGAAGTGCTTGAGCCGCGTTTCGTTGCGCGAGGTTCAAGTCCTTCTGCTTGAGACGGAGTTGTGATTTTAGCGAATCAACCTCGTCTTTGAAAAGAGCGACATTGCCTTCCCCAGTAGCATACTCCAATTGTGCCTTTAAGTTTCGTACTCTTGCTTCATATCTAGTTTCCTGCGCTCTTTTCTCGATATCAGACTCCGTGAGCGCCTTTCGCAAGGCCTCAACAAGCGAACGATCCTGGCCGAAAGCGGTGCTTGCAGGGCTTTGTGGCAAGCCTGATGATTGAGCGACAGGTCTCTTGTCTTCTCTATTCCACCAGATTGCTGGTCCTCCATTCTCTGAGACCCGACTGGGTCTCCGGAAGTTGGAACTCGCCACTGTTTCTTGCAACTTGTTGTTTTGCTCTTGGATTTGGCGTAATCTTCCCTCTAGAATTTGGACCTTCGCTTTTCGACCCTCCAATTCGCTCTCTAAATCTTTTATGTCGGTTCTATCGCAAGAGCAATTCTGAATGTGGTGGCATTTGTTGTGAAAGAAGATTGACGATATCATGTCCCCAGCATATGTGAGAATTATCTTCAGTCGTGGAAGATAGCTTACAGCTATCCGAGTTTTGTGCAGACTAGGTTGGATGGCAGCAGCAATTTCACCGTCCACGGTGGCTTGTCTTCCTCTTGCTCGGTTCCAGGAGTATAAGCCAGGGCCAAAGATGCATCCAAGTACTAAAAGGATTGCAATTATGCGAAGAGGGATGAATAGAAGCATGAGTCCAGCGAATATGGGCATTGAAGAGGGTGTTACTTGAGCGAGAGTGCGGCCGGGTAGCTGGTGTAGTTTCGCAATCATCTGTTATCAATTAACAAATGACAGCTGCAATAGTGTAGCAATGAGCTCACCTTATCATAACCCCCAGAAATGACCCAGTACAGACCAAACCCAGCTCCAAGGAATGTCTATCAGCCAAGTTAGGATTTCGATTTCTTTAGTAGACACACTCTATACATACCGGCACCGGCCCCAGAGGATTTACCGCCCACCACACCCACCTAAACCCCTTCTTAACCTACAAACAATCAGCACCCATCCATTCATCTCAAATCACCCAAATCACACTCACCAACCCCATCAAATCCCCCTGTCTCTCCCACCCATCCTCATTCCCCAAACAACTCTGCAAACGATACCAATCCCTCCTACTCAGATTCCTCCACGGATTCTTCACCTTCTTAACCCCCGCACACGCCGTCTCAAGCGCGGCATCGCCGAGTGCGGCGCCGATGTAATGGGCTTGATAGTAGTAGGTGCCGATGAGCCATTGGCCGAGGTAGGTGTAGAAGAGAAAGGCGAAGAGGAGGAGGTTGAACCAGAAGCGTTTTTTGGCGTAGAAGGGGCGGGTGTCGACGAGAACTTCGGCATCTGAATGGTCTGGTTTGACCCTTAGGCCATCGTTGGGGAGGGGGGATGGATTGCGAAATTTTCGGGGTTGAGATGATGTATTGGAAGATGAGAGTGGTTTGGAGCGTCGTTCCATCTTAGCACATACCACTCGTTTGAGCGAATTCTACTTTGAAATCGAATATGAAAGATATGAAGTTAATTTTCTCGGCATATCGAGTTGTTAATCAGATTGACAAAGGAAAAATGTACCTTGGGCTTTGAACAAAGAAGTGGAATCTCTGATAGCACCAAACGATCAAGGAATATAATGTCCGAAAACAGCAATAAATCAATAGCCGAATCTGGACAAAGAGAAAATCCTGATTTTACAATTTCACACCGGGGTATAGTAAAAAATGCAATTGCTCAAACAGGCAGACACACCCCTCCAAGAAATCATATTACCTAGCGTTCTTCGTCGTCCTCCTCGTCGTCGCTCAAAGCAAAATCCCTAGCTCCTCCTCTGGCGGTTTCCTCATCATCCTTGATTTTTCCAAACCCTTCATTGAATACCGTCTCCCGCGATGGAAATGGTTCATCACATTTTGCTGAACGCAATCGAGGGAAATATCGACGATAAGAAAAGTAGGCGATGCTGAACCCGAGGATGGATCCACATGTGACATCGTAAACGTCGTGACTGAGGAATAATTTAGCTTCCGTAACTAAAGGTGTGAGTATCGAAAGACAGAACATACCGGTAGTCTTCACAGCGACTTATAGCAATCAAAGCTGCGACTAGTAATGGAGCTATAGCAAGCATCGCCCTCCCAAGATCAGTCCTTGGTCGCAAAACATGCATTTGTCCAAAGAAGAATAATGACAAGTAGCCCAAGCCAGCAAAGGCAAAGGAGCTATGTCCAGATGGAAAGCTTCGCCACCCATCATGTAATGTATGATGATTCGTCTCTGTACAAACAGTTATATCCACAAGAACGTCCTTTGGTGTTCCTGCAGCAGGTTTGCATCGTGAGATTAAATCAGGGCGAGGTCTCCCAACCGCATTCTTGATTACATCAGTAATGAATGAAGTCAGAATCAAACTAGACATAATTAGCTTGACGATTTTCAGATGCAACTCGGAAGTCCCACCTAATAAAAAGCCCAAGTATCGTTACGTGAGACTTATGCAGTCCAGCTCTCGTGAGCGCGAGAGTGAATATTAATATAATCAATGGTATTCCCCCAGCATAAACGATATTCCAACCCGGCGTCACCCTCTCCTTCTCGGCATGCGGATATTGAATATTGATATTATTGGTAAAGAATAATCGATGAAAAGGTTCCACAATGAACTCCAACTACATTGCGCATTAGACAGATATCTCGAGGATATGGACACTCTTACAAGCATATACGCCGACACCAAAATAATCAACCCAACATAATCAGGCGCATATGTCTTCTATGCACCCATCAGCACAATACCCTCCTCAAGTTATCCCACCACATACCTCCCAAAACCTCGCAACAGACCCAATCCAGCCCGATTGCGCAGCGCGTCCCTCGCCCGGTGTTCGAGCATTCCGAACCATTTTTCGAAGAAACCGTTTTACCGTCCTTTCATGCCTGAAGCACGGAAAAAGGCTTAGGAGCGACACTTTGGAAGGGCATCAACCTGGTGGCAGATGTGTAGAAAAAAGGAATTTAGATGGTTGTTGGATAGGTAAGGTGTTTCTTGACGTAGTTGGGGATCCGCACGCGACACTTGGCTGGCTCAGCCTCGCGCGAGCCAGCGTAGCATTCACGACGTCAACCTCGGGCTGGGACTTGGAGCTTCAAAAATAAATTCGCAGACCATATCGAAGAACGATCGCGACCTCAATTACCTCGTGGCAGTCGGCTGCAGCTTCACGAGTATTCATAAACCCCATCGCCCGTCGAAATCGAAATTCCCCTGCCAATTGCGCAAACGCCCATCATGGACGAACCACAACCAGAACCGCGACTCACAGCGACATTTCCATCTCCCCCACCATTCTGGAAAGAATTCACAGAGGAGAATCTCACTCGCATATCCGAATTACGCGTCGCACAATCGGGGGAAGCATCAAAGAAAGCAGATCCAGCGGCTTCGTTACCAGCACGAATCCTAGACCTTCCACCGGAGCTGCGGTATCTGCAACCACCAGAAGAGCCGGCAGATGGGATTTATAGGTCCTTTGGAGATTTGTATAATGTATGCGAAGGCCTTAGCTATTAGGAAGGTAGTGAGAAAGGTGTACTAATGTATCTGACAGCTCAAAAACCCACTCCCCTCCCTCGAAGAAATGGGTATCGAAAACCTCTACACGCCCCCTAGCACGCCCTCGCATAGCGGGAAATACAGCGATCGCGCACTCGTCCTAAAACGGATCGCGAAATCCCTCTTACTAAACTTCCTAGAACTCCTAGGGATCTTAAGCCATAACCCAGAACAAGTAATGCCCTCCCCTCTTATCCTCTTGTATTCCATTCTAATGTGTTGGGTAGTATGATGAGAAAATCAAGGATCTAAGAACGTTGTTTATCAATTTCCATCATATTATTAATGGGTATCGACCGCATCAGGCGCGGGAGTCGTTGATTCTGATGATGGAGGAGCAGTTGGAGCGGTCGAGGGCTGAGACTAGGGGGATTAGGGAAGGGAAGGAGAAGGTGGAGGTTATTTTGGAGGGGTTGGGGAAGGTGAAGATGGGTGAGGAGGTTGTGGAGGGTGGGGAGGAGGTAAGGGAGGAGGGGTGGGATGTTTGGGAGGAGTTGGATAGGGAGTTTGCTTAGGGTGCGATCTTATGGCGTATTGGGCATGGGAAAATGGATGGACATTTGGTGCGATGATACCCGGGGATATTTGGGATACAAAATATCGAAATCCGCGTTTTTGAGGCAAACCCGCCTTCCGGTGACTAGTCATGGGAAGTTTTACCACGATACCGTTCGAAGCACTGAGCTTCCTTCCAAGGGTCACAGAAATATTTCAACTTCATTTCTATACACATCAAAAGTCCTCTGTCCAATTGCGAATAAAATCCAGCCTGCGCGTAAATCATCGTATATCATATCCATCCCATGCCCACTGAATCACTCAACCATGTACCGACCACCAAACGCCATCAAATCCCTCAACCCTCTCCCTTCCTTTTCCTAAATCACCCCAAAAACCCATTCCCCACCACGACATCCATCCCAAATCCACTTCTCAGCATCATCGCAGTATCGTAGCACCCATTCCCTCTCCCCTCTCTCTCCCCTCCCACCCCCCTTTCCATTTCTCCGGCCCATCCACAGCTCACATCACAACACAAGGAATTGGAATACAACAACACTCGTACCCATCACATTCCAAACACTTCGTCTTCCCCGTTTCTGGCTTAACGATTGAGGAGATGGTTGATGCGGCGCTTGAGCCTGGTTTGTTTGCGTTTACTGGTGTTTGGTGGACGGAGGTTGCCATTTTGCTGTGAGGGTTGTTTTGATGGGTTGTAGTGTACGAGGTTCGTAAGGTTGTGAAGCTACAATTATGCGTTAGCTTTCTATACATATCAAATACCTGACCGCTTTCAGTCGAATAAGAACGGAAATGACTTACCCGTTCAACGTTGCCTTCTTTCTGGTTTTGTATAGTTTTAATGTCGTAGATGAACAGAATCTGAAGTTTGGTGATGTAGTTATAAAGTCCAGCTCATGTTTCAAAAACCTGAATTAGTCCCAAAGCGGATGGCTGTGATTGGTTAGGAGAAAGAAGTACGTAGACGACGGTACGTACCGTGAATGTGGAGACGCTTGAGTGACGGGTGGGATGCTTGTTATGTGGGGCATGATGTACAGTTTAACTTCGAGAGTTATGTTAAGTAGTTAAATCTAAAAAGAGAATAAGTAAATGTCGTCTAATGTTATTTAAATAGTAAGTTTAGATTAATTCTATGCTATTTTTAGAGTACTTAATTATTTATAGAGAAATATATTACTATATTATTACTATAGTGTTTTTTTAGTACTTAGTGAATACTTTATAGTATAGCGAGATCGGTAGAGAGAGTTCCTCTGCTAAGAAACGCGTTGACAAGAGGTGAGCTAAGCAACTCAGTATAAGACTTTGTTAAAATCTCCAGTTAATAATAACCATCATCATCCACCTACCTAATTTTGACAACAACCTTCGAGAAATGCTCCTGCCGTTCCAACCTCTCAAACCCCTTCACAGCATCTTCCAACTCAAACACCACATCATCCAACGCAGGTTTTATACCCTTTTCCTCAAACCATGTCACAGCATCTCTCAACATATCCCGCGATCCAAGCAGCACTCCTCTGAATACACAAAGTCTAAACAACGCACTCATCGCCGCTGGTCCCCCCTCACCATACCCCGCCACTCCGCCCGCGACCGTAATCAGACCTTGTTCACGAACCGCCTCAAGAGACTGAGGAAGCGTTCCCGTTCCTCCAACATCCACGACGTGATCCACGCCTCGAGCATCTGGCGTGAGTTTCTTCGCTTCAACCCCCCAGTTCGGCTCCGTTTTATAGTTCAGAGCGTGACTTGCTCCCAAGGCGAGTAATCTTTCCATTTTAGCATCTGAACTCGTCGTAGCAATCACATTTGCGCCCGCCGAAACAGCGATCTATCTCATCAATCCATAAGTATCCTACCCGATAAGACTAGTTCCTTACCTGCAAAGCAGCCAAACTCACACCCCCAGTCCCCTGCACCAAAACCCAATCACCCTTCTTCACTTCCCTCCCAGGAAACCCCATCACAGCATTCCAAGCCGTGAGTCCGGAACACGTGAGCGTAGCCGCTTCTTCGAAAGTTAGTTTCCCTGCGAAAGGCACTAAAGAGCTATAATGAAACACCCCCCGCCGACATAGAGTGCCGTTGATGCCTTGCCCTAACCCTGCGGCGATGTCTGCAAATCCCGGCATTTGAGCGTCCGCTAGGTAGGGAACCATGTGCGTGATGACCTTTGTTCCGGTCTTGAATTCGGGAGCAGATGCAGCGACGGCTGAGCCGATAGAGAGGACGGTGCCGGCGCCGTCGGAGGCTGGGATTATTCCTCCTGGCGGTATTGGAAGGGTGATTGCATTTGATGTGCCCTGCAGTTTTTCAGTATGAAAAAAACAAGAGGACTCGAGGAGCGATGACGGCTTACTTTTGCAATAGCTATATCGCGATAGTTAAGCGATACGGCGTGGATTTCTACAAGCACATCCTCTGCACCTAAAGGAGGATCTATGACACCAGTCGACTCCTCGTAGTGGAGAGACGAAATGCCTTTTTGTGCCGAGTCTAGGACCCAACGAGCTTCATGCGTGATGGTCATGGCTCTCCCTTAACAATTTGCCGCTGTATTGACTTCGTCGGTAAGAAAAATAGGGGCAGACTATTTTCGCTTTATACACCTCCTCTTCATAGTTGAGAGTTTCCACATTCTGAACTGCGGAACCGGTTGTTGATAGCCGCGGATCCCACCGGCACCCACCGGGAGACGATCTTCTTATACTAGTATGCTTATAAATTAATTAATCAATGTCTTGCGCCATTGGTGCGAAGACTAATAGTTTATATCTACTTGTATTAGAGAATGTTTTATCTCGAGCTTTTGATAGAGGTAAAGGCTTGGTAATTTTAAGCTTACAGGTATGGAATAGTTGATACGAGAACTTTTGGAGGTAGAGTTGTATATACAGCTAACTAGGATAATTGGAAAGAGCGAGTCTAGCGTAATATTGAGATACAATATCCATGCTGAGTCTAAAGACAATGGTTTCATCACTAACCTATATTCATTAGTACATCCACATAAAACAAACGCACAAAAACAAACCCGTAAACTCATTTCCAACTAACCCAAACACCTAACACCAAAAAAACACAGCGTCTATACCAACTTCTTACCTCCCACCACCACCCCTCTAACACCTCACCACACATTCACGCAAGCAAACACCACGATGATTTCATAAAATTAATATTATCCCACCTACTCATCATCTAAATCCAGAAAGCTCCTCTCAGCAGTCGACATCGGACTAATACACCCCCCCGGAACATCCAACCTCACATCCCTCTCCCTCCCCAATAAACTAGGCGTCTGTCGCCCTAATAAATCCGGCGTCCCTCTACCTCTTAAATCCCCAACACTATTATTCCTATCCGCAAAATTCCCCGCCAAACTATTACTCCTCACATCCCCCGGATTCCGTACATCCCCCAAACTAGTATTCCGACTAATACTCACACCCCTCGTCCTCAAATCAGGCGTATTACGCCCGATACTCGTATCCCTCGACACAGGCGTGATACTATTCGTGCGGCCGTGTCGTTGCGAGGATATACTATTCGCGCGCCCATGCCCGAGCAGGAAATCAGAGGTTATGCTCTCCGTACGCTCCGGTCCGATTTCCGAGACCGGCGACGTTGGGATTTCAGGTTCGCGACTACGAGTTTCCCGCGAGCGCCGTACATCTCCGGCGTCCATCTCGTATTTCCTCACGCTCGTGACTTCCATCTCATGCGGACCTGTCTCGAGAAACACGACTTTCGTCCCAGGATGTCCGTTCACCGTCTCTCTATTCGTTTTCCTCGCTGCTTCCGTCTCTCTCGCCCTTTGCGCGAGCGCTTCGGGTGAGACGACGGCTTGCAAACCGTCCATGTCTGGGTAATATGTTTTCTGGTTGTTTTTTATCTGCCGTGGTTCGCGTGAGATTTCGAGGACGCCTGCTTCGATTCTTGATTGTGCTTCTCGTTTGTGGCGGCGCCGGATGTGCAGGCAGGCGATGGAGACGGCGAGGATGATGATGGTGAAGACGACGGAGATGGTGATGCCTACTTTGGCGCCGACGCTGAGGCCGGAGGATTTGGTGGGGGTGAGGGGCGTGGAGGAGGGGGATGGGGAGGTGCTGGAGGTTGCGAGGGGGGCGGTGGAGGTTGGTAGGAGGGCGATGGGTGTGGTTGTGCTTTGAACTGTTGGGAGGGAGGAGGAGGTTGATGAGGAGCCTGTTGGGGTGGCCGTAACGTCGTCTGCGAAACTATATCCTGATACTAAAAATCCGGTAACTGTAATTCCTCCATCGTTAGACGCCGTGTCAGGCGCTTGTCTTCCTGCCAAAGTTCCTGATAAGCTTTTTATAACGATTGTTGCACCCGCTGGAGCGATTGAAATGCATTTATTGTCGGCTCGATAATTGTATAATCTTTAAATGTTAGAAATCTCACTATTTCATGCGCTGATTTACTCACGATGGACAGCAGGCGACGATTGTACTGATTTTATCAATGCTCGCCGTAGCCGCTTTTGTATATAATGAAGGACATGCAAATCCACCCAAACTCGTCGTGACACCCTCCGTCGTTCCCTGCGCCCAAGACTGCGTGACCTCCGCTGGCAAACATTTCAATCCGCTCTGGATATTCTTCGCATAAAAAGGATCAAAGGCCATTATATCCTGACTTCCAGGCACACGATAGATTTCCGACGAGCATGCCGCAGGGGAAACCGACACGCCAGCAGTCGTGAACGGTATCCAGCTTGTCGTAATTCCATTGTTGACCACAGCCGGATGTGTCGTTGTCATAGTTGCGACTGGACTGGCGCGAGAGGAACGGTCGCGAAAGTGAGCAAAAATGGGGAGCGGGTACAGAGAGACTTATGAACCAACCCAACTCAGCATGTTCAGCGCACTGCTCACCCCCGGATCGCACAGACAATCTCCTCCTGTAAGCAAATACCCCCGAAGTTGAGGACTTCGGCATGCGCTGGGGGGACTGCAATTGGACAGTTCGCCCATCGCCATCTTGAGCGAATGTTCGCTTGAGGTTTCTACGCCACTGGCCCCCTCCATCGTCACGGTTGGAGAGCAGAAGCAGAATCATCATGTAATTGCGCGCTGTGCCGCGAGAACGCGTGATGAAGATAGAGACGTGGATTCAACCGCTCATCTTATCCCGAGAGATAGCAGGTGGACGCAGTGTACGAGAGACGAGACATGTGATTGGCATTACAAGAGCAAAGGATTCAACCAACAGAGCAAATCAGTAATTGCAGCAGGAATCAGAATAAATTAATCAACCAACAGATCAACAAAACTGACAAACGCAATAAAGAAGATCCAAACCAAACGCCCGTGCGGATGCAAGCAATCCATCGACAAACAGCATCGCACGTGGAGCAACCGTGGTTGGCGGGGATTTGTATGGCGCAAAGACCGTTCAGAAAAGGATTGTAACCCTGTTCTGGAAACATCGCAAATTAAAGCTATCAAGAAGAGAACTTCGTCCGATGAAAAGCTGCAGAAAAGGGGGTGAAAGCCGCTTCAAGCCTCGGCACGGGCTTAATTGCTGTTTTTGTGTAATTACTTCCCCACTCACACATCGCGATACGAAATATAATACTGCAGGTCTGGCCGCTGAAGGACATCGCCGAAATGCAGCAGCAAACAGATTCCGGAGAATTGCTGTGAAGACATGTTGATTAGAATTTGTGTTGAAGTGATGATTGATTGCCGAAGGATTCGAGATGCTGTTAAACCTGCTCAATCGGGTATGAGCGACCCAAAGATCGTCTGATTTGGTAGATCAACGTGTATATTACATGGAAACTGCATGTTTTCACGTTTCGAACAAGACCGCGTGGGAAGCCGGGAATCGAATCCTTCAACTGATGTTCAGCGAATACATGCGTTCATCGTCGAATTGGTGGGTGTAATTTGACGTGGATCGGCAGTTTCATTGTAGATCCCCCTTTGGGGGTCTCTTTTCCACAAGCTGAAAAACGTGGTGACATGGAATGTTAGACGCGATTGTCCTAAGATTTGACCTAAGTTGGCCATTGGTATACCGGAAGCGCGATCATTCAGTCTGACATGGTGTGGTGAGAATCGCGACTGAAACTCTGCTGATTACTGATTCGTGAAAGCTATTTGATTCTACTTGGAGGATGAAACTGTTTCGAACTTATTAACTCTAATGTCATTGACTGACCAAGCGATAACCTGCTGAGTGGAAATGGATATTTGAGATTCGTGCCATACTGTTGCATGACTCCGCAAACGCTGTGTAACGCCGGAGGGAGTATCTGGTCGGCGATCTCCTCGGCGATTTGGTGCACTTACAACATGATAAATCATCTTGGCGCACAAGTTTCGCTTCAGTTCGGCCTTTAAAGAACTGTGACTTGCAGTCTACCACGTTTCAGCGCCTTGGCCATTATCAGTCATTGATTGCAGACTGCCCAGATGAGTTAAGACACTAAAATGAGCAGGAGAATCGCCTCAGTTAAGAATCCATTCCCCACCCAAAGGCTGTCCTCGCAGCAAATAGCGTTCGCTCACCGCGGAACGAGATGACTAGATAATCATGTTGATGCAACTCGATTAGTTGAATACGCCGTTATATTCCAGAATTTATGGATGATTAGTGTCTCCATTTCAAGAATCCCGCTTGAACTTGTTCTTGATTCGCTCTGCAATTGGAACTTTTGTCTCGGCAACCTTCACTTCGTATAATGCCTTGTGTTCTGTCGCGATGTCATGCGAGTCCTCGTAATCGACATGCACAAAGGCTCGCTCGACATCCGAAAGACCTTCAAGTTTCCGCTGAAGAGTTTGCGATACATCATGAGTGACTTTCAAAGTCTCCGCCTGGGACATGATGATGTCTACTTCGACGTAAAACTTGTCTCCCGCATGATATGCACGAGCCTAGACTTCCGTTAGTCCTCCTATAAATATGATTTGTAAGATTGAAATAACTTACGGTTTCTATCTTCTGAATTCTCTTATCGTGGGTTACCGAAACGTAGACCAGCTTGTTGAGAAACTCCCTGGGTGCGGACTTTCCTACCAGATACCACATATGCTCGAATGCAGTCGATGACCACGAGTAGAGAATCAAGACAGCAATACATATAGCACCAGTGGGATCGAGGAACCAGACTTTCGCGAATCTTGTTCCAACGATGGACATTATGAGACCGAAAAGGTTGACGGCAATGTCGTTACGATGATCAATCTGCTTCAAGTTAGCCAATGTTTTTATGAAAGAAGTTGATAATTACCATGAAAATTCGGGCTGCAGGATAACGTCGGAGGATAAAACAATAGACGAATAGTGTACCCTTGGAAAATACTATGTTTGATTAGCTGTTGAACTACGTATGTGAAATCATTAATACTTACTAGCCACAGATACAAAAACAATTGGGATAATGTGCAATTCCTCGGCATCTGAGGGTCCCCTTACAAGAGATCTGACGGACTCAATCTAACCAACCCGTTAGTATGTACAGGCTAAGTGATGGTGAAAGCTTACAATCAACTGTATGGACACCGTAGTCATCAGTGCACAGAACAAAATGATTCCCACAGTTTCAACTCTTTTCCGACCCTAGTAAAAAGTGCTTAGCAAAAATGCGAAGTGTTAAACGAGAACAGACGATACTCACGACAGGAAACTTCTGAATATTTGGCTTTGCCGCGAGTCGAGATGTGATCAACATGACGATGGAGCTTACAAGATCCATCTGCAGATATTGTTAGCGGCGCCTCCTATTGAAAGGGGTTTACATACGAATGCATCTGCGGCAGTCGCAAACAGAGACAGCGAGCCTGTCGATATGGCTGCATACATTTGAATGATAAACAAGAAGAAATTAACAACAAAACTCGCGTTGACTGCGAATTTGACTTTGCCTCCATTTTTGAGGGTGTCCTCAACCTCAAGCTGTTCTTCGTCATGACTTCCGAGATACGCATCAATGAGAGCGTTCTGTCTGTTGTAGTACCTTTTCACCTTCTTGCCTTTACGTCTAGTAAGATTTGAGGTGGTTGGCTGTGAAGAGTCATTCGATTCGTCATCTCGTTTGTACCCTCGCAGCGCATATGGATCGTCTGAAATGTTGTGATGATGGGTGGAAGCTGTAGCCGAACGTGATATTGCCAATTCTTCATCGATTACACTTCGGGACTGTGGCGCAGGACTTCCAGCAGAGATTGTCTCTGTGTTGGGAGTAGATAGCTGGTGTATATCGTCTGATGTTGGCCCAGCCAAAATGTTGTTGCCGCCTTGTGTTGCCATTGTTGATTCTGGCATTGGCCAAGAGTTTTGATCCTTTCGGATGACAAGAATTGGCGACGATGTATTGCAAGGGAGATTTCGCCCGGAAGTTCAACGACCTGAGATGCCGTGTTTCTGAAGATGCAAAAATTTGATATAAAGCTGGAAGATATTGGGCCGGGTAGGATGACCAGCGAGATGCTCAGAATTAATGCAAATTCAAAAAGATTCCCCAGAAAATACTTATAGAGACCCTCCCCTCAAAATCAAGTGGCTGTTGAACGCTAGCAGCGCTTCCAGACATGACGACCGTCTCTGCTATGGCAGGAGGTGTTTGGGTCCATTGATCATCTAGTCGCAAGTGATCAAATGGCCGCAAGGGGAAGTCTTGGGGTCCAAGCTGGTGCATCAGATCCCCAGCAAAACAACCTTGGGATGTGCCATCCCATCACGACAACAGCATTTGGAATTTCTACGTTGTTGACGTTCTTGGCGCAGTGTAGTGCTCGGTGCCGTTAGGGCTCGGCAGTCAAAGATCAGCAAAAGCTCCAGGAAGAGATGTTTCGTGATACTCGCGATTCATGGGGACAACAAGGGATGGTGCAGGAGAAGAACATGCATGACCGTGTCGAGCTAAGATTGACGTTCTGATTGGTCGACAAGCGCTCGCTTAGAGTTATTCCCCGACAGACGCCAAGCTCCCGCATTAGCCAAGCTGTCAAATCCAACGTCTCAACTCAACTTCATCACATCACCAACATCAAAACCCCAGACTTCAGACTCAATTCAGTCCAAGAACAGAAGATGATCTACTCGTGCCACAATACCAGCGCTTGAATCTCCCGAACGTCTAGAAGCTTTGGACACAGTCTTTGGCCGCCGCTGTCTACATTGGTACTTTCGGGTCTTTACTGTGCCGTCCGTACCTCAATCGGTGTCTGTTTGATACAATGGCGGCAGTGTTCCTATTGGTACTAAGCATCTAAGTGTTTGCTCTGTAGAAAATATGTTTGATACATTCAAACACGGATTCTCTCTTTTTAGCAGGACTCGTGTCCCACATCTACCGCTTTGAGTTACATTTTGCTTTTTGATCTGCATTTATTCCATGGGCTCGACCCAAGTGTACTGTTCTCAAAGCCTCTGGTATATTCCATTTTCTCTCTTTTTGCCTCGTTTTGGCTCCCATCTGAAACTTTAGCCTAACAAAAGGGCCACATTGACAGATTCCCTTCACAATTGATTCATTGTGCTGCCCGATCTTCACTCGTGCCCTCTAGCGAGGAAACTGTGGACAACGATTAGTTGGGCTTCGGCTCACATGAGTATCAATGCTGTGTTTCTCCATCTCCACATTTAATACAGCGCCAATTCTCTCGCGTTAGATATAAGCTTCATTCAGAGACAAGTCCGTTTAAGACTTAAACTCCAAGTCAACACGTACCACATCGTGGGGTGTTTCATATTACACACGCTCAGATAATTCCTTGCCAAGTCAGTTATTCGCTTGCTTGTCTCATGTCTTGTATTTCGTACCGAGACGCTAGGCCCTCGACGCCAAATGCTTCGTCGACCAAGCCTTTGGGGACTGGGGACATTTTCGTTAGGCGTCTGATCCCCAGAAGCCAAGGTTGGGGGGGGGGGGGGGGGGGGCGAGCTTTCCCCCTTTCGGTTCTCGGCATTCTCCCGGCAGTGATATGCTCACTACTCTATTGTTCTGTTTAAGGCTGATTTTTTGTCAACATCACATGAGTCACATCTGCTTGATATTGTATACTATGGCGAGAAAAGGAGGATAATATTAAAGTCCGTCTCAATTTATTATCGAGAAAGACTGGTGGTGTCTCTTCTTCTTTGCAGTATGTGATATACTTGTCATTCGACTTTTTAAGATCAATTCTAATCCCCATCTCGAGACTCCGGACTGCAGACTTTCCGAGCCTCATCAGCCCCACTCTACGACTCTTCATGAGGATGATCACGAAGGTCAATAATGCGGTGGTGTTGTTTGTCTCTGTTACGTATGTTCGTCAATTGTTGCACCGATTTCGGGAATTGCATGGTCATGAAGCAGGTCTTGCCTATTGCTACCCCAACCAGAAACTCAAATGTCTTCCGTCTCAACTAGGATCTCAAGAAACATATTCAGTCAGCCCATATGTGTTTCTCTTGTTTTATATGGCCAAGCTTAGGACGACAAGGTTGACCAGTATCATATTCCATGGCGAGCAGATCATAACATGACAAGCGTTTATCAAACGCTCTTATATGTGGCGCTCTCCCCATTCTTAAGTCCTGTTACTCTATCCTTCTATTCTTTTCTTCCATTATCATTTCAAAGCTGGGCTTTGCTTCTTTTTCTTTCTTCTTTCTTTCTTTTTAGAATAGAAATTGAGCAGGCTCATTTCTTTACTTTCTTTTCATAATGAGTGGAACTGTTTTGAACGGAACGGTGGCGGCGAATGTGACGGATGCGGTGGTAGCGGCAGTGATTGATACGAAGCCAAAATGTGGAAGTGGTGAAAATAATAATCCAGAGGATTATGACTTGCCTCTACATATCGCGGCTGTCTGTAAGCAGAATTGACAACTTTGACGCCTTCATTGCTAATCTATCCAGTCATGGTTTTTGCTTTCAGTATCGGAGGTATGTACTTATTTCTGAAAGCACTCTTCGACATCGCTAATTTCAACAGGATGTGGATTTCCTGTGGTCGCGAAACGTGTCACATGGATGAAGATTCCACCAAAGATATTCTTCTTTTGCAAGCATTTTGGTACTGGAGTCTTGATTGCTACAGCATTCGTACATGTAAGCCATTCCTTTTACTCAATCCTAAACACTGCTTATATCAGATCAGCTTCTTCCTACGGCGTTTTATTCCCTCAGCGATCCATGTCTCCCCGATCTCTTCATCAAGAACTACCCACCCATGCCTGGTGTCATCATGATGGCTGCACTCTTCGCGCTCTTCGTCATCGAACTTTATCTCAAAGGAAAGACAGGTGGACATTCTCATGGTGGTCCAACAGGTCAAGGGCTCGCTGCACAGGGAGCTCCTCACGGAGTTGGTGGAATTGGTGTTGCTATCTCAGCCCCAGTCAACTATGCACCTCAAAGACCACCAAGATCAGCACAGTGGGATTCGAACGGATTTCCTGTAGATCATAAAGATCCTTTCCAAAAGTACGTTGGTTCTTCAGACATGCCGACCACAATTAACATATATAGCAACGCATTCGAAGTCGATGAATACGATGAAGAATCCCGACCTGGAAGCTACGGTGGTGTCGACCAAGCTGAAATGCCACCATGGTTTCAAGCCTTCTTCGCACGATACGTCCGACAACGTGAAGAACTCAAATCTGCCATCGCCTCAGTTGCCCAAACCGCCACAGCCGTCGCCATGCCTGCACCACCACCTCCAGTCGTCTACAGAGAAACTACCGACGAACCCCAAATGGACGCCGCCACATTCAAGAAAATGTCAATGAACATCACCCTCCTCGAAGGTGGTATCCTCTTCCACAGTATCTTCGTCGGCATGACCATCTCCATCACCAACGACGGTTTCCTCATCCTCCTCATTGCCATTCTCTTCCACCAGTTCTTCGAGGGTCTCGGTCTCGGCTCCCGTATCGCTGCCATCCCGTATCCGAAACGTGCAATTAGGCCTTGGGTCCTCGTCTGTGCTTTCGGACTTACCTGTCCAATTGGCCAAGTCATCGGACTGTTAACCCGCGGTGTTTATGATCCTGCGAGTGCTTTCGCCTTGATTATGGTCGGTGTGTTCAACGCGATCTCGAGTGGGTTGCTTATCTATGCTGCGACTGTTGATTTGCTTGCCGAGGACTTTTTGAGCGAGGAGGCGCAGGATCAGATGACGAAGTGGATGAAGATTAGGGCGTTTTGTTTTGTGCTTATGGGTGGTGAGTTCTCCTAACAATCGTCTTGCACGTTCAATACTAACTCTGTCTAGCTGCGGGTATGAGTGTTGTTGGTGCTTTTGCTTAGGACATCACGTCGGCTCTGACGAGCATACGAAATAATCATACATACACATGTGTGTCGGGAATATACACATATGGGGGCAGGGAGCAAGTAACGCTCATTTAAAAGCCAACGAATCAGTGGTTGATGAAAAGGGGTCGCAAGATAACAGGCTCTTGCGTATAAGCTGCAGCTGCCTCAATGTAATATTAGTACGGGATAATGAGATACATCGGCGGAATTCACACTAGCTACTCCCTCCCCTATCTCTTCACCTCTTGTCTAAGTCAGCAATCTAAATGTCACATGACGCTGGCTCTCCCTTATAACGAAAACTTATCAACAACATCTGTCTTCCTCCCAGTAGACAAGAAAATTACGCTATTTTAAACATATATCGCGGCATTCCTGGCTTTTTTATACTATAAACTCGCTCTTTAAACACTTCCAGATGTTTTCTTAGCTAGGGCAGGAGGTATAGATCGTATTTCGTGAGGACAGGAAGTAGCAATCTCGTAACAATTAGGAGAAGCTAATAAGAAGATGACCTAAAACACTCTGAATTTAGATGTGTTATGCGAGTACCTTCCAAATATACCGCGCTATCTAATAGATTCTTTAAATTAGCTTATTTAGATAATAACTATCATATACTATCTTCGAACGATAGTTAAGTGTAGAATATATAAAACGCTCTAACATCTTTAATAAATAATAGAATAATTAGATTAGCTAGGTCCCCCCTTTATTAACCTCTAAACCTCGTCCCCACATCTCCCTTAAAACCCATCTACTTACTAATAATAAATATAATATACTATTATCTAACCCTAGTCCGTCGAGATTACCTCCGCAAGCTTTACTTTAGTCTAGCCACCCAAATCTCCAAAATACTCCCTAGAATAATTCAGTTATATGCGCCTTAGCCTAGGCGAGAAGGTCTTCGTACCTCGCGGGTAGCTGTTCTAGCACGAGGTAAATAACAACTACTTTACTACCCCTACCACAAAGTACACAAATGAATTAGAAGGACGACTTGGATATCAAGCTTGAGATTTCAGATTAGATTAAATCCCCCTATACCCCAGCTATCTTCACAGGTCTACTCTCTCCGCTATTCACCTAACCACATCGCCACCTAAATACATCGTCCAACCTTTCCCATCCCCGCATTTCTAACTCTCCTTCGACCCTCACATCGCTTGAATATCAAACCACCAAGCTAACCCCTCAACAAACGCTATTAAAATGCCAATGCCAAATAGGATATCAACAAACACCAACGTAACCCGCAAAAATGAACTTTTTCCAAATCACCTCTTCTCTTCACTCAATCCCACGCTCAATTCGCACACTCACATCCTCAAACTCACTTCTTCTTCCCCTTCCCCTTCTTCTCCACCGGCTGCTGCGTCCCCAATATATCATCAAAAGTCGCCCCCGTCATCTCCATAGTCTTCGGCCGTCCCAACGCGCTATCCCTCCTACTGCCTCCGGGCGACCCCAGCACGGGCGAACCCCCTGCGACACCCATCGGGATCGGCAACCTCTCTAGTCCCAGCGCGATACTCTGGCGGGCGGATTGACGACTGCGACTTCTGTCGCCGCCAGTGGTAGGACTTAGGGTATCACCATCGCGACCACGAGACGGGGGCCGCATTCCAAAGTCATTTCCGAAGCCGGGTGGTGGTGCGAGAGGCGAGAGTTGAGGGGCGAGATATGCTTCTTCTTCTGCTTCGCCGTTGGCGTGGCCGATCCATGTGTCGGCGGCGGTCCAGCAGTGGGAGCGACGGTACACTGCCTCGACTCCATTTTCGACGAGGTGACTTGGGAGAGAGACCATTTGTTGGCCGCCGGCGACACCGTACCATGCGGTCTTTGGGGCGTCTTCTATCCATGGCATGTTTCCTGGTGGTGGCATGCAGAGGAAATATTCTACTCCTTCGGTGTAGCGGAGATCATTTACATCTACCACAAGCAGAGGTAGAGATTGAATTACGGCGTATAGGAAGATCCAATGCCCGTAAGTCTGATCGATGAGATCAAGTGAGTTCTTCTTCTTTGCTTCCTTGGCCTCAAATGCCTGGTACGCCTGTAAGAATGGCGTTTTCCGATGTGCATCCTCATTGCTAGCTTTGACAAACATCAACGTTGTCTCGTGAGTCTTTAGAGATCGAGTTCGCAATTTGTGCTGTTCCTTTGCAGATAACTGGCTAGCCCTTGGTTCGACCGTAGTGATCGTCGGGATCAGTGGCACATCAAACGGTACTGGTGGATTGACAGGTGGCGATGATCTGTCAAACTCGCTCAAAAGAATGCGCAATGCTGCATTACTTGGGTCCACGGCTTCGGCCTCCTCTTCTCCGCCATCAAAGGTTCTCGAAGTGAGATCATTTCGATCTACCTTCAGATCATATAAACTGCACAGATCTGCATATAAAGCTTTCAACACGAGTCGATTGAGGCCACCCACCGCAAAAGAATTCTTTTTGCTGCTAGATTTTGGTGGCCATGATCCATGTAAATCTTTCAAGTAGGAAAGCATGAATTTCCTCATCGAAATGAAATTGTTCCTCCATGCGGCGTACCGCACAATTTTGGATTCAGCAGAGGTCGTTGAGGCAGCGGATCCTGCAAAGAGGGAAGGAAAGTTGAAATCTAAAAGTCGGTTATCTGCTGCAGCTTGTCTATTGGATAGGTCGAGAGATGCTCGTTCCATCATTGACCGAGTCGTCGGTGATATTTCATCGAAGAGTGATAATGTTTTGTCCTTCATGGCTGAATATTTCCCAATAGCATGTGTAAATGCTTCCGTATATAATCTTGCGCATCGCATATTCTCTCCTAGTATGATTCCCTCGATTGTCTGCTCTCTACTACTTCGAACATCTTCCAATTTCAACTCTTCCAGAAAAAAATCGAAGCTGGTTGAAACTGACTCGCCATATGTAGAGCCGTCCATATTGGTAAACTCGAATCTTTTAAGTAGAGAAGCGATGCGCCCAAATATTCTGAAAAGACTAGGACAATTGTTGGTTGCCACCAAGGGCTGTCCAGTGAGGAAAGCAAACAGATTGCGAATCCCAATAAGAACTTGGATATCTTGCGGTGATAATTCCGTTCCATCCGTTGTAAGTCCAGTGGGAAATCGAAGATGCATCTCTCGTGGCCCTCCTTCAAGCGATGTTAAAGATTCTGCCTGGCCGTCGGAAACTGATTGACTTGACACAGAATCCGTCGTGCTTCCTTTGGGTGTGTATGGCGGAGTTCCCATATTTCGCAAAGCCAGAACTCGCATACCATCTTCCACAGACACACTACCTCGGCCGTTGTGGCCCCTATTTGCCCCGACAGTTGGATCTAAATAGCTCATCATAATCAGAGAGGATGAAAGAATCATCGATGGAACTTTGAACGATGGTCCAATGCCGGTTGATTCTGGAAATAAGTAGACAAATAAATCGGCCGATTCGTCCCATAACTCAGGGACCTGTAAAATGTTAGATACAACATAGAGAGCAGGAACGAGAAAATTACCTTCTCACCATGGAGTAGAAATCCCAAATTATAGTCGATTTTATGATTGCCAGCGTTCACCCACGCATCCGCTCCACGCGCATCACCACTATCCGGCGAAGCATTTCTCGATCGTTTCCCAAGTCCCGGCATCCAACTTTTACGCTTGGACAACTTTCCAGCCTCTCCATCCGACGAATCTGTTCTCGCATGTGAAGGCGATGATACAGATCTGCGTCCTACATCTGTTGTCTGTATCGCAGGTGCCAGCGTACTCGCAGCTCTCAACTTCCTGCCCTCTATCTGTGGTGACGCCGCAGGAGAAGAGGGACCAACTACGTGCTTGTGATGTGGTGATTCGAGTTTGTGAAGCTTCTTCGCCGATGTGGGAGGTGTTTGGGGACGTGCCCCGGGGGCGACTGGAGGAAGTCTGGTCGGGGCTTGTTGTGATTGACGTTCGGATTGGTAGTCTGGTTCCTGAAAGGTCGGTGGGAGGAATGGGAGCGGCTTCTTTTGTAGCTTGTCTTGTACGGTTTTAGAATCTTTGCTTGACATGAAATTGGGAAGGAATATAGAAAGCCGATTCAGGCGGGAATTTCGACGAGATTGAAGCATGTCTGGTAGATTTTGCCCTTGAGATCCTTTGAGTGCTTCCTCTGCCGCTCGCCATCTGCTTTCTGCCTCTACTAACTGTAGCACAGGTTCGAAAGATAATGGCGGGGGAGAATCGGAGATGATAGAGATATGAACATCAGCTAGAGTTGCTGGGGGGGACTTACTAGATTCCATGTTGGCTGGTACCTTGAATGTGATTGAAGTTAATTATCTCTTGCGCATAAGCGTGTTGAATGATTCAGGGAGAACCAGACCAGTCGCCGAGTCAACAGTGCTTGTCTGTGCCAGTCCCGTTTAAGGGGAGACGGGATACGGCGGTGTATCTGGTGTGTAATGAGGTGGGTGTCTGGATCAAGATGCTTGCGTGGCACAGATGGAGCGCGAAGTGGAGGTTTGCTGGACTGGGCGAGATGAAACCTGGTCAAGTTTGCTTGGGAATTTCCATGTGGCTGGTGAGGTGGTGTGGCCGACGAAAGTGCGAGATGCAATAAAGTCTGAATTTGCCTGCGCGTGGTTTGATGTACAGTAGTTTAATGGAGATGGTGGAGATTTGCGAATTCGAGTGGACGAGATGATATGGACTTTCGAGGGAGATGCTTGTTGAGGTCTGGGTTGATGTGGTTGGGAGACACGTATTTGTTGGATTGGTATATTAATTCATCCTCTAGTCTCGAGTACTGTGTGTATCGTCCTCCAATGTTCCCAGAGAGACGCGTATTGGTTGGATCTGTATATTAATTCGTCCTCTAGTATATCGTCCTCCCAATTCCCTAGCTCTGAGATGTTGCTCTAGATCGTTCACACAAACTCGCTGATATACGGCAGACTCAACTCGGCAGATGTTGCTGTAAAGGAAATAAGAAAGAAGAACGCGGGAAGTCAAGCTGCAGAAACGAAGGAAGCCGATGAGGAAGAGGATTCTGGGAAATATTAAGGTTTAAAGGTGCGGTGCCGTGCCGTGCGGTGCCGTGCCTTGACGTCCCGTCCCCTTGTCAAAGAGGCGGAGCAGGGGTGTCGCCAAGTGAGACGATCTCCTTGGACGGCAATAGTTGACGGTCGTATTTTCCGAGCGATCCAGTTCTGATCCAAGTTGCTATGGTTTTTCCCATGCGTGCATGTGGTGAGGTTATTCAAGAATCGTGGATGTTGACAAAAAAATGAATCTGCTGAAACACATGTATCCTCGTGCAACCGGACAGGAAGGCACATGACATGTCTGAATGCTTGCTTGGTACGACGCGACGAATCAGAGATTTATTTCTCTGGTGAATGTTCCTTGAATCTTCAAGGGTCTTTGCCACGTCCATATACGAAGTGGACGTTTCTATAGATGCGTTGGCGAAGGGGCTGTGAGGCTTCGGTGTTTTGACATCACAGCTGTGACTTCAAGGCTTCCCAAGGCTGATTCGACCCCTTCGCCTTCCCAGTGCATTTGTTCAGCCGTGCTAGCGATGTTCGTAAGTCCTCCGAATTCGATACCGTGGTTTTGGATATCTCACCATCAGCATTTACTTTTGTGTCTCGAATAACAACGTTTTAAATCATAACACAGGATTCGAAAATCAATGTAAATAAAACTCCAGCAAACCCATCATCACTCCACGTCATGCCCAGTCGTCGTTCCAAATCAACTCCACTTATCCCTCACCTCCCACTGGCCAGCCATCTATCCGGGCTCGCAGCGTCGTATTCTTCAGTGCGGGACCCGGTAAACACGACGATCCTGCGCGCCATTGCCGTGTTGGTGTTGACAAAGTGACATTCCGACGATCCGGTCTCGCTTCGAAGAAAATCACGTGAAGAAGATTCTACGGTCAAGTTACACGTGACTGGCTGGATGATTTTTGTTGCACATCGCACGTGTGAGAAAACTCGCTTAAGCCGCAATTCCTCACAAGCAAAAGCGTGAAGCATGATATCAGCTGACCCAGCTCATTTTCCTGTTCCAACATGAAATCGGCAGCAGTCTTCTCCTCCGGAAAGACATAAACTCTGTCTCAACTCTATCTCAACCACACTTCGTCGTAAACAGTAATCATTATGGCTATGTTGTCGGCTCTAGAATTACCGCCGACTGGCGGCAGGACGACACCACGAGCAGACAAATTGTTGTATTCGATGTTAGGAAAGTTCTCTCAACGGCCGACGCGGCTTCGTACTACGCGTGCATCAAATCTGCAATTCTCCGTCAGGCTCTCAATCTATGGCAGTTATAAACGGATACGGACATCTCCGTGTGTAACGCCAGTCCGCTTGCTTTCCCAAAAATTTGAGTTGGATCCCGGTTTGTCACAAATAAGCTATCCCCATATCAGCCAGACATCTTAACTCTTCTACCGTCTTAAGGACTACCAGGGCCCTAAACACTTTCGGCTACCACATCTAGCATTTCTATTGGTGAATTATACCGAATTACATGGGTAATAGTGGAGATTCGTAGATCACCACCCCTTGTAGTCCTTAAGACGGTAGAGGAGTTAATCTGCTTCAAACAGATTCAAGCTATTATTGATCCTATAGTTGATCATCTCGTCGATAAGCATCGACTGCTCTTTATCAAAAGCACAAAATCTTGGTGTTGTGCAATTGCCGCCAGGGACAAAGCTTGAATCATCTTGGCATGCAGGTCTGGGGTAAATCCTCTCCCAACAAGACAAGATATCTACAAATGTCTAAGGATCAACCAAATGATACAGCAGTAACTTCAAGTGAAGATTCATACTTCTCAAAGATGCACTATTCACTACCACGTGTTGAAGGTCACGCTTCTTGGGCAGATATACTCCGCTCAGTGCAGTGTCAAGCCGTGGTCGGATGCTTCAATCCGCGGGGTATGAAGACCCTCCACAACTATCTAGCCTCAACCAGAAAAGATCAGCAGGTATTCACTCTGTCATGATGGTATTTCCCACAATATTCCTTTCCCATTTCCATTCTGTCAATAATATATCCTATTCTTTCACTTGCCAAGTTCGTGTCGCTCTAGATTGATGCTTTTATTGGAGATTGCCCTTGTCAAGTTGAACAATAGCACGACAGTTCCATACTTGGATTGTCTGCCGCTAAAGAAGCTTTGACTGGAGGGTAAGTCGATTGAAGATGGGAATCTTTTCTAGATTCCGCAGCGACGATGCGGGCTCCTCACCTGACCATGAAATTGCGCGAAAAAACAACATTCATGGAGATCCAGAGAAGGCCACAGACAATTCGTTAGAAACCCGACTAGAGGATTCAACAACGAATCAGCTTCCTCCTCATGAATTCGCAGCAATTGAGAAGAGAGTCTTAAAGAAGCTAGATCGCAGATTGGTGTCTCTTGTATTTGTACTCTGTCAGGCTGCCTCTCAATCAATGGATTTCAAGAGCTAACGTTATCAGATCTCCTCGCCTATTTGGATAGATCTAACATCGGGTAAGTTCCACACCATCTATTCATATTCTATCTAACATCAACAGAAATGCCCGAATCGCTGGTATGGAGGAAGATCTGTCTCTTTCCTCACCGGACTACCAATGGCTTCTCACAATCTTCTACATTTCATATATTATATTTGAATGGTTCGCTCTGATGTGGAAACTAGTCCCACCACACATTTGGGCTGCATTCTGCGTAATGGGTTGGGGACTTACAGCAACACTTCAATCCGCAACCTTCTCTTTCTCAGGAATGATGGCCGCGAGATTCTTCCTAGGACTATTCGAAGCAGGATTCGGACCAGGAATACCATTCCTCTTCTCCTTCTTCTACCTTCGTCACGAGATTGGATTCCGATGCGGTATATTCCTCTCAGCAGCACCATTAGCCACATGTTTCGCAGGTGCTCTCGCTTATGGAATTACAAGCGACGACTCCCCTCCAATTGCAAACTGGAGACTTCTTTTCCTCGTCGAAGGACTACCGTGTCTCGTAGCAGCCGTAGCAACATTCTTTCTGCTCCCCGACAGTCCAGAGAAAGCATCCTTCCTAACGCCCGAAGAAAAATCCGTCGCCCGCTCCCGAGCCCGCCTCCAAACCGGCAAAGCAGACCGAGAAATCGGCCGTCTAAACTTCCGCGACCTAGGCGCTGCACTTCTAGACCCCAAAGTACCTCCCCCCTCCTTCTTTTCCAACCCCTTGCTAACGTATCTAGAACTACATCACAGCCCTCATGTACTTCTCCTGCAACGTCTCCTTCTCCTCCCTCCCCGTCTTCCTCCCCACCATCCTCTCCGAAATGGGCTTCACGCGTCTCACCGCCCAAGCCCTAACCGCACCCCCCTACTTCCTCGCCTTCCTCCTCGTCATCCTCACCACCTACATCGCAGACCGCACTCAGCAGCGCGGTCTCACCATCCTCATCCTCTCTCTGGTCGCTACCGTCGGTTATATCCTGCTCGCCACCACATCCTCCACCGCGCCTAGATACGTAGGTGTGTTTTTAGCCGCTGCCGGTGTCTTTCCGGCGATTGGCAATATTTTGCCGTGGGTGCTGAATAATCAGGGGAGTGATACGAGGAGAGGGATGGGTATTGCGATGTTGAATCTTATCGGCCAGTGTGGACCGTTGCTGGGCACGAGGGTTTATCCGAGTAATGAGGGCCCGTATTATCGGAAGGGGATGTGGGTTTGCGCGGGGTTTATGGCGTTTAATGCGCTGCTGGCGCTGGGGCTGAGGGCGTTGTTGGCGTGGGAGAATGGGAGGTTGGATGCGAAGTATGGGCGGGGAGGGGAAGGGATGGAGGGGGAAGAGGGTGTGGGCGTTGAAGATGGGGGGAGGGGGTTCAGGTATGTGTTGTAATAGCGAATGTCGAAGGTTTGGATAGATGATTTAAAGTGTGTTTATCACATACCTAGCTAAGCAAACCCATCCTATCATAGGATAAACTTGCCAGTGCTATTTCTCAGCCAGCGAACCTTGAACTCTCGCTTTCCTCGATCCCACAAAGCTCTCTAAATTCACATTATCAATTCTTCTTCTTACACTAAACTTAACCTAAACCACGCTCCTTACTTCTTGTAAAGAGTGTAAAATCAACTATTAAAATCGATTGTCATAACCGTATAAACAAGTAATACTAAAACTTAGTATTAGAGTATTCCGAAGAGGTTAAAGGTAAACAATAACTTATTTCCAAAATTGTTATTTGTCTTCTTTATAGTAAACGTTTTAATGTTTAGCATTTTAGCTAATATCTCGTTACCTTCTCTAATACTATCTAGTTTTTATACTCGAAAAAAGTTGCTTATAGTACAAGAAGCTATAGGTACTTAATTACTTACTAACGTATATATAAAGTTATATTATTAAAAATCTTAATAGCTAGTTAAATTATTAGAAGAAATCCTTATCGACTCTATATAGTGAGCTGATTAATTATTAAATTAATAATCTCTTTATTCGTATTAGCTAATTAGACAGGCAAATTGCTCAATTCCATGATTAATGAGCGACATACTTGCGTAGAACGCAGAACCACAGCTCCCAAGCGCTTAACATAAGTTTCCAAAGTCAATCTGTTTGAATGACATTTACTTTGAAGCTTTGAGATTCATAAAATCTAGCAAACAAGCAATTCCAGGTCGCTCTGACCCCTGTTCAAACCGACGTGGTGGGGGTGGCGTCGTTGACCCATGCCAAGTATTACAACTATCGCAACTGCGACAGCTATTAAGCTCTAAGCTTCAACGATTGATTTTGCATTTTCCTCATCAAATAACTACCCACGGCACCCAAAGTATGCTCTTCTTGCATAGTCGCAACGTACGTCGCTCGTATGCCATCGTCAAGTTCCAGATACTCGCAAAATTCCCAAGACGAGGTAAGAATAACTGGATCCAGACTCAAAAACTGCATGCGAACATCCAACAGCAAATTACTTCAACTGGGAAGGATTTCGCTCTCTGTAAATTGTATTATGTAGACCAAGATGCTGATACTCTGTGCAGACTAGCTCCTTATTCTCCTCCGTGTTAGGAAAACGACAGGATTCATTTCCACATCTACCAACATACCATCTACAACGATTTTTGCTAGAGGAAGGTCCCTATGTGGCTGGATATACACAGACAAGAAGTGAATTGACTGTTGCCAAGCGGAAAAGACTAGGTTATCATGTTGCACCCCAAACGCTCGAGGTCTAAGTTTGAAGGGGGCTGTATTGTTGAGCTTGGGGTGGATGACTACCCACCCCCAAAGTATAAGAGTCGACTCGGATGTCCGTTTGCGAAGTTCAATCGTAAGCGATATGAACGGGTCAACACACCTTGTACAAGCAGGTGGGGCTTTAGCTCAATCACTACTCTCAAGTAAGTACCGTAATACAATCGACGGAGCACTAGATGATTTGTTAACACCCCTCTAGCGAACATATAAAAAGATATCATTCAAGCAAGGATGCTTGCATTCGGTGTAAGGAGGGAATTGAGGAACAAGACACAACTGGGGATATTGTAAAATGTGATCACTCCGAGGAACCAGAGAAAATGACCGTCGACCAGGAAAGAAAGCATAAAGATTGGGCCATTGGGCGGTCTATGTCAGCAACCGACGCAGAAAAGTGGACTTGGATATTTGAAGCTCTTTTCCCAAACGCGACTGGGAAGCCGCTTCCGTGTGACTAGCCATTCTGTCTAACAGATTTTCAAGTACTAATTCTGTCCAGGGTACGATTATCTTCGACCAAGTCACCGAGACGATATGTCAGTAAATCAAACCGAAAACCCAAAAGTCAGCTCTACGGATAATATGTCCAGCCTCGCGGGATTAGATCTCCTACTATTCGACACCACGTCTCCTACGGACACGCGAATAGCAAAACGACTTCGTGCTGACGATAGCCAGTCTATCAGTAGGAGGATCACTGACTTCTCCATCTCCACGGGGCCTGCTACCAGCGATTCGGGGATCTCGCTATCCTTCGATCCAGACAAGCTTCATGGGGACCGCATCACACCTCCTCCGTCTGACTGTGTGGACCCTGCGCTGCTGGGGTCTAGTACCTTGTTTTCCCTGCGCGAGCAACTAGAATGGCAAATTGGCAGCGGGGTGGCGAGCAATCCCACGAGGAATTAGAAAGAGGACTGTATGGAATTGAACAGTACTGAGCTGAGTGTAGCAACGTACACTTCCTTGACTATGGTTGTGTATCTTAAGAAAGCGAAGGAATGAAATGAACGTAAAGATGAATGTAAAGCGACATTGTTGACCATTTTGAGAGTGCAAACCAGCAGCGTTTTGCAATCCGATGGGACACCTCGATACGGAAGAAAAGTAACATCATCCCCGAAACGCTGTATTTACTAAATCCTTCTGAGTAAATACATGATATTGTCTCTATTGGAAAGGCTACATCTCTTTATCACTGGAGGAATGTTAGAACTGTTTTTTTAGAAGCGTTATGTTTCGACGGTGTCCCGTCAGTTTTGCAAGGCACTGGTCGACTAGCCCCGAAAATGCTTGTCAGAATGGCTATCATCATTACTTCGCAAACGGGCGCTAGATCTTCATACTATGACTGGACAAGTCCCTGATTTAAGCGACTCCGAAGACTTTTGTTTCTTGCTTTCTGCTTTGGCGCTCCTTTCTCGACCCGTTCTAATGCCACCTTCGCTGGGCAGTTTTGCTAATACCTTGTAACTGCTGTGACGGCAAGAATCGAAGTCTTTACACCTTCATTGCTATTTTCGTTCCCTCAAGCTCTTCACATTTTCGCGTTTCTTCGTAGGAGCCGTGTAGCCAGCTATCGTAATCGTTCAAGTCTACAAGAATTGAGACATATACTATCTGAACTGAAGCTCCTTCCCATCATCCGTCAAAAGCCGAATTATTGAGCTGTTTGTCTATACTTACATATAGATAATCGATCTTAAAATTCGCTTACATTGATGCCAGCACCATACCCACTGATCATGGAATCGTAACTGCGATACAAGAGCATTGCCTCGCACCTGCGATCGCTCGCCCATACGAGGCAATTTCACCCTTCCCTCTCCCTCACCATTACCCGGAACACAAAAACTAGGTCGCACTAAATCCCACCATTTGCCTTACGCCAGATCTAGCAACATGTCCGACACTTCATCCCCACGCATCAGTTTTGCGGAGTCTGCATCTGCAGTCGCTCTAAGCAACTATCAGAGTGCCTTCACATCTCTAAACAACTCTCATCATTCTGTTCCGCTTCCGCTTGACAATTCCGTATACTACGTCAAAGTGGTCATCCACAAAGCAAAGAGTAGCTTCGTTCTCTCATATCTTGCCATTCTCGCCTCGAGCACCGGCGAAGACGTATTTCTAGCACTTCGACAGCTCTATGAGAGGGAAAACAAGAGCTGCAGAGTCATGCGTGGTATACGAAGATTCTTTTGGAATACCGTTGTTGAAACCGCAACCATCTCGAATGTAAGACGTGACTTCCAGTCAGAAGAATAGGTAGCTGACCAACAGTTATCCCCCTCTTTCCTCGAATCTCAAAACCTATCTGTCGAAGTCCTCATCGACACCCGCGTCAACTCTGCAGAATTCACGGCGGCTTACCAAAATCCATCCAGTCTGCACGCTTCCGGACCGTTTGTGCTCGATCGGCCAACCCTTATCACATCGTCGCCATCTCGCGAAGTGCTTTTGTTGGCTACAAAGTTGAATAAGCGGTCTGTTGCGTTTGGCATTGGAGCTGCGGCTGGTATGTCCGTCTGTGTGGGGATTGTCGCTGGTTTAGTCTGGAATTCGGGAGAATTGGGGGTACAAACCGCGACTGGATTGCTGACGGGGATTTCGGTTTTTGGTGGGTTGTTGCTTTGGATTTCGAAGTGATGGAGTCTTGGGTTTTGTATTGATGTTTAAAGAGAGAATAGATGTATTTCAGGCGAGAGCTATGGGGTTTTGTGTAATTTATGTAATTCTCTTACTAGCTAGCAATATTAACTTGACAGATCTTAATAGGACTCACTAACGTAGTAACGCTTTTGGGAAAACGAAAAATCGCTGAATAATGTTTAAGAAAAATTAGCTTTAATTTATCTACGATACTAAATATCTAAAATAAATGGTTGAAATCTACATAGACCCTAAGTAAAGATATCTCTTCTTGTAGAGTATTCCGGTATAATCTCGTAGCCGATCCGTTATTTGTTATCCTACGCTAGCTGCGTCGTTTTAAGTTATATCTCGGAATATATCGCTAGAGAAAAAATTGAAAGTATTAGCGTACATAAATAATACTTACATTTAAGCCTTAAAAGTTTAAATTAGCTAGAACTTTAGTCAGTAGTATTATTTATTATTAGATAACGATGTCACTTTATATAAAATAGCGACTTTGTTTAGCGGAGCCTATTCTCATAGTAACGAAGTAACTCAAATTATATACTCTTTATAGGGCTTGCTGAAGACACGCATTTTTAGACCTTTACAAATAGAACTGAAGAAGTGATAGTTAATTAGTTAGTAGCCTCAATAATTTCGTACATGTTTGATTAAGCGTTAAAAAATAGATTTCGCACTATGTCTTCTGGAGTGGAGAGTATCGAGCAAAGATTGTAAGATGCTTAGATAGAACTGACTAAGTAACATGTTGTATTTTGATGCCATCAGTGTTGTTTAAGGCTGACGGGACACCCCCTCATCGTAGAACAATGATTTTCGGTGAAATAAGCTCTATTTGCTCAAAGATTTTGAGTAAATTCGCTCTATTGCCTCTATGATAAAGACTAAACATGCTTGTCGAGGAAGGAGTGGTGGAGAGTCGTGTTCTGACAGCGTTACACTTAGAGAATGTTCCGTCAGTCTTGCAACGCACTAGTGATACTATAGCAAATAGAAACCATTTGCGATGAATTTGGGTGATCAATTCATTTGATGAGTAAAAGATATATTTTATACAGATACCGGACTTGTAGGCTATGGCAGTGGCGGAATCCGTCCGCATGTAATAACATCTTCCACGACACAAACATCACTCCCAAAAAAACACTCAATCAGTTCAGTAAGCAAAACTCCATTTCTAACCCAACCATCTAAATCTATTCTAAACCCTCTCAACCCCCCTCACCCCCTCCACATACTCAACCTCAACCGCAAACTCACTCTCCCTCCAAACACCCCCTTCCCCCTCTCTTCCCCTTTGCCTTCCCCTCTCACCTCTGTCACTATATACCCGTGTCCCAAGTCTCGCCTCATAAAGCGGTACCAATCTAAGCGGCTCATTGGAATTCCTACTTCCCTCCCTCGAACTCAACGGTTCTGCGCCTTTGCTCCGCGGTGTATGGTTGCGAGAGATGGTGTGATTGCGGGACGAGGTGATGAAGTTACGGATTCTGGCCGAAGCGTATTGTCGAGAGTTTTGTGGGGAAGAGAGTTCGTATTCTTGGTCTGTGATTGCAGTGCTGGCTTTGCCGGTTTGGAGGGAGGCCCAAAAGGAGTGGGTGCGGGGGATTGTGGCTGTTATTAGGGAGGTGTGGGTTACGAGGCTGTTTTTGAGAATTAGAAAGGATGTGGGTGGTTTGGGGGGCCGATTAAGTAGTGAGGGGAGATAATTTAAGGGAGGAGGGGAAGAAGGGCGAGAAAGAATGATAAGGGAGAAAAGGACGTACATCATCCAGATGAAGCGGGAGAGAGAGACCCATGATTGATCAGGGCTTGCGAGGGAATTCGCCACAGAGATCAGTTCAACTATTGCGAGGAGAGAAACACTGTCACCAATGATTAGTTCATGTCGATGCACTGGAAGAAGCGGACATACACAAGCCTCAGCCCAAACAAAACCATGACCGTCACCCTCGTCGCCCTCGCCACATTCAACTTCCAAATCGTCGGTAAAATCGCCGTACCCAGCAATATATCAGTTAGAATATTGAGTCCAATGACTGGATACTGGAGATAGCCTTTCGTGTTACATTTTGAAGGGACGTACATCCATGGGTTGGGCAGTTGGCATTGAAATGCGATGGCGAAAAACGAGAAGGTTCCCCAGATAGTGACAATGATAAGACAGAAGTTGAAGCGGGAGGAAACGCTTTGGGCGATGCGTTTGAGAAGCATTACTACAGAGATTTTGGAAAAGGTCATGCTTAGAATGGCGAGTAGATGTGAGGTGTAGACTAGCTGGGAGGAATGGGTTAGTTTGAGGTCTACGTAGTATTCGATGGATGGGCAAGGAGGAACTTACTGTATAGAAGGATTCTATTTCTTGCGGAGTAAGGTTGTTCATTCGTTTTCCGAGACCGGACAAGACCGCTCTATAAAGACATATTGAACTCGACACGGCCAAGAACTGCCTTTTGTTAATTCATTGTCGCAATACTGAGAGAATTACTGACTGAAGCCACATAGAACGTCACATCATCACCCCGAAACCCAACTCTCTGTCGAGCTGCTACCACGCCTCGGATACCTGATACTGCCAGAGAAATAATGATAGTAGATAAAGCTGCCACGACGCCAACGCCTCCATGATCATCGTCGGTCAAGCGAAAGAAAGGAGGTCGTTTGTCGCCCATGTCATGAGGATTGCGATGATACGCTGATATACATAGAAGAGTAGAAAGACGAGAGATTGAAAGTCGTGAAGTGATGTCGCGGTCAAAATCCTGTTTTCGTAAAAGAGTTGACAGACGTGACGAACTCGTATGGTACACCTCCCCTACTTGTACGGCTTCTTCAAAACACAAACATTATCGAAAGAACAATGAGATTCCAAAAAGAAAGATACAACATTCGATGTACAGGAGTACGTACCTGGCAGCGATACATTGGACATGCACCGGCACTGAACCCTCATGCCGTTGACATGGCTCACTCGCTTGAGCTGTGCCTGACGTTTGTGATTTCACAAGTGTCCAGCCCCTGGAAAACAAAGAATTGTACCCTTGATGTGATGATCTCGACCCCTAGTAGCGGAAGATCAGTGGTCAACGCGTACGCCTATTTGCGGGAGGACTCAGGGCAAAGAAGGTGATTCAGGCGACTCCAGCGTATTTGGGCGAGATTGGTTGGTCAGCTCCGAAGGGCTGGCGGGCTGAGAATAAGCACTTTGTGTAACTTTTCTTTGTGAAACTTGGCATGCACGGAGAAGCCTCCTTTGACTTTCGATAACTCTAATTTGTATTTCGAGAACAACTCAGAGAATCCCCAGAAGACCACTTTGACGTAAATTTCTGACCCTCGTTCTATGATTCTTCAGTCCTGCGATCATTACGCGTTCGCCCAATTGCGAAATAATGGACGGTCCGATCCGAGAGACAAGATTGTTGGTGGAGTAAGCATGCTTCGGTCAATCTTCCAGGCTCTTCTCCTGAGACATTACAATCGACAGCCTGTCAAATACCAACATTTTTGCGCCATGTCTCTCGTGCTCGCAAACCTTAAAATCTTTCGATCCAAACCAGTTTAATGCCAGATAAACACGGGTATGCTTCGCAATATTCTGCTTTTGACTCTGGTGTCGTCCAGCACACGGGTATTCCCCATCGCTACGGGCCAGTTCTGGACTGCGGTCGAAACCCCATATGATAAGCTCTTTAGTCTACGGAACGGGGAAGTTTCCGAGTGGAAATTACCCCCACGAAGGGCCCGGGAACTTGGACGAAAAAAGACTCAGCAGTCCAATCAATAATCATCAAGGAGAACCGTGATAATGGAAACTAGAAAGAAGCGTGGGGTAAGAGTGTGGAGTCGATACAAACCCCCAAGTCTTGTGGTCTCATGTTGATATGAGATGTTGCAACTCGTGAAGTGACGGTTGCTTTTTCTTTCGTCATGCTTCCCTTATTTTGCTCGAGCCAGCTCGAGGGTCGTGCACGTGACTTAGTACGGTGGGTTTGCGGGATCGTGGGTCGGGACGAGGAGCTAATTAACCTTATTGCAACTTCATCCAAGGAAGATATGTCCTCATCGTTTCTTTGACACATCTGTTAATATGTGCGTTTCTCACCGCCACTTTTATGTACCCGGTGTACCGCATCAAGTGTGCTTAATGCTACCATAATTCTTCTTGCAGCAATTATGCTAGGCACAATGAACGCCACACGGGTGACCTTCAAGATGCTCCTGCTCACTGGGTACCGGTAGGCTTCCCCCTGCTTTCCGACACTCGCTTGGTGTCTGCAACAATATTGGTGCCGTTGCAGTCGGCTATCCAGAGGCTGGTATGAGCAAGCATGTGTGCGGAGAGTGATTGTTTTTGCATACGCTAAAAATGGAGCTCTTGAAACGCTGCTGTATTTCGTGCTTCCCCTTTCCTGATAACTTGATAACCATACAACCCGCTTGCAAGTTCCTTTCCCCAAGTTCGGTACACTCAAGATGACAGACTTCAAGGATGAAGGTATTACAACGGTGAACGCGTTCGACGATAGTAAAGCAAGCAATGGAAGCATTGAGGAAAACTCCCAGTCTAAGTCTGGTGGGCCCGCGAAAGCCCAAGTCAACATTCTCGAAGTGAGTTTCAATTAATCCAAAATCTACTTTTAGATATACTTATACCAAACAGAGATACATCAATCCTGCCGCAATCATCAACTTTGGCTTCACACTTCAAGCAGCTTGGGAAGCGTCTGGATCCTCAATTCAATTTAGTCTGCTCAATGGCGGACCGGCGTCCCTCGTTTGGGGTAGTTTGCTTGCTGGAGTTGGATCGACCGCTATAGCAATATCGTTGGCTGAAATGGCCTCATTGTAGGCACTCCATGAAGTTTGCGCAATCCAACACTAATAATTTACAGAGATCCTGTCGTTGGAGCGCAATATAGATGGTCTGCAGCTTTCGCGCCATCGAATAATGCATTTTGGGGTCTCTTCCAAGGGTTAGTAACAAATGTTCTTTCTTTCGAGTCTTAAGCTAATCTACATGAAGTTGGATTACGGTATGGGCTTGGATTACAGCAACCGCAGCTTCTCCAGCTTATCTCTCCAACATCGTAACTGGCCTTGCAATCTTCAATTACCCCACCTACGAACCTCAACGATGGCACGGAACGCTCATGATGTGGGGATTCGTGATTATACCAGTTGTCTGGAATTTCTGGTTCCGTCGCATGTTGAATACACTTGAAATGATTGGAGGAATCTGCCATGTTGTATTCTTTATTGTGTCTGTCACCACTTTAGTGGTACTTGCTGAGCGCAGTTCTCCTAGTTTTGTTTTCAACACGATCTGGAATGAATTCAGTGGTTGGACAAATCCAGGCGTCGCATTCAGTCTGGGCATAATAACAGTAACATTTCCTATCACAGCCTTTGACGGTGTATTGCATATGAGTAGGTCATGCCAAATGATACTTTAAATTTGACTAATCATGTTACAGGCGATGAGGTCAAAGGAGCGCGTACCCAGGTACCTCACAGTATGATCTTAGCTGTCAGTCTGAACAGCATTATGCAATTCGCCTTTATGGTTACGCTCATGTTCTGCATCGGAGACGTCGATCAGGTCGTAAACACGCCAACATTACTTCCCATCATCGAAATCTACTACCAAGCCACAAAATCCAAAGCTGCTACGAATCTTCTTGTTGCGATGATTGCGCTGATTCTTTTCATCTCGCTATTCAACATTTTCGCATCGGTGTCCAGACTAGCTTGGGCGTTTGCTCGCGATAACGGTTTACCATTCTCGAAAACGTTCTCATACGTCCACCCGACTCTCAAGATCCCTATCAATGCGTTGCTATTGGTAGGCGGAGTCTGCTGTTTGTTGTCACTTATCAATATCGGTTCATCGACCGCGTTTAACGCGCTGATCTCTCTACCTACGATTGCGCTTTACGTTTCGTACTTCATTCCGATCTTGTTTCTCACAATCAGGAAACTGCAAAATCGACACCCAGTATACGGACCATTTAAGCTCGGTCGATGGGGTTTACCGATCAACCTCTTCTCCATGGCTTACATCCTTTACATCGTAACATTCTTACCCTTCCCAAGTTTCAAGTCAGTAACTGCGGTTAACATGAATTACGCGGGTCCGATTATGGGTGCGATTATCTTAATTGCGATAGGTGATTGGTTTATCACTGGAAAGAGACGCTTCCATGTGCCAACTTCAAGAGTGGCAATGGCAGACGAGTAAAATATGGGCGATGAATTATGATCCAGATGAACGCCACGTACATAACTAAACGATTGCTGTTAGAAATCTAAATGAACGAGCATTATAACAGTATCAATAATGTCAATTAGCAACGAATACATGTACAAACTGGCAAGCCCAAGAAGGCGGCACATATCAAAACATCTGCCGGTTCCAGAACATGCTGTGACACACCAACTATGTGCCAATGGAAAAATCCGCAGAGCTGGGTTTATGCGTGGGCGCGGCCAAGCAAAGAATTGGTCAAGATAAGAAATCACTCATGTGGCCGAGGCGGGTTGGGCCAGCGCCCAGTGGCTTGCAGAATATCCCTGAATGGAAACAGCTTCCGAGCATGGGGTTCCTGCAATACAACTGCTTTACTGCAGCACGTTTTTTCTTTGCCGTTTACGGAATGCCTAGTGAGGGGTATTGGTGAGTGGTACGTGATCTAGAACTCGTAAATATCAACTTTGGCCTCTGAATTGGTTCTATTGCCGCATTTGAGACGTCGATATCATATTGTGTCAGCCAGGCATCGTTCCGAGTTTGACATTCAAAACTCAACCATGTATATCTTCGAAAGAGCACTTGCCATCTGGCAAGCCTCTAGCTACACTCAGTGCGCATTGTACCTTACCTTTACATTCATATTCTATGTAAGTCCCTCATGATATTCATTCAGACCATCCTAACACCACCGCTAGTTCTTTATAGTTTTCACCTACAGACTAACATTCCATCCCCTCGCAAGATATCCCGGCCCCTTCTTCGCCAGAATCTCAGACTGGCCTTTAGTTATTTACTGCTATCGCGGGGATCGTCATCTCTGGGAACTCAAAAACCACTTGAAATATGGTAAGTAACCACCCTTCCCATATTGGTTCACACGATTCTAACAAAATCTAAGGCCCAATCGTCCGCTACGGCGCTAACTCCCTCTCAATTTCCACACCCACCTCACTTCCATTAATCCACGGCCCCAAAGCCAACGTCAAAAAAGGCTCTTGGTACAAAACCCTCGACATCTCTGCCGGTGCTCCTTCCGTGCAAATGGAAATCAACAAACACGCACACGCACTCCGACGACGCTTTCTCGCTCCCGCATTCAGCGAGCGCGCGCTCAAAAATGCGGAGAAACTCATCACAGTATCGGCGCTCAAGTTATCTAAGAACCTAGGTCTTGGCGGCGAGGAAGGCTGGAGCGAAGCAAAGAACATGAATGACTGGGCTACGTATTTTGGATTTGATTTCATCAGCGATCTTGGCTATGGTTCGAGTTTTGGGATGTTGGATGGACAGGAGAATCGGTGGATTCCCGGGGTGTTGAAGAGTGCTTCGGTGTTTTTGTATTATGTGGGATATTTACCGTTCATAGATTTCGTGAGACCGCTGATGGGGACGGCGATTCAGGATTATATCTCTCAGGATGCCGCCGATTCGTTGAAGTATACTGAGATGGCTAATTCGCGATTGGCTGCGCGCATGGAGTTGGAGAGGAAGTTGAAGATTGAAGGGAAGGAAACGAGTCGTAAGGATACTTTTCATTATCTGCTGAATAGTAAAGACGCGGTTACCGGGAAGACTTTCACGAAGGAGGAGTTGCAGGCGGATTCGGCGTTGATTATCGCTGCCGGGAGTGATGGAGTGGCTATTACGATTGCGGCTTGCATGTTTTATCTTCTCAAGAACCCAGAGGCGATGGGGAGACTCGTCAAGGAGATTCGAGAGGCGTTTAGTTCTGTGGAGGAGATTCGAAATCCGAAATTGAACACCCTGCTGTATCTGCACGCGTGCATCGAGGAGACGTTGCGAATGAATCCACCAAAACCGAGTACACTCCCACGAGAGGTGCTTCAAGGCGGACTGACGATTGACGAGAACCATTTTCCCAAGGGAGTCAACATTGGATCACCACTGTACGTGATGCATCACGACCCTAGCATATTTCCAGAACCGTGGTCATTTAAACCAGAACGCTTTATTGCGAGCGAATCAACTGCTGAGCGTGTCGCTGCTGCTCGAGCGGTTTCTGCGCCGTTTTTGATTGGTCCAATGAATTGTATTGGGAAGAATATGTCTTTCATCGCTTTGAAGTTGGCTCTTGCGCATGTTCTGTTCAGCAATGATGTCAGGATTAGTGGTAAGTTGACTGGTGGAGGTGGTAAGGATGAGGAGGAGGGTAGAGAACGGGAGGATGAGTATCAGATGCAAGACTGGATTATTGGGTTTCGTGATGGGCCTATGATTGAGGTGCGAAAGAGAAGTCTAGTCGAAACATGATGGATAGCATATGGTAATGTCGGGACTTAGTTTGATACTATTGAATTGTTTTTGATAGCACTTTCTATCTTCAAGTCTATTCTAACCATATCAAAGGGTAGTTGAATGTTATTGGCCAGTCTTGAACGCAGTCTAAACGGTATATCTGAATCCTGGAGCATTATCAGCCAGCTCCATATGAGCCAGAATTTCTTCCTCGGTATAGATCTTCTCGCCTCTCTCACTAGCAACTTTGTCGCGCCTAGCATTTTCGAATCGCAGATAAGTGGTCATAAAGAGGGTCAAGAAAAATGCCATCCCAACGATACCGATGAGCAATGAGTGTCCTTTAATGAACCTGACGGTATATCAGCATCGTTATATTTGCAATGCACTTGAAGATTTGAAACATACCTTGGGCTATCTCGGGTGAGGTAGACATAAGAAGCAATGATTCCCCCGCAGTTTCCGCCCATCACCTGCATCGCAATGCCAGTACCGCGCTTGAGACTACCACCAATGTTGTTGCCATTCCAAGCAAGACCTAATGGAATCTGAGGATAGATGCCTGGACAATATTAATACCTCACACTCAACATTGTAGGACAGAAACTTACCAGTTGCCGCAAGTACCGTGCCCGCATACTGGATTCTTGCCTTGGCAGTTCCAGCAAGCATCGCAAACCCAACAATAGCAATAAGTTGAAAGCCCAGTAAGAATACTCCTCGCTGTTTGATCCGATCGGCGAACCAACTTGCACTAATGGTAAAGAAGCAGGCGACCACATAAGGCGGAACGCTCATCAATTGAGCATCATTTGATGTGTACCCCATATTCTTGATAATAGTTGGTAGAAATAACGAGAATGAATAGATGGGACAAAAGCCCGCCATACAGATAAGCATGTGGATGTAAATCTTCCAGTCTTTTATAGCTTGAAAAACGTATTTGTAATCGAATACGTTTGACAGATTACCATGATCGTCTGCGAGACGACGCTCGACTTCGACTTTTTCTTCTTGCGTGAGGAACTTGGCACTACAATAGGTTAGTTTAACACTTATACTAAAATTAATTACTAACGCTGATGGGTAGTCATTAATGGCCCAGTAAGCAGCCATGGAGACCAAGATACTCAGCAAGCCTTCCAATATGAAGATCCAGGCCCTAGATCAGTATCAAAAATTTTGCTCATGACCTCAGAGTGAAAAACATACCACGCAGCTTTACCACCCACCCCGTTCATTTCTGCAATACCCCTCGCAAGTATACCACCAAAAGCTCCCGCAAGCGTAGCGGCCGAGAAGAATAGGGCCATACGAAAACCACACTCATGCCGCCTATACCACGACGTAATATAATAATTAACCCCCGGAAAAAGCCCTCCCTCAAAGACACCCAGGAAGACTCTTGTAGCCATAAGCCCAGAGTAGTTCTTCACGAATCCCTGACATATCATAGCGACCGACCAAAAGAACATGATGAATGTCAGCCAGATGCTGGGTCGGAAACGTTTCATCATCATGTTGCTAGGGATTTCGGCGGCGATGTAGAAGGGGAAGAGGATCGCGAGACAGTCGTTGAATTGTAAGCCGTGGAGGTGGAGGTCTCGTTCTAAATGGTCTAGTCGAGCATTGCCGATGTTTGTGCGATCGAGGAAGCATAGTCTTTGGAAATTAGTTCAACTTCACTAGCTGAAGGAAGCAAACGTACAGGTAGATTAACGAAAGAAATGGAATTAAATGCCAATCAAGCTTCCGGATTAATGTTTTGGTAGCCTTTTCGTCGAAGCCTTGGGATTCGACATTATTGACCGATAGGGAAGAACCATTTTCAACCGGTATAGGTTCGTTGACCACTGTAACGATTTTTGTATCCATATCTGCGGAGGCGTAAATGCGGTACACAATGTATCACATCAAGAACGCCAGAGACTAGGCGAAAGCTTAAAGCGACGAAAGTACAAAAAATGTGGGATTCATCCGTAGCTATATCCACGCCAAAATAAGCTCGTATAATCTTTGGGCAGCAAAACAGGGTGCTATGCAGTCAGGCTGACGTGATGTTGTAAGAGGAAGGTGTATGGCAGTTGAGAAGAAATAGGGCGAGGAAGCGACCTAGACTATTGAATGGTACAAGGTGGATTGTTGAGTAACGTGGTAAAATTGATGCCGGTAATAATCATGACATGCATATTTGCACTATTTGCTGCTTGTTGCTGCATCGGAAGACAATTTTGATGGGTAGGGTGGTCGAGAAAGGAAGGAGGATAAAATTGTATGCATATCATTATCCAATGAAGCGGATTATCTCACTTGCAGATTTTATCTGCAGGGTTTCTGGCCGACATATCGAGTCTATTTGAACTCTGGAATGAAACTTCCATAATCGTCGGGTACGGGGCGCTTAGAGAAAAATAAAGGTATCGAGGTTTAGAAAAAAAATAAAAATATGGACGTTTGTTTGTGATTTTAGGACATAGGAGTCAGTGGGGATGGCCTGACCTCTCTAAGTGCCCATCACGAGTTGTGTCACGTACGTCTCACGTGTAACAGACGTTTTGTTCTGGCTTTCATGCCTAGTTGCATCGAAGATGCGAGACAGGGAAATCCATAGCGCCAGTTAACATGATCAGAAGACCACTTCCTAAATTCCATTACAATAATAGAAGCAAGGCTGTGGGCCGTCAAAGGTCGAGTCGCTTGGATATTTTCTACAGACGTGCCTGGAACGGCAGCGGCCTCTTCGATGAATGCCACTGTGAGAGTCTTGACCCGTTCTTCAAAATTGTCTGCGACCTGAGACCATGCAGCTAGAAATCGAGTTCTGTTTCCATTGCTTGAGTCGCTTGCCAAGACCAGATTAGTATTTATGTTGCAACATGTTTGACGGCGCCCTACATCAACATCAACAAGCGAGTAAAGCGAAGCCGAAAGGACTGCTTTAAAGACACCCGCAACTGCAAAGCCTATTGCTTTGATTCTTTGGCATGCCGTTTTGAGATTTCGTACAGGAAATCCGTGAGGCGTGAGACCAGATCGAAGTGCGAGCACTCGATCAGCAACTTTGAGCTCAACAGTATCCACACTGGAGTTAGTTCGTAACACAACGCCTGAAGCCTTATCGTCCAGCAGATAATCAAGCTGGTAGTCATCATGATTCCAAATGAAGCCGCAATATCGCGAAAAAAATGAGAGTTGAAGCTCGCATTTCAATCTCAACCGCGTCCTCCCTGCGATATCTTCATCACCAAAAGCTAGAGTGTGGAAGAGGCCAACCTTGCCAACTTTGAGGGTAAGGCTGCGTTCGTCGCGGAGAAGTGTCATGAGAATATATGGATTGGACGAGTACTAAAGCTCAGTTCACATACGCTGAAGAGTTTTGGTCTTAGATTCTCCCAAACCAGCCGCTTGGACGTCTCCCCTCTTGGCCTACATATGGCCGTGGCACTGCTTAACCATGAAATCCCCATCCGAGAAGGGAATCACCTCGAAACTGATCCATTCGCTTGATATAACTTTTACTGATATCGGCAGAGGCTTCAACTCGAGCGATACCTCCGTCATAGTCACATTGCTGTTCAGAATAAGTGCAATCTAGAACATCACACCGCGAAGTACGAACTTACTAATTGTCGAACGGCTTGGAATAGCGTCGACGATGGTCTCCAATGCGATGAATATATGTCCTCTAGCGAGAAAAATGGATTTACCAGCGGCCTCATGTGTTGCAAGTCATGAAATCGCGTTGTCTTTCGGGGCCGGATTATGAGTGTCTGGCCTAATCGTTGGTACTATGGTCCCGATTTCACAAGGGACAAATGTTGTGCAATTTCTCATCAGCAGTAATTTCGCACACGCTTAACTGATTGCTTGAATCGTTGCTGTTCACCACCGAAACGTCTCTCTTGAATCCCAAGTTAAACAACTCGACGGCCATCGCTAGATAGAAGATTTAAAAACGCAAAGACAGCGCGATTAAGCGAGGTGATATAAGAAACTCAAAAGCCAAGGTCGTTGGGAACAATCCTAGTGAGGCCTTTGAGCGCTGGATGTCCGCCACTTTCAATAAGATTATCACTGTTCTAGTCATCAAATTCATTGAGAAGTATGCCAGCCGTATAAGCAGCGGCGTTCACCCTGATACCGTATGCCACTACTGTCGAAAGAACGAAAGCCCAGATTTTCAATATCTCGACAAGGGCAAGGCGCAGTGCGGCGCACAAGGGTTGAGGGGTGAGAGAAACGCTTTGTGCAAGCGTGCCAATTCTTCTACCGACATCTGAATATCTTCATGGATAAGCCCAGTCTCGAGCATCGGGCAGGCTTGCCAGGCCAGCATGGCAGCGCTTAATACTCCGACGAAACAAAGGTGTTTTTTACAGCAGCTCTTGGCCCATGGCATACCATTGCGCACTCTATCCTAGGAAGACAAGCCCGTGTTTCGAGCTCCGTCCAGCGCGATTGTCCACCTTAATGAGATGCCCGGGTTGTGAAATTTCGAGCCAAGGCCTCTAGTCTGTTGTCAATCGCAAATGTAGCTGCGGGCGATGTCGGCTGCTGTAACTGTTAAAGGTCTATCATTATTTTTAACGATGTACTGTGAAGGAGAACTTGCGAAGGTTTTAGCTCAACTTTCATTGTGCAGTGAGAGGTACAAGATATGGTCAATCCTTTTCCTACGGACCTCGAGTGCGTTGTTGTGGCAGTGCGAGGTGATAGTTTCCAAGGTCACGTGAGCTGAGAGCTGCTGTAACCGAAAGAATTAAGCGATAATTAACGTCAAAACATCTTGTGGTGATAGTCAAATCCATGGTCTCTGTGAGAACCTTAATCTCGGATAGATCAAGATTATACTCCGAATTTGGTTTGCTGGATGTATATTCGGCAGAATTCTGTTACCTTCGAGTGACATGATAGCCTTGCCGATACAACGAGACCAGAACTTCCGAAGCACCTTCCGGATGCTTAAGATGTCTCAATTTTCGACCATCAACCCCCCAACGACGTCATGTGGGATATGAACATGTGCCGTGAATTCGGCCTCTATTAACTCTCCATTTCATGGCAACTCAGAGAGTATCCCGCCGCTGTCAGCGAGACTGATAGGATTCGTAAAGCGAGCATCGGCCTAAAGTTCAACCGTCGGGGGGAGTTTGACCCTGAACTCCAGATTGTCTCCCCGAACCAACAACAACGGCTGAATCGTCAAGCCGACCGAGTATCATGGTTCCGAAAATGTTCAGCCGATATAGTTGTTCCCTCCCGAAAGGTGAGTACTGCTACAGCAGCCCGCTTGAACGACCATTTCCATCCATCTGCTAGTAACTGGGAAACATAATGGCCGAGACCAGTTCGACCTTCATTATTGAGTCCCAGCCCATCAACCATGGTGCTGAAGTTGAAGAGAAGCATGAATCGACAAGCCCTCGACCAGTGGGCCCAGAACCATATGTATCGGACTTCAATCCAGGAGCCAAGTTTTGGTGGGCGTTGGCTCCCATTCTCATTCTCGCCATGATGGTTTCCTTAGATGGAACTTCCGTGTCAGTAGCTTTGCCGGTACGTTGCACTTGTACATGTACTCCATCTAGAATATATGGCTCGGCCAAAGACTGATAAGACTCAGATCATATCAAAAGATCTCAAGGGAACTTCTATCGAGGCGTTCTGGACTGGAACCAGTTTTCTCCTTGCATCGGCGGTATTACAAGCCCCAATGGGTGCGCTCTCGGAGATACTTGGACGCATGCCAGTGCTCTTGGCCTGCACTCTCTTC